GATCTGCAAAAAGCTTATTTCTCTAATTTCGTCCATTTTTCATCTGCGCTCCGCAATCAAGCAACAATCTGCCGTCTATTGACGCCTCTAGTCAATTAACGGCCATTAAGCGTAGAAAGGCCGATGACAGACTAATTGCGCACATCAAAGCCACCCAAGTTTCTTCGCTACAGGCCTACATATACGCAACAATTAGACACGGGTTGCGCGAAATGCATTCATTCTCATTAGCGTCTGACAGGCGGTTCGCTACTGCAAGACGCAAGCGCAAATTAATTATTTAGCATCAGGGGCGTTACGTATACGTTAGTAATGTCTTGTATTTATAATATACACTTATATATTTATATATTACGTAAGAATATCTATGAAAGGAAAGATTTACTGATAAAACACATACAAGAATCTACACATATCTTTTGAGTATTAGGTACAGTCAGTATTAAGACGGGATAAATGATAAGGGATTTTCTATCCCACCCTCTATTCCTTGTCCTCTTCTTTATTTCCATAATCTATTCTACCCTATATTCATTTAAGACGTTATCCTGTCTTATCCAGGGTTACTATATGAACAAGTTAAATCATACAAACTCATGCATATATACATATATAAACTGTAAATATATAAACTCTGTATGTATATATAAAGTACTGTTATATCATTGAGGTGATTTTTAGTATGTATATAAATGTACTATATATATATATATGTATATAAATATACATGTATATATATATATATATTTATATATAAACATATATATATATATATATATATTTACAGATATATATATATTTTTATTCTACATATAATCGCATTACTCGCATTTCACCAGCATTGTTTACCGCTCATCGCCGCCCTATTCAACATAATTGCAGCCGACTATCGGCACGCGTTGCAGAGTCTTTGCAGTGTTGCGCAAGCGGCAGTAAGAAAAAGCCGCTGGAGAACGATCGTTACCATAGTGATGACCTGAACGCGTCCGCGCTCGAAAGGCAGGGGCAGAATATTAGCGAAAATGGACGCCGCTTAATAATCGCCTAATCGACGCCGACGTCGCTGCGAATGCCGCGTAATTTTTGCGAGAATTTGGCTATGCGCTAATTAGGCTAGGCGTTCGCTATAAATGCGCTTCGTCACTCTGTCGACTTTCGACAACGTCAAAAGCCGAGTTTGCCAGAGTGGAAGAGGTCTATATAAGCGAATTTTCTTCCACTCTATAATATTCAATGCGTCCTGTATAAATTAAATAAGTTTTTTTATTATTATTATTATTATCTAAATCATCCGTCTATATAGGTACACTATTCGCATTTCTATTTACATCTGTATTGTTCATATACCCGTATAATGGTAATATATAAATAAACGTATATATACATGAAGAGATATATATAAAGATTTATATAGATTTATGCAGCAAACTTCAATTCGGGCCAATTAAGACGGGAGCCTGTTCCAGACAGATATATGCCAAGCGCATCTATCTCTTATGCTAAACTATTACAGAAGCCATTATTTTCTAAAGAGCGCCTACTCTCTGCCTCTCTACGCTTTCTATGCAGTACAATGAAATATCGGAGCTTAATCAAAAACAAATTTATGCACGACGCATCGGACACGGCGCTAAAGAAATCCCTTAGAGGAGCCTTTTACTATAAGCAACTCTTGATCCCAAAAATCCATCTATAGCTGCCCATTACGACATCATCGATCTATCGTTCTAGCTTTAAATACTAGCCTTTTCCTTTCCACCCCTTCCTCTTTTCTCTTTAAAATTCACTCTTTTCTTCTTTCCTTTCATTCTTTTTCTGTTTCTCTCTTTCTTTTCTCTATTTTTTCCCCCTATTTCTCTACTTTTCTCTTTCACTCTGTCTTCCTTTCTCTTTACGCTCATCTTTCTTCTACCACATACAGACACAAACCTAATCATTTCTTTTCTTCCCCTTACGCATCAAACACGTTGGTATACACATTTTCTCTCTTACTCAATTCCTCTCTCCCTCTATAATTTTTATTAGGCCTGCTAATGCACAAACTTTTCTGCGTAGTTAACAAACCTGTGTGCGTGTATTACATCGTCATTTCTTCTATCTATCTATCTATTTATCTACCCATCCATCTATCTATCTATCTATCTATCTAGTTTTCTTTCTATCTTCTCTCCTTTCCTCGTTCCCTCTCTCTCTCTCTCTCTCTTTCTCCCTCTACTATAGTATTAGCACAAACGTTTACATCTTTGTAATTTCATTTTGTTAACCCTATTCTTTTTCTCGTTTTTTCTATGCTCGACACTAACAATAGTACCCGATGTAACGGTAAATAGACGCCACTTTCTCATCATCAATTACGTTCAAACAAATAACTCCCTAGAACTTGGACAAGCGTAAAACGGTAGAAATCAAGCAGAAACGATTTGGGTATAGGCGTCGCTAGCTACCGGGAAAAAAATTATACATATAAACGAATAGATGTGTAAACTGGTCAGCACAGACATCTAAGAATTCATTGTTATACACTTTGTACATACAAGTATTGTTACATAATGTATGGTGAACCAGTCATAGGAGTAGATTACATGGAATGTATTTTTGTAGTATACATATTATACTGTAATATGCATATTTGTATGAATCTGGTCCGTTTTAGTATATAAACAAAAGCATGTATAAATATATACATATACATATATAAACCAATAGAAGCAATAGAGTACACTGTACCATATACTAAATTGTTAGTATATTTAACTGAATATATAGGGTATAGATAGCATATTAGCAAGTCGAAGTATTCGTATATAATGGAATATATTGAGTATTGTTTATAAAAGTACGCTCATCTCTATATATTTAGCATCTACAGTTTCCAAATTTTTCTACAATGCTTCTTTAAGGAACATTTATAATTTTCATCGATCTTTTAAATAAGTTTAAGTGTCTATTTATATACGTAGATGCCGATATACTGTATATATATATATATATATATATATATATATTCCTTCGATGAAATTAAATATATACATAGAATTCGTTAGCGCAAATACGGGGTATAATTAATAAGGCGGTCGACTGCAAAAAAATCTGCAAATGTCGCGACTAAATGGAAAGAAGAGGCGAGTAGCTCGCATAGACGTCTATAAACGTCGATGAAGTCACGCACGTGTTCGTCAATTTTTCTGGCACGCCTCAACTTCTAATTACTAATTACGTTTATATAAGGGGCGTGGTATGAGCGTGCTATACACCGTAAGAACGCCACTTGACCGGTCGGTAGATGGAGCCACTGGCTGGGGAAAACGAGTTGACTTCTAATGCTTTGGGACTAATTGTAATTAGCATAAAAAACTGATTAAAATTTTTTTTATGTAAAAAACCTATGAAAGAGACTAGAATAGAAAGGAGATGGGGAAAAAAATTGCATATGATGATTTTACGCAACTTTATCCTGTGACGTCACTCGCTAATCAATGCTTGACCTTTCCCTGGCGAAAATCGTTCGGCGCTACTTTCCTTCGTTAACAACAACAATGAGCCGTATAGGATTCCATCAAGCGTCGGCTTTAGGACGTGACGCCGCTCTGTAAATAAATCAGTAACTTCATTAGAACGTAGATATGCGTATTATTAATAACTGTAGATGGGAAAGGGTATAGAAAGATGAACGAATGGTAGCAAAGAGGAGGAAGAAAGGCAATAAGGATGTTTGGTTAAATTCGTTTGAAGGGACGAAACGGTTTGAGAATTAGCTATTGAATAAACGACAAACGGTCCGGTCAAGCAATGCGAACGTCTATTCATTGCGAGCTTTATGCAAGAGTTGTCGATATAAATTATCGCCAGCCTATTTTTCATAGCGAATTGTGTCGGTTTAATTAGACGCCCCGACTAAGTTTGGCGCGCTCTATTTTCTCCCTTTTTTTATACGTTATTCTTTAGTTCTTTTCATGGTTTTCTTTCTTTTTCTTGTTCACATTAAAATAGTTTCTCTCTGTCTCTCCTTTACCTCACTGTCTCCTTTTCTTTTCTATCTTTCCCTCTCTATTCGTTTCTTTTTTCTCTTTCTCTTTTTCTTGTGGTAAAATGGTGCGATGGACAGCAAAGTGCGCTATAAATTCGACTGTCTCCTTTAATATTTTGGCGCATAGCCACAAATTGCCAATTGATTACATCACAACACGCTAGAGCAATTTTTTTTCCCAACCTTCTGCTCAAAGACATAGAAACATGCACTTAATGTATTTATTTAAATATATATATATATAGTAGAAGCAAATGGACAAACTAGATAGGAGCATAAAGAACTACAGTTTACAATTGATATTTTAATATTATGATATTATAAGAAAGAAGTACTTTATATTATTAATTCATTAGAGCAATTTTTTGTTTATAATAATAAAATGGCGCAGTGAAAATTATAAATCTCTAGAAATTTCTATAGAATTTCTATTTCTATTAATTATTAATTAGTATATGTCTGTAGAATAGGAAGTTATCGTCCACAGTCACTCAAGTTTATAGACATAACATCAACGGTTTCCTTGTCAGAGAAGGTTAAATTTATCGGATCTTCTAAATTCTCTGTCTCAGCATCATTACTGAGTACCATAATAGCTGGTTATAATATGTATATGTGTACATATTTATATTTAACGTTACATAAATGTCAATAGCTTTTCTTAGCGATTGATAAAACCTTTGCCGCCTTATGTTACCTAACATGAGGTGATTGTACAGCCTACATACAGGATGCATATTGTGTATATACAACCATCTTATATAAAGCTTATATAGCGGATTTATTCATTTGATTGTTCTCTAAATATATCTATAGATACGGATGAATATATTGTAAATTTAGTTAGATATGTACAAATGATTCCCAACTAGAGACATCTGTTGATTTTATAAATCGTTTGAGAGTCTATGAAGGAGACATCTAGTGGACGGAAAATAAAGCCGACCTTGCAAGCGGTAAAAGTGACGGTGAAGATGGGGCAGCAAATGGCAAGGTACAATCTGGACAGAGGAGCCCGTTTGTACTCGAGGAATAAGCGAATTGAAGCTATTGAAAAATGGAAAGTAGCTTTGAATCAAGTTAGAAGGGCTTCGGATAAATTTTCTGCTCTAGCATATTTAATTTCAGCCAGCGCACAACTCAACCATCCATTTCAAATGCTGGAATACGCCCAACAGCAAAGGAATATTGCTGAAATGCTAGATTGCGCGGTTAAAGACGCTTATGCCAATTTTAATTTAGCTGTTGCTCGCTATTACCTCGGCGAGAATCGTTGGTGTGTTCGAAGAGTTGAAACCTTATTGGAGCGAGATGCGCCTAAAGACACTAGATTAACCGTCGATTGTCATTTATTTGCAGCACGTTCATTATTAGCTTTGGGAGAATTTGATGCTTGTATTCGTCATTTATATGAAGCAAGAATTATAAGGAATAAACAGGAAATTGAACTACAAATTCATATAATCTTGGGTGATCTTTTGATAGAACTGAGAGATTATGAAAAAGCCGAAGAACACTATGAATGTGCCAAGGGATTATCGGAAAGTTTTGATGTAACTTCTAGCAAATATCAAAGAGAATCCGAGATTAGATTAGCAGAAGTAAACTGCAAATTTGAGAGATTGGACGAGGCTACATCGATTGCTAAGGTAAGTAATTAAACGAGATAGAGAGAGAGAGCGCAAAGGGGTGGCAAAGGGGGAGAAAATTGAAGATTTATCCTTTTCAATCATTTTCATCGGTCGCTCGAGTAAAGGCTACTTAAGTAACCTATACATTTACACAATACGTTTCCCAATAGGCTGAAGGCAATCGTCTTGTCTTACACAAAGCTAATATCAGAAAGGGCCGAAGGCGTCTATACCATTGTTAGCTGACGTCTAAACTACGTGACAACGCGTAGAATTTAACACTTTAAAGCCGCTTGAGCGGAGCTTTATGAATATTACATCGTTTCATTAGAATTACAACCCAACTTTGCATATCATTCTCTTTAGACAAATGTTTTGTTCTAGTCATAAGTCCTTGCTTGTGCAAGGATAATTAACGATTAATCAAACCATTGTGACCTTATTTTGAAGTAAAAGGAAAGAGATAATAGCACTTTATTTCTCTATAGAGCAAATTGTACACATAATGTATATTGAATATAGAGTATATAAACTATTATATATGTATATATAGATATATACAGTACGGTATATATATTTTATACATATATAATCCGTGCACAGTATATGTGTAGTTGGCTTTCGTTTGGCAAAGTCGGTCGGTAGACAAACAATAAGAGCGATTTTCGATTGAAGCAAGCTAAAAAGCTTTTCCTTTCTTTTACAAACAGGACGCGTTACGTGCCTCGATGCTTGAAGGTGATGTTCAGTTGGAGGCTCGATGCCTAACATGTTTAGGAGAGGCGAATAGACGTCGCGGGGATTATCATGTGAGATTCCCATGTTTTTATTAATAGTATAAACTAAAAAAAAACGTCATTCAAAGCGTCTATTGTTGATTTAGTCTACGTTAATCGTATTCAGGACGGCGTCGAATCTCTATTCCGTAAACGTTTATCTTTCTCATATTTCTATTATCTTAAAAGGAAGCTTTAGAGAACTACGAACACGCTAAACGTAAACTGGCATCTAATCTTCCGCAAGATTTTCAAAAACGTCCCCAGCAACTACTGCACCGTTTGGAGATAAAGATTTTATTGGGTAAGACTGCAACTTTAATGGCAATGCGACGCAACGGCTGCATTTGCGAATGCAAGGTCGTATTTATAAGGAGTGTCTTAACCTAATCAATTTACCAATTTAAAACCGTGACAGGCTCTAGAATTGAACAAAATTATTTTGTCCAAAGCTGAACAGAGTGACGATAAGGTAATTATCTATTAGGGTCGTCCAGGGTCAGTGGTACTTCAGGACAACTTCTCTCTTTTTTTCTCATTTCTTCCGCATCCATCTCCCATTTTTTATACGAGTCTTTTACTTTTCTCTTTAAAATTGTCTATTCCCATACCATACCTTTTTTTCTTCTTGTCTCCTCTTTGTTTCAACAGATGACAAAGTTGAGGTGCAATGTCTACTTGGAGAAGTTGTACAGATATTTATCGGACTGGCCTGCAGCTCACCTCTGCTCTATAGCCGCCCAGGACATACTTCAAGTAAAATGAGAATAATAATATTCTAAAGTACTATCTCTTTTCCGTTTCTTTTTATCTTCTTTCACCCCTCCAGGACACTAATTTGCAATGCTCCGTTTGTCGAGAGTTACTAAGTGTTGAAAAACCGACTTCCGTTGATATTTTACTTTGTTGCCATTTAGCACATTCCAGATGTAGTATACATCTCCCAAAATTACGATTATTCGATAAACGAACATATTCCGCCCCCTTAAACCCAAGATGTAAGAAATGCAATCAAGAAAAGCAACAAACGACAGCCAATAATAGAAAATAACTTGTTATTCGTAAATAAAGATTGAAAGAAATGACATTTCTCTATTGGACATTAAGTGACACTATGTTTAACGTTTACCTTTGTGATTGCCTTTAGCCATACTTTCCGGCTTAAGTTTAGGTAAAGCAGTTTGTTTCAAATTCAACTTTAATGTTAATTCTTCGTTTAGCTTTTTCAATGCAGAAAAGTCTCTTTTAAGCAGAACGTAATCTTTAAACGATTCTGTACCGGAAATAGGAATTGACTTTCGATGCTGTTCCATATTTAGTCGCATTTTCTTTATTTCTTCCTCTAGTTCCGTTCTTTGCCTTTCCGAATCGCTATAAGCTCGCCTAGTCAGAGCCAATTCTGATTTCAAATCATTAATCGTTATCTCCTGATTCGCTTCCCGTTCATTCGCTTCGTCCTTTTCTCGTAATAGCTTAGTAATTTTTGCTTTTAAACTCGCGAAAACGTCCTCATTACACATTCCACTTAGCTCATTACGTGTTCTGCTTAATTCAAACTCCAATTCTTTGCGTTTAGCGTTAACTGCTCTAACTTCGTCCGCTAAGTTCTTGTTGGCTATTTCCACTTTAGCAAGCCTACTCAATTCGGCTCGTTGATTCGCACATTCCTCTTTTAGGTTATCATTTTCTTCCTTAACTACACAAAGCTCATCAAGTACATTACCCAGTTTATTCTTTGTTCCCTCTAAATCTTCAAATCCGTCTCTTAACGTTTCCAATAAACCTTTTAACTTCGTATTCTCCACTCTTAAACTCTCAACAGTTGAAGTGAACTGTTTATTAACAACAGACGCAAGAGGTGAATATTCGTAGAGAGAGATCGAAGGTGGGAAGTAATAAAAGGAGAAAAGGATAAAAATGAAAGGCAGCGAGGACAGAGGAAGAAGAAGAATAACAAAAACAATTAGAGAATTTTAACGATTTTTATTAAATAAGCTTTTTTTGTTTACCTACTTTCTCCTCTTTCTCACACCATTCTTTTTCTGCATTGAGTTTTTCCTGAACTTTTCTTAAGATCTATTAAATATTTAAGGGGGCGTTATACTTATGAATTGCAGTAGATTACAATTAAATTATTCAATTCCGGTGCTCATCATTAAATTACCTCATTGGCATGTTTCTCCGTTAAGTCTGCCGTAATTTGATCAATACGTTTTAAAGAATCCGCTTGAATTTTCTGTATTCTATCTTGCGCCTCGTTCGCCACCTCGTGGAGACGGCTGCACTTTGCTAATTCATCCTTATTTGATTACATAATTGGTTTTATATGCAAATTAATATAAGAAAATTAATTTATTTACTTCTAGTTCTTTAATCTTATCTTTCAACGCTTTGTTCTCGTTGACAACTTCTTGAACGAATGACAGAGTTTGAATGTGCTTTTTTGTAAGCCGATCATCCTGATCCTTTTGCATACCTTCGGTATTCTTTGACTGACTTCTGTAACAGTTCTGCATTGCAGAGGGATTGGAACGCTTTATATTATCAATAAGTAATGATTGAAATCGATTTTCAAACACGTTAAATTGTGAGAATAAGTTGTTTGTTTATATGTTGACAGGCACTACATTACTACGCCTTCTTAGGAATTTTATATTCATAATTTTACTAAATTTTCCATCTCTAATAAATCAATTAATGAAAATTGTTCTAGTTTAAAAGGAAATTTTCCAAGCATTTCGCATTTTTACAACATTTAAAAAAAATTTAGCGCCATAACATTTTTCAGAATAGGCGAAATACTCGACTAGTTTTTTTTGACCGAACTACTTTTAAACTATTTCCACTTCCTGTCGGCTAGTGCAAGTCATTTCTGTAATCATAGTTTGAGAAATATTATAAATCCTGAGCAATGACTGAGGTAAACGATCTTATTAAGCCTTTACTACCGAAGATCGAAAAGGTCGTCGTGCACCCGTTGGTTTTATTAAGTGTTGTCGATCATTTTAATCGAATGCACAAAATCGGCCACTCCAGACGAGTTGTTGGTGTATTATTAGGTTCTCAAAAAGGAACTTCTCTGGATATTTCAAACAGTTTTGCAGGTAAAGTCCTAAAAATATTATGCTTTCAATGAGATGAATCGTTTTTGTTTTTAATTTCAGTGCCTTACGATGAAGATGACAAGGATAAATCAGTATGGTTTTTGGATCACGATTACTTGGAAAATATGTATGGAATGTTCAAAAAAGTCAATGGTTATTATTTTAAATTCTATATTTACCATATATTTATGTCTCTAATATAAAATATATATTATTTTTTAAGCTCGGGAAAAGATAGTTGGATGGTATCATACTGGACCCAAATTATACAATAATGATATCGATATTAATGAATTATTCCGCAAATATAATCCAAATTCTGTGCTTGTGATTATTGAGGCCGAACCTAAAGATTTAGGTCTTCCAACCGATGCCTATGTTGCTGTGGAAGAAGTTCATGACGACGGTACACCTACCACCAAAACATTCGATCATCTACCAAGCGAAATGGGTGCTGAAGAAGCCGAAGAAGTGGGCGTAGAACACTTGTTGAGAGACATTAAGGATACAACTGTTGGATCTCTGTCCCAAAGGGTTACATCGCAATTAATAGGATTGAAAGGTCTACACTCTCAATTAGAGGATATTTGTAAATATATGAGAATGGTAGCTGATGAAAAATTACCTATAAATCACCAAATTGTTTACCTGATGCAAGACGCTTTTAATCTCCTTCCGGATGTTGTAGCTCCCAATTTTGTCAAATCAATGCATGTCCGAACAAATGATCAAATGCTGGTTTTGTACCTTTCTGGTTTGATAAGAGCCATCATTTCCTTACATAACCTTATAAATAATAAAATTAGCAATAAAGAAGCCGAAAGAAGTGACTCGAGGCAAGAAAAGAAGGATAAAGAGGAAGAGAAGAAAAAAGAGAAAGACGATGGAAAAACAGCGACGAAAAAACCTGCCAAAGCTTAACTGTATATGGACGTCAGATTTTCGTTGTTATTCTAAAAATAAACCATTTTTTTTTCAATTAAATACATATACATTCTGTAATTTGTAGAGTAAATAGCTCTATTATCCGAATAGATGAATTTTATCTCAGCAACAAAGTAAAAGTCAAACTTGAAAAAAGAACTTTGATTAGTGACCGAAAAAGGAAAAACAGTTAAGGAGGTTGTTTTCTTCTTCTTTCTCCCTTCATATATTTAATATTCTATTGGAAAGATAGCTTTAAGCCACACGGTGTTCGGAATGATTAATGAGCCCTGTTCGTAATTTTCAGCTATTTATTCGACAGATGTTGCTGAGGGTAAACGAATTTCCGTGTTTGCTCTAAGCGGTTAACAACCGGATGACAATCATTAAAATTCCCAATCATCAACTGGTTTCCAAATTGGAATTTATACTATTTGATTATAAACGATTTCGAAATTCTTTGGTCACGGTTGGGGGTTGTCTAATTTCATTTGCAACTCCCTTTGAAACTACTTTAGTTATGCTAATCTATAAATACAAACAACAAGAGAACAGGAGAGAAAAAAAAACTAAAAGTATATTAAAGTGTCTGATACAGTCAAACAGGGACAGGAAGACAAGGAGAGAAAACGAGACTGATAGCGAAAGCAAAATGTAAAAAAGACCAGATAGAGTGCGGGAGGGAATCAGAAATAATTTTTATCTTGTCATTCTTCGGTGTGGTGTGAGCTTGCAAAACGATAGAAATCACCAACTGCAACAAATGAATAGGAGAAATCAATTATCCAACCGGCAGAAAGGAATGTATTAAAAGCTCAGTCACGTACGTAAGATTTAATAACCCGTAAACTCTCGCCCTCCTTTCTCAGAAATATATTCCTTCCAAAAAGATAGGCCTATGTAAAATTTCTATTTTTTTTTAAATTAATTATTGTTATTAGCGGGCGTTAATTCTTTTATTTAACGAATTGTGGCGTGATCCTTTGAAATTAGAGACGCCTATAATTTAGACTACAGATTAACTATGGACTAGTTTTAACGGAAATAGATCTCTTCATCAATCAATTTAAATGTAGTAAGGGAAACGTAGATATGAAAGCTGGGTAAACTAAATTATCAAGTGAAGACTAAAATAAAGGATGGAATGGCATCCTTGTTTTTCGTACATAAGAAAAGACAAACTATTTAATGAAAAACGGAGACAGAGAGACAAAAAAGAAAGGAAAGAAAGAGCTACAGAGAATATTTGCCGAAAACAAAATTACCCTAAATAGGCCTATAACTTTTCATCAAAAAAAAAAATTATTTATATACGGCATATTAATTTGAATTACGAGAATTTATCATTGTTGTTTTTCGTCTTATTTTTCTCCATCTTCTCTCTCTCTCTCTCTCTCTCTCTATCTATCTTTCGTTTTTTCTTTTTCTCGTTTGATCAATAATTTGTAAAACTATATATAAAAATTATTTATTATTTTGTCTATGAACTTCAAACAAATTAGCCAGTTTTTTGTATTAAGCCTATAATGCAGCTGTTGTTTTTTTCTTTACATTAGATTTCTTTCTAGATCTCTCTCTTTCTCTTTCTCTTTGCTGTCTCTCTTTCTCTCTCTCTCTCTCTCTCTCTCTCTGTCTCTTTTACTTACTCATTATTCTCACTGAGTGACTTGTTGTTATTGCTATATAGCTTTTTTTTTTCTAAGATAATATATAGCTCATACTTTCCTTGCGTTTTCAATCATTTTTATAGGCCTAGTGTTTTTCTATGATGACCACTGTTTCTCTTAAACAAGTTAGAGTTACCTTTCTTATCTTTTCTTTTTCCTATCTAATGTAGTTATTTGTTTAAAAAATAAATACACTTTAGGTATATATAATAAAGATAATTACGATAAAATTGATATCCTCTTCCCCACCTATATAACGCCCTTCTTCCCTCCTCCCCTTCCATTTCTTTTTCAGTTTTTCCTCCCACTTTTTACCCCCTTGTTTTCAATATTTTATAAAGTTCTCTCCGCCTGAGCTAACATGTGTCTTACCAGTTATCACTTTATTTTGCTTTATAACAAGTATGACAAACTATATTACGTCGACAATCATTCAACGAGACTCTAGATTTAATGAGCGAACACGATCAACGAAACCTTGCAGAAAAATAAACAATATGCCAAAAATAACGGAAAAAGAGAAGAAAGACGATAAGGAAAATGTTGCTTAAACATTCCTTCTCTCTCCAATCCCTTCTCTTTCTTTATCTGTACTCTTTCGCTTCTTTTATTTTTCCTTTACTTAGACACATAATCATCATTCGCATCTCCTCCCCCCCCGTCCTCTTCCAATTCCGTCTTCCACTTATCCTATCACGGAATCTTTCAAAAACAATCTTATACTTTTTCCGCCTGTTGACCAAATAGTAAAAAGAGAAAGAAAGAAACAAAGGAGAGAAATTGCTCAGTATTAAATCGACTGAAAAAAAAATACCCTTTTTCTTTCTTTTCATTTGAATAGACTGTAAATTATACTAGTAAAAGAAGAAAAACAACACTGCAACGTACTGCAATATACAGACAAGGTTGTAAAAAAAAAAGAAAAAGAAATTGTTTAACTTTTAGATTATATATCTCTCTAATAACAACAATAGATAAGTGAAATTCTTCATAGTTTCTACTAAAATATGAAAAATATATATGGAACGCGTGGCCTGGAATAAAAACAGCAATTTTATAGGCCTAGATTTCGTGTAATGCTTTACCCTATCATTTGTGTTGGCTTATTTGTATTTATTAGTAAAGAATATTATAAATATAATTATAGATAGATTTTATTGAAATAATTTTTTAAAATCTCTTCCTTTTATTCCCTTTTACAGAGGGTGAAGGAGAGGCGGCACGTTCTATTTGACTAATCGACGTCCGGCGATTCGTTCTGCCTTTTTCATCAATTTCTCCAACTCCCCACCCCTTCACTCACTCTCTCTCTCGCTTTTGCTCATTCGCTCTCTCTCTCTCTCTCTCTCTCTCTCTCATTCTGTTTTTTTATTCTTACCCTGCGCGCTTAGGCGCGCTATCACATGGCGAATCGAAATGCATTTATCTACCTCATCCTGTTAAGTTTAGCCATTGTCAAATGTTGTTGTTACAAAGTTAATCGGACTAGAACGAAGACTCCGGAAGAGAGATTATTGGATAATATCCTAACCAGCTACGACAGGGACGCAAGAGGAGTTCTTAAGGTCTCCGATACCGTTACAGTTACTGTAAATTTTATGCTACTTCGGATTCAAAGGTTAGACGAAAGAAGTCAAGCTATGCTTACAACTGGATTAGTTATAACCGTTAGTAATTAAAGTAATTGAATATAATCTTTGTTTACTCATTAATTAATTTGTTGCTGCATGTTTTTTCTCTCTTCTATCGTATAGGAATGGACCGACGAACGCTTGAGGTGGTCACAAGAGAAATATTGGAATATATCAGATGTAGTTGTAACGGCTGATAGAATATGGTTACCGGAACTGGCAATCATTAACGGGTATAGTATAAATAGTGGTAAAGATCAGAAGGGTGGTTTATAATTTCGTTAATGGTACGTTTTGAGACGTTCAACCAGTTCCATAGGGGGAAGTTGGACTTTTAATGATTAAAGGGCTTATCTTAAAACAAATCTATTATATATTCTCTCTCTGTGCGTCTGAAAAAGTCAATTTCGATTTTTCTACAGAGCGGATGATAATGTACAGGACTTTGAAAAAATTCGTGTCCTTATTGCTCACAATGGTTTGGTTCATTGGGAACCTGGCGGTGTTTTTTCAACCACTTGCGATATTGACATATCCTACTTTCCATTTGATACTCAAGAGTGTCCTATTGAGATTGGTGCTTGGGCCTACACCAGCTCAAGGATGAACTTGACCAATGTCGCATCAGAGATGGAACTGCAGGAATTTAAGCTAAATGGTGAATGGGATATCTTTAAGACTACTGCAGAATGGAAAGAAGTAATTTTACCGTGCTGCCCTCATATTCGGTAAGGATCAAAGAAAAATTGCCCTTTTAAAAAATTCGAAAACAGCCTTTATCACGCAGTTACAGCAAAGTGCTTTTTACTATTCATATGACGAGACGATTTACCTTCTATATAATGAACATCATATTACCCTGCTCTCTCTTATCTATACTTATACTCGTCGTCTTTTGCGTTCCCCCTGATGCTGGCGAAAAGATTTCAGCCGGAATATCTGTTCTCTTAGCCTTTACAGTTTTTCTTCTCATGTTAGCAGATAACGTGCCTCGAACCAGCTTGGATATTCCAGTTCTCGGTATATAAGAAACGACTAAGTTATATGCACCCAATTTCACTATCTAAATATTTATTTGCAGTTATGTATTTAACGACGACGATGGCACTAGGAACAGCAAGCGTCTGCTTGAGCGTCATAGTTTTAAATATCCATTATAAAGGGGGCTATACTCCTATGCCTGCTTGTGTGAGAACACTCTTTCTAGGGCATATTGCAAAATTTGTTTTCGTAAAAAATGATACAACTGAAATTAAGTCACTATTGGACGAACACTGCAATAGACAAGCTGCTATGCATCAATTAGACGTCGTCGACGAAGCGTCAACGACATCCTCTAATACACAATATTCTTATCCCGTTATTACAAAAGGGCCCACCAGAATTTACAAGCCACAAGTTGCTGCCGATAAAAGACGTTCTGATTGTGCAAAAGAATGGCGAACTTTAGCGACAGTCCTAGATCGTCTTTTCTTTATAATAGTTTTATCGATAATGTTTTTATCATCTTTACTAATTTTAACTAGTTCTTTACGCCGAGAGGTATAAAATTCAGATATATATATATATAAATATATATATATATATATATATATATATCATTATCTTTTTAATTGAACATTACACATCCTTTTCTTAGTTTGTCTCTCTCTCTCTCTTTCATTCACTTTTTTTTTATAAATTAGATAATACATTCAAACTTCTGCAATCTATTATGGAAGTTGGAATAATTCTTATCATTTGCATAATTTTTTAAAATACAAAAAGAATTTTGAAAATAAACAAAAAATAATTAATTATGCATTATGTTAAAAAAATAATGTATATATTTATATATTCATATACTGTGTATATATATATATATATATATATATATATATTACATAACATATATATATATATATATAGGAATATATAAGTATATGTGCTGTAGTCAATGCGTGCATGGCACCTTTCTAGTGAAGAACTTCTTTCATTAAAAAAGGATATGTATCAGAACTAGAAAAATATTTTTGCAGATTGAATTTTAGTGTCCTTGCAGTTTAACTACGATTCAGCTTTGCTCCATCAGCCCAATGGCAATCTTTGGCAGAAACCTATTATTGTTTTTTGGAGAGAAGAGAGAATGGAACATATTAATTATTTAATATTTTATGTTGTCTAAATAAAAACTTGTTATTTTTGAATCTTACTTTTCTCAGGGCTCCCCTACCATTTACACTCTTGATAGCCAGCATTAATTCCTCGTGGGGATCAAGAACTGGACCAAAACGACTCTTTGGTTTGTCTTCTAGACCCGATTTTAATTTGAGGGCTGATGGTGGTTTGTTTTTCATTTCATCATCCATTCCTTTAGGCGTAGTTAGACTCGGTAGAGTAATAGGTGGAGATGAGGGTACATTGGCTACGGGAGGTGGTGGAGGAGGTGGTATAGGTATTTCATGTTCAGAAGTATTGGGGGGATTAACGTCTAGCACTCTACCCAAAGCAACGCCACTATTTTTCTCATTTGTCTGTGATTTCTTTAATCTATCGCGCATGCTTGATAGCTGCGTTGATGTAAACTGACCAAATAAACCAACTGGATCTTCGCTTGGACGAGGTTCTTCTTTCTTCGGTTTCGTTTTCTCTAGAACATCCCGATTCTTTTGTAATCTATCTTGCCATTGCTGCATTTGTTTCTGTACAGAATCGTAATCCTTTCTGTAAGATTTCCGGTCGTTTTCCTTTTTTGTTTCCGTCGTATGACTACTATGGACGAACGGTCTAGCTGTTAGAAGATTTATACTTGGTTTTCTTACTGGCTTAATTTGATCGACGTCTGTTTGTTTCGTATGAGAATAACCGCCTTTCTCGTCTCGCATATCAATAATTTTAGCCGAGGGCTTCTTTTCCAATTCTTCATCAGAGCTATCGCTGCTGAGATTCTGAACAAAAGCGTCTACATTCTCTTCATTCAAAGAGGAAATATCATCCTCAGTAGTAGCCGTTGTCATTGTTATTCTATCATCTCCAATGAATACGGAAGTAATATGTATTTTGTTATCCTCCTGCTTATTTATCGGTTCCTGGGATTCGTCGGCCTTTTCTACTTCTGGAGACTTTGTTTCTTTCAACTCGTGGGACGTTTTGTTGCTCACTATTTCTGATTTTTTGACGTCTCTTGTACGAAGAATCGGAGCGGCTTCATTTTCTGCATTTGAATCTCCGTCTAAATTCAAGGGTGGTACTTTGCGATCATCACTATTTGAATAGAAAGAGTCTTTGTTTGATGTGGATAAAGACATTGACATAGAATCTTGGTGGATAGGCGTACTAGTTTTGATAAGCCTGCTCGAGTAACTATCGTAACCTTCATCCTTTTCTTCGTCTACGCTTTCAGTCGGCGATTTGTTTACTCTACTTACGTCAATGTCGAAAGAACGTGGCCTACTTTTGACTGCAGCATACATTTTACTTTGTCCAATCTTCGATCTGTTTTCAACATGTTTTAAACCAGTCTCACTTCCCCAGAGCCCTTCTTTGGTCCAATCTTCATTTTTCCACAGAGAGGATAACCTTTCACCGCTGCTTGTTGTTAAATCTGATTCCACTGAACGCTGTTTCGTAGGTTTTCTTAAGACAGATCTTAAACTTCCAACTGACATTTCCTCTTTTTCAACAGGCTTATCTTTGATTATTTTGTCAGTTTTTTCAACTTTAACTTCAGTTTTTACGCTTTGTTTCTCTTTCTCATCTACACTATCATCCCATATGAATTTTTCTTCAATTGGAGTCTTCATATCATCTTCTAACGACATTTTCAATGGAGGAGGAGAGGGAGCTAATGCTTGTCTACTGTTATCTTCAACGACAAGTTTTTCTTGCTCCGAGTTATCATCGCAATTAATTGAAATAGTATTAAAATATTGCCCTTCTCCCATCGAATCTTCCTCCTTTGTCGTCTCATTGTTGTAAATTTCATTAGATTCAAGTGCGTGATCTATTTCTTTCAATTGTTCATTAATCACACTAGTTTCGTTTTCCTCGACTACAATTGCCTCTTCTACAAACTTCTCTACTTCATTCACTTCTTTCGGCTTCTCTCTTAACTCTACACTATCATCCTTCATTTCTGCACTATTAAATATTTTTTCATCTCTTTCACCTTTATCATCTACAGAAATTTTATATTCTTGTTTTTCTTCCTCTAAGCTTTCTTCAATTTTCACTTCATCCTCTAACTCTTGTTTTTGAATAGATGTTTGATGAACTTGAATAGCAGCTGGCATATCATCATCTGTATTCAACGAAAAATCTAATTAAAAACAACCTTATTTAGCTAAACAAAACTAAAGGGATAATTATTATCTTAAGAACACACCATTTATGTGAAGAAAAAAAAAAGAAACCTCATATATATAAAAAAAACAGTAGAAAGTGATAAGAAAACGTTAAAAAGACTTGAATAACCATTTGAAGAAAACGTAGCTATTCAACACAATAGAAAGTATTAAAAATAAAATATTAAAATTTTTAATAAAGAAGCGTAAAAACGATGAAATAATAAATAAAAAAAACTTGAAAAATTTTTAAATAAGTAATAATAATAAAAAAAATACAATAAAGCTGATTTCTTTTGTTAGAAAGTTTATATGGTGACTTTGCAAACTAAAATTTCGTGAACACTCGATAGCGACAGATTTGGGAAGTGACGCCCTTACCAAAATCTAAGTCGTCCAAGTGCGTTTGTGAACCAATTGAATAAGATTTACTTTTACTGTCGATCAATTGATCGCCTAATTTGTCCAAATTTTGAAAACTAGCAGCTAGTATGGATGCCCTCGGAGAGGGTGTATCAGCTGGAGGTGGTTCTTCGGGTGGTGGGGGAAGAATAAGCGTATTGGGCCGATTTCTATCTGAAAGCGTAAACTAATGCTGTTTGTTTTTTTCTTTTAAATAAAAAACGCTCTAAAAGCCTAAATAGTGCATAATTGTTGTTCTTTTGCTAGTAGACACAGTTATTTGTTTAAATTCTTAATAGAAAAAAAATAAAGACAATTACATGGACATGCTTTTGTCGAAATTAAACAAAAAAAAATTACAAAATAGTGAACATAAATTAAATATAATTGAATAAAAAAAAAACAAAACTACTATTCAAATTGTTAGTATAATGTTTTTTTTTTATTTACTTATTCTGTTTGCTTTTAAATATTTGGTGGTGCAAAAAACTGTTACCCAAGCCAAAATAGATAAACGGTCTACAAAAAATAGGAAGGGGGGAAATAAATTACAACAAAGAAACCAAAGTAGAAACATAAAATAAGGGAGACTAATTAGCCGTGCAAAAATAAAATGATAAAAAAGAGTGAAGAAAGAGTCCATTTTAAAAAAAAAAAATATTTATATATATATACATAATAAACAAAGAACATGAAACTTAACTTACTTTTTTTTAGGTTATACTGTTCCCGATTGGAAGTGGAATCAATAAAAAACACTTTCCCAAACACGTTTTTATAACGATGCATAAGGTGTCAAAAAAATTTTGTGATTTTGTTTTTGGCGGGAAAAATAATTAAAAAGATCATAATAGGAAAGAAAATGAAGGATAAACATTAGAAGAGTAAACACATACAAATCATTTAAATTATGATTTATAAACATTATTAATTGTTTTTTATGTTGTTGTTTGTTTCTATTCTATAATAAATTGACATAGCAACAGGATTTAAAAAAATATTAAAGAGATTAAAGATATGTCTTTTTACCTTGTACAAAAAAAATAGTTTGAACACAGACTAAGCAGATTATTTCATATTAAAAAAAGCACAAGTTTTAAAAAAACTGTGTATATACTGTATAAACATACACAGCGTGGACAGATATTAATATAAATGTTAACAATACAATTCTAAAAATGTTATTCATTATCTATTATTTTCCTTTTTACTAATATAAAGTTGTTAACTAAAGTTTTTTGTATAGAGTAAAAAAATGATGGAATAGTTAAAAAGTACCATTTATAAAAGCTTTTGGAAAAGTCAATTTAGACGTCGAGTCTTGTTCTAAGAACATCGTCTCGTTTCGCGGTAAATAGAATCGATGAACTTTTATCGTCGGATCGAACATATTTAGAACTATTGGTATTTGGCTTGTTTAATATGTTTGTTTCCCTTTCCCAATTACTGTCACTCAATTCGCATAGACTCTCATACGATTCGGCCGATGTAATAGTTTTTTGCACCCTTTCGTCGTCGAATAACTCACCTGATTTACATGATCGAATGTTAATTTCTTCAGAATGAGTTGGAGAAGGACTTCGAGCCCTCACAATTGATTCTATATTACTAATTGAATCGTGTGCTACTATTTCCTCTTCATCCTTTGTTATTTCTGTTACTATTGTTAATCGAAGAAAAAAATCGACTTTGATACTTTTCACAAGAAAAGGAATAACAGGAAATGATTTACATACCTTCTGCTTTTTCTTCTTCTTCTCTCTTTTCTTCTGTGGGTATTATTGGTGTTGGCTCACGTACGGGAGGAGGTGGTGCTTTTTTCTTCTTTCTAAGCGGTTTTGTTAATGAACCTGGCGTTTCACTAATTCCTGAAGAATATGAAGATGTTCTTGAACGAGTTGTCGACTGATTAGTTAGATTAAGTGGAGAACGACTCGGGGTATCATCAACAGAAGATGTATTTGAAGAAAGGGGAGGAGGAGGAGGAGGAGGTGCTCGTTTCTTCGTTGACCCTGAAGTACTAGGGCGTATTTCCTCCTTCACAGGTAAAGTTGTATTCGGAGCAGCATTAACATTCGTGTGCAAGCTTTTTGAACGTGGCATGGAAGACTTAGTTGATTGATCTACCGTTCTCGGAAGAGTTTGACAATCAAGCGACTGTAAAAATTGCAATAAGATAAAAGATAATTAGCAAAAGGAAACAGAGCAACAATTATTTCTCCTAGTAATTATATTAAAAGCTATATAGAATACATCAAATAGAAAGGGAAACGCAATAGAATACGATTTATAACAAGTCTAAGCTCGTTATTACCGTATTAAATTTATCCTTCTTTTTCCTCGAGAAAAGAGAGAAGAGACCTTTCTTCTTCTTCGTATTCTCGGCAGGCATATATTCCATTTTTTTGAAACTATTCGTTCTATTTCTGTTCGATTCTGTTTTAAAAAAAAAAACAGTCAATAAAATCGATTAATATAAAAAAAATCGATATTACGCTTTATCGAATACAATTTTTTTTTTTTGGCTTTTATTCTATATGCTTCTCTCTTCAACTCGCAGCACGTGTACGCATTCGACTACTTTTATCGATTTATAAAAGTTGTTCTTTCAAAAAATCATAGGCCTACATTAAATCTTATTATTACTATAATAGTTTAATACTATTCCTTTTATATGAGTAGTGTTAAAATAGAATATATATAGTCCTCCTTCCAAAAAAAAGTTATGTTGAGCATGCATAAGCCATATATATATATATATACTGTATATATACAATGTTCTTTTGATAATAAATGCTATTATTACTAATAAAATAGAAACAATAAAAGAAATTAAATAAATACTTAATAAGATAGAAAGCTTCCTAATGAATATCTTGTTTTTATTTTTGCTTTATTTACAAAAAACGTGTTGTTTTTTATTTTTTTCTTTTTAGACCTAATTAAAAGTCTTGAATACGAAAATTGTTTAAATATTACGAAATGAATAAGATGGTAGGAAAAGTAATAATGAAATAATATATTAGATTTATAGATTACAAAATTTTACCGTTATCTATTAATATTTTGAATATAAAATGCTTACCCCTTTGTTTTCTCTCTACCTATCTATCTACCTATCTACTAGTCTGTCTGTTTCTCTCTCTCTCTATCTTCAGAGATTTATATTAAATGGCGTTTCTTTTCTAAAATATTAATCTATTAAGACAAGATAATAATATCAACTTCAATGCTTAAAAATATTGTTTCGGATAAGATAAATCGCATGCAAGTCCAATGACTATTAGTATTATATTAAAATATATACAAGCTCTTTACATCTAGCTGATGCTTCTATATCCACCGCTAAAACTCTTTTAACAATTTTCAATTATTGCCTATCTGAAACTTGTTTAACTACAGAATTAAATCTAAATGGAAATTTTTTAATAGGCCTTTTACTAAACAAAAAAAATAACGTCGGTACTTTGTCAGATTTCAGGTAAACTTTTAATTGAATAAAAGAAACAAATAAACAAAAATTACTTTGATATTACCTTTATTCTTTTTAGAGGAGGTCAAAATAATAATATTTAGATAAAAAGGAGGAAATAGTTTACAAGAGAAACCTGAGTGAATAGAGAGACGCCTGTGTTCAATACAATTGTTTACAATATTTGTTGTGAGGTGACGTTGGGTGAGAATTGAAATTTTTTTTCACCTATCTATCAGCTATTTAAAAACATTATGTCAAGTATTCAATAAGGAAATAGTTATCTACATATTACTATCTATATATAAAACTAGATAAGAAAAAATCAGAACTGTAATTGCTATAAATGTTCGATCGACTAAAATTTACGATATCTTCTTTATCATTCTATACTTTTTAGTACAGAATTTTCCTACCAGATGGCAGTAATTGTAAAAAAAAAAAAACCTCGGCCTATACAAGCCGCATACACGCTGACAAAGATGTATACTATTATAAATACAAATATATAGATATACAGTAGAAATTACTAACCGTCTATACGATGACTATCATTAGGTGAATAATTGGCATTTGGAACCAGTGTAACGTGTTTTATATTCAGTTCTTCTAGCGTCGAATTAAAATTTAACGGAGTTTCCAAATCGGTCGGTTTGCAAACGTTAAAATGATGATAATTGAGGGATTTTTCAGTGCAAACCTGCCTTAAAAGGTTTTCAATTGTAACTTTAGGTGAGATTCTAATAGCATGCTTTTGATTTCGAGGTAGATCCACCGCAATTCTATTCGTCATCTATTTATAATATATACAGTATTATTAGTTAATTAATAGGAAAAGTTAAGGGTGAAAAAATGGTCTAAAAATAGATATTATAATAATATTATTGAATAGAATATATTAAGAATAAAATATAATTTTTATCAACAATAACAACAACAAAAAAATACGAAAATATTCAGCCTAACCTCGAAATTTTGTTGAACGATTTTCTTTGGCTTTGTATCATATTTGTTAACCAAATGAAATTCGGCATCTTTAAATGCTCCAATCTTCTGAGACGGCTTATGCCTATATTCTCTTCCATTTTCGAAATTGAACGGGACTAGCCTATGATCAGATGGATTTAAATGTAAAGTTTTACAAAGTTGTAGAACAGTATCAAGTAGAGATATATTTGGTCCTAGAGTATGTATTTGGTGAATTCCATTGGGTAATAGAATATTTGCTTCTATTGGTTCGTTATCCGCATAGTCCTCACTGGAAACATTCGACCCATTCGCCATATTCGTCTCTCTGAAGTCCATGTTTTTAGATTAAATTAAATGCGAGGCCACTTTATAGAATTATTTTTAAAAAAAGAAACAATGACAGTAATAGTAAAAAAAACTGACAGTTTTTCTCTTTTTCAATATTACTCAACCAACCTTCCTCATATGGTAAAAATAGAAAAAAAAATGTATAGGCTTAAATCTTACTCCGTGTAACAATCGATATCCGTACGCATTACTGTTGAACATTCATCAACCGCTTCTCGACATTCATTAGAGAACAGAAACGAAGACATATTTAGATTATGAATTTTTAGAAATTATTCAAATTTTTTCAGGCGTCGATGAATTTTAAACACCGAGGTTAGGAACGATATAAAATGATAATGCCTGACTGATCCTATTCCTTTGTAGAAACTAAATATTAAAAGATACTTATCTAATATCTAAAACATTTTGATAAGCAACATTAAAAGTTTTTAACAGGCTGAACGGTTGGTTTATCAATATTAATAAGATAAAAAAAAATAAGTGAAATATTATTGATATATCTATCAAAAGAGACTAATTAAACAGGAGAAGAGAGGGAGAGAGGATAAGAGAAGGAGGAAATAGGAATACTTTTCTGTTATAAAAAAATAATTAAACGATATTTTGTAAGATAAATAAATAGATAAAATCGTTCAAGCAGATATTAAACTCTAGGTACAATATATATATATATATATATATATATATATATATATATATAGAATACAGTACGGTAAAGAATATGTATCAACACTCGACTCCACCCATTATTTCTAGGATAATAAAAGTGCACTTACAAAACGTTTTTTTTTATAGATAATACATGAAATTATCCATGATATAAGATACATATACACTACATTCGTTCACAGGACAACCTATTCATGATTATAGAGTAAAACATCTTATTCAGGATATAATTCATACGAAAAACATTAATACCTCTTTTATTATTATTTGCTTTATAAAGAACTTTAAAACAAAGGTTATTATCATAAATTCCCCACTGGAGAGAAAGTTTTGATAAATGTTATAAAAAGAAATTTAGTAATCTATATACAAATTCATAACATTCCACAACAATCATTATTCAGGCAACGTACCTCTCTTCAAACTCTTCTCTTGCATACCTTTAAATAAATACTGGCAACCAGTTAATAAAGAATAGATAGTTTAAGGCTTTAAATTAGCTAAAATTAACGCTTAATTTATGTTAAATAAGATTTATTATCTTTATTTATATATATCTTTCTGCTTAATAGTCTCTATCAATCTATCTATTATTTTTTTTTATAAACATTCCTCTCTTCGTATTCGTCCATCAATTAATAGAAAAAATATAACTGAAATCACCTGTTTTTTCCAATATATCAACGAGATTAATACTCTTGTAGGTTATTTATAACATATAATAATAGACTAAACAACCAATGCACATGGATAACAATAATAATGATAAATAAATAATAAAAATCAACCTTTCTTCCATGTGAAAAACGGTAGTAGAGAGAAAAAAAATATCGATTTTGTTCGTTCATTGATTTAACACATTTGGAGTAAAAAATGTTTTTTTTCCCTCTCCCTCATAATACGTCTCATTAATTAATCGTAATGAGATTAGTAATGTGGAATCAGTATATTGTATTCTTTCTCTCTCTCTCTCTCTCTCTCTGTCCGCACATACGAACAAATTAAAAGTTCAAAATAAATTACCTGTCATTAAGCTTAAAGCCATGAAATGATCTAGAGAAGTATGAGGAATCTTTTTCTTTTTATTTTATTAAAATAAGCTTTTGTTTGAATTGCAATAGAATTAAATATACACAGCTTTTTTTTTCTCTCTCTCTCACTACTATTTCCTGTAAAATGGAGGATAAGAAATTGAACAGTTTATATTCTATTGATGATATCTTCGACGTTTATAATAATAGTTTACCAGACCAGCACGCCGTATGCGCACACGTCACACTTCTGACTAAATACAAAGAAAATGCGCTAGGCTTACTGGGAATTCAAAACCTTCCGTATTATAGCGACACCTGAATTGCCTTACCATTCAGACTTATTCTAGGGTTATTTATTTCTTTAACCCTCTTCTTTTTATCAATATTTATAATAAGGCGTATTCGTTTATTAGGAAAAGACCAAGTGACCGTATAAATTAATTCAATAACGAGAAATGATCAGCTTTTTTTCTTTTTAAGATTAAACTTCAGTTATTCAAGCAAATTGAATAGGATTAACCTAATAATACAGTATATCTAACAGCGTTTATTCATTTGTAGTTGGTAATAAATGTACTTCTTCCTCGTCTTCATCCTCTAATAAGAAATTGTCGTCGGTTACGTCAATTCTTTTTATCAGTTTTTCATTATCTCTATCTTTTTCTAGACATTTCTTACAAATGTTTATATTTTCTACTATATTCTCCGGAGTCCAATGTTTCCTTAACAGAGCGTGATTAGTTGTGAATCTACCGTAATTACTTCTTCTTAATTTAACGGTTGTTGCGTTTGTTCGTAATTCTAGGCCTAATTCGTGAACAAGTTTATGCAAATAAATACAAGTTTCATTTACAGAGTGAATCTGAAATAAAAAACAAAAAAAAAAGTAAATTAATTTATTTTTTTATCTAGTTTTTGTGCTTTGTTTACCTCCAAAGTAAAATACGGAGGACTGAATGCTGTACACTTCATTCCGTAGACAACAGGACCAGCTTGTGGATCCGTGGGCCTTATTAAACCTTTAATGGCCAATTCGTAAGCTTCTTGACTTTGTGGGTCAACATTACAAGCTCTGATTGTATTTGTAATGAAAAAAAAAAAAGTCTTCTATAGTCGTCATGCACTTTTCCTCTTTAATTATATGGTAACTTACTGGAACATATAACGCTGATGGCCGGCTTGCATTCCTGCTAATACTCTATCGATTCTATTGTGATCAACGTGTTCTGGAAAAGATTTATTAATCAATTCGTAATCGCTTTCCATTTTAAATATAACGCTTACTGAACTTTGATCTTTCTACAATTGAACCATTAACTGTAAAATCATTAGTTGCAGTTCCAAGCATTCCGATGACATGATGAACGCGAACATTAAATCTATTTTGTATTTTTCTCAGTTGGCTATGGTTTTGGCAGGATAAAACTAAAAAATTCATTTAAAATTGTTTTCAATAGGCACTTTTTTTTAAATAAGCAATTACTAACGAGTAACTCCTGAGGAGAGCTTGTGTAAGGGTGTTATACATTTCAGATCGATATCTTCCGCCGTATATCTTGGACCAATCACTAAACATAAGAAGATAGTGGAGAAAGGATTTGTAAATATTAAAGTCAATTGTTAATAAATAATTGTAAAGAACAAAAATATTATTTGTATTAGTTTACTATTATTATGTTTTTTTTTTACCAAGTGTATGATCTGCTAGATCGGGCACGTCTAAGATCATTGGAAGACCATCTTCGTCTTTCTTAGTTTCATCAGTGAAAAACTTTCTTCGCATTGGCCTTACATTTATTTTATTCAAGTCCTGAACTATATTATTTCTAACATGATATAACAATCGGCCTATTGAAAAATCGGCAGGTTTATATACGCAAAAAACCCCTTCTAGGGCCTTAAATATGTTAGGAGCGTAAGGTGTACCCATTTTTTAAGGCGAATTCATTTGTCACGCCGTAATTTTGCAAGTTCGGTTACGAATTTAAAACACTCAACGATTACTACCATTGTAAGTAGATGGCGCTATCTACATCCGGATAAACAGGTAGACTTACCTGATCTAAGTAATTAAGAAAACTATTAGAATGGACAAGAAAAAAGCGTTTTTGTCAGAAAGCATGTGGCCGAAGGTGGGAGCACTGCTGACCATAATCGCCTTTCTACTGTTCCTCATCAGTTTCGGAGCGCCTCATTGGGCTAAAACCGATCCCTTATATAGTACAAGGGACGAACACATAGGTTTATGGAGAAGATGTACTTATCCAGTAAACGGTGGCGAAAGTTGTACGGACTTCATTGACTGGCGAACAGATGGTTCGTATAAAAAATTTTGGTTCACCTGAACTTTTACCCAAATACCTTGATAGCCTTTTAAACAAATAAAAGTTATTATTAAGGCCATAGTCACATATCAAATAGTATTATCCCATTTAAATAAGAACGTTAATAGAATTATACTGTAACTTAAACAATAAAAGTTATACTTGATATTAATTGACATTTTGGTTTTTCCAGATTGGCATAAAGCGGCGCAGTCTTTTATGACATTGGCTTTCTTCTCTTTCCTCCTTGCAATAGCTACAATCGTCCTCCTCGTATTCGTAGATACAATTAAACATAGACACATTCTCGCTTTGATAGGTCTTGGAGTAACGGGTTAGTGATATTTGCATAATACATCTGTGTTTACTAATTTTATTAAATAATATATTTTACGACCATTTAGGTTTATTCTTGATCGTGGGAATAGGAACGTGGGCTGGAAAATACAACGACTATTTTAACTTTCAGGAGAAAATTCCCTTTAGAACGGTTCAAATTGGTCAATTATCATGGGCTTTTTATTTAGCAGTAGTCTCTTGTGTTTTTACATTTGGAGCACTTTTTATGGTTTTAATAGATATGGCAGTCGAGAAAGAAGATGATGATTAGACGATTAAAATTTTAGATGAAGAAAAATTTTTTAAACCCTTTTTTTTAAAAAAAAACGATGTACAAACAATTTTTTGTAAAGAATATTCTGTTTGTTATTTTTTTATCCTTATTAAAATTATTATCAGAATAAATATGATATTTAAACAAAGAGAAGAACGAAAACGTTACGTATAATAAAAAAAAAACAATTTGAAAAAAAAAAAGTGTTCTTTTTATCGAACATTTTAGATATGAACTTGTCCGTGGATAATTTAGTCGTATCGTTTCACAATACTACTCAAGGTAGAATATTTCTAAAAAAACGCTTTTTAAGCTAATATTTTAACACATTGAAACGGTTATAGCTACATTGACACATTGCTCGCTTAACTGCCTTGTTCTCATTACTGGAATAGCCTCCTTGGTGTTGTTATTACTTGCAGCATTCGGACTCTTCGTTAAAGAATTCGCAAAGAATAGAAAAATTTTTCCAAATGAAAATAATTCACAGCATATTGAGAAAGAAGTTCAAGCAACAGCTACCTCTACTAGACGGGTTCGTTTTTCTGAGAAGGAGAAGAAGGTTACTATTGACGCAATCTTTCCCTATCCATCTCCTGGCTCTAATAAAACTAGATTAAAATCATATAATTCCAAAAAATTACTTCATATTGTACAGTCCTTGAGAAAATCATTCCAGTTGAGTGAGAAAGATGAGGACTCCATCATTTTGAAAATGGAGAGTTTATGGTACGCTCTCATAAGATTTGATGAGAGTATAAAAGATTCCAATGCCGAAACAGTTGGTTCACTTAGTAGGATTCCCATGGATGAGGAAGATTCTACGTGGATTAGTATAAACGCTGCCACGAAATTACTCTGTGGCAGCTGGGAACTCTTTAAGCAATCCTTTAAAAATATCGACTCAACTGGATTAATGACAAGACCAGAAGATTTTTATTGCATTTTGAACAAAGAAGATGTAAATGACGAGGAAAAGTCAGAACTGTGGATTCAGCTGGCTACTGAATTTCATAATGCAAACTCCCCAACCAATATACCTATAATCGAATATATTATCCATGAGAAAAGGAAACTTGAAGAAGTTCATTCGGCTTGTATGTGGTTACGTCTTTTACGAGCTTTAACTGTTCTGTCAATTAAACGTGGGGAAGATATTGAAGAAATTCAACCTGCACTCTTTAATCAACAGACATCGCATCTAGAAACAATTATAAATCCATTTAGAGTGTATTTAAGACGGTCGCTTGATATTATAAATAACGATGAAGTTAACCACTCCTTCAGGAAGCTATCTGTGTGCCCTGACTCAAACATAGCTAGTTTATTCGAGATAGAGAAAGTATTGCACCGTTACGGAGCAGCTTGGAAATCGTTAGGTGAACATTTTTTTACAAACGAGTGTTTTAAAGAGTTAATTTGGAATGTAATTTAGCCGAAATGTTAGTGTTAACAAAAGAAAGAATACGTAACAAATCACAGATAAGCGTAGAAAAAAAACTATAAAATTATCAACGTATGCAGAGTCGATCAAACGTCCGTTTCGACAGACTGATTCGAAGTATTATGAGCAGGATTAGAGTATCCGGAATTATTATTAGAATTTTCGTTACTCATTCTATGCTGTGGTGGCAGACTATTTGACTTTGGCTGGCTAGGCCCACTTCTTGTGCCCTTTCCAAAGCTTCTACGCTTTGGTCTGGAGCGACTATGTGGGATATAAGGAGCACTTTTAATAATTCTTTGGAGTTGTCCCGCATTCAAGTCTTCTAATTTGACTTTTTTCTTTACGTTTACTTCTTTCTCCGGTATCTCAAATGACACTTTTTTACTGCGAGAGCTCTCTGAAGAGAAATTTGACCAAACTTTATCTGGTGATGGAGAATTTCGACCAAATGGAGGCTCGGAATGGCGGGATGAGATTGTTTCCGAAGGACCCTCGTAAGGAGCATCCGAATCACTTTTTGTCCTCAAATACATTTGCATTTGATCGTTGTAGTTACCTCGATTTGGTGGGTTATCCGGAATGAAAGCTTGATTTCTAGCACCCATGGTATTATCTTCAATTTCAGTACAACTTGATTCAATACTTGAATTAACTTTTCCAACATTGGGGATTGTACGAATCGCAACTGGCGAAGAGGCAGCTAAAGGTTTTTGAGAGGAAGCTATTGAGGATTGTGATGAATTTTGTTTAGATGAGCTCTTTTTAGGTTTAGATGATGGCATATAAAACTTTTGAGCCAAATTAGGAGGTAAGCCATTTGTGGATCCAGCTTCAGTAATCCAAGTTGATCCTGGGTCATGAGGAGAAGGAACTGGAAGCATAACGCTACCTGCGCTCGAATTAGCATCACTCGTCCACGATGTGTCACTATCGGATGGTTCATAACCATTTTTAGTTCGGGTTTTGAGACTTGATTTCAGTTTTCTTGGTTGATCGGAATTCGATCTGGAGCCTTTTCCTTTAGGTAGCCTTCTGACGTCTAATGTTTCCAAGTTACCATTATGTCGTACCACGTCTCTTGGTTGATATAACTTTACTCCAGCTGGCTTCTGAATTTTCGGAATATTTTCACTAATATTATCAAATGCCCTGTTTTCTTTGGCCATTGTTCCTTTTTCCACATCGTTACTTTTTTTCTTTTTCTTATTTTTATTTCTATTAGTTTAAATAAGTGGATTATATAGTTATCTCGGATCTAGTGTTTGTTTGATCAAAAACTTACAGGTACCATCTAACTAGAAAGAAAATAACAGCAATTACGGCAAATACACCAATCACTCCTACAACAATAATACCAGCAATTGTACCTCCACTCACCGCTAAAAATTAAAAAAGTACAACTCATTATCTTAGGAATGATAAAGATTAAAAAAACAATTTATTTCTTAACTTACCCATTCTAAATTTAGTCTGTTTATTCTCCTTGTGTGTTTAAAGACGACTTAGTGTTTTTTTTATCTTCTCATAAGGAAGTTCGTGATATAATCAGTATCCTTGCATAGATCCTCAGCCAATATAGCTGACGCTATAAATTATATAAGATTGACGGTTATCACCAGATTGTGTAGTTGTTATATCGAGTCACACCTGATCTCGTTTTACGTTGTTTGGGCTGTTGTCTGCTAATTACTCCACTATATGGCGCCAGCTGTTGTAGGTGAAATGTTTCCGGTCTACTTTAACCAATCCTCTTCAAGGCAACTCAAGCTTATTAATATGCATGAATTTCCTTTCTAAGAGTCTTGTGATAAGAAATCGTGAGGTAAAATCACCGAATTAAATGTTTGAAGTAAAATAAAAGTCAGTTTTAATTTATGAACGACTGTATGCAAAACTAGGGCTAAATATTAAAACTCTTTTTGGTAACTATATATAGAACGATCAAGATAGAAATACTCATCAATTCACGTAATCTGAATTCAAGTAAGAGTAACATATTTATATACATAGAGTGAATAAGAAATATACCCAAGTACTGAAATTCGAAACTTAACAAACATCTTATGTGACAATCACGTTATACACAAGGTAATTTAGAGCTCATCTTTTAAAAGAAAACTGATCACTCGTTTCGAAGTCATTATTTATGGCAGAGTTGTTAAACTAAACACTCATCTATTTAGTACATAAAGTATGACTAAGTTAATGAAATGCAAGAGTTGCTTTTAGAGACAAATGATCAGACGCAAACTGCTTGTTTGGAATCTTACAGCCGATTTGCTTAACTTGCGGAACACTAAGCACATCTAGAGTTTCGATGAGGGGAGAACACCAAATATAATCTGTAGTCTTTCCCTTTTCTTCTTTCCATAATTCTGGGTTGCAATTCGTAAGTTCTGGTTCATTGTCAGCAACACGTTTGTAAGCGCTGTATAGATTTTTCGAAGAATGTTTGAATCCATCTTTCCAAAGATCTAAAAGTGATTTTTCACCTTCGATCTTTATTCCTGATAGAACACTTGAGCTCTTTTCATTAGGTGCTCCATCAGTTAAAATTTGATAAGCTGGAGAATCTGGAAATGCATTAAAATCTCCAGCAACTATATGGTACGGAGATTTGGCACTTTTGCGGACGGCTAAAGCTGATTGAACACTAATCAAACTCTTATTTGTAAAATTTGCCCAATCCACATGTACATTTCCGATTGTTATCGAATTACCGGATGGTTCATGGAGAAAAGTCATGACGATCATCACGGCTGGACTCGTAACAGCGGATTCAATTTTCGACTTTTGCTCACTCGCTTCAACTTGCTCCACAATTGCTTTTTCTAAATGCACCTTTTCCTCTTTTTCCAATTTGAACACACTTTTTCTATAGAAAGTAGCGCAACCTTCCGTATAATTTTGTTTTCTGGCGAAATAAACACCTTCATAACCTTGCTTGGCTAGCTCTGGTTGAAGGGTCTTCGCAAAATAAGCTTCATCTACCTCCTGAAGGCAAAGCAAGTCCCCATCCAAATAATCGAGTTCTTTTACAAGTAGTTTATGTCTATTCACTTGATCAAGATCTTCTGGGGTCGTCCACGTAAGATAGCCACGGGAAGAATGAAATTCAGCCAAGAGATTGTATACTACCAGAGAGAATCGGTTCTTAGGATCAGTTTGCTTAGCATTAGAATTAATGATTGACGATCTCGACAAAGGGTCTTGAACATCACCATTGCAATGTTTTTTTGGTGAAATTTCTTTTTCACTGTCATTTTGATTACTTTTTTCACCATTCTCCTTCTTTTCAACTGTAGCGGTTTCAGCTTTATCATCAGCTTCTTTTACTGGAGACGAATCAGTCACTTTTTCATCCGATTTTTCCTTAGTATTTTTATTAGATATATCATCAGCTGCGGGTACATTAGAGCTCTTTGATTCGGAATCAGGTTTTTCAATAACTCTCTCTTCTGGCTTTTCAATGATTTTCTCTTCAACTTTCTCTTTAGGTTCTTCCTTTTTTTCTTCAACGTCGTGATCACTATTTTTTGGTGTTTCTTCATCCATTTTCTCATCAGTTTTATCATCAACTTTTTCGCTAGGCTTCTCAGCTGATTTTTCCTCAGTTTTTTCATCGGGTTTCTCAGCTGACTTTTCCTCAGTTTTTTCTTTGGTTTTATCAGCAGTTTCCTTGGGTTTCTCATCAGGTTTCTGCTCAAGCTTTTCTTCAACCTTTTCCTCTATTTTATCATTAGACTTTTCTTCCGTTTTTTCACATTTTTCTTCTATTTTCTCTTTTGGTTTTTCTTCGGTATTTTCCTCAGTTCTTTCCTCATCAATTTGCATTTTACCCTCATCATCATCATCATCATCATCATCCTCGTCATCTGCTATATTGTCTTCTTTCTTCTCTTGCTTTTTTGTGCCTAATTCAGCCTCTTTTTCAGTGGCTTTCTCTTCAACCTTAGGAGCTTCCTTTGGCTGATCCTCAACCTTTTCTTCAGGTTTGCTTATCGGAACTGTCTTTTTCTTTTCGGTTTCACTAACCTCCTTAGCTTCTTTTGGTTCAGGTGGACATTCTTCCATTGCATCTTCTTCGGGCTTATCGTTCATTTCATCAGGCGTTTTACGTTCGTTGCTATCGTCTGCCTCAGCTTCGGCAAGTTTAGTTTCGGCAGCAGACTTGGCTTTCCTGCTTGATCTCTTACGAGGACTTTCCTCAAATTCTGGTTCATCATCCTCAACTGGTTCCCTAGACTTTCGACTAGTGCGGGAAGAACGACGAGTTGGTACTGGTGGAGTTTTGGAACTTTTGGCTGATTTTTTGCCAGGACTTTTTGGTGGAGTTTTCTTCCCTCCTGATCTTCTTCTTTTTGGTTTATTCCAATCATCATCATCATCTTCATCAACCTCATAGTCATCATCTTCTTCCAAGTCTTCAGCATAATCTTCATCTTCTTCTTCGTCTTTTTCATATTCAACGGCTTTACGAGAACGTTTCGCAGCTTTCGTTGGTGAAGGAGGTTTCTTTGATTTTACGGGTTTAGAATCACCAGCTCCTTGTTCCGGTTCATCCATATCCATTTCTTCGTCTTCCTCTTTTTCAATGGCGGCGTAGTCATCTTCGGCAATTTGAGCTGCTGCTGCTGCTTGTTCAGCAGCTCTTGCTGCAGCTCTTCTTGGTCTATTGACACTTTCGTTTTCTGTAACTTCATTCTGAGCTGGACGTCCTCGTTTGCGACCTCTGCTATAAATAAAAGGTAGATATGGTGATTTTTAACCTGGGAATGGAACACCGGCTTTTCGAAAATAACGTACCTTCGAGATTTTGGTGGCTCTTCGAAAACTTCTTCTTTTGCAGCCTTTGAAACGGTTTGCCGTGTACGTCTCGGCATCTTGATTTCAAAATCTGAAATGATTATAACAACAAAAGATGAGTATATTATGTGCTCGAAAGGACGACAAGATCGAATTTCGGAGATACTTGGCTTTAAGTGGTATCCAATGATAAATCATAAACAAAATTATTAACAAAAAATGTTTTATTTCAAAGATATTTTTACCTTTTTCTAAAAAAAAACGAATAGAATACGTAATGGGATAGAAATTCGAGAAAAGTCTTTTATCATGGAATCAATCCGCCATATTGAAGTAGTTAGCTTGGCGCTCCGCACTTAATTTACGAAAATAATTAATATTTTTTTTTTTTGCTTTTTCAAAAATTACAAAGTCATATATGCTTGAAAAGTGATTTATTAAAAATGTACGAAAATTATAATAAAATGTTCTATTTTTCTACAGAGCGCGAAAAAAAAAGAGAATATAGGGTGGCGCTTCAGGTACGTCAGACGGCGTTTAAAAGAATCAAAAGATTGGAAGCATCTCTGTGTGATTCGTTAAAGTCTTTCAGCTTTTCTAAAACCTCGTTTTTCTTTAATTTGGTTTTGGCCTTTTGATTATTATAACATAATGCATACAAAGCCGAAACAGCTACATCCCGTAGGCTTTCTGAATCCAAGCATGCCAGAAATAAAGCAACCACGCTATCTAAAAAGGGGAAGTCAAATTCTGTATAATTTATTAATTTTAAAAGTAAAATAAAGTACCTTGGCCCAACAGCATTTGTTTTACAGCATTATGGCAACACAAATTTCTCAATATAACTAAAGCACTACGTTGTTTAGAATCAGAGCACTGCTCAGCTATATCAGTGATAAGATGAATAAATTGTGGTATCTTAATCAACTGTTGAATGCCTTCCTCTCGTAAAGATAATGATAAAATAAGTTGTAACCATAATGTATCAAGTACTCTCTGAGTTTTACTTTTATTTGCTTTTCGGGGATTGCAATTTTTAATCCAGTCATTAAGAAAATTATTCTGTACAAGAAAAAAAATATCGTATTGATACCAGGGTATAATTATTAACTCTATATCATTTATTACCTTGCATATGATACCTCTACATTCCGGTGAAAACGAGATATTGACTAAAATTCCAAATATCAAGCGTAGGGTTACAATATTACCACTCGAAGTTTCTCTAAATATAGTAAAAACACTATTAAAGAGTAAATTATAAAGAAGAAAATAGTTTTTCTTTACCTAGAAGTTAGTTTAATTAAATTGTGAACTAATGAATTACTACTGTGTTGTTGTTGTATAAATTTGCTGTCACCATGTGCTATGGTAAATGCTAAGGAGCTTGAAGCTAAAATTTAGAATTCAGGTATTACAATAGCGTTTAAAATAATAAAACATATCCTATTTAACCTTTCTCGGAATTTGCTGTAAAAGTACTTAACAAGGCTAACATAGATTGTAAAAGCGATAAATCGCTTAGGCACCACGTCCAACAAGAGTGTATTATTTGAGCTAAGTTTTCGTCACAGGCCACCTCCTTAGAATTAGAAAATTGTCATAGTTTATTTGATACATATATATATATATATAGCTTACTTTGGTTTTCGGCTCTTTGTACATGGCATTTCTTAAAAGTTCGGCGTTCCAAATTAACTCTAATATGTAGACGCTTTCCTTCTTTTTTGAGGATTTTTGGAATTGATCTCTTTGCAATTTGTAAATTAAGTAGTTAATATGTGCTATAATTGTTGAGAGGAACCCATCTAATTAGCAAAAAATTTAAGATAATAAACAGATTTCTAAACAAATTATTCATGAATGCTGACCTTCTAATGCACTTAGTCTTGCGATGGAACTAACAGCAAATAATGATTTTAAACAGTTTATTATAGCGCCTTTTTCTTCGGCATATTCTGATGTTGATTTGAGCTTAATAAAATCATAAGATTTTATTAGATATGAGCATATTAGTTCGCTATTTCTTTTATTGGTAGTAAAATCTTTGCTTTCATCACCTTATGAAAAAATTTCATTAAATCAGTTGAAAATCGTAAAGCTCCTTTGAATAAACAATAACCTTCAATTTTGTCTAAGAAATTAGCAAACGAATATTTCTCATCTCTTTCAATAAGCTGAGCTTCCTCATTTAATAATTGGCTAAGAAATGTCAAGGTCGCGTAATACAAGCTCGTCCGATTATAATCATCCAATTGAAGAATACATAAGCAACGACCTGGTGGACGATTTAATTAGAGTTCCATTTTAAGGAGAACAATGAACTATTATCTAATTTTACCTACCTATGACAATGTCCCATCTATTTATGAAGACTCGCGTTAGAGTAATTAGTGCGTCTTGTCCCAATCCTTGTACTAAAGTTGTATGAAAGAGAAAAATGCTCTGCCACAACTTTTCACACTCTCGTCGTATGATATTTGTATCTAATAAAAAAAGCAAACATAATAATAAGTGCTAACAAATAATCTCTTATTTGACTAGTCTAGATATCTAACAAGATATTATTCTACTTACGAAAACAAGTAAATCCTAGTAAATCGGTAAGTTTTTTCAGCATATCAGTATCTTTTAGTAGGCCTGCGCAAAATATAATAGAATTTTTCATACATAATCTTAAAAAGTCTAGTATGCTTTGTAGCATTTTCAAAATATCCGTTAAGGTTAATAAATGTTGTTTAGGATCTTGAATATTTTTAATATCATTTACGTAAGATTCCAATAACGATGGAGCATCCAGAATAAGGCTGTTAGTCAATAGGAAAAGCGCGTAATTGTCAGAAATTAGATTATTGATTGTTATTTAATTACATACTTTATAATGGACTCAAAAACTCCATCTTTGAATGATGATAAAATAACCTTCTGAGGGAGTAATGCTCCAAGATTTTGTAACAATTTACAAACGACACAAACGAGGCTTGGAGTTGACACGCTCTCAAATTCTGACATAGTTATGTTTAATCCCAGCAAGGCTTGACCTTAAAATAATAAAACAAAAGGTTTTTAGATAATCCTATTACATATGTAATAAAATTATGAGAGAAGGGGGGATTCATACTTGTTCCATTTCCATCTTCAAGGCTATCCGATCGCCCGACAGTTATAGGGCGAATGTCTTGAGGGGTGGAAACTATCTGGTCATTTATAGTGGAACTTTGGAAGCTATTTGTTTCGGTTATAGTTGTGGCTGCACTGGAGGAACCTGCTGATGTTTGAGTTCGGGATGAGGGAACAGCAGAAACGGGATGAATAGCCGGTTGAAAGAAATAGTGGGATATTAAAGTTCTAATTTCGAAGAAGAAATGACCGTAATGGAGTAGTTTATCTAACGCCGCGAGACCAAATAAATTTTCCTCCTCGTTCCTTATAATGGGACCCAACCAAACACCCTGTAAAGCTGTAGAATCCGCAATATTATCACCTTTCCCACCAGGCATTGGTGATGAAGTTAAGTTTACAAGGAGGAGAGCGGCCTGAGAACGAACAAGACTGCATTCTTTATGTTCGAGAAGTAAAGTAAAAGCCGCTCCCCAAATTCCTCCAGGGATATGCTGGCATTGCGTTGTTAAAGTTATTCTGCCACTTTCGGTTGTGGCTAAGGCAGCAGCTAGCGCAACACCCGTTGCCCGAACCTCAACATCTCGGTAATTCCATAAATTGAGTAACCAAGATAAACCTCCAGTATGAATCGACCCTTCATCCGGGAATAACCACTGTCTCGGCCAATCTTCACTCTGAAGAAGATACACTATTAATTGTATTATCAAAGGGAATTATGTTAGCTATTTACATTAAGCGTAGCATGCATTTCCGCCGCCAGATGTCGCAAGCAGATGGCTGCATTTCTGGTAACTCCTCCACCTAAAAATATATGTCCCATTCCACCTCGACCAACATGTATAGATGAAATTACCTATGGAATATAAATTTTATTAAATTAATTATAATAACTCTATTTGTAAATCAGCGTATATATTGATTAAAAACCAATAAACTCAACCTGTAATAGTTTATCCAAAATGGTTTGACAAAGATCCAAACTTTCGTCTTTAGAAGAGCACATGCTCCAACCATATCGAGCAGTTACATGTAATAAACAGCATAATACATTTTGCATATCAACGAGGTTGAAATTTTCACAAGGGGCCGACAAATGAAGAGTATCCAGAACATGTCTTACAATAACTCCCCTGACCATACTTTCATCTGCTTCCCCGTCGTAAGGAGGTGTTGATATAATATTACAAAGCATTGCGATTAGCTGTCCCCGAACCTTTCTTTAAAGGACAATAGAATAGTTAAATATCAAATGCGATAACAAAAAAAAGTGAAATCTCACTTCCGCAAACTCCAAAATTGACTAGGTTCCTTTTCATGGTTACGTCGAACCAAAGCCAGAAAGGCGGAGTTGGATCCCTGAATAGTCTTTATTAACCATTTACGTAAGGCAATCTCTTTCCCATCGTCATGCGACAAAACCAAACAGATAAGGGATGATAAATGATTTAATAGCCTAGTGTCAGCCTCAGATAATGGTATTGTAGTAAGGAATCTATTTCGACATAAAATCAGTTTATAAATTAATCTGTTACTTTGATTTTAGACAAAAAGAATTTGAAACCTTTCGATAGAATTAGTCCATTCAGTGTTGCATAAGATTTTGATTGCGTCAAATTTCTTTCCAATAACAATGTAACAAGCCAAAATTTTCAATGTTTCACTAAGCGTTCTATGAGAAGTGGCGTTTGATATGTCATAAGCACAATTCTAGTTAAAGGATAGTTAAGCAATTATCAATACAATTTTAATAAATTATATTATTATTTTACCTTTAAAGCTGATTTTAAGTAGCAATATTTTAAAAATAATACTTCGTTGTCGGTAAGTTGAAGGTCACTATTGAATTGTTTATCGGTAACTAACTTATCCTTTTCATGTAACTCTATAATAGACTGAACGCCTCCAAACCAAGCGATATTCCATCGTAATTTTAACAAAGAAAATAATTGTCCTGATGATAGTGAATCCTTTGATGGGGGTTCTGGAATCCTATGAGAGGATTTAACTGCATGATGCCCAGTTCTGACTGGAAGTTGAAATCTGCAAAAAGAGAAAATTATTAAATTGGTTTAGTATTAAGGGGTAGAGTGATAGTGATAAAAAAATTATACTTTTTGCAAATAATTGATGGCAATGAGAGAACGTTATGAGGTGTCTTATCATTGTTGGTTTCTTCCTCACTAAAATACGTAACAGTTCATTTAAATAATTAGGAATGCTATAATTTTTAATTATTTCTTTTACATGATTTGCATTGCGAAAACTTCATCAAAAACCAGGAAAGCGAGCAATTGTGATAAATCTGGCTTTATAAGTGGTTCATTATGATATAATAGAGCGCCTGGCGATGAAAGAATATTGCTTAATTAACGGAGAACTTAATACAGTAGAACATACATCGAACAATAGAATAAGTAAAAGACTCATCAGATGCCATTCTTCTTCTCAATTCAATATTATTTTCTATCAAACTCCGACTAATTCTAATACAAGATGGCAAAAGAGGAGAATAATTACTGCTTTCTTCCCATTTTCTGACGCCTTTGTGTATTATATCAGTGATGAATTCAAAACTGCCTCGTTTAATGAAGTATTCATGCAATTTGACGCAATCAAGCATAATAGATATCTGCTCTGCAGCTGACTTTTTTACACCCCAATCTGTACTATCTGACGTAAATATCTCCATAATCTTTATTAGATTTTCTTTCTGCAAATTTAATTTAGCAAGGTTTTTTTTTAGAAAATTTAATTAGCATTTAGGTTTTATAAATACCTCAAAATCCGCATCATTCTTTGTCAATAGTGATCTTGGAGCATCAATAAAGAGTAGATTGCTCATTGATGTAACATTTGATAATTCAACGAATTTAAATGAACTATCTTTTTCTTTACTTACGATTTCCAACAATCTACCTATCATTGTTGATCGTATGCTGGAGGAAGCATAGTTAATCTTTTTATATTCTATTGTTAATTTGATTGTCATCAATACCTTGCTAGAGGTGAATACAATAGCCTTATAGTTGAACGAAGTATTTGAAAAGAAGGAATCGAAGGTTCTGATCTAAATGTTGGTTCGATAAAAGATAGAATAATTTTTCCAAGTCTTGTAGAATTTTCTGCATAACTCTGTCAATAGTTGAGATAATTTAAATGAAATTTAATAGATCAATATAATATAAAAGTACTAGTATAATTGGTAAAATGGGTAGGAGTTGATGAACAAGCAGATTCCATTGATTTGCTGGTAGCATTAACTCGCTTTGGAGGAGATGAATGATAATTGATATTGCATCATTCGATATCTGCAATATTATTGTAGAGATAGATTATAAATCGAACTTTTTACTAAAATAAACAAACTTGTTTATCCTGACACGGAATCCCGAACAAGCAAATTTCTCTCAGAACATCGACATCTGATATGAATTTTACATTCAATACTGATGCAGCAGTCGGATTTGACGCTCTCTCGGCGTTTAATGAGTCTCGTATAATAGATAAACAAGTCGAATAGGCTAGTCTTTGAACAGTAGAATTTGAATGGGCTAACAGGCAAAGTAGGACGTTTTTTGACTTCTCTACTGCTACTGGATTAGGTGATACTCTTTTCGCTCTGGTAATTACAAAGATGTAATTATAAAAATAATAATAATTTGTTGCAGGTATTAAATAGCATACATTTGACATGCTAAGTGTACAGATCCTCTTATGTAGGAAGAGCTAGAATGATATACGACGCTGATCAAAGATTTCTCCGCATACTGTGCTATTTCTAAAAAATTTTCCTCTTTCTGAGTGGGAAAACTTAAAAGAAATTTACAGCAGTTCGTCAAACTTTCAGAAACAATTTCCGCTCTCTCAAAATCCTTGTAGGCTTCTGGTTTTAAAATTTGTAAATATTTACCGACACTTTTTCGTATAGTTGGAAAAGATAAGAAAAGATATTCATCATTATAGAAATGTTGCAAAGTTTCAATACAACTATCGTCAATGCACTTTTTTGCCTATTTTTAGAAATATTTTATCAATAATTCTATAAAAACAAGTATTTACCCAAAAACTTACTTGAGATTCGGTAAAAGCGTGGTCCAATAGGTTAGAAAGTAAAAGACCACAACCAATTAAAGATTGTTCGACATTAATTATATCTTCCTTCTGAAGTCGATGAGTTGATAATTTAACTGTTAATCTATCGTGCAAACGCGTTACAACTTCCGAAAGTTTTATCAAAATCTCAAGAAGTTGATCAGTCTGACAAACAAGAAAATTATAAAATATCGATCAAATATATGCATTGTCAAGTAAAAGAATATTACTATCTCGATAACGGAATGACAATTTTCAGTCCAAAGACTTTCTCTATCGACGGATTCGCACCATATCTTTAAAATCTGTTTTCAAAACGAAAATACTAAAATATTAGAATTCCACGAATTTATATATATAATTAATATACATAGTCGAATAGCTGCATTAGTTCAACAAACATAGTTGGTTCGCAGAGTTCAAGTATGGGAACGCAAACTTTCCAGACTGTTACGCAGTATTTTGGTGTAGTTATTTGGACAAATTGTAAAGCTGAAATATCCTCGTGGAGAATGTGAACATCTTCTCTCAAAGATGGATCACGAATACCACGACTTGTACTTGAAGAGACACTTGACGAGCTGAAATAATGTAATAAAAATAGTTATACTGTTCAAAATTGCCTACATTAGAAAATTTAATAATTAGTTACTTGGCTGATAGTGCTTCTCCGGCTTCCCCATCTCCAGCAAGTCTCATCGATCCGGTAACGCCAGATGGCCTTAATTCCGAACTGGAAAAAGAATCACTTTCGGATGTTTCCGTTTGAATTGTCGAATTACTTTCCCAAACTAAAAAATAAAGAGGCGAATTATAAAAAAAATTAAATATTGAGATGGATATGTCAATAAAATTAACCGTTCTTAGTGCAGAATGTAGCTGGATCTTGACAATGAAATATTCTAGAGAGAACTGCCTGAGCTATATATCTAGTAGATGAAATAAGCCTTTCTTTAATATCCAAGTTGTCAGTTTTTTCCAAAAGTGATGTAAGAGTCTTAAATAAAATAATCCATTAAATATTTGCGGAGCATAGTAAAGATTTTTAACGAATTAGAAGAATTGAAAAAAAACCTGAATATAACTAGGCCTCTGGAGAAATATCTCAGCTGGAAAGTCATGAACAATAACTTGAGAAAGAAGATCACAAGCTTGCGAAATTGTGGTTGTATCATTACTCTTTAATGAGCTAAATAGACAAATTCAATAATTTCAATTTCTATTATTGCTATTAAGGAATTTCTTATTTCTAACCTTTCACTCTTCACAAGAACATCAAGATCCATTCTACAGAGACGTAGCCATGGGAAGGTAAAAAATTTAAAGCACTTAAGTGTCTCTGAATAATGAGATGTATTATATATATATGTATACATTTATATATGCTTTAATAAATTGATAATGTAATGTACCTCTAATAGAACTGTTATTTGAGTCCACCATACTATCGAAATAACCATACCTTGGAGATCGATACGTACTATCTGTTGATGATGTTTGGGGAATAGAAGAGTCAGTCTTTTGTTCAGTAGTTGAATAGCTTTTTGATAGGTTTGGATTGATTTTTTTCTCTAAAGAAAATAGAAGTTTAATTATATAATTTTCAACTATATAGGACTTTACTGGTTTTCTCTTGAGGCTGAAATATGCATTTATGATATTGATATTCAGGCGAGGGTAAATGAAGTAACCGTTCTAGAATTGAGTCTGTTTTTATTTTCAATTCACTGGGAAGGTTCAACCGAAGTTGGGAGAGAAATTCCATCCCTCCCATTTGGCAGAGGAGTTCGGTCCCTGCATTATGCTATAAATTTGAGTATTTTTATAATAATAGCTCTATTTTATTCCTATTAACACGTACAAGGGTGAGCCGGTGAAGGAGATCGAGAACTTCGGCCTGACAAGGACAAGAAGCATAGTTAAACCAATTTAATAGTGCAACAAATAATTGCTGTTCATGAACGAGATCGGCATCACACAATAATTTATATTCTAGTTTGCTTCGGATGTTCTGCAAGGCTCTAATCCGAACTTCTTCAATATTATGAGCTGAAAACAAGTTCAAACATGCTCTTTATAAAATAATAATGCTGTATCTCACACATACATAATTTTTTTATTAAGGGTTTAACATCAAGCTCCTGATCAGCTTTTTCCGCCATAATGATCTAAAATTTATAAACTTTTAACTGAATGTTTTTATTGTTTATAAATCAAATTTTCGATACTCCGCCATTATATGCAAAATATACCTTTAAAAATATCAAGCAACTGTACCAGTTTTCACGGAGTAAAACCACCGCTTATATTACAAATAAAGCAGAACAATTTAAACTATTGGAATTAGTAATCTTTAATAATAGATATATATTTCAAAAGGAAATATGAATACATACTACTTTTTTTTCTAAATTTTTTTTTGCTTTAAACGATAACGAAAAGAATTACAAATAGAATGTAACCAAACTTTTAAGGAACATTCGAATTTTATCGAATAACCAAGTTTAAGTGAGATGAATTTTTTATATATTCTCGATATAGAAAGAAAAATATCGATAATCTGGATAATTTTAGAAAATCTTAAGAAATATATAAAATTTTAATAATTTATTAATAGAAGAATAAAATTCTGGGAAAAGTTTATAAAAGATTGATCGGCTGAAGGTATAAACAAGTATAAATATGAGGATTAAAATCAATTTAAAAATATTTTAATGATACACGATTATTTGCAGATTTATTATCTCAAATGTCAAAAAGAAGCAGAGCAATATTCGATGAGAATTAAACATTACACCTATTTGTTATAGAGCATCTATTATGCCTTGAAAAAAACTGTTCAAGTTATCTCTCACAGCCAAAGGGCAATAATCACTTAAACGATTATTGAAGTAATGCTGTTTTCTTCTTTTTCATATACATCGAAAATTACTGTCATTAAAGCGCAAACTATTTAGAGCGAACAAACTTCATATTGATTAAGCAAGATATATATACTTTGCTAATGCATTTCCACCAGCACTATAAGACATAGCTATCACGAGGAAGAAAGGTGTCAGAAGAAAAGTTTAGAAGAATAAAATATGAAAAATTTCCAGAAAGTCTATTATACTATAATAGTTTTGATATGTAAAGCAGGTAATGATATTTTATACGAAATGCAATTAATTATTAGAATTTCTAAAACTTATTTTTTTGTAAAGACGTCTTTGTATTAATCGAATATTTGTGCTATTGTTCTGATTATAATACCCATTAAAAGTTATCGTTTTCATATCAATTATCAAATATGGATGATATCATTCACTTTTGGTAAAATCTTTATGAACAATTAATAAATTGCTGTCCCACAAGTTTATTTATAGAAAGCCATTGTAACTTGTTTTTTCTAGGTGAAAAAGTATGAGCTAGAACGAAAATGATCGATTCTTTCTGTTCTATACTTACCAATAAGAATTATTGAAAGTCGGTGATGAAGAAAAAGAGAGACAAAAGAAAACGATAAAAATGTAAGACATAATAAATAGTAGGGTAAATAAAAGAAGGATGAGGTGATTGAGCTAATTATAGTCTGGAATATTTTTTTGGCGAATTGAATTCTTTTTGAACATGTTAAATGATATAGGACTGTTCAATAAAAGTATAAAAATACACTAGATACGAGACCAATAATCAAAACTATTATAAATGTTTTTTCTATAAACTATAAGAAGTTTTGATTGTAATGTAAGATCTTTTACAGTTTGCTGACTTACATGATCATTTTCAGACAAAGGATGATCATCATTTCTATCATTTCATATGTTTATTTTATATACTTGTAGCAAATACAGATTGAATTTATTTGTCTTTTTCTATGCATTTATCATCTCGGTTAATAATTAATGAGGAAAAAATTCGAAGGACTTAAAGTGTAATCCTTATTAATTTCTATTCCCTTTCTGGTTTTTTTTGTATCAGATATGCTCTTTAGTCTTTAGTCTGATTAGAAAACGTTTATAACACGGTTTAATATATCACTTTATCGTATTTTTACTTATAGCGAACAAAGAGAATGTAGAACACTTCTCCAATAATATGCTCATACTCACAAAGGAATCAACATATTTGATGTATTTGTAAATTAGGATCAATAAGCAGTTAATTTCAATGATCACTGCTCTTCCATTGGAGAATATATATATATATATATATATATATATATATTTATATAAATACAAAGCAATAGAATTGAAAAGAGACCTTTATATTTTCTAAATTTTAATAAATATTTATAAAATATTATTTATTATTTTCTTTGTAAGAATACAAAAAATTCTAAAGCAAGAAAATTAGAAATTTTACTGATTACAAGCTATCTTCAATAAATGAAGCCTTGAGAGAAAGAGATTCTTTTTCTATAGAGTAGTAGATTTATATTTATCATTGATAATTGATTATTGGAGAGAGTCACATACTCATTATTAATTCATTGCATAGAAAAGTTTTTCATGGTTCACTCATCTGTTGGAGCTTAATAGATGAATGCTATGTTTAGCTTCAAGTTTATTTTTCTTTCTCTTCTAAGTTTCAAATGTGTTTACTGTGGTAAAAACATGAATTTTTATTCAATTATTTTATCAAACTTGTCGAAAACAACTTTATTTTTTACAGGAGTGGTCGAACTATGTGAACATACAAACGCACAGATAGGTTTCAATCAAACTTATAAGGGCTATCGTTTGGAGGGATTCTGCGATAGTGTAAATAACGCAGAAAGGTATACTTTTAGTGCAAGTTTAGGAACGGGCGTTTGTTCAGGTGAATTTTGTACACACGATGTGGTTTATCATGGAGACTGGCGAGCTGTACAGTAAGTAGAAGTTTAATTTAAGAGTTAAATTTTAGACAAATTCTTCTTCATACAGTTTGTTTACTCGTGACTCTTTTTACTGTGAGCTTCACATAACTCTGAGCTGCTCAGCTGGTCACAAGATAAGAAATAATTTAATGTGGACTTACAAAGACAGTATTTTCGGCGAGACGAAAGAGAATTGGGAGTGGGGTCGTGATACAAAAGATATGTGCTTAGGACAAGATCCAATGAATCCTTGTTTATGCGATACATCCTCGAACAGTGAAAGTGAGCTTGGATATATTGTAAGGATTGAGAAACTTCCAGTTCTATCATTCAAGATTCGAAATTCGTCTATGTTATTTATTAGTTTACTCTCTTACAAATGTTTCTACAACAACCCAAACAGTAGTAACGCTTGTATAAATACAAATCTTGATTGCAAGGGAGAATTGTGTGATCCTGCAGTATATAATTGCGTTTGTACAAATGGTCAAACGACGGGAAATTGTGGAACTAGTTAGTAATAAACTTTTATTTATAAATTAGTAATTAAAAGTTTTTCCAATAGAAAATTTGTGTCCTGCTTTACCAAGTATTCCTGGAATGAACGTAACTCTTTACAAAGCTAGCGCTGATATAAGCTTTGGATCTAAATATACTTATAGTTGCGATAATCGATGGCAAAAGATAAATGGAAAATATAGCACTTACGAAAGATATTGTGAAAGAACATCAGGAAACTGGACCGGAGAAGAAGTTGTTGGATGTCAAAGTATGAATTTGAATTTGAATATTTTAAAACAGTGCTAATTTTTAATACCATGCGTACTTTTAAATAGCTTGGTGTCCCTCTGGTTTTAGTGCATATAAAGGCCAGTGCTACTGGTCATCGCAGTCTGTAAATATGATTGGAACTAGATCTGATGCAGAATATATATGCAATATGCTGAACAGTCGTTTGGGTGATTTGGAAACTGCAGAGATTGCTAGTTGGTTGCGAACACAACTCGATCTTGGTCCCACCGTAACTCTTATTGGAATGAAGAATGAGAGTGGGAACCTGGTTTGGTCTGACAATCAAGAAATTGCTCCTTCTCAAAATTTTTGGAGCTCTCCTAATTCGTACCTTCCTTCTGAAAAATGTGTTCACGCTTCTATCTGCAATGAGTCAAATCCATTGAAATGGCATGTAGCAGATTGTTCAACCCTTGTTCCTTTTCTCTGCAAAGCTTCACAGTGCTATGGAATTGATACTCTTCAAAATGTTAATTTGACAAATGTTGAAGTTAACCATTTCTTTAGTGGATCATCTTTACAACTATTCTGTGATAGATATCACTCCGTGAACGGACAGTCATTTGATCAAAACTTAGCTTGCTTTACTAATGGAACTTGGAATAATACTTTATATAATTGTACGTTACATAAATGCACCAATTATCCATCTGTGCCAAATTCTTGGAAAGTTCAAAAATCTGGATCTAATATTTTAGAAGATGAAATAAACTATATTTGTGCTTCAGGATATAATACATCACATCCGAATGACTATGAATTTAATCTGAAATGCGCACTTGGTGGATGGACATGGACAGGAGATGTCGAAGACTGCGATAGTAATTTTGCTTAAGCACAGTATTTGATAAAACATTTTCAAATTTATTAATAATTTTTCAGAATCTCTGTATCGTAAGGATTGCCAAGAGTATCATGATAATGGGAATACAACAAATGGTATTTTTACAATTGATCCAGACGGACCTGAAGGCCCAACAATTCCCTTTCAGGTCTTTTGCTCTTTTGAAGACGGGCTTGGAATTACTATTCTTGAATATAATAAAGTTGTTAGCAGAAATGAATCTATTTCTTACAGGTAGAGGATAACGTATGAATTTTTAATAAAGAAATAACATAATGATTTATTTAGCGCAAGTTACGATCAATTAAATATCTTGAAAAATGCGAGTTTTCATTGTGAGCAATTTCTAAGAATTGGTTCTCCCACTGGAGATAATCCTCTAAACAATGTAAGATTAACTCCATATAACTCTTCTAGTTTTAATTTAGATGATTTAAAAACCGATGGAATTTGCGATATAAGAGGTATTTTATCATTACTGCAATTCAATGTCCATCTAGTTTTCTAATATTAACAAAAATTGGAAGGTCCATATCATTATGACTGTCAAGCTCAAGATAAGATTGATGGAGAGAACAAAACGGATGAAGGAGTGATAATTGGTAAAAAACATGTACCAATTTTTTCAGTGGACTGGGATACAAAATATGATTTTTCAATCACAATAGGATATGTAAAGTGCTTAAAAAGTAATAAAACTGTTAAGCATTAAAGGTTATTAATTATAAATAGTTTACTTGCTTTTTCAGACGTATTATCAGTTTGCACCCCAACTAGTTGCGCAAATGGAGGAACATGCGTTCCAGTTTCTTATAGTACTTTTAAATGCTATTGCATGCCTACGTATACTGGACACGATTGTTCGACAAGTATATAGTTAATTTCAATTTAATTCAATATTTTATTTCTTTTATAACATCAAATAGCAATTGAATGCTTAAAAAGTTTACCCAATCGAACACACGGAAAATGGACATATTCATCAAGTTATTTTGGAGATTTTGCACTTCTACAATGCGATTCTAATCACTTTATAGATAATTTACCCAGTGTTCAAGTATCGCCTACTTCTTACAACGACGTTAGATGCTTAATACATGGCAACTGGAGTGTAGCTCGACATACATGCAAAAGTATGAATTTTTTAAGATCTATTTATAAAAATTTTGTTACCAATTTCTCATTTTAACCTGTAGAGCAATGTCCATCTGGCTTTAGGAGAGTGGATAAAGTGGATTTATGTATTCATTTATCGGTAGAAAATTCCAATCATACAGCAGATTATGATAATGCTATCTCTGAATGCGAAAAGAAACACTCAATTCTAATATCAAAACATCCATTGAATGCTGGAGGTGCTGCATTATTAGATTATATCGAAAGATTTTACGATTCATCGAGAGCGATGTCTGTAACTAAATTCATAGGAATATAATCTATATGATAACAAACGCTTTTACAGGTTTCTTATCAATGCTAAATCTGCAGGAGCCGATTTTGAATATAATAACGGACAAATTCTTGCCAAATCTACTGTTCTTGAGTATTCAAAAGAGTGTGTATATGCTTTTTCGAATCCCGGCTTAAAATATAGAGGACAAGATTGCAATGTTCAAAATTATTATGCTTGCGAATGTAATTATGAATAGTTGTTTTTTGTAAAAAAAAGACGACGACTGTTAGTAAATTTTATCATTTCTAATAGACTTCAGATGCCCACAAATCAATTACACTAAGGAGAATTCAACATTTTTAAATGAGACCGGAACGGCTTATATGGATAAGGTGAATTTTAAATGCAAACCAGGATATGTGGCAATGAATGGATCATATGAAATAACTTACACCTGTGGAAATAAGGCAGGAGCTAGATATTGGATACCGAATAATATGGCGGATTGCGTCTTAGTTGATTGCGAGACATTCCCTCCAATTCAGCACGGAAATGTGTCATTTGCCCAAGGAACTACAAACGGAAGTATAGCTATTCATTCGTGTTTAGCAAACTTTAAATTGATTGGAGCCAATTCGTCAACATGCCTTATGAATGGAAGTTGGGCTGCATTTCCAATTTGCGATAGTAAAATTATAAGATTTAGGGATGAATTTAATATTGATTATCTTTTTTAATTATATCAGGATATCGTTGTGATTCTCCTCAAATAGAAGTACTAAATGCTACCAACACTACGGAGCAAGATAATCATGTGGAAACTACGATAACTTATACTTGCAACCCGAGAAATGTCTTGAAATCTGGCTCTGATGTAAGGACTTGCTTGAAGAATGGAACCTGGAGTGGAACGCCTCCTGTTTGTGAATGTAAATAATTTATATTAAAAAAACAATTTTTGGTGAAAATAAACAAGCATTCATTGTTATTTCTATCCTACAGACGTATCTTGTAGCACTTTTCCTTCAATTCCGAATGGAGCAGTTTTACACAACATTTCAAATAATTATTATACTGGAAAAGCATTTTACTACTGCAATGAAAATTATAAGTTTGAAGGTGCAAACTATTCCACTTGTCTCAGTACAGGACAATGGTCATCGTCACCCGTATGCACTAAGGCTGGTTGTTCAGATCCTGGAGCAATATCGAATGCTATAAGATCACCGTCAACTCCTCCATTTCCTATTGGTGTAAATGTTACCTTTACATGTAATACAGGATATTCGATAGTTGACAGGAATTATCGAACCTGTTTAGTAGATGGCTCTTGGAGTGACACACAACCTAGTTGTGAAAAAGTTGATTGCGGTAAACCATCAAACATAAGTCATGGAGAAGTTACATTTAATTCAACCGAATATGGCAGTTCCGTTTTATATACTTGTAAACATAATTTTGCTTTAACCGGAATGAATACATCAGTTTGTCAAGCCAATGGATTATGGACGACCCCAGCGAGTTGTGTACGAAGTCATTGCATTGATTTAGATCTGCCTGCTTCAGCTTCAATAGTATCTGGTAGTAACAAGATAGGAGACAATTATACATATGAATGTACAGGGAGTTCTCGTTTGGTATTTGGCTCATTAACACGAACTTGTGGCAGTGATGGCGTCTGGTCCAACTCTCCTCCGATTTGCTCAACAGTAACTTGCAATTCATTTCCGTTACCTTCAAATTCAACAGCAAATTGGGAATATTTTGCTGCAAACAATTCTGTTATAATAAATTGTATATTCGGATATGCACGAACAGCAGGAGATAACGTGAAAATTTGTAATGCTGATGGAACATGGACTGGTAACGATTTGGAATGTACAAAAGTTGGTTGTTTGACACCACCACAGCATTCTATTAATGGAACTAGATTTGAAGGGAAACCACCGTATCAATATCTACAATTTTTCAAATACACTTGTGATTTACCATATGAGAATGTAACATCCATGACAAAAATTCAATGTGGGATGGATGGTGAATGGGAGTTTACTGAAAGTTTATGCATGCCGAGTTCTTGTAGAGAACCAGATATTGTACCTAACACAACTGTTATTGGTAATAGAATTGTGAATGGTACTATCAAGTATCAATGTAAAAAAGGGTTACAACTGATTGAAGGAAATGGCGAAAGAGTTTGTATATTCGATGGTACATCATTGAAATGGACAGGAATGCTTCCCGGTTGTAAAAGTAAGACAATGAGAAAAACATTTTTAACATTTATTGTATGATATGTTTAATCATTTTAGAACTATCGTGCGGTTCACCACCGTCAATTCAATGGGGATCTTTCACAGGAAGCTCCTTTACCTATTTAGATCACGTGAATTATACATGCGATGAAGCTTATGAAATGGTTTCTGGTTCTTCAAAACTTCAATGCATGGATGACAGAAACTGGTATGGCGATCTTGGTGTACCAGTTTGCACTAGTAAGATAAATAAATATAATCTGGATTTGACATAAAGTACATTTTCTTTCAGGAAAAACATGTCCTCATCCTGGTTTTGTTGATAATGCTGAAATCAATGGCGGATTCGCTGTTGGTGACACTGTGACTTATACATGTAGTAACGGCTTTGTTCAAGTTAGTGGAACTTCTCTGTATTGTCACTTAAATCAAACTTGGACAGGCGTTCTACCAATTTGCGACAGAACTAATTGTTCTGTTCCTAAGATCATCAAACATAGCAGATTAGAGGCTAATTCAACTCAGTTTACGGATATTATTAGATACATATGTGACTATGGTTACACTTCAAAACAGGGAAAAGTTGTTTTCAGGGTTTGTCAAGCAGATAAAAAATGGAGTGGGGAGCAGCCAGTATGTGAAAAAGTTGATTGCGGTTATCCTGGTTCATCCTTAAATGCTCTAGTAAGCGGAGAAAGTACTAATTATGAATCTAAATTCTCTTATGAGTGCTTGATTGGTTATGAAATAAGTGAAGGAGAAAAGGAAATTACGTGCCAAGAAGATGCAACTTGGTCAGGATTGCCACTTTATTGTAAACCTTTAACTTGTCCAGAACTGGGACCAGTTGAAAATGCAGTATTTTTTGGTGGTAATGAGTATAGTAACGAAAAAAGATATTTATGTAAATTTGGTTATACACACACCGATGGAGATATGGTTCGAAAATGCCTTTTAAGTAAAAGATGGTCTGGAAATGAGCCTGTTTGCTCTGAAATCTTGCAAATTCCAAACAGTCCATCGATTCCCCTGAACGAAAATGATGTTTGTTCACCTTTAAACGATGCTGAAGGAGCTGATAGATATGGACCAGGAACCTATGCCAGAGTGGGGCAGTCTGTTGCTTTCGTTTGTTTTCAGGGTTATTTCTTTGAACATAATCCAAAGTTGAAAAGTATAGAAATAACATGTTTAAGCAATGCAAAATGGAGTGATCAAGTTCCAAGATGTATTCCCAAGAGTTGCCCTCCACCCCTAACAGTACCAAATGCCATAATGAGAGGCAAGAGTAATTATCTGGTGGGCTCAATCAAAGAATATCGCTGTCCGGTTGGAATGTCTTTTGACATGCAAGATTATAGTAGAACCATTGTATGTCAAGATGATCAAACTTGGTCAACAGATGTTTCAGAATGGGCTTGTCGGCAGATTACTTGTATAACTAAAGTGTCGGGTAAAAAGATAGTTTTAAAATATATGCAATCAATTTGGATGCCATGTCCAGATAACCAACTACATTCAGATGGTCGAGACGGTGTAACGTCATTTTGTAAACTATCTGGTTGGATGTCTCCAAGAGGACCCAAATGTGCTCCAAATAGATGTGGTCCAGTTCCACAAGTTGTAAATGCCAGAGTTATCAAGATGGATGTCTCTCATAATGCTACATTCTTGTGTAAAGACGGAATGAGATTTCCGGATGGGAAGAGAATAAAATCAATCGGATGCGTTGGATTTGGATACTGGGAACCTTTTTCAGTATCTCCATGTTCGCCGTGGAATTGTCCCCCACCACCATTTTTAGGAAATAGCTCATTTGTTGATCCTAAATTTTATCCAATGGGAACGAAATTGCTATATATATGTAACAATGGATATTCATTGCCCGATAAGACCCTTCAGTTAGAAATTTTTTGCACTCGCGATACCGAATGGTCAATAAAATATCCCCCTTCATGCTATGAAACGTATTGTTCAACAGAGGACTTTAGCAAAACTCTAAAGATGAACAGTACAAGGATATTCCATAAGGTTGGCCAAGCTATAAACTTGTGGTGCATTAACTCTTACCTTCCCGAAGGAACTACCGATAAGATGTTAACTTGCACATCGACCGGGGATTGGTCGGAAAATAGTGGAGATTGTTCTGTAGCTCGCTGCAAGAAACCTCCTAATGTAGCCAATAGTATTGTTAGTGGCAATGTTACTGATATGGATAACGTTTGGACATACTCATGTATTAAGGGTTATAAATTCTTCAAATCTTCAGTCAAGACCTGGTCAATTCAATGTAACCCAGATGGCAGTTGGAATGATACTGTCTCAAACTGCATCGAAGTTAAGTGTAGCGTGCCCAAGCACTTACCAAATTCCGAAATGAAATACCAAGATTTTTTAATGGATTCTATAGTAGTGTATACGTGTAAAAAAGGATATCATTTCAAGACAAAATACTTTAAGCCAGGATCAAAGCTACAGACTAAACTACAAATGAAATGCTTACAAAATGAATCATGGAATATCGATCCTTATCTATCTAAATACGGCTGTAGAGGTCAGTTAATCTAAACATTTTTAAGTGATTAATTCCTAAAAAAATATTTATTTATTCATCAGACATTGAATGCCCTTCCGTACCTGTCGTCGTACATGGTACCCCAACAGGCCTAAGCGTAAAATATAAAAGCGAGATCGTGTATACGTGTGTTACTGGCTATAAAATATCTTTATCTAAAGATGAACCTATAAGTTTAGGTTCATTTGTAAATGGTACTAATAACCAAACAGAATTAATAGATAGCGCATCCATAAATTGTGACGAGAATGGGGTATGGTCTGGGATTGTACCACGGTGCGTGATTATCTCTTGCGAAAATATTATAGCTACGACAGATTTAACAGCTAATACAACTGATATAACTGCTTGGTCAATTGTCAATTTCACTTGTCCAGTCAACTATCATATAAAAGTAAATACTAGCGACGGGATGTTTATGACATCATCATTTATATCTGAGTGTTCGCCGACCGGAAATATTGCTGAATGGGTACCAAAACCTAAAGATTGTTTAGGTTTGATAATTACAAATTCAAGCTCAAAATTGAAATTCTTTAACAATATCTTTCTATTTTATTCAGAGATCAATCCGAATCAAGAGCCGGCCGAAGCTCCTAACGCAAAAACGTATGGTAACGTTGCTGTAACCATGCTAGTAGTGACATTCGGCAGTTTGGTTCTAGTCGATATACTCACTATAAAAAGAGATTTAATAATGTTGGCACATAACCTGCAGAAAGCGTTTGGTCGAGGTGTATGGAGTAAATTTTTAGCAAAGAATGCAAACACATCAATTGGACCAAGAATATCAACAGCAAGAATACGCCGAATATTATTCCCAAATCAGGCTGACGCGGCCAATGCACAAGGAGCTAGAAATTACACAGACCTATCAAACCAATTCCTCGATTTGAGGTCTCAATAAGCAAGAACAAACTAACAATTATATCTCTGTATACTTTATTTATAATATTTAATTTTTATTACTTAAAAGAAAATAAAATAGCCTAATACTTGAAAGGGAAACAAACACACAAGACACACACACACACGTATATATTTGATATATATTTATGTTTCTAATAAAATACCATATATATTATGCTGAATATTATAGTATAAATATATATATATATATGTTGGATATAAATAAATCTTCTCTGATAATAGGCTTACAAATTATTAATTCAATTAGTATTACACTGGAATAATTTACTTTTTATTCTCCTTGTAAAGGTTCCTCTTCCATTTTTTTAAAATAGAATTTTTAATCAATACAAATTGCTTGAACAAGAAACGTAGCCCCATAACAATCTGCTCTTTCATAAAATTTTCAATAACAAGTAGGCTTTTGTATTTAGGCTTAAACTTTTATATTCTTAACTACCTTCTCTAATACGAAAATACTTAGGTGATGCAAATGACGTTTCACTATTTCAATTAACAGAAGTATCAATGCTTTTTAAACTCATTGAGTTAATGGTTACCTATTGAAGAGTAATTATAGAATATATAACATTTTACAGGTGTTCTTATCTTCTTTTATAGATTATTAACTAATGAAGAATATATACATATATATGTGTGTATGAGGCCTTTGAAAGAATAAGATCATCTAAATCTTTTGAAATGTTAAATGAAATAACAACAAGTGCTAATAGAAGAAAAAAGAAAGGATAAAATTATCCATTATTTTACTATCTTAACAAATATTATAAGAAATATTATTTATATAAGAAAGGTAAATAGATAATTATTACTTTTCCTAGAGTATATTCACAACATTTTTTAGAATAGGCCTAGTCTAAAAAATTTTTATTCTATTAAAAAAAGAAGAAAAAAAGGGGAAATTTTCCTATTCTTAATCTCTCTCTCTCTCTCTCTCTCTCTCTCTTTATTTATTTCTTTCTTTCTTTCTTTCACTTTTGTACTAAATTTAACTGAAACTAATATTTTACGTCCTATCTATATATCTATTTATTTGTCTGTCAATCTCTGTATCCTACCACATATTTACATAAATCTTTAACACACTTTTTCTGTGACCCTATCGCCCAATTCTTTTTGTCCCATCTACGTCATCTGCTTTTACCTTTCTATTATATAACTCTTATATGTGTAACAAATTCCACGTTAATTTTCCTTTTAAGGTGTATTTAAAAAAGAATTTATCATGAATAAAGTAAAAATAGAATTCTAAAATGTTTTGTCAATTCCGCCCACCACTGAGTACGCAATCATGGCTTTCTTCCTTTCTCGAATCTTTTATTCTTATTATCCCGATTACTATAACTGCTCCAGTGAATATAGATTAATAATTAGATAATATAACCCTATATAAGAAGAGATCGATTAAAAGTTAATACTTTTCATATTTGCTAATGATTTGATAGGACTATTCGGGTGACTGAGGACATGTTTAAGGGGCCTACTAGAAAAAATGTATGGATATAAAGTAACTCGAAATAGTTTTGCAACAGATATTTTTTTTAGTAATTGTTCTAAAGACAATTTCAAATATCTGTTAAAAAATGAGAGAAATGACGAAGAGGCAGATAGGGGAGAAGCGGAAGTAGAAGAGGAGGAGGAGGAGGAGGAGGAGGAGGGGGAGGAGAATAGATAAAGTAGAAGAAGCAAGAACAAAGCGTTAATTCCTGTAAAAGAAAATGGATAATTAGAATGATGTAATAATTTTGCAGTGCATAATAAAATATTCTCTATTAATAGAAAATAAAAAAGGAAGAGGAGAAGGAGAAGGAGGAGAAAGTACAAGAAACATACCAAGGAAAATCTCTGACTAGCACTAGCCTCTCTGTTCTTTCCTTCTACTTTCTTAAAATTTTTTTAAATAATAATTGAAAATTTTTCAAAAACGTTGGTTGAATGTTAATGAGCCTTTATTCCTATGCAAAGAAACTTGCTTTTGAATGGACGGCCTTAAAAATCGGCCGTATTGAACAGTTTCTTATATTAAACATACCTTACCTTCTTCAGGTAATGCGCCCGGCCCTTTTTCAGGATCGGATTAAATATCTAGGTAATTTTAATATAGAAGAGAACATTTTTTTCAAACTAACTATTAATTTAATAATTCATTATTGAATATATAGAATTAATTAATTAATTAATTAACTTATTAATAATATATATATAATTAATATTTTTTATTTCTTTTTTTTTCTTACTAGATTCTATATATGGTTAATAAAACTTTACCGATTGATTGTATCCATTAACATTTAACCATGACGTAATAGCTATATGTTAATTTTTTAACAACACATTTAGCAAGAATGCTCTAAATAGTCGCTAAAAACGTATTTAAAAGGTAAACTTTTCAACGAATTAATGGCTTGTAACTTTTGTACCACTTGGTTATGACCTTAACAAACAGTCTATGCTATTTATTCACTTTTAGGCCTAATTTTTTTTATTTTTGAAATAACAGACAGCACGACGATAGTTTAATGGAGGTGTTTAAAATGTCGAGATTCAAGTATTACGTAATTATCTCGGCAATATTCATAATTGGTCAATTGATTCACGAAAGTCAAGGTCAATTGGAAGGTAAGATTTTCTTTTATAAAACTAATGAAAAGAAACATAATTAATATATTCAATATTTAGATTGCAAGAAGAAGATGAATGTTACTTTTCTAATTGATTCTTCTGGCTCAGTTATCGATGATGATAAAGATAATTTTCAAAGAATAAAAGACTTTCTAAAGTCAACTACGGATAATTTTCCAACAAATGAGAATGTGTTTTTCTCCCTTATACAATATAGTGATAAAGCTACAGTAGAATTTAAAAGAATTCATCAGTAATTATATAAATATTTATAGTTATAGTCTTATCCTTATCTATCTTAAACATATTACAAATAAGAGTATTTTAGTATTTTTCCCTTTTTTTTTTTCAAGACTATTCTATTCTATATTGATCAACGTTTATCTTGATTCTCTTTCAATAAGATCTATGGTTCTTATAGGAAATATTCAGAGATATTAAAAGTACATTAACACAGAAATGATAAACGATTATTATAAGAGACACTCTTTTTTTTTTAAAAAAAAAAAGTTCTATATAAAATTCTTGAGCAATTTTTTTAATACTTTTTATTATCATATATTTAAGATTTTATGTATACAAAATAAGTTTACTGTATATTGACCTTAGTAGGTTTGTTAGGTTCTTCACCTTTTTAGATTTTATAGGACCCCCTATAGTCCCATTTTTTACTTTAATAGTAGTTTACGTCTTTTCTTTCTTTCTCTCTCTCTCTCTCTCTCTCTCTGTCTTTATATATTTTATTAAATATTGACATGTTTTAAAGATAAGGATTAAGCATTTATTTATTCATAAATATGCTAATTTATTTACATAATTAATAATTTTTTAGCGTAAATAATGAAAAAACTAAGGAAAGAATACAAAATATTGTCTATAAGCCGGGTAAAACAAATGTTACTGGAGCCCTTTTTAAGATGCTGTATGATGTATTAGAGGTAGAAAAGGGTCTTTCCCTCAACAATATAGGGATATTCCTTATTGATGGTCCCGCAACGATTGATAGACAACTAGTCGATACTTATATGAGAGAAGCCGTTGTAAAATATGGAATTACAATGTACTCTATTGGCGTTGGTAACAGAGTAAGAGAACAAGACATTAAAGTAATTAAAGAGTTAATTAAGCATTCATTTATTAATTTATTCATACATATATATTCAGAAATTAGCGTCTAATAGTACAAATAATAAAAGAAATTATTGGAAATTAGACAAATTTACAGATTTAAAAAATATCGTTCTAGACGTTTCTCAACTTGTTTGTCAAGCAGCTGATTCTGGCATTATCATTCCTCCAATATATGGTAAAGTAGATCTTTTAATTTTATCCCTCTCACCCTTTGTTCCTTTTCAATAGGTGATTGTTCTACCAGTAATCATGGCAAAACCTTTTATCTAACTTTTCCACCTATGGATAGTTCCACACCTGATATAAACTTGTTCAGTTGGGGAAAAAACCCAACTAGAATTACTCTTAGCTATCCTAAAGCTGGTTTTGGTTCGACATCTAAGCAACTCGATAGAAACTCGGTTAATTTAAATCTATTATAATTAAATGAAGAATAATTAATAATGTTGCTTTATTCTGTTTTGTCTTTTCTTTCAACAATAGATTAATCAGCTTGATTGGGTAAAATTTGATGTAAATTCAAATGTATTAACTTCCGGCTCGTCGAAACATAATAAGGCTATTAAATTGGAAGCTTCAAGCTCAATCAATGCATTGGCCTTTTCAAATGAAGGAAGGTAATTGAAGGAAAACACAACTTTTTTTTATAAGATTATTAGTAATCATATCTAATAACTTTCCCTTCTTAGCTCATCTTGTTTAGCGTATACGGCTATTCCTACTGAGCATTCGGGTGACTTATATTACGTTTCATCAGGTGGAGGAGTTAGGCGAGAATCGTCAACGTTAAGCGTAATTGCCCATGATAAATCTTTAAATATTATTATTTACCTACCCGATGCCGGAAGTAGTAACCCACTCCAGGTAAATTCGTGTATAAAATTTAGCCTAAATATATATCACAATATAAATACCTAACCCTCTTTTATACCTTTAAAAGAGACCTTATTGATATGATTTAATTTAATACTTATCTGCATTAAATTTATAATTAAAGGGGATCACCAATATCTAAATAGCCCCCCTTTCATTCTTATTGTTAAAATCTACTGTATTTTAGACTATTCTATTATAATTTATTCATATTTTATCTATAACAATAGATAACTAGTGTCCGTTTCTTTTTATAGCTTACATATGATGGAAAAGTTTATAAAAAGAGAGAGGTTATTCAAGTAAATTTACAAGCTAGAGAATCTATTCAATTAGTAGCAACTGAAGGATATTTAAGTGGTACTGCAATCTATTCAACAGATGGTAAATTTTCAACTTTTGCCGGATCTTTAAAAACGAATATTAAGTAATTAAAATTAACTATTCACTCAAATATTTTATTCATAAATATATCTTTTGTTTTTTAATAGCTCTAAAGGAAATCAAGACGCTCTATATACTCAAATCCCTAAAGCTTCAACTTGGGGTGACGAATATTTGATTGTCCCAAATCCAGGTCTAAAAAATCAAGAATACTATATCGAAGTAGTATCTATAGTTGACGAAACAACCGTACTATTCTTTAATGGAGGAGGTAGACATACATTTAGGTTTGTCATAATTAAAACAATAATGATTATATTATGACTCTATACTCATTAAAACGAAACGTTTATGGTTTTATATATATATATATATAGAAAAGCTGGTGGAGTATTTAGGACCAAAATTACATCTTCGAATAAATTTACAAGAGTAAATACAGGAGGAAATCCAATCATGGTTGCTCAATATTTTGGCGACGACTTTAATCAACCTAGTTTAATGACAATACCGCCAACTGAACAATGGAGAAATCAAGCTGAATTTTCAATTCCAACAGAGGCCAATATAACTGTAGTTACTAAGAGTCAGAATACGAATAATCTTGTTATAGACGGAGAATTTATTAAGCCTAGTTAGTTTTATAGATTTATACTAAAATATAAATATATTTTTTTATGGATAGACCTAAATAATACTATTTTCGTTTAGCTATAGTTTGGAGGACGGTTAATCAATACCGTATAGCATCTTTCCCACTAAAGATTGGTTTTCATAGAATATGGTGGCATAGAACAGAGCCAAGCAAGTTTTTAGTATATGTTTTTGGTTCTACCGGAGATTGCGGATATTCATTCGTAGCGGGGAGATGTTTTGGAGAAATAGCTACACCAACAATACCAAGTTTACCTACTCAACCTCCAAGCACTACAAAATTTTCTACTCCAACTCGTCCACCCACGACTCCTAAGTATGCTTCAGGAGTTGCTCATTACGGTATACGCAAATAGTCTTAGCCCTTCAAAACTAATTGCATAATTATACTCATTACTGATGAATCTACAGATGAGATATGTAGAAATTCAACAAGTGGTCAAAATTTTTACATTTCCTTCCCATCTATGTCATCTACTGTTTCAACTTTGGAGGTTTTTATCTCCAGTAAATATGAAACGTCTGCAACGATAACTTATCCAAAGTCAGTAATATATCTGTGTCTTATTATATGATTATTAAACTATACTGTTATTAAAATAGACTGGGAATAAATGGTGGAACGGTTAATGTCGAACAAGGAAGATCTACTAGATTTCGAATTAATAGATTAGCGTCACCGTCCAATTTAGAATCGTATAAGAGGAACGCAGCAGTCAATATTCAATCACTTCGAGATATAAGCGTAAGGGTTGTCGCAAGAGAAAATTCCAATTCCCGTGTTGCTTATACAGCAATTCCAACAAGAGTAACAGGAAAACATTACGTTATTGGTGGAACTAAGGATCTTGAATCTGGAAAATCTATTCTGAACGTTATTTGCTTTGCTGAATATAGATCAACTAGTATTCGGATAACTTTACCAAACACCAACCTCAAATTTACTTATAACAATAAACAATATCAAAGGAGAGATCAGATAGTAATTCAATTGTTCAGCGAAGAAGAACTTCAACTAGCAGCAGACGAAGGAAGCTTTCGAGGAACTATTATAGACGTTGTGGGTGGAGGTCAAATTAGCGTCTTCTCTGGTTCAATTTTAGCCAAAATTAAAAACTCTCAGAGAAATGACGCTCTCTATGAACAAATGTTTCCAAGTACTTCGTGGGGAAACGAATTTCTTCTAACTCCTTACTCTAATGTTAATGGATGGAAGGTTTCTGCCACGTTCATGGATAAGGGTATTTCGATATTTTTAAACGGAGGTGGCCGATATACATCGCAATATGTTGGCGACATTTGGGAAAATGAATTAACTGATGGACAGGTCTATACAATTTCAACAAAAAAATCAGTCGAAAACTCAAAGATAATGGTACTTGTTACTTACGGATCAGATAGTGGGGACAGTAGTACTGTTGTAGTGCCACCTGTTGCTCAATATAAAAACCAATTCTACTTCTTTGCTCCATCGACCGGGATTTTATCAATAGCAATACCCAAGAATAAGAGAAACAGCCTACTCTTAGACGATGCTTCGTATACTTCATGTAAAGCAATAATAAACTTTATTCAAATTTTAGTATTCATAAATCTTCCTTTCCAGCAAATTGGAAATCCTTCTCATCATCATCTTTCGGTAATAATTGGGAAGTTACAACCGTAAGCGTAAGTTCAGGTGTCCATCAAATATTTTGGAAAGGTGAATCAGAAACCAGCGGATTTTTAGCTATCTTCTTCGCTAATGTAAATAATGCTGCCTATTCATTTTCCCTTGGTCAATGCCTGTATCGTATTGGCGTAAGTATTTAATAATTTCTACCATTCAATAATTATTTGAGTTCATTGACAAAACTAGGGTGAATTGGACATTTCAACTCGAAAACCAACAACCAGAACAACTGTTACAACTGTAACAACTATAACAACTAAAACAACTCTTCCACATCCGACAACAGTAGTAACAGATCCACCGAATCCATTTGTGGCTAATTACGGTAATTAGAAGATTTTATTATTAGAATAAATACAATGTTTTGGTTTTCTTCCTCCAGCTGATAGTTGTAGGAATTCAACTTTTGGAAAGGAATTTTACGTGTCATTCCCATCACTACTCACCACTGTATCATCCCTTGATATTTACATCTCATCAAAACAGACTACAACAGCAACTATAATGTTTCCAAAGTAATATACAAGTCATTTATTCTTAATGAACCTTTCATTTAGTTGTCTAATGAAAACTAAACATTTGAATTAAACAGACTTTCAATAGGAAACATAGCATCAGTTGTATCACCGGATAACGCTATCAGAGTTAATATTGATAAAGCACTGTCACCACCAGGATCAGTTAAATCTTTTAAAAGAAATTTAGCAATCAGAATTAGCGCCAGTCAAGAAATTGGAGTTATTCTTGCCGCTAGCGAGGATGATCAGCCAAATTCTGGTTCAGAGCATTCTTATCTCTCTTACTCTGGTAAATAATACATGGTACATTATCTTTTACCTTAATTTCGTTATCTTTCATCTGTAACAGGCTTTCCTGTCGATGTTACTGGTCTCAATTATGTTGTTGGTGGCCGAAGAATGATTGACTCTGGAACGTCAGTTTTGAATATTATAGCCCATCGAGATCATAGGTCAACAACAGTTAGAATTTCTTTACCAGCAACCATAGGCTTCAGAATGATTTTCGATGGTCGAACCTATAAAGAAAGTGAACAATTAGTTGTTCAATTATTGAGTGAAGAAGAATTACAATTAGTTGCAGAAGCAGGTTCCTTCCAGGAAACTCTAATAAACGTCGAAGGCGGTGGATCAATCAGCGTTTTTGCTGGTTTTGTCAAACCTTTAATACAAAACTCTAAAAAATCTGATGGTTTCTTTAGTCAATTGAATCCAATTGCCTCATGGGGTCGTGAATTCCTGTTGGCTCCGTTTCCAGGTTTCTCAAAGTGGACAGTATCCGCAACCTTCCTCACGAAAGGTATATCTATCTTCTTAAATGGAGGAGGAAGATACACTTCTCAATTTGCTGGTGATGTCTGGGAAACTGAGCTAGATATGAATAATATCTATTACTTAACAACAAATAAAAATTCCCAAAATTCTAACGTATTGGTAACAGAGACATTCGGTACTGAACACGGCGGTGGAGTGAGTTCCGCTCTGGTTCCACCAATAGAACAATATAAAAATCAATTTTATTTCTACGCACCAACCGACGGCGATCTAAGAGTAGTTATTCCTAGAAATAGACGGGATAAACTACTTTTGAATGGATTGGTTGTTCAAGCAAGTAAGAATATATCTAGGCCTATTACTTTTACTGAAATTAATGTTACCTGTGAATGTTTTTGTAGATAATTGGAGAAGATATAGTTCATCAGTTAGTAATTGGGAGACAGCTTATTTCAGAATTACAAGAGGAACATATAGATTGTTTTGGAATACTGATGCTATTACTGCTGTTGGATTTTCGGCATTCTTTTACGGATCTCAAAGTAATGCTGCACATTCATTTTCACTTGGACAATGTCTTAATTTTATTGGAGTAAGATAGGAATATTATAGAGGATATGCTTATGATATTTATATTCTTCTTCCTTTTTATAGGGTGATATAGTTATTCCAACGGTTTCCACTCTTAGGCCAACGTCAACAGTAACTCCTGAGATTACAACTACTCCTACTACTGGTTAATTTCATAAATATTCCGATTTCTTTCGATGATTCTTTATTATTATCATTATATTAATTCCTACAGACAAACCTTGTGTTAATAGTACTACTGGAAGAATTTTCCATCTTTCTTTCCCAGTAGCTTCATCATCTACAATTCAATCCATTCAAGTACTTATCTCAACCGAAAATGGAGCGTCCATAACATTGTCCTACTTTGAGTAAATATATATATATATATATATATATATCTATATTACTAATATATATATATAAATGAATATTGCTATTATATTCTAATTTCATTGATTCTATTAATATTAATATAGACAAGGATTTAATCCAGTTAGGAGAAGTATTGGTAGAAGAGCAGTAGAAACTATTGATATTAACCCAAGAGTTCTTCACCAAAGAACAGTATCTGGAAAGGGTAGAACTTTTGCAAGAATTGAAGCATCAACCGATGTTAGTGTAGTAGTTTATATGAGAGACAGTTCGTCCACTTGTTCTGCTTACAATGCTTATCCAACGAATACGTTAGGAACTCAGTATTTCGTTTCCGGTCCAAGGACAACTAACGGACAATCAGTTCTAAGCTATATTGGATCGTCGAATTTCCGCTCAACTCTGGCACAAATAAGATTACCGAATAGAGATATAGAGGTTAGTCTTGACGGGAAGACTTATCGTCGTAACGATATCTTCCAAGTTCAAGTTCAAAGCAACGAAGATTTACAACTGGTAACCACAAGAGGCGATTTTAGAGGTACTGCAGTTGAAGTAATCCAAGGAGATTCAGCTGCAGTTTTCTCTGGTTATTATGATACTCAAGTAGCTCGTACAGGACAAAAAGATACTCTTCTAGAGCAATTAACTCCAACCAATAGTTGGGGTACAGAGTTCCTTGCGGCGCCTGACCCTTCAAGAGGGAAATACTATATTGCAATAACCTTCTTAGAGAAAGGAATAAGTTTATTTGTAAATGGCGGTGGAAGATATACATCTCAGTTTGTAGGCGATACATGGGAAGGTGTCGGTAATAACAACGAACTACAATATATTACAACGAAAAGTGGACGCTTACGCAATGGTTCTCCAATCTCTGTGTCTATCATCTACGGAGGAGAAGATGGTTCACAGCCTAGTATGATTATTGTTCCGCCTATGGAACAGTTTCCGAATAGTTTCCATTTCGCTTCACCAACTAATGGATTTGCAAGAGTAATTATTGAAAAGGGTTATAGATCTAACATTAGATTAAACGATAGACCTTACGAGACCAACTCTTGGCAGTCATTTTCTAATGTTAACTGGGAGACAAGTGTTATCAGTTTGCAATCTGGACGAAACTCTTTTACTTTATCCGGTTTACCGACTGAGAGAAAGTTTGCTGTCTACGTTTACGGTTCGGATAATGAATGTTCCTACGCTTTTTCAGCTGGAATGTGTCTTTCGCAATTGAATGTGAGTTATAGCGTACACATAGAATATTAAAATTTATTGTGATCTTTTCTCTAAAGAGCGGAATAAAGCCTACTGGACCTCCGACTCCAGTTACGGTAACGATTCCCGTCCCAACGCCTACTCCTATAGTTATTACTGTCGAGCCTCCTGTTACTATACCTGTTCCAATACCATCACCCTCTCCCATTCCAGTTCCAACACCTACTCCTCCAGTTCCCACTCCTACTCCCACTTTTACTCCCCCCACTACTCCCGCTCCTCCCGATGGTTGCGTATTATCCGATGTCGTTTTTATCCTAGACGGTTCAGCTTCTATTTCCGGTAAAAGTTTCGCCTACTCGCTCATCTTCACTCAGGAACTATTGTCAAATTTTGATTTTAAGAAAACTAGAGTGGGAGTTATCATATTCAGAAAAGGAGTTGAGTTAAAATTCCATTTGAATCGTTATAGCAACGTTGAAGACTTCAGAAATGCTCTTTTTACAGTAACTATTGCAGTTTATATTTATATATAGAACTCACCTAAAATTTAATTCAATTTGCAGAGCGAATACAATCGAGAAGGAAAGGCTTATCTTGGCGAATCTATTGAATTTGCTAGAAAGTATATGTTTACACCTCAAAATGGTTCTAGACCAAATGCGAAACGTTATCTAATCGTTTTAACTGGTAAATTATTAATCTTTTATTAATATAGAAAGTATTCTCTTCCTTATCTATTAAATTTTAATTCGATAGACGGAGCCTCCAATAATAAAAGTTTAGCATCCCACGAAGCAAGTTTAGCCAAGAAAGAGAATATTCATATAATATCTATTGGAGTAGGAGGGTATTGTATAGGACTAAATAATCTATAATAATTACTGATATTAAAACTATTACAGTTACCTAGACAAGGATGAACTACAGACAATATCTAGTTATCCATTTACCAATAACGTTATATTTGTTGACAAATTCATTCAGCTTCTACAAATTAATAATCACAATAAATGGCAAGACAAACTGCACAGAATGATATGCTATAGTAAGTTATACAGTATATTAGATACTTTTTGCAGTATTTTCCAGAGTAATTTATCAATAATTCGCTTCTTTTCTTTCCTAATTAATAGAAGAGAGAATGTGTCTTTCATCGTCAAAATGCATTCGTAATTCAAAGTGTTTGGATACAGTTGATTCGTATATTTGTCAATGTCCTATTGGAAAATCTGGATCAAATTGTGATCAAAATTGTCAGGATTCCACGGACGTTGTATTTGCAGTCGATACTTCAGGTTCAATAGGCCGAGAAAATTTCCAAATAATGATGGGCTTTATCAGAGAAGTTGTAACTGAATTGCCTCTAAATGTGAGAGTTGGCTTGGAAACATTTGGAGATGATCGAAAAATATACGTGAACCTTGGCGATTTTGTGGACGATAGGCTTAGTTTATTAGATGGTTTAGCTGTACCATATTATACTGGAGGAAAGACTAATACAGCAGCCGCAATAAAAGCTTTAAGAACCGAGATGTTTATTCAGAGAAAAGGTGCTAGACAAGGAGCTACGAAAGTCGGAATAATTATTACAGATGGTAAATCAACAGATGTTGAAGAAACTATAAAGGAGGCTAGATTAGCAAGACAAGAAGGCATTCAGATTATTGTCATCGCTATCGGCGATCAATTCCGAGATATTGAACTTGTAGCTTTAGCCGATAATCCTAACGTTCTTATAAGCATAGACGATTTCATATCGCTTCTTTCAGTAAAAGATCGTCTTATCAGTAGCTTGTGCAACGAGATAAATGAATGTATAACGTCACCTTGCCAAAATGGAGGAAATTGTAAAGACTTAATCAACACTTACGAATGCGTTTGCCCTCTAACGGCTACTGGTTTGAACTGTGAAAGAAAATGTAATTCAAAATTCGATTTATCAATAGTAATCGATCGATCGGGTTCAATTACGCAAGAAAATTTCCCAGATGTTAGAGAGATGATGGCGTCTATTTTACTGCAATTAAATATCAATTTAAACGCAGTAAGAGTATCCGCTGTATCTTTTGCTGATACTGCAAAAATTGAATTTAATTTAACTACTTTCTCTAACAAGAAAGATGCTATGCTGGCTTTAAGAAGAATAAAATATAGCGGTGGTTCTACAAACATTGGATACGCCTTTGATATGTTACTTTCAGACGTATACCAGCAAAGAGCTGGCGATCGTAACGATGCTCCAAACTATGTTATTCTCTTTACGGACGGTGAACCAGCCGAAAAGAATAATGTAAACACAATAAAAGCCGCCGTAAAGGCTAGAAAAGCTGGCCTACATATAATAGTCATAGCTATCGGAAAGTATTTGAACCTTAAGGAACTTTATTCCCTAGCTTCTTATCCAGGAAAAGCTAACGTATTTACTGCGGACAATTTTAATTCTCTGCTAGCTATTAACGAGGTCGTTAGGCGGATAGTTGGAACTGTTTGCAACGAGCAGAATGAATGCGTAAGCCAACCTTGCTTGAACGGTGGAACATGCTTGAATGGTATCAATCACTGGACATGTAATTGTCCAATAAGATCTACTGGTTTAACGTGCGATAGAACTTGTACTAGGCAAGCCGATGTTGTCTTTGTCGTCGACCTAAGCGGATCCATGACAGATGAATACTACGAGATTAAACTAGGTTTTATTAGAAGGATAGTCGCTGGTTTGGAATATCGATTAGATATGGTTAGAGTAGCGTTAGTTAGCTATGAAACAGAGGTGACAGTTCACTTCCTCTTAAATGAATACTCAGACACTCGTGACCTCCTCAATGCTGTAGTTTTCTCAAAACTAACCGGCGGTAGAACCAACACTCAAGGCGCCTTGGAGCTTGTTAGAAATACTGTTCTGCAGGTTTCATCCGGAGCAAGAATTGGTGTACAGGATCACGTTATCGTTATAACGGATGGCGAGAGCAATATCGATGAGAATCAAACAAAGATTAAGGCTGATGCCCTCAAGAACGACGGTGCAAAATTGTACGTAGCCGCCATGGGCCGACAGGTCGATATGGCTGAAATAGTAGAAATAGCGAGCGGAGTAGGAGAGCCTTTTGTTCAATTGTTAGAAAACGAAAGGGATAGTTTCATCGCCGCTGATCGTATATTAGACTCTATTTGTAAATAAGCAAAAGACAAAGAGAGAAAGAAATGCATTCACAGGTGCTACTGCATTTTATATGGAAAAAATGACTATTTTCTTGGACACTTAAAAAAGGAAAAGTTTTCCATAAAACTTTGGAAAAATATAACTTTTTTACGTATTTCTTTAATATGACAAATGAAAAGTTTACTTTTTAAAAAGTCCTTTTCCCCTATTCTTTTCCTTTTATTCCACCTAATAACTACGTTTTTTATTAATTCTTAAGTTGATCTATTTGGACTTTGTTTCCAAAACTTTGCTCTTCTTATTTTATGTTGTCATAATTTTATCGGATTCCTAGAAACTTTTGTTATTTTTAGCAAAGAAAAAATAAAAAAAAACCTTCCTCTCCTTCTCCTCCTCTTCCTCCTTTCACCCTCTCCAACCCCTCCCACTCCAAAATTTACTGAATAAATTAGTAAATATTTGTATAAAATGAAAAATATTTATAAAAAATGAAAAATATTTATAAAAAATGAAATATTTTTTTTTAATTTTGATTTTTATTCTATCAGACTTTTTGTTTTATAACTAAATTAAATTAGATTCTAATTATTCGTAAGAAATATAGATTTTTAGTAATAAAAGATTAGTTATTTTACTTTTCATTTACTACGAATAGGTAATCCGTAAATAACTTGGGAAGCTGCTGTTAAATATTTTAATTTGCAATTTTGACGGGCTTCCTTGCTTATAAACGGAACATATTCGTGCTTATCAACGGAATTTAATGCGGATATCTCTTCTTTAGTAAACAGATCAATATCCCTATCAGTTACTTGCCACATATTTCCCATGATACTTGGGCTGGAAAATTTCAAAATTCATAATTAGTATTTATTTATAATGAAATATAATTTAATTCTTAATTACCATCCACTGCTTAGAAAATTCAATACAGTTCTTCCCCAAGCATCAAATTCTCCCTCCGTTGTCAATCGAACGCTACTACATCCCATTAAAATAGCTGTCGACTTCATTTTTAGTCTAAATAATTCTTCTTTTTTTGAAAAGCATTGGCTTCCCGAACCGTGACCAGCATACACAAATAGATTCTTTGATTCCAATACCATCTTTAGTTCCTCCCAATCCGGTAATTTTCCTTTAGCACCACTCCAACCTAGTTTTTCAAAGAAAGGTAATAAAAGCTTCTGAGAATCTGGTAAATTATTGTCCGGATCCAAAACATAATAAGCGTTTTTAGTAACCATGCTCTCCTTATCCATCAAGTAATAATGCTGCGGTATGCAGTGTAGAGAAGGCATACGATAGCTTTTATAGTTATCCCTCAAAAACGGCATATTTTCAAAAGGTATATGTTGCAATAACTGTACAGAAGTTGATTTGTGTAAAAATGTCAATACTTTTCAATCAAATTAAATTACCCTATCGATAATGAGGACTAGTGGTCGAGTTGTCATAACAGAACAATTAAGCTCTTTTTCGTATTTGACAATCATCTCTGTCAGCTTGGCCGAATCGAATATTACAGGTGTTTTGTTAAAAGAGCAGTACAAGATGACTGTTTGTTCAATTTTCGATCTTGTTAAGAAACTAGCCCCGTTGAGCAGTACCTATATACAAATTTTAACATATATTAATGAGACTTGGATTATTTATGCAAATAAACAATAAGCAAACCATAAGAAAGTGAACGTGATCTTTTAGGTTAAACTCTTCGGCGAGGTTGATAGCTCTCTCTTGTAATAAATCGTAATCAGTTTGAACTAACGGCAGGGGTTTCATAAAGATGATAAAAGTATCAAATAAACTATTCTCTAAAGATTCCAATAGAGTCTAAGATCATGCGAACAAAAATAAAGACAAATGCCCATCAATTCAACAAATTAGAAAAACAAACAAACTAATTTCTTTACCTTCAACTCTTTGTCTAATTTATTTCGAGTTTTCCAGTAGGAATATTTCTCAGTCAGCGACGTTGAAAAATCTTGTTGTTTAATCAAGTCAGAAAACTTTTCCACGTTTTTCTGACACTATAAAATTAATAGTTACAATAAACATAATTAACTGTGCTATTATACATTAAATAAATATATATACATATATTTAAATAATTACCTCATTTAATTCAAAACCCCCTAAGGGAATCACAATCGGTCCTAGATTCTCATTATAGCGTGTCAAAAATAAACGTTGATTGTGAATTTTAGACGGTCTTGCGACAGTTAGTTGACAGACTGTTATATCTATAAATATTAAAAATAATTGCTGAATTTATATTCATCCAATAAACAATGTAAATAGAATTACTTTTTGGAATACTTTTCACCATTGTGTGGTGACTGGTCCAATCACTTCCAAATTTTATATACTTAACGCTATTTAAATAGCATTCTGTTGACGATCTAAGTACAATAGAATAAATTTAGAATATCTGAATTGGAATTATTATATTAATTACAAAATAATTAAACTTACTCAAATTTTTTTGCCATAACCAGAGGTAAAAAATGTCTGTAAGTGATTCCGTGCGTTTCTGTCAGATAGAAACTCTTTTCTACAGGATTGTCCGAAAGCAATGCCAAAGCACCACACACATATCGATATAGTACTGTTGGTGGTTCATTTTTTATTCTATTAAATAGATCAACTAATATTATTTTAGCCTTGTTTTGATCCTTATGAAAGCCTAAAGAGTAAGAAATGAATAAACTTTTCATATAATTTATCTCATTGAAATTAACGCGTACCATTTACTATTGATATAGATTTTGACATGTTCGTTGGTGATTTGGAATCGTCACTATTGACATCATTTGAATTTCGGATAGCTTCCATATCAACTTTGTCATCATTTAAACTCCGTAATCTTGTCTTGTGCTAAATAGATCAAGAAAAATTATTAGAATAAATCCTAAAAATAACTTAAATAAGAAACCTCCTTAGGCCTTAGACCACTTCGTAATTTTCTTTCCTTAAGTTTGGCTTTATGACCCAATATAGGACTGGAAACGAAATCACCTGCAATTTGGAGTAATTCATTTTCTCTTCTCCCCATTTCTAATTTAAGAAGTTGGGGAAAAGTAGCAATTGCTTGATAATATAATCTTTCTTCTAAATAGTCACTGTCAATCAGGAATGGATATTTGTCAGAAACAAGAAGTTTCTCTGTTTTCTTTATAAATTCCTTAAATCTTTTAGCATTATGGAAGCAGGTTGCTGTTCTTAAATACAAAATGTTCAATTCAACGAGTTGTTTATGGTATAAAAGACTAGAAACTGTTGAGTCGACGTGTACACTATCGTAATCTTTCCAAGAGTAAAAGGCTGTCTTTAAACATTCGTAACCTTTCGTTGTAACTGTATGATAGATGATAGGTAAAGGTTTCATAGCAGAATCAACAGCTTTTTTATCATTTTTCGATTCTGCACACTCAACTGTTCTATAATAATAATTTAATATGGCAGATTGTAAAATAATGTCACTGCAATAATCGCATGAACAAGATTCGTGTTCCCAATATTCAAGTTTCTTTTCTGAACGACGAGAGAGTATCATATCATCTTCTCCGTCGTCTAAACCACTTTCACTTTCATGACCACTTTCATCATCTTCCGCATTCTGATTTAAAACAGCACTAGATTTAATTTCAAATCCATCATCGTCATCATCATCTTCTTCTTCTTCGTCCTCATTATCCCCCTCATTTGCATTATCGTTAGATCCTTTTGTCTTTGATTTCTGCTTAGCTTCCGCCTCAGTGACAGGGATTGTCTCTGATGTAAGAATGTACTCGACTTGATGTAATGTTACAGTAGCTGACTTCAATCTATCAGTCATTACTTCGAATTTTTCTTGCAAGATAAGAAATTCAACAACCCTTTGAAAGAATAAGTTTTAGCATCTCATAACGAAATATTGAATAAATACCAATGAGGAAGGCATAAAGAAATAGCCAAAGCTTTTCCTTCGTGCAAATAGACCTCGACATAACGAGTATCACCAATCTTTATCATCAAATTGATATAGTCTTTCAAGCAATTAAAGGACAATGATAATACTCTATATTTATCGTTGCGTTCAACTGAAATACAACCTTTGTAAGATTTAAAAGTAAAGCAAAAATTTTTATCCTACTTAGATCGGTATTATCCTCCTTACAAACAAAATGTAGTTTAATGAGTTTGAAGCATTTTGTAACAGCCTGTTCCAGGTAGTGGGTTTTGCATATAAATCTATCATCTCTCATCGACATCTATAATTTTAAAAGTAAAAAATTACACATCAAAAAGTATTATTAATCAAAAAACTGCATTTACAAAAGGAACCAACTTTAGCTAATAAAATATCGATAGATATTTTTAATGGTAAAGTTGTCATATTCTTCCAAAATGACGGTTGATAGCTATCAATTATTTCTTGCAGTAATTCTAGACCTTCCTTAATCTATTAAAAGATTTATTACTATAAACCATACAGATATCATATGAAAAATTTTGTACCTTTCCAGTGAGGAAATTAACGTGAGCTTTACAAAGAGCAAACTTTATGGTTAAGATGTCATTTTTTTGAAAGCTACTACAGTTTAAAATGGTTTCAGCTTTAACAAGCATTTCTTTAGCGCAGGAGAGAGAATTCATTTCACTGAATAGAAAAATGAGCCTCCATAAAATCTCTAAATGAATATTTAATAAACGTCGTTCAGTTCTGGATTGAATAGCCCCTAATACTAAGAAGAGTGTTTCTAATTCTTTGTTTGGCTGTATTGAATTATTTTGAAAGTGTAATTAAATGAACATTAAAGAATAAAATTAATAATACTTACCATTCGTAACAGATTAAAAATATCTGCTATAATTATAATTTCTGTCACAATTTCTTTAAGTGTAGAATTATCTTTCTTATCAAAACTTTTGACTTTCTTCCACATATTTAGAGAATCTTTTAGAATTGAACATCTTTTGTATTGAGCAAAGAGAGAAGGTAATTTGGCAGTTGAAATAAGTTCTTTACGTTTCTCCAATTTTTCATCAGTTAAATTCTACAAAATAAGAATGAATTATTTCATTCTATTGGCATTCATAAATTATAAAAATACAATGGTATGATAAACTTACTAGAACAATTCGCTCATCTTGAAATAAATATTTTAGATAATAACAGTAGGCTTTGATTTCGTATGCACTATCGGATTCAACCTCTTCATATTCATTTAAAATACTTCCTAAAAGATCTTGCACTTTCATTTCTCTTTTGAAGTTTTGTAGAAGCATAAGTTAGAAAAGTTTAGTGAATAGATTATTATAAGAATTATCTATACCTCTGAGCGGAAGTAAGATGATTACTGGAAAGCATCTTCAGCTTAATATCATACTTAATTATAGTTGCTAAGAATTCGTCGTCATTGAACGTTCTCCACTCATTTAGGAACTTTTCTATTAAATCATATTTCTTATTTCGAAATAACTCGTCAATAAGAATTTTGTAAAATGTTGACAGCTTTGCCTATTAATACATTCTGGATCAATAATTAGTACTGTATTAGAAATTTAATAACTTACGTCCTTTGCCGTCTTAATACGACTTTCATTTGAGTCTTGTAAATCAATACAAAATTTTAAGCAATTTAGAACTAACTCGCAGATGTCAACAACAAAATCTTTATGGAAATTCAAGCAGTATTTATTTACTACAGCAGCTGTATTGAACCAAGTATAATTAGTATTACTAATACTATTAAGTTACAAAAATGGTATTAATACCTAAATTCCAGTACTGGGAACGAAGAAAATTATGTTTATTCTCTGTGGAATTTTCCAAAATGCTATGAAATTTTTGAATTATAAGAAGAATTTCTTTCATAGTTTGTTTTCGATCTGTAAAATTGTTTCATAGTAAATGACAACAACCGTTAATTCTGTATAATAAATACCTTTGATGAACTTATCCAAATTTTGTAATAAATAATAAATTGTCTCATATAGTGCTTTTATCCATAATTTTTCAGTCACGAGCTCCCCTTTCGTTTCCTTGTATTCGTTGTAATTAATCGATAATATTCGGACGATGAATTGAGTTATATTAGTGAAGAAATAGTCGGAATTTTTAGGCAAGCATTTAAGAGATTCATTTAAAAGTTTTAATCCTTTTAGACAGTTGTTTGAAGGTTTAATGTTAACTTCTTTAGCTACCTTCAGCTGTTCTAGAAAGTTTTCTATTTTATTTGCTTTATCTGCCATAGAAATTCGATAGATAGGAAACTACTAGATAAAACTTTTTTTTTCAGGTTCAAAGAAAACTAGTCGAGGATTTGCTGCTATCGAAATTAACTATTAAAAACCAGCCTTATTTATGATGCCGCCATTTTCATGAAGAAACTGAAATCGGAAGTTGAATTATAAGACGAAGACGTTGATTGGTTTAAATGAGCGATATGGTATACTTTTATCAAATTTTGTTTATAAAAACCTTATTTCATAGATATTTTGCCAAAAGTAAAATTTTAACCAAAATTAGTAATAAAAAATCTGATTAGTTTTCAATTTAAAAATTATTATATTTATGAAACTTTTGTTTTTTTCTATTAAGGTAGACGGTTGGCTGGTTCGTTAAATTATTGATTGTGTGGATTGTATTCCGAATCTATTTTCAAATTAACTTTAGTTACTTCGAGCATAAACCATAGTTCGTCAATATTTTCAATGTATACTTTTAAATCGAGTTAGAAAGCATGACAAGATTCGCTAGAGGTGGTCCTGCAAATCAGAAGAAGCCACACGAGGCATCAAGCTGGTCGTCACTCTCGGAGAAAGTTCCAGAAAAGAAAGGAAACAAAAATCTAAAACGGCCTCACCCTGAATCCAAAACTTATTCGAAAGAACGGGAAAGATTAGAAAACTTAAAAACAGAATATAAAGATGATACAGAGGCCGCAGAAGCAATCGACACGGTTATCCGAAAGGATGATCGACGAGAAAACCGTAGAATAAAGCGAATAGATCAGAGAGAGTTGGGAAAGGCCTGCTTTAATTGTAGAAAACCTGGACACTCGGCAGAGCACTGCCCAGAATCAAAGACAAAAATTGGATATGGTATTTGCTTTAAATGCGGTTCAACAGAACATTCAATGCATACTTGTAGGGTTAAAGTACCAGACGGACAATTACCCTATGCTACTTGTTTTATTTGTAAAGAAACTGGTCATTTATCAAACCAGTGTCCAGATAATCCAAAAGGACTTTATCCAAATGGGGGTTCTTGTCGATCCTGCGGCTCTGTAGAACACTTTAAAAAAGACTGTCCTGAATTTATGAAAAGGAGCGGTATAGCTCATACAACATTAAAAACATTAGCGGATAATAATGTTGATGATGAAGCGGTAGAAACTGTTAAAGAACCTGTACGGACTAAAAAAGTTAAAGTAGTTAAGTTTTAGAAATTAAAAGTTACTATTTGTAAAAACAGAAATTGATAATAATATTTATAATAATTTAAAGAATGTATTTTCCTGTTTCTTTGTACATATGCTTTATAAAAAAGGTCTATATCGATACGTCTTTCTAATGAAATAAAACAACATCCATAAAATAAAGAAAAAAGGCTGAATTGAGGGAATTCTTTATCTTCTTCTTGATTTGGACTTTGCTGGAGCGGGTGAATCCTCATGTTTGGCTTTCTTTGCTGGAAGTCCAGCTGCACTACCAGCTTTACGTTTTCCATCTGACGGCTGACTGTCCATGTGTTCTCTTTCGATCAACGAAATTAATGTATTACACCTCCTTTGAAGCTCCGAAGACGTGCGAGATTTTAGAAACCAATCAAATCTGTTGAAATAAATGTTATGAATATTTAAAATAGGAAATATTGTTAGCTATATTTTTACCTAAACTGGGGCGCATTTCTTATACACATTCTTAGTTCATCATAAACATAGTCTTTTTCCAATCCAAGTTTGTGTAAAGTACAAATTAAAAATCTATCCTCTTCTTCAGTATAATTTTTTCCTTTATTTGTGCCATAATGTAATCTTAATTGATGGAAAGGTGCCTTATATTGTTCCATTTTGCTGTCTAAGGCTTTTTTAACAGCATGCTTCCTGGCAATTTTCGCCTCTCCCCTCTCTATTTGAGCCATAATTTTTTCGACGTCGTGTAATTCTGTGCATCTTGACCAAAATACAGTAGAATAGTCCATGACCTGTTCAGAAGTTTTACCATCGACTTCCTTTGATATAGAATCTAAATCATCTCTCCCGTATTTTTCATTTGCTTTAATAAACTGATGAAAATCTCTGCGGGACCAGTGTGTGAAACCTTGCTTTAATAGTTCATCTTTTTCGCCTACTTCGTCCTCTGTTAGTGGTTCACTCTCGTCAATTCTTCTCTGTTCATCTCGACGTTCTCTTTCCGCTTCAGCTGAAGGCAAATCTGGATTTTTAGCAGCTCTGTATCCAACAGTTTTTCGGAAGTAGTATATCTCCTTATCAAGAAGTTCAAAGAGCCTTGGCGGAAAAAATTGAAAGTCATGAACAATTGGTTGTTTTGGTGGACGAGGAGCTTTTGGAGCTTTTGGTTCGGCTGACGTTACTCTTAGAGCATCTCTAAAATACGCATCAACTGCGTAATTAGCTTTTCTCTCACGTTTCGGTGGTTCAATCCAACTCTGAACCTTTTGTTTTGCTCGATAGTCTTCGCCTTCGAATTCGTAGATGGTATAATTATCTTCCGTATCAAACGTTAGAGACCTTAAATTCCCTTCTCCCATATCTTTTAGTTTTTCAGCCAATTCTTTCGTTTTTTTTTCACCCCGTTCTAAGAGGCTGTCAATATCTTCGTCAGTAATTTCACTGTCTTTCGAAGAGAAGACATGCTGTGCGCCGTGACGAATCATATTTAACATATCATCTTTTCCTAGTTTATTACCAGCTCCGTCGACTAATCGACCTTGCTGAATAACAATGCTATCTAACTTTAATTTCATTTCGGCTCTTTCACAAATTCTTTCGTCAACGGTATTTTCTGTTATTAATCTGAATACTCTGACTTGTTTCTTTTGACCAATTCTATGAGCTCTATCCATGGCTTGCAGATCGGCTTGGGGATTCCAATCTGAATCGTACAAAATTACTACATCCGCTGTTGCCAAATTTATACCTAAACCCCCTGCCCTCGTTGAAAGCATAAAAATGAATTTAGATGAATTGGGCGCATTATATTCATCAATCTGTTGTTGTCTAATGTCGTGTGACGTTTGGCCATCAAGACGACAATAATTATATCCTCTCCAACAGCAATAATCCTCCAAGATGTCTAACAATCTTGTCATCTGACTGAAAATTAAAACACGACTATCTTGCTCTTTAAGCTTTGGTAACAACTTATCTAGTAGGATCATTTTCCCGGAATTATCAACGATATGTTTATCAGTTGTGTAAGGAGGTCCAGGCTCGGCACCGTCGAACAGATATGGATGATTTGTACACTTTCTAAGTTGCATCAAAATATTTAACAACCTCATTTTATCTGATCGTCCTGTAGCTCCGTTAACTATATCAATGTCTTTCATTAAAATCCTTGTATACCATTCTCTTTGCATTTTTGCTAAGCCAATATAAATTTTTGTTTCTTTCTTTGGCAATAGTGCGTGCTCTACATCCAATTTAATTCTTCTTAACATAAATGGTCGTAGAACTGAATGAAGACGGTGAACTAGCTGTTGGTCAGCAGATTGAATACTGTTGGTGTTAAACCAAGCATCAAAGTCATCTGAAGAATTGAATACATCAGGCAAAAGAAAATTTAAAAGAGACCACAGTTCGTGTAAATTATTTTGTAAAGGTGTTCCAGTTAACAACAAACGATTAGTACTACGAAATTCTCGAACCATTTCAGAAAGCTTAGATTTCTCATTTTTAATTCTGTGAGCCTCGTCTATAACTAAGTAACGCCAATTGAATCTTTTAAGAACAGCTCGTTCTCTCAAGATCATTTCATATGAAGTTACACATATATTCCATTCTGTGGCTGGTAATAGTGTATCTCGTATTATAGCTGATCTTTGTTCTTGATTTCCTATTAGGCAAACTGCTGTCATCGAAGGGCACCAGCGTTTTATCTCATTCATCCAGTTTGATAATGTTGATTTAGGAGCAATAATTAAGTGAGGTGAAGCAACATTTCTGTAATGCTTCATATAGCCAAGAAGAGAAATAGTTTGAAGAGTTTTTCCCAATCCCATTTCATCCGCCAATATTCCATTTATACCATTTTCATAAAGAGAGATTAACCAATTTAATCCACGAACCTGATAGTCTCTCATCTTTCCTCCTTCGATAAATGAAGGACTGTCTTCAAACCTTCAAAAAAAAAAGTCTAGTAATATTTCTCAGAAATTATTCCAAATAACCTTGTAACTTTTCCCGATTGAGTGTTGGTTTTTGCGGCCACGCTTAGTAATTCTTCGTCTTCTTCTTTTTCAGTTCTTCTATGTCGATGATCATCCGAAGAAGATGTTGTTCGAGTTCTTGTGCTGGTTTCTTCGGCTTGTTGGGCAACTTGTTCCAAACGCATCTTCAGAGGGGAGGTAGGTTTCGTTGTTGTTGGAGATCCAGTAGCCATAAAATGGGCGAAAAATTCCGTTTGTTTGAGAAGAAAGTCGAACCTTTTCGTGGCATCACTTTTCTAAAAAATAAATCGTTTATTAGACAGCGAAACAAGAAAATATGATTTACTTACAATCTTCGCATGATAGTCTGTGTCCGATCTCGGCTTTGGAAGTGGTCGGCCATTCTGCTAAGATAGTTATGTTAGGGAAACAATGGAAGAAAACGAATACAAATGAACCCAACGAAAAATAGTACATGTTTACTAAAGATCGTGAATCAAATACTATTAAATAAAAACTTAATAAAAATTCTTACTATTACCTCTTCTGAAGAGGACGTTGCTGAAGAATCTCCGTCTGAATCCGACATATTAGATCAGTTTAAGCGGATATCAGAGATGAACAGTCGGGAAAATAACCGCTTTTTGCAAATTTATGCAAAATATCTGTTACCAGTTATTAGAGCTCTTTTGAAGGCAAAATTTGGCGGGTTTTAACAAACAGCTTAATATTTTAATCCGAATAGAGTTTTTTGGAAATCATTAGCGGAAAACTTTAATTTGATATATAGTTTTTTCTAGTAGATAAACAAAGCTTGTATAAGAAAAATCTGGATTAAGTGAAAGTAATGAACTTTTCTCTTTGCCCAGCTTTGCGGAAAGAAAGTTTACTTAATACATTTAAACTTGTTTACCAGCTAGAATCCACTCTGTCATTGATAATCAATTTAATAGTTTGTCCAAGGAGATGTCAGACCAAATATTTGCATTAAACCTAAATGCAAATGACAACTAAGAAATATCTTTAGAATTAAATAAAAGTTTATCTTTGCAAATATGCTACTAGTACTTGTATATCACAATGAGTCAATAGACTTTTTATAAGAATAATAGAACATTAAGTTGATAATAGGTAGTCAATAATGTTTGCTAAATTATGAGTAAGACTGTCATGTCTGATTTTTAGTTCAATATTTCGTATAGTTTATGGAGGTATCAGGACGTAATTTAATGACTTTAGGAAGTAATATTTATTACATTTCAACATGGCCGATTTAAATAAAATGTTCGAGACGAAATATAGCCTATTTGCAGTGTCCAGAATGATCACGTGATAAGAGAATTCGAAAAAATCTAAAGTTTTTGGCCAATCAGAAAAAAAGACAGATCACGTGATAAAGAATAATGCTATCCCTTGAAAATGTATTTACTTCTATTTGAGTATGATTTCTTAAATCAATGGTTTATCGCTCAGTAGCGTGCTGCAGAAATAAAAACAAAAAAAACGTCCAACTTTAATATTATATGTGACTATATAGCATGAAAGTATACATTGAACAGATAATATTAAAATACTGGCCATATTTCCGATCATATCTTCAATCTACATGAAATTTAATGTCTAATAAAAGCTGCGTTTAAAAATTAAAATGAAGTTATAATATTTTTCATGAAATATGATAGCTACTAGTTTTATTGCTTTGTTTATGGGTTTTTGGGCAATTTTGTATTTAAGTGATGTATATTTGAAGGTTTGTAAGCCTGATTGCATTCGATAAATAATATAAACATATACATATATATATATATATATATGTGTGTGCGTCTGAATAATTATTTATATTTATGTATAATTTCAGACAAGTTTATCTTCACAAGGCAAATACTTAGACTTTATTCACAAAACTGGATTGTCTATTTATGTTTGTCAAATAAGATGGTACAGCACATGCCTAAACAGGCAATTTCTCAGGTTTGGTCAATGGAGAAAGAACTTCCTTAAAGTCTGGTTTACAATTGGTGTTGTCATTTCGCTTTTTTTTACCTTTATTTCGATTACATTACTTACATTAATGATTGTTAATACACTGAGAAAGCGTCCAGTTGAGCAGCAAGTTCTAACTCCTGTGGTAAGTTTTTGTTTAAAGTTTCTCTTACTTTCTGTTTATAATAATGTAAACAAACACAGATGCCCGGTGTTAATATTCCAACTAACCAAATTGGATATTACCTATTAACTTTGCTAGTTTGTGGAGTTTTGCACGAATTTGGCCACGCAATAGCAGCGGTTCGGTAAGTAGAAGAAATTTAATTAATTTTAATGTTTGAAAGACATTTAAATGTAGATTTTAAAATTAAGAACATTCTTTTTATTCTCTCAGTGAGCAGGTCAAAATACATGGATTTGGTCTATTTATTTTGGCCGTATACCCCGGAGCGTTTGTTGACTTATCAACAGAGCATTTAACCAATTTGTCTCCGCTGAAGCAGCTCCGAATTTATTGTGCTGGAGTTTGGCACAATATTGTACTTGTTATATTGGCCCTGGTTTTTCGATTAATTTTGCCCTATATCTTATCAGTCTTCTATTCAACGAATGCCAGTGTTGTTGTAACTAGTATCGTCCTCGGTTCGGCTGTTTCTGGACCCCGCGGTCTTTTGGTAGGAGATCAAATAACTAGTTTGAACAACTGCAGAGTTCGTAATATTGCTCAATGGACAATGTGTATAGAGAAAACATTGTCCGAAAAGTCTACTGGCTACTGTGTTCCTGCTGAGTTTATAAAACAATACGATATATCTCAGCCGAATATTCTTAAAACAATGCATGGAAATGTCGAATGCTGTTCGAACTCCAGTTCAACACATTTATGCTTTTCCTATTTTACCAAAACTACAAAAGTAAAACCAAATTATGCTTGTTTACCCGCCAGAAGCACTTCCGATCGGCAGACATGCAAACTCCAGTCAGACTGTTATAAACCAAATTCACCAAATTTCTGTACTACACCGTCATTAGACAATTCAACGAGATTAATACGTATTGTTCATACGAGAAGAGCACCCCTCCTGTTCCTGGGACATCCTCTAGATTTACATTATTCACTGACTTTAAGCGATTATACTCCTCGTTCGAGCTTTGTGCCTGTGCATGCTCCTTACGTTTTAGAAACGATTGCTAATTACGTAATCAGCTTAAGTGGAGCATTGGCTTTGCTCAATGTTGTGCCTTGTTACGCTTTAGATGGACAGTATATCTTAATGGCTATCTTAGAGCTTGTGCTTAGTCCATTCCTCGAAAAAAGCAGCAGATTGGCAATTTTTACCGTAATATTACTTTTTGGCACTCTATTAGTAGCAACCAATGTTGTTATTGCTCTATGGGTGCTATTCCATTGAGCTATTAATAAATAAGTTCAGGGTAATAAAAAAGTCTACACTCTTTACAAAATATTTTTAGTTATAGGGAAAACATAAAGTTAATAAAAAATGACAAAAACACATACAATTTATCACAAACTATTTCAACCTTTTGTGGATTAGATGAAGTTTCCAAATTAAAAGAGGGGGAGTGAGAGGGAAGGGGGAAGGGAGAACGAAAGAGTAAGAATGAAAGCAGATTACCAATAAGAAAAAGATGAAAAGCTTTTCTTTTTCAAAGGAAGAATACCGTCGTCGGCTTTTTTGAAAGGTAAAAGAGGTACGAAATTGTGATTTTATCTTTATTACGTTGTATTGTTATAGCTATTTTATCGATTTTGGGTATTTTTTCTATTAAACCTTGAACATTTCTATTCATATAAAATAATACAATTATATTTTTGTTTCTTTTTTGTTATATATTATATTATTAACACTAAATTGGTTTATCTATTAAGAAATATATAAAATCTTGACTTGATTAAAACATTCCATACTTTAAAGGATGGATAAAATCATTAGACGTTCCTCCGAGTATTCAGTTTCTGTCTCATTATCTCTAAGAATTTAGTAACACCCGAAACGACCGTAAATGGAACGTTCTTGAAAGAAACGAATATAATTTACTTGTATACATACATACGGAAAATGTCTAAGTAGAGGAGATAGATCAGCTGGAAAACTCGCTTTGTTTTGATTATTGAAGTGTTTTCTTGTTAAGCTAAATTGATGTATCTATTATAGGAAATTTTTATGGCATATGCCTAGGTAAATCTAGTAGTTTGTGCTTTGAAGAAGTCAACGTCACACAGGTCAATGAAGAGAACGTGCTCTGTTTCTATAATCTTATAAGGGATGTTCTGACATATATTTAATAGTAATAAAAAAAGCGTTTTCATCACAGTGTTTCTTTTTGGATTCACACGCAGCAACTGACCGATGAATGAACTCTTAATAAGAGTTTTTAGAAAGGAAAGAAGCTATACTGCGCACGAAATTTCCCTCGTGTACAGATACGACTCTGACAGCACTCCCACCCATTTTAGTCTGCTCTAATCGGATCAATTTCTCCTGAGTCGTCAATTCGGCTTCAATGTCATCCAACAGTCTAAAAAAATTGTCTGATAGAGCATCGACTATTATTGAAGCACCTTTTTAGATTTGTAATCGAGGCTCTCTAAAGAATAGTCCAGTTCTATCCACTTGTAGCAAATATATTGAGAAAAAAGCTCTCTTAGTCTAACTAAACGAACTTTGGTCTCTCTCCACGTGACTAACTCTACTAAAAGTATTACACACATAGAGTCTCCAATAATTGCGAATAAGTGATACAAACGGTCACGTTCAGTTTAATTAGACTATCGTGCACCTTCCGGTGTTTAATAACCTCAATACTTCCTTCACTATCGTCTTTAAATAGCTTCCAACAAACTGGCCAAGATTTCCTCTCACCTTTACCTACTTTTAACACCCCATTAACAAGATTCTTAAATGGATAAAGCAAAGAATAGCTAAAACTCGTCACATGATATTTGCACCAATAAAGTTGGAAATGAACCAACGATCGTAAAACTAAGAGTTAGACATTTCAATCTTGTAAACACAGGCAAAAACTAGCAAAAAATCACGCTATTTCTTTTACTAATATTACGTAATCAGAATAGGCTTACTTACCGTCTATAAATATTTACAAATGGTATAAATGTAATTATTTTCCGTTTTTATCCATGTTTATTAAAGTTGTGTCTATGTAATTTAGATTCTTTATATACAGTCTTGATAAAGAGAAAAAAAATATTCTAAAAATAGAAATAATTAATTAATTATATTTATAGTTTGTCAAGATTTACATTTTAAATTTAAACTCACTACAATAACATTCAAATAATTTATTAATAAACAATGATTAAAGGTTATAAATCGATAACTACTGTAATCATTTGTATTTGTATTGTTATAATAGCTATAGCATTAATAATAGGTTTATCATTTTACATTAATCAAAGGATCCATATTGAATACTTCTTAAGATTATTCAATAAAGGTTTGTTAATATAACTAAATAATTAATTAAAGAATGTACAGAAAAATATTTTTAATAGATTATAAGGATTATATTAATAAATCTGAATGGTATGATGATTATAAAGAAAATCGTATAAGCTATGGGATTAACAATCGAACCTTATCAAGATTTTCTAAAGTGATCGTTTCAGTTGCTCCTTCTTCTAATATAAACATTTCTAGATTACAAGTTCTTGGGAAAAGTATTAAAATATATTTCCATTAAAACTTTAATATAGTTTTAATAGCTTAAAAGATAATTGCTATTTAAATAACAATCTGCAATTTTCTAGCAAAGTGTACTAGGATACCATTTTCCAAGAAATTCCCATTATTCAGTTTATGTAGAAAATACTATAAAAAGACTATTATTCCAAATATTATGGGTGATGATAATTTTAACGACATTCATAAGGAAAGCGAAATAATAAACATTATATTCTCTTTCTTTCTTTCTCTTTCTCTCTCTCTCTTTGTTCAAACAGACAAATACACAGATATCTTTATATATACAATTATCTTAATTTATTACCTAATTAAAACAGAAAGTTAAGAAAATGTACAAGCTACTTAAACCGGATTCTAATTGTCATAAAGACGCTCTAAAGTATATTTGCTCAGCTGGAATTCCATCTTGCAAAACTTCTAAGGAAAGACTCGATCCATGCTCGATATTTTGCAAAGAAATCGTTAAAGCTTGTATTATGCCTATGGAATGTAGGCCTATGCCAAATGATTTTGATCCTAGATCATGTGAAATTGGTTCGAATAATAAAAAATATTTACAAACGATTAACGATTATAATAATGAAGAAGATATTAATAAATGTGAAAAAGGACAATTTAATTGTTTAAATAGTAAGAAATGTATTGATAATCGATTAGTTTGTGATAATAATATCGATTGTATGGACGCGTTTGATGAATTGTTTTGTAGCACTTCGACAGTTGTAATTAACTTGAGTATTAATCTTTAACTTTCTTAGAAATAATTAATTAGAGTTTTGCTATTAAATCATATTAAAAATAATTAGATTGTAAAGTAGATGCATCTAATAGCTGGTGGATAACGTTTGATAAAAATAACGATTATTCCCATTATAAATGGATTGAAAAATCCGATAGAACTTATTATCCTGGTCCAATATCTTACCCAACTAGAAAGTATGGCTATAGCTACTATTATTTAGATGGATCAATGGGTAAAAATGGCGTTAATCAGCCTCAAATTAAAACGGCCAAACTGCACTTAAATGCTTCAAAGAGCATTTTAATTAATGAAACGCAAGACTTTTGCTTTAGATTCTATTATTTTCTCAGGTGTTTAGTATTCCTATAAATAATATATCTAATACTTTAATTATACTTTATTATAGTGGAACAGTTCCCAGTGGCTTGAAATTATACATATTACGTAATCATTCTAAATCAATTGATCTTTGGTTAGCAAAACCGGATAGGGGTCAAAAATGGAATTTGTCCATTTTGAATATATCTTTAAGTGCTACTGATACCATTGTGTTTCTTGGCTACAGCTGGAAATTGCCAGCAATTGATATGGCCCTAGACGGTTTATCTCTTTCGAGAGGAATATGTCCCAATACCGGAAGCTGCAATGATAAATTTGACTGTGGTAATGGTCAATGTATTGAAAATAAATATGTTTGCGACAGAATAAACACCTGCGGAAATTTTCTTGATGAAATCTTATGCAACTGTTCGAAAGACGAGTATAAGTGCAAAAGTGGAATATGTATAGATCGTTATAGAGTTTGTGACGAGCACAGAGACTGTCACGATGGAGACGACGAGAAAAATTGCGGTAAAAAAATGATCAATATTCTAATATATATATAAATAACTCATAAATAAAGAGTATTTATTTAATTAAGACAAAAAATGCTCCAAGGGTGGATTTAAATGCCCGAATGGAGATTGTATACCACATGAATTGATATGCGACGGGGTTGATGATTGTATATCCGGTTGGGATGAAAAAAGCTGTAGTGTATGTAGCAGAGGGGAATTTCAGTGTAAAAATACACAATGCATTCCTATTTCCGGAGAATGTGATCGTAAAGTCGATTGCGCAGATGGTTCTGATGAACAAAATTGTTGTAAGAATAGATGAGAGGCGTTTTTTGCTTTTGTCCTAAAATACAGCAAATACATTTTACAAATTGCTTAATTTTTTTTCATATATAAATAAAATATCAACATTATAGTTAAAATATCGACGGATGAAGATATATTTATGATAAAGGCTTATCCATTTGATTGGATACCGTTATGCCATTTGAATATTTCATCTTTATTAGCCGATCAATTATGTATGAAGGTTAAAAACGGGTAAGAAACAACACTAGATATAAAAAATACATTATAATTATTTACCTTGAGTTATTGCAGTATTTTTTTTTTCTTGATATTGTTTTTTTTTTTAAAAAAAAAAAGGTATATGAAAAACATTGATTGGATTGTTTATTCATCTCATGTTTACGTCACTATCAGCGGTACTTTTGAGAATAAATCCCTATACTTTAACGTAGATACCTATTGTCCTGATAAGAAAGTATTAATTCTTGAGTGCGGTCCATCTGGTACTCTTTGTTTATTCTTTTATTGTTGTTATTTATTGTTATTTTTCTTAAATATGACGTATACATTTAAGAATAACCTATTATATTAACAAACAAATATTTATTATATAAATATAGAGTGCGGTGAGAGTGGCGAGAATATCGTTTCGAAAGGTCAAATAAGAGACATAAACTGGCCTTGGACAGTACCGATAAGCTTTGACGCCCCTCATTTACTAGAAGAAAGTGGGCCGGATTCTTGTACAGCAACATTTATTGATCAATATTTCGCCGTTACAGCCGCTCATTGCATTATGTAAGTTTATATGGATAAAAGGTTTATTTTTATTTATAAATGAACGGGAAGAAGAGTAAATTAAGTTATTTCATAGTCCGAATAGAATTAGGCATATGATTTTAGTTGTCAATAGAAAGGATAGCAATACGATTGAAAATATAAAGATTAAAAGAGTAATAATACACCCAAATTACTCATCATTCGCCCAGGGTTATGATATTGCTATTTTAGAAACTATCGAGCCAGCTGGAATAAATTCAGTACTTTGCTTAAGGAAATTAGGATCAATTGAGGGAATAGCCTGTGAAATGGTTGGGTGGAGATTATCTAATTTAGAGGAATATTCCGAAAAGTTAAGAACTATTAGATTAATGATTTGGAATAACAGGAAATGCTTAGAAGCCTATCCGTGGCTAGAGAAGAATAATTCATCTCTATGCGCGGGCTACGAATCTGCTTTAGTAACGCCTTGTCACGGAGATAGCGGTCTGTACTCGACTAGCTTCAAAAATACTGTATAATAATGTTTCTCAACCCAAAAAAAACCGTTATCGTTCAATTCCTGTTAAATAATTTCTTAGGTGGTCCCCTTTTTTGTAAGAATGGAATGACTGGCTCCTACTATTTAGTTGGTATTCTAAGTGCCGCAATTAATCGATGTAATACCTATGGTAGGCCTAGTATTTTTACAAAATTATCACCGGATGTACTAACATTCGTATATTCTTTCACAAGTAAACCATTTTTTATATTCGTAATAATATATGTCAATTAATATACTTGTAATCTATAAATTTAGAGTTTGTTTGTGAAAACGGTAGAATAATTCCCATAAGATTAAAATGTAACGGCTTAGATGACTGTTTAGACGCTTCTGATGAAAGAGATTGCGGTAAGCGTTTCCTTCTATATCTATTTATATAAATATATAAATATATATATAATTTTTTTATTATTATACGATGTACATAGTTTAACTATAGATAATTAAGATCCAGCTGTGGAATATAGATAGAGCGTTTAGTTTAGCATTCTCAGAGTCGATCTGCGGTTGGCTTCCCCCTTTTAATTAACTATTCAGAGCGAAGAGAAGCCAAAAAATGAAATGGAATCATTTTACGGACTTCTTTTAGAGAAATCCTTTATTCAACCTCTTCCTATCTGATAACTGACTTGCTGATAATTTCTAATAATCTTCTAATAACGTTTATCATATATTTACTTTGAGTTGTTTGCATATTTATAATCTTAAATAGTCTTTCGCTCCATTGCTGTAGCTACTACTATAAAAATAATAAGGAATTCAATATACAAATCAAAAGATAATTATAGGCTGATCTATTGATTGTAGACTAAATATAAGAGAATATCTTATATATATATATATTCATATATCCTCCGCTGCCCTTCTTTAGATCTATCGGTATAAAAGAGACCGTACAAAGTGAATATCATATTACAAATATTAAAGGATATTTACAGAAGATTAATTAACCAATTAATAAAAAGAGACGCAAATTATTATAATGAATCGCTCTAAAATACGTTCCCGGTTCGCTTGTTAGTTCGTAGACTCTTCTTTGTCAGAGAAGGGTTAAGGCAAGAAGCAAGAAAGGGGGGGGGCAGGGGAGGGGACGTACGGAAAGCAGGGGTGGAGGGTCAAATGAAAAGAAAGACACAGTTAGAGTAGGGTAAGGTTACGCTAAAGAATGAAGGATAGTGGGAGAGAGAGCGGGGGTAGAAGGGAAGGAGCAAGAGGCAGGGGGAAAGGACAAAACGAAAGTCCGTAATACCAAATTTATCTAACAATTTGCTATTACTCCAACGAAATGCAATTTTATTCGAAATTGCTCGAAAGAAGAAGATAAATTGGATGAAATTAATTACCTTATTTATAGAATCTTCTCAACTAAATTCAGTCAGTTTCATACTTGTGGTTTTATTTATAATTACGGTTATAGTCGAGAAGTAATTAAATTCTCGAACTACACGAGTTAGGGTAATTCTAATCTAGTCACTTTGATGCTATACGTCTCTTTCTCTCTCTTTCTTTCTCTCTCTTTCGCTCTCTCGTTCTTTTTCGTCCTCTCTTTTGTCTCTCTATCATTCCTCTTAGTCTCTCTTTCTCTTTCTTTCTCTCTCTCTCTCTCTCTCTCGCCTTCCCTCTATCTCTATCTCAACTTTACAATGTCTATTTCTAAAGTATTTTTTTCTAGGATCTCAGTATAGACTGATAATCTTTGTTTAAAATGTCTTTCAAAGCTAAGACAAGTACGATTGTTTTTGTTCTACTTAAACAATCGTAAAGAATGAGGAAGATTGTTGTATCTTTTACAATAAATAAAAGCATCGCAAGGGTTTCAGTACAAAGATCATAATGAATACATCAATTGTCAGCAATACCCGTAGACAGGAAATACAGGTTAATGCGAAAAGACTTATTCCTTGATGAGTAAAATCACTATTTATCGGTATTAAGCTTTTAATTGACATTACGTATTAAAAAATTAATAGAGAAAAACTAATCGCTTTTATAAATACTTCCATAATTACATTAGAACAAAATAAAATCGGAAATTATTCTCAAAGGGAATGCATAAGGACATAAAGACATTACAAGATTAGGGCGTCTCTTTTGTTCACTTGAACATCACGTTGTCGATTTCGATTTAGGGGTAAAACGATCGATTCGATAAGCTTGCGATTTCGATTTGACCAATCACCATTCAGTAGACATGTAGTGGAAAATATAAAGCGACATGGCGAAGGTGATGCATATCTATTATGGAACTCTCGGCTAGGTAATTCTCTATTTTTATGTGTATTATGCATATTTAATAGTTAAGAATTTCAAAAAATGATACCTTAGTTTTAATCTAATTGGTTATTGCAAATTTTATATTTACAACTATAATCGATCGTCTTAGAGATTGAATTTTTTCCTACCGGCTAAACATCTTTCTTTGATGTTTCTATTTAAAGTTACAAAATGCATTAGTTACATCCCAAAGGTTTTTAAAAGCGTATCGGTCATCGAATAAAGGCTGATTTAACGTTAAATACAAACATTCTACTGAAATAGATTTGAAATTCCCTATTCAAACTTTTTTATTGATTAATTACCAATTCAAAAATTTAAGGCTTTTGAATATTTTAACTAGTGTAAAAAGGTAGTAACTGATATTTTATTCAATGATATTGTAATGTTTAGAAAGTTTTTAGAACTTAAAAGAGAAAGGCATCAAGTGTTGTACTTATCTAAATAACAAATCGTGGTTCAATCATAACACGCTGGCTAGCATTTTATTGATAACGGCATTTTATCTGATTAAATGCATACTTTATTTTCTTAAGTCCTTTAACTACTTTATTTAAAATACTCAAGAGGAAGATAAATCATATTTAGTAAATGCTTAAACGGTACAATATTTATCGTTGAATACATATTATAAAGATTTACTATATTCTTCATTCTTTTGTTCTATTCCAGAAAGTAAAGAACGTTTTTAGGGGCATCAAAAAATCCGGCACCGTGGCTTCCACGCAGGGTGAAATTCGTATAGGTAAATATCCCATTTCCTTTTATGTTTACAATAATAGGGATTTACCCTTATTCCCGCCGCACTAATTTCAAGAATGCTCCTTAGTACCTAGCCTCCATTATTCTTTTTTGAGTGGTGGGCAAGTAATTAAATTATAATTTAACCACCGAGTTTCGACGGTCGATTGCATGACCCCCTGGAGCATTACGGCGAAAAAATTCGACCCCTACCTCTTATCCTTCTTCCCCTCTCCACCTCTTAAACCTTTACCCTTTTAGAAATAGCCCATTTGTTTCTCTCAAATCCCCGGACAGAGAGTGAAAATACGCTCTTAAACCTGCCCCCAAGGTTTGACCCAATTTCTTGCCCTATTCTCTTCGTTAACTTGTACCCGCATAGCCCACTAATTTCTTGCTTTGCGCATTAATCGTTTTATTATTTTATAACCAATTCGTTTCTCGGGTCAGTGAAACTTTTCTTAAAAGCCTGTGAAAAAAATTCCCCGCACCTGCAATTCCACTAAAAACTCCTCGTCATTTGCATAAAAAGTCTCTTTTTTCTCCCAAAGCTCCACGGTTACGTGATTCATGTCCGCCCCTTTCCCTTATTTTCCGCTCCTTTGCGCTACCCCCTCCCCACCCATTTTTTTTATTACCGTTTATATTTATTGATGAAACAAAAAAAAAACGGATGTATTTTGTTTTTATGCTTGTATATATGTACTTATGTTTTATTTACATAAAAAAAATAGGACCGGCTCACCAAGCAAAACTTCCAGAATGTAATTCAGAATCTTATGAGGACGATAATAAACTAAGAGAAAATCTAAGATGGGTGCCATCGTCTATTTCGGATCAGGATTTAATCATGTACCTGAGAGCAGCCAGATCAATGGCTTTTTTCGTTGGTATGTGCGATCCAGACTCAGGGGACGATGGTAGCTTAGCTGCTTCAAAAGATTGTACAACAGCGAACGCAGTTGATATTGTAAATATCTATTTATTCATTTATCTTGAGCTTTTTGATAACGAAACCTCCTTCTATTGTGTAAAATTACTAGTTGCATGACTGCGATTACGATAAAGGTGAGGCTCTTCAAGTTCTGGTCAAGTGCCCAGTTCCGGTCAATATAGAACAAAAGTGGAACGAGGAGGAAACCGTGAGTAAATAATCATATGTATATAATTATCGACTAGTATAAACAATTACTAGACCAAAATGAACAGATTGCATTGTAAAATTAGAAAGGGAAAATAATAAGACCCTTGAGATAATGGCTCTTTTGATTGTGTAACGCTACATTGATCTCTATTTTGTCTCTAGGAAAAAAAAAGACGCTTTAGTTCTAATTAGCGGGAAATTAAACTAGAAGCTCATTCCTTATTTACGCCCCTTCCTTCTTGCCATTTTTGTAACTGAGATATCGTACGTGCGCTAACTGAAGGAAATGGATGTCTTTGATCAGCCAATGCGCATGCGCTACGTCAATCACTTTATATACCCCGGCCAGGATATATTGTTGTTTTATTTTCTTGGTTAACTTGCTTTTTAAGCCTATGTGCCCAGTTCACCTAAAATTTTCTAGCTGACCTTTATTGTCTAGGCCTGTATACCCTTTTAAATCAATTCAGTACCCAAGTCATTGAGCAAATGAATAGGCAATTTAGTACGGGTGTACTTATCTTGGGAAGCTATCTTCTTTTTTTTTATTGGTGTCGTAAACCCTTCAATGGTCGATTTAGTGCCTGAATTGAAAAAGATTAGGGCCGTCTGTTAAACTAGGAATAAATCTGGATTAATCTTCTTATTAATGCGCTTTTTTCCGATAAATTTTACAGAGGCGATTCACAAAAGGCTTAAGACAATATGGAAAGAATTTTTTCAAAATCCGAAAGGAGCTGTTATCACATAAGGAAGTTTGCGAGTTGGTGGAATATTATTACATTTGGAAGAAAACTCAAGCTGCTAGCAATATTCGACTGACAAGGAGACGAGCTGGTCAAAAGAAAAATCAAAAACCCCCCAAAATACCGGATCCTATCTTAAACCCTGAAGGTAGTAGTTCAGCCGAAAGTAACACTGAAGATAGCGATAGTGCGATTCCTCATTGTGCAAATTGTTTCGTGGCTGGAGCAAATTTAGATTGGCAGAAAGGTGCTAAAGGTCAACTTTGTCGTTTGTGCTATGATTTTTGGAAAAAAGTTGGAGCTGATAGACCTACAGGTAGAATAAAAGAACCAAGCTATTTGAGTCAAATGGATAAGAATCCTACTCCTGATAATCAATCAAATGAAACGGAGAGAGAAGACGAAAGTGAAGGAGGAGATGCAGATGCTGAAGAGACGAACAACGAAGAGAATGAAAATGAATCAGACTGTTCTTCTACGTGTTCTACTCCTATTCCAAAACCAATGGAACTAGAGTCATCAGTTTGTACAACACCACCGATAAAACCTCCACAATTAACTTCGTCTTCATCTGCCTCGAGCTCCGGTTCGAGTTCAAGTAGTTCTAGTTCAAGCAGCTCTGGTTCAGAAGCACATACGGAAGAAGAAGGTCACTTATCCCCACCTCCTCAGCTAGCAGCCATTCCGCCCACTAAGCCACAATTATTGACGCCTTTGCCTCATCGCCCCGAGCCATTGTTCATCCAAACAGAAAAAACGGAAGAAATTAACGGAACAAATGGAGAATCCAAACAACGACCTGTCATGGCCGTCCCCCCAGTGCAACAACAACAACAGCAGCAGCAACAACAGCCAATACCTTTAATTAAACAAGTAAAAGAAGAGCTTAAAGATCCTGCAGATGCCATGATGCCTCCTCTTTCGCTTCATGCGGGATTGAACAATAAGTCGCCTTTGGGTCCTCCACCTCCCCTGAGACGCTTACCTGTAAAGCAGGAAATGGAATCGGATGAAGAGCAAGAAAATTCGATTCCTTCATCCGATTTAGAAGACGAAAAAGAGGCAGAACCAGTTTCAATTGTCATTAAAGAAACGACTAACGCTATTTTTGTCAAATGTTTAGATAGAGGTGTTAATTCGTGTTCAAGGACAGATTTTGGCTTCCGAATGAAGCCAGGCTCAAACTGGGCACTAAAAAAATCTTCCAATGGAGAAAAAAGAATGTCTTTAGGAAAAACATCAAATGCTCCCTCTGTTAAAGATGAAAAGCCCAAGATTGAAAATTCCAAGGGTTCCGAAGCACAAATATCATCCCATATAAATCAACCTGTTCCTGGGGCTTATGATAGAGGCCACAGATACTTAGGTTCTGATAATACACCAGCGTTGTCTCAGCTTAGAGCATACAGTGATAGAGCATGCGCCTTAGGTCTCTCACAAGGAGTTCCAACGAGTTTGGCTTACGGCAACAGTGAACAACTTTTACATCAAAGGAGCCTATTTCAGCATCCGAGCGTTGGTAGAGATAGACTGGAAGTTGAATTTATGAGAGAAAAGCAAGAAAGAGATGCTAGAGAAAGAGAGATGAGGGAACGAGAATTACGAGATTTTGAAATGCAGGAAAAAATGAAAAGAGAGTTGGAGATGAAGCCAGTTATTTCTGGTGCTGACGCCCATATAATGCAACTTCAAAGAGAATATGCCCTAAGGGGAATGCCTCTTCCGCCTCATTTAGCCACCTTAACCGGATCTGGATTGCACGCTCAGCCCCATTTATCCGGTGTCTTCCCTCAAGTTCAAGCAAGCGATATTATACATAGGGAGCGAGAAATGCGAGAACGAGCGCTTGGTGAGTGTTATGTAATTTGTGTCTAATCGAATTTCTCTTCAATATCAGATTAACATATGCTTTTATCATGTTACGTATATTGAAGACAAATTAAGTGTTATTTTCTCAAATTTATTATTCTAGTTTGCTAAGTATGATTATGTTTAATAGCCGAGAGATATCAAGCAGAAAGAGCTATGGCTTTGGCTACAGATCCGGTTGCTCGACTACAGATGGCATCAGCTGTACATTCACACAATCATTCTCATTCTCATAACCCCTTTCACATTCAACCACCAGATGCTTCGTCTCAATCCTCATCATTACTTAGTGCCCAACAAATTCAAAATTCCCTTTCACATTTTCAACCGCCAACATCGTTAGCAAACGGCTTTCCTTTCGGCTCACATTCCGCATTAATGGAGAGGGACGCCTTGATACAAAGAGAACTTTTAGCACGGCAAGCTGGTAATGAGCAATTAATTGCCCAACAGCACTTATTACATCACGATGCTTTGGTAAGGGAACAATTGCTGCAAAGAGAACGCTTGGGTGTCCACATTCAACCACCTCAACGTTAAATGTGATAGAGTTTATACATGTCGCCGTATTTTTTTTAGATAATCGTTTATTTCTCATAGTCGTTATAGAATTGTTCAATTGTTCTCGGGTTTTGTAACTCGTGAAAGAACCTGTTTTCATGATAGCCTTTATAAGAGAAAGAAAAAAAGGTTCTTTCTCAGAAATGATATTACAAGAAAATAAACGACAATATCATTAATAAATAACAAGCTAGTCAATTAGACCCTTCTCTCTGAAACCCTTCTGCCACTCTTCAATCAACTTTCGATAATCGTTGTCTCCAGCTTGATACCAGTCAGCTTTTCTTGCATTTGAAAGGAACCTGGATATGCCTTTGTACGTAGAGAAGTCATATTGGATGACATCTAGAAGAGTTATCGTTGCCGCAATCGATAAGTCAGCTAAAGTTGGTTTATCACCCGTTAAGAAGACGTTTTTACTAAAATAGATTGTATCCAGATCGTTGAAAGCTTTTTCAAGTTTCTCTTTCTCTTCTTGGTTTGGTTGCCTACTTTTATACATGATTGATGCATAATAGGGTTGGACAGCAGGCCATATGGTGGTTGCATCGTAATATAAAAGCCAGTCTATCTTTCCTCTGCCAGTCAATTCTTTAGGATAATAATCATCATGTTCTGGCTTTGAGTATCTATTGAAAAGATACATTTGGATAGCTCTGGATTCTCCCAGGCAAAATCCATTATCAACAATTAGTGGTACTTGTTGGTGAGGATTCAACTAAAAAATTATAATAATCTATTTAGACCTCTTTACGACACCCTTTGAAATTAACCTTTATGAAGTCCTCTTTAGTATGTTCTGCTTGGAAAAGTTCAACGTGTTTGAGGTTAAGATTTAAATCAATCGCTCTAGCTGTGAACAAGATAGCTCGGCAAGGGGCGCTCGAAGGGTAATAATAAAAGTCAACCGTACTCATACTGACTGTTACACCGAAATGATATTCAAACTCAGTGTGAACATTTAGGTTCTAATGAGCGCCACCAACCTTATTTGATTAGTTCAATATATAAGTGATATAATATTTGATTTCAGCGCCATCTGTATTATTATTACGTGCTAAACACTGTATATCGAACAAATTTATTATCTTGCAAAGTTCTTGTTTATTTCTATAATAGCACATACATTTTTCAAAGATAACAGCTTTGTTAATTATTTTTAGATCTATTATCATATCTATTGTTCTATAATGAACACAATGATTGATGTCTTGTCTTAAATAAGACCTTTCTCCTTAATACTATTTCGCCACTCCTCAGACATTTCGTTGTACAATGCTGGGCCCTTCTTAAACCAAGCGGTATTTCTAGAAGCACTTAAGAATTTCGAAATTCTTTCCCATTTGGAGAAATCGAAATTGATCATATCGAGAAAGGAAAGACTGGCAGCGAAGGAAATATCGGCAAGCGATGGCTTATCTCCAAAGAGGAAGTCGGAATTTTGAAAGTAGTTTTTATCTACCAAATCCAGAGTATCTATTAGAGTTTTAGTTTCTTCTTCATTCGGCTTTCTTCCTTGAAATTTGTATGCTTTGAAAAAGGCAAGAGCATTGGGGAAAAGGGTTGCAGAATCAAAGTACAGTAGCCAATCAACTTTTCCTCTCTTTTGAATATCCTTGGGATAGAGATAGTCTGACTCTGGTTTAGCGTACTTATTGAACAAGTATATTTGAATAGCTCTAGATTCTCCTAAAGTATAGTCTTCATCGACCAGTAGTGGAACTTTATGATGAGGATTCAGCTGCAAAAAAAATGCAAGTTCAGCATACATCATATAAAACAGCAAAAATTCGATTCATTTACCTTTAGAAAGTCTTCAGTTAGGTGTTCTCCCTTAAACAATTCCAAATGTTTCTCATTAAAGTCCACACCAAGAATCTGGGCTGTCGAGATGACAGCTCTGCATGGTGGGCTGATAGCAAAAGTGTACAAGTCTAACGTAGGCATTGCTTAGAAGTTTTCACTATTATTTCCGAATCACTCACTGATGTGGCAAGAAAAAGAATCTTTCAGTTTTTATACAATAAAGATGAGGTCAATAATTATGCTGGTTTGAAGCGCCACCAAGCTATGCTACATATATTGAACTCTACATCCCGTATTGAAAGAAACTTTCAATTAGACATTTCCCAAGAATGCTCCAAGGAATTAGTTCATCCTTCCACACTAATCTGCAATGTTAACCAATTATCTGAATCTTAAACGTCTTATTCCCATATTCAATATTATATCAACAAAACGCATTAATACTACTAGATTTATCAGTTAGATATGATGAAACTAAGAGTCTGTTAACAGTGTATAGCTTTTGGTTTATCTACATTCTATTGAAAATAGTAGTGAATACAATAATGAATAAGCAAAAAAGAAAAACGTAAAGGAAAGGGTTGATAAGGGAAACGGATCAAGAAATGTTGAATCCTCTTAAGAAACCTAATTAGCATATTTTCCTTGATATATCATACAAAAATTGATAATAATCATGAAATACATTTGTGCATGCAATAAACTAAAAATGTAAATGTATAACATGAAAAATATATGTAATATGATTCTTTACTAGGAGCATAGTTTAATGGAAATAGATTGACAAAGTGCGTAAACTTTCGTTTAGGAATAATAGATGATTTGGTTAAATACATCACTTATTCATTCTAGATAAAAAAACAAAACCCACCCGCTGTGTTATCATTGTCAACCTTGCATGCATTCTTATAATTAGACGATTGTCAACTCTATGAAGATGCTATAAATATTTTTCTAGATAGCAATTAAACTGACCTAATTAACAATTATACTTTAACTATGTATTTATATACTCTATTTTATAATATAGAGTAAGAGATTTGTAGATTTTAATTGACGCTAATATGAGTTTTGGCATTAAAACTTTGATACAGTTTAAAAGAAGTAGGTTAACCTATAAGAATTCCAAGGTTATAGAGAATATTCGACATTTATATCCTAACGAAAACAATGTTACTGGATCTTCTATTTGATTATGTTAAACCAAATTTCTATACGAATAAACATTTGTCATTCATATAATAATGTTAAGAAATTATATTATTGAGTACTTGCGTATGTACTTTAATATTATTTCTATATTAACTTTTATTATCGCTCAATGTGTGAATATATAACGCAAATATGGGAATAAAGTAGTTTACCTTACAGATTAGTGTGCTAAAAACTTTCGTTTAAAAGCAAAAATAGTCAATGTTTACAAGCCTATATATATAAATTTTGCATTAATTGCCATTAGGAGCGATAATAAAATTAAAAGATACAGAGTAGTTTTATCTTCTTTTTGCATTTTCTATAGTTTATTATTAAGTAATCATCTGCAAAACAGATAAAACTAAAATAAACCATGGAGTTTTATAAGATTGATGCAATACTAAATGTGTAATTTATTTAAGCTGAAGGATTGAAATCCTTCATTACAGCTTCGGAAGTTTGTTTATACTCTGTAGCGGAAGCTTCAATCCATTCGCTTTCTTTGGATGCAGTGAGAAATTTAGAAATATTTGGATATTTCGAACAATTATATTTAAGCATTTCCAAATATAGAAGAAGTGATGCCAAATCCAAATCGGCTAGAGTTGGTTTATCGCCGAAAATGAAAGGTGAATTCTGAAAGTAAATCTTATCAAGATTATCCAAAACTGCTTCCAGTTTAGTTCTTTCCTCCGCTGTTCGTTGTCTCTTTCCAAGCAGAATTCCGGTAGTCACTACCGGAGCAATTGTTGATGCAGAATAGTAAAAAAACTGTTCAATTTTAGCTCTCTTCTTCAAATCTTTAGGATAGAGATATTCGTGCTTAGATTTACCATACTTGTTAAACAGATAAGTAAGTATGGATCTAGATTCACCCAATATAAGATCTTCATCAACAAGAGTAGGGACTTTATGATGAGGGTTTAACTAAAAGTGTAAATATAACTGGTAAAGAGTTCTACTATGTTTTGCATATATATATATATATATATATATGTATATATTTATACCTTAAGATATGCCTCATTTTTATGTTCTCCTTTAAAAAGATCAACCACTTTCAAATTCAAGTTTACATTTAACAATTTGGCGCCAAAAAGAACGCTTCTGCAATAAGGGCTTAAAATGTAGTAGTAGAAGTCAAGTTTAGGCATTTTTCTGTTATGATTTTCGCTCTCTCTTTCATTTGAGAGTCTCTGAAAAAATGTATGGGCCTACAAGGCGTAGTATGAAAATCATGCAAAAAACGTCTCATCGCACTTTGCTCTCGTAAATTAACTTACTCTAATTTTTTGTTAAAGAGACAAATTATCTTTTTGAATAATGTATCAGTTTAGGCCTAAAAACTCGCTATAATTTGAAGGAAATAGGTTAATCTATAAATAATTCGAATGCATTATACCATCTTATATATCATTGTATTAAGTGTATTATAGAGTCTCTTTGTCCCTAATAATAACAATGTAACTATATATTGTAATATAGATTAGTTTAAAACTGTTTATAAATAAATAAGCATTGTTATCACTATCTATACAATAGTTTATGTAATTCTATTATTGTTTACTTGAATATTTTTCCGTGTCAACTTTTATTATCGCTCAATTATGATTAAATAAATATGGAATAAAAGCAAAAATAATAGAATGTTTTAACCAGTCTATAAATATAAATTTTGCAACTAATTTCCATTTAGGAATGTGATAATAAAACTAAAAGATACGAATACTTTTGATTTATTTATTACTAAGTAATCAATCTACAATTATCAAAAAGATGACGGAAACAAATCACGGGGTTTTATAAAACTGAATTAATACTATTTGTTTATAAAGTTTTTAGGCTGAAGGTTTGAAATCTTTCATAAGTGCTTCGGCTGTTTGTTTGAACTCTAATTCAGTATCTGTAATCCAATCGGATTTTTTGACTGCGGCGATAAATTTAGAAATTCCAGGGTATTTCGAATAATCGTATTTAAGCAATTCCAAATGGAGAATGACTGGTGCCAAATCGAAATCTGCTAGAGTCGGTTTATCACCAAAAATGAAAGGTGAATTCTGAAAGTAAATCTTGTCAAGGTCATTCAAAGCTGTTTCGAGTTTAGTTGTCTCCTCCTCTGTTGGCTTTCTCTTTCCGAAGAAAATTCCCGCAAAATAACCAAGAACGGCCGGAGCAACTGTTGTTGCAGTATAGTATAAAAATTGTTCAATTTTAGCTCTCTTCTTCAAATCTTTAGGATAGAGATATTCGTGCTTGGATTTACCGTACTTGTTGAAAAGATAGGTAAGGATGGATCTGGATTCACCCAATACAAAATCCCCATCAACAAGAGTAGGGACTTTATGATGAGGGTTTAACTGAAGAGTAAATACAACTGGTAAAGATTTCAAGTATATTTTCTATAAATATATATACCTTAACAAATTCTTCATTTTTCTGTTCTCCTTTCAAAAGATTGATCACTTTCTTGTTCAATTTTACATCTAGCACCTCAGCAGCATAAAGAACGCTTCTGCAATAAGGACTTACGACAAAGTAGTAAAAGTCGATGTTAGACATTTTTCTATTAAGGTTTTAGTTATCTTTTCAGTTTGAATGTTCCTGAAAGATTGTAGAGATGTAGATAAGTTTTGTCCATTTTATACTAGTTGAGAGGTTGAGAATGTATGCCATGCCGCAGCGCCTCTGCGCTCAATGTCCTCTAAATTAACCAAACGTCCTATAACTTTCACCTTCCTTTTAAGTTTCCCTTTAAAAATGTCAGAGGCTTTTGATGCGAATAATTCGGACGACCAATTTAAAGATATTGTAACATACCTTCTCTTAGATAATAGTGGTATTTTGCATATATTGAAAACATCTATGGCTTGAATAGCCATTGAAAAATTTCATGTCCTAAATACTCAACCTCTATACTCCAATTGAATAGGGCTGTTCTTATTTACAATATTCCCTTCTTCAAAGAATATTGCGAAAGAAGATAGTAGGAGTGCTAGTGATATTTTCTAAGAATATACAATGTATTTATACAAAAACATAGATAGGAATTAAATAACAATAACTTTAATAATAGATTCAACATATGTAATTACATATTTAAACTATAGATGGCATTAGTAAATTGTTGTGGAAAGAGAATGATAAAACTGATTTACTATGTTAAGGAATACAAGAAGCATGGCTAGAATGTAATAATCATTATAGAAGAGATTAAGCATTAAATATATTAATCATTACTTCATAGAGTATAATACATTAGTATTTCCTGTTAAAGGATCCGTTGTAGTCGAGAAATTCTATAAGGAATGAGAAATGAGTTAATTTTCATACCTAAGAAAGTATTATGTTAGACTGGTTTTTCACGTAATTGATTTACTTGATTACTTTTGACTTATAACTAAGTTTTCATTAAAATTTCCTGAATTAAAACCGATTTATCTTGGTTATCTTCTCACCTGGTGACTCTTGCCTACATGCACGTACCACTAACTTTTTCTTCTTTTTTTTGTCGATTTAAATAGTTTCTTCTTATATATTTAGTTATTAAGTTATATAATTAAAAAGCGTGGTTTTCATGTTGGATTTGTGAAACAATACATATTGTACTTGCCAATATACTTTAACTGGATATCAGACTGCTAATGCTGCTATTATACCCTTGTAGAATGATGGATTGTATATATGTATATATATATATATAGTTTGCATTACAGTATATTCCTCTTTTATAGTTAATTAAAAGTTAAAGTGCTGATGGCTTTTAAATAAAAGAGGTCATTTATTTAAAATCTTAAACGAAAGCGCCACCAAGTTGTCTCTTTTTTTGTAGGTAGACGCACCTCCGTCTCTCTCTCTCTCTCTCTCTCTCTCTCTCTCTCTTTCCCTCCCTCCCTCCCTTTCTCCTTCTCTCCCTCTACCTCCTCTATTCTTTATCTAACATTCAAAATAACAAAATGATATTACTACAAGTTTCACAATCATTTCTCAGTAGAGATAAAAAAAATATATACTACTAATCAACAGCTCTTATCTACTATTGATGGTTTAAAAACGTTTTCAACTGATATTATTCTAGGTCTATCTACGTCCATTTGACTTTTTGAATCTTCTTCTCTAACCCTCTTCCGTTAATAAATTGTTTATTCAAAAATGGAAGCTTATCTACGTTTCATTTGATAATAGATTTAATAATAAATAACTGTTACAACGAATGTTTGGTTTCTCATATCAGATTGAGACAAAAAATAAACTTTATCTGTCTAAATAAAGATAACATTTAAATGAAGATTCCAGACTTGGATAAAAGAATAATCAGAATAATCAATATGGAGTTTCTTTTTGTTTTTTATTTAAACTTAAATTTTTTACTTTCTCCGATAAGAAGATCATTTTCTGTAATTTTTACTAATACACTTCGATAGACTGAAGGATATTTCATTAGATAAATAAGAATACTATCATAAGATAGTTTTATTTAAGATATTTAAAATGTTGGAAAACATTGAAAAACATCAGATAATTCTAATCAATCTCTCTAAAGATTACTCCTTTCTTCTATTCCTTTTTTTATCAGTGTACATACAGGGTTTTCTTCTTCTTCTTCATCTTCTTCTGTTGTTTTATTGTATTGAAAAGTCAATAGAAGAGAAATCTTTATTTTATTTATCGAGTAATCCGAGTTAAAATAGTAAATTGTCTATAATATCGAAAACATCTTGTTATTTTAGCTTTTCATTGAAAGATTTCATTTCAGAGTAAAAAGAATAAAAAAACATGACCAAAAACCTTTAGACCAATAAAAAAGCTACTTGAATACATTTGTTTCTTATAATATTAAGATTCATAGCATGATCAAAGATAGATGATAGACCAATTAACTCGAGTAAACAAAATTTAAGAAGGCGGAAAAATGATGAGAGAATAAGGCGCCTATTCTAAAGTCCGTCATCATATCAGAATACTTAAAGAAAGAAAAGAATATTTCTATCGATTTTCCAAGTAAATACCTTATTGATTCAGTTATTAATAGTTTTATATTTGGAAACTATTCAATTAGAAATATAATAAAATTTTCATGTATCTAAACAAAATAAATAGGAAAGTAGATGATATTTACATAATACTTTTACTTAAATCATTAAAAAGAAACGTATAAGTCATTAGTAGAGTATACATATAAAATACATTTACAAGTTCTTTTGTATATCATAGATAATGAATTATAGATGAAACAAAAGTTACAAATAACCCTTTATGATTCTTTAGTGTAAAATTCAAATGGCTAAATATAAACACCTTATATAAATAGTATATTTTCTTATAAAATGTAATCAATAGTTCTTCATTCTGCTGGACAGAGATACTATAGAATCATTCATTCATTCTTGAATTAATCTAATAAGAGTGTAGAGATGATAGGAATAGAAATTTATTTAAAGTATTATATTCATACTTTATGAAATGCTTAAAATTCAAATTCATAACCTTTTCACTATCTTTTATACTTTCATTATTTATTCATCAGTGTTGATGGTTTCTTATATATATTCATTCATTAACTGTCATACTATAATATGATTTTTTATGTCAAGTTTATAAAAACAATATACGCATAATATTGTCAATTTTAATACCTTTACTTAACTATTCTGTAGAAAAAATGAATTACGTATATTATACGCTATTCCCTTTTACCATTGATTACTTCATCATATACTGTATATAGGACAGTTAGCATTTGTAACAAACTGATTAACAATTAAACCAAAGCTTACGTATAACATTCATTTTTATATATTTATTACCTTTCTTATGTTTGTTTGTTTATTTATTATATTTGATTCATATTTTTATTAAAATAAATGAATTCTTTCTTAAACGGATGATATAGTATTGGTATAAGAAAAGAAAAGAAAAAAAATCAATATTTGACTGTTTCACTCATTGACTTAGTTGTTTTATTTTGTTTATTTTTTTCGTTTGTTTGTTTGTTTTTCTTCCAGAGAAATAATAATTTAAATTTTAACCGTTCCTCTTTAAAATATATATTGCAGGTTTTGTTAATATTCGTATAGGAATCCATGGAAAGGCGTTTAAGTCTAGCTTTAATTGGGGATGTCCTTGAATAATACTCATAACTGAATGAGTTTGATTATACATTCTAAGTTTTTCATTATTTACGCCTGGTTCGGTTAAAATATGTGTGAATCCAAGCATTTCTTCAGAATTAGGAGCAATACCTTCTTTTTTACTATAGCTATAGATATAAAATCTATTAGTGTTTTTGTCATATTATCGACATGTAAAATATCTCTTTTTTGAAATATGTCTACCTCCAATTATCAAACAATTCCGTAAATCTGGAAACACCTGTTTCCGCTGATAAAGTATCTATATGAACGTATACAGGGGAAGATCTAGGTTCGATTTTATGTAGAATTTGCATAGCTTGTCCACCAGGATAGTTTATATTTGCTAAATATAACAATAGACCAGAGAAAAGAATATTTAACGCCAAATGCGCTATAACCCATATTGCAAGGATTTTTTTAAATAACGACTGATTCATTGAACGCCAACTGGAAAAAAAATGAATAATTTTTAATGGGGTTGCATACATTATATATATATATATATATAGTATATATAGTTATAAAATGTTAAATTGTTTACAATCTTGCGCAAGCAACCGCTGCGACAGTATTGAAGATTGGGAATATGTAAATTATAAATCTTAATTCTTTGTGTGGTAAGAAAGAGTAAAATCCGACATATACGATTGCCGGAAGGAATAATTGTCGGATTCCAGATTCCATATAAAACCCAAATGGAATAAAAAATAAAGAAGTAGCCAAGGCTCTTGGTATTGCTGAATAAAAATACCAGAAAAATGGCGATGTCTAAAGTATAATGTTAATGTAAGAATGAATATCTTGTGCATTTTTAAAAGCAATGAAAAACAAACCCCCCATCCTGAACTTTTGTTTAGGAACGTATTAAAATAGAATACCTCAGCTTCCGGCCAAACCCATCTTCTCCAGAAATATGAATCAATAAAAACTGTAAAAACTAAAAAAAGAAAGAGTAAACCTATACAAAATCTATGAATAATCATTTAGAAAAAACTTACATATCCATAGAAAACCTGCTGGTATTGAATATTTTATTGCATCAACAACTCTCAATTTAGTCATTAATTCTGATATTAAATAGCAACCCATCATTATAGCCAATTCTGATCTAAAGATGATAATTCCGCAGGCAGCAGAAAAAATGAAAGATAGATGATTTCGTTTAATTACAAATGCTAGAGCATGTAAACCTATAAATAGAAAGAGAAGAAGAAAAAAAAGGAAAACAAAAAAAGTTATTAGATAAATTGAAACATGAATAAATAAATGTTTTCTTAAATAAACTACCAACATAAGACTAATGCAAATGTATTCGGTAATGTTCTTGTCATATAGAATATAAAATGAAATTGAGTACAACTTATAATAGTTAACCATTTTGTAATATTTTGACCATATCTTTGACCAATTGCTGCCTGATATCTTTTAAAAGCATGCCAAACAGTTAAACCAAGAACTAATCTAACTGAAGATGAATAAATTGGAATAATTAATATTTTTTATTAGATTTTCTCTCCATCCTTTTTTTTAAAGAGAAAACAACATACTTAGCAATTGACTGGCAAATTTACTTAAACCAATTGCTTTAAATAGAGCTACAAATGGAGATGACATTGTTGCTAAAAATAGCGGTCCTATAAAAGAACGCGGTACAACTCCAGGAAATTCTAAGTGATCATACTGAAATAATAATATATACTTAATAAGTATCATTTAATACACATTATTTTTAATAAATTTAGATCAAAGTATAGGTTTATTATTGTTTTTTTAATATAAATTTCAATTGTTTTCTATTTGTAAACTCACCATTCCTATATTTGGGCCATAAAATATTATATCATGAGACGCTTGCGTATTAAATGATTCTTCTACTTTATTATAAGGACATATCACTAGCTGAAATAGCATAACTAGAAAAAATATGATATCAGGTCCATTCATTGTGAGCGATAATGTAGCTTCCACGTGAGCGAATGACAATAATGCTTAAAGCATAGCACTCTGACTCTTTCCTAAAAACAAAAAACCTAAATTCTCCAAATAATATCACAATCGAAAGTCTTAAACACCAAATTTAGTTGCAGACTATATTAATGTTTGCGATTATGAAGTTCTACTTAGCATCGAACTAAAATGTTCAACCAGTTTTTGTAGTGTCAAGGTCGGCAATTTCGTTTAAGATAGGCTGCGATAACTATCTCCATACTCAGGTGACTTAAAAATTAACCAACTAGAGTTAGAGTAATTTAATTTTTTTAGTACCCTCTATCCTAATTATAATATTCTTATGGAGCTATTTATAGATATATTATTTATACGAGTTTAAAAAAATAATTTAGATTTATAACCACTCCACGTTAAACTTTTATTCCATGTGCATACTTTTATTAATTCCCAAAAGAAAAGGAAAAGAAAACAGAAAGTATTTCCAGGAAAATTTAATTAAATGATCGTAATGTTTCTGTTGTTCATTTAAATCGCAACCTAAGCAATGGTTGGTAAGAAGAGAAATAGAAAATTGGTTAGTTGGAATCTCAATTCATATAGGAAATACTTTGTTGTTATTTTTTTCACTTTCTTAGAATAGTTATTAATGATAAAAGTTTAATAATTAGGCTGACATGGTGTTTTTTCTTTAGAATTTTTCTTCTGCATCAAGAATCCTAGTCTTCTTAAATTCCTTAAATCTCTCGATAACTTCTTCAATTGACCTCTCTCCATGAACTTTGTTATCTCTGGTTCTAACGTTAACAGTATTGTTGTCCTTCTCCTTTTGACCGACAACTGAAAATAGAAATAATTTTTAGATAGATAATGAAGACTCATCTACATGTAATATGTGTTCTTCCATACCAAGAATGAAGTTGAATTGAGATAATTGTCCATTTCTTATTTTCTTATTCATTGTAGTACCGTCGTCTAAATCAACTTCGCATTGAAATCCAGCATCGCGAATACTCTTACCAACGAACTTTGCATATTCATCAAAAACAGGTCCAATTGGAACAATAAGGCATTGTCTTGGTGATAGCCAGAATGGCCATTTTCCAGCATAGTTTTCACATAAAATAGCAATCATTCTTTCAACAGAACCCAAAATTGCTCTGTGAATCATAACTGGTTTGGTTTCGTTTTGACCTTCACCACTAAGAAATATCAAGATATTTAAATCTAAAAAGTACGTCAGACTGTAATAATAACCAACCTGGCATATGATAAATTAAACCTAATCGGAAGCTGGAAGTCTAACTGAATAGTTGCGCATTGATGCGATCTCTTCAAAGCATCTTTGATCGTAATATCGATTTTTGGTCCGTAAAACGCACCATCTCCAGGATTAAAGTCCCACTTTGCACCAAAGCTATTTAAGCTCTCCTCCAACTGCTTTTCGGCTTCATCCCACATACTAATTTCTCCTAGAAACTTTTCGGGTCTGGTAGATAAGTTCAAGTGGAATGTAAATCCAAAAACATCGTAAATGCTTTTCAAAAAATCAAGGCAACCGTTTATCTCCTCCTTGATTTGATCTGGTCGACAGAAGATATGAGCATCATCCTGTTGAAATCGTCTAACTCTAGTGAGACCAGATAGAGCACCAGACAGTTCGTTTCTATGCAGGACTCCAAAATCAGCTAATCTTAATGGAAGTTCCTTCCAAGATCTTGGACGAACATCAAACATCAAACTAGAATAGGAAATGGATTTATAAAATCTTACGCGACACTTATTTCGTATAAATCTATATGAGAATATATTATTCTTACCAGTGACCTGGGCAATTCATTGGTTTTAAAGCAAACTTTTCTTTTTCAACGTCTACGTGGAACATATTGTCCTTTTATATGGAACAAAGAATATATCAGTAATTAGTAATCAGCATATTATATAGTATATCAATTATCCATTATTCGAAAGATCTATATTCTATTTATACATAATATTTTAATGATAACTTACAGCATAATGTTGCCAGTGACCTGATTGTTCCCACAGTTTAACATTATACATATTTGGTGAGACCACCTCCTGAAAACCTCTTTTCCAGTATTCTTCCTATATATAGTCAAATGATAAAAGCATTATTATAAAATCTATTATAATAATTTAAGAACCTTTATAAATTCCATCAAAGTATTGTAAATAAAAGTTCCTTTAGGCAAGAAGAAACAACTACCAGGGCTCAATTCGTGGAAGAAAAACAACTCTTGTTCCTGATTGGAAAAAAAGTTCAATCAACAACAAAAATTATATATAAATATTATAGATTACTTTGCCAAGTCTCCTGTGATCTCTTTTCTTGGCTTCTTCCTGAAACTTAACCCATTCCTTTAATTGTTTACTGTCGGGAAAACTAATGCCATAGATTCTCTGTAGAGTTTCAGCGTTCGAGTCTCCTTGCCAATAAGTAGACGAATTCTATCAATATTCAATTTTTAAAAAATAAGGAAATGAATACAACATCAATGATTTAACAAGTCATTATCTAAGTACCTTATGAATAGCAAGAGCCTTAACTTTACCAGTATGTCTAACATGGGGACCCCTGCATAAATCAATCAAGGGACCACATCGGTAGACAGTAGTAGTAGGAGTATTTATTTTCTCCTTTATAATTCTATGTTTAAATTGGTTGTATTTAAACATTTCTAACAAGTCTTCCTTCTTCATTTCTAGCCTTTCAAATGGTTGCTTCTCCTTTTGAATTCCCTTAATGATTGTATCTAAGTGCTTGAAGTCGTTAGGCGAAACTTGTCTACTATCAATAAACATATCGTAGTAGAAACCTAATTGGAATAAATAACATAAATATTACTATTGTTTAATAATTCTAATTGATAGTAAATTCTAATGTACATCATTGTTTGGCAATAGATTATAGTATGTCATGCAAACAAATATGGAACTACAATGTATTTGTAGTCGAATAGCTACGCAACAGAAGAAACAAACCTTCTTCAATCGGAGGGCCGTAACATAAGCATCCACCGTAATGTCTTTCCATAGCTTCCCCTAACATATGAGCACTCGAGTGCCAAAATACGTATTCTCCCTCTTTGTCATCAAACTTTAAAAGTTTTAAAGAGCTATCGCCTTCAAAAGGTCTATCTAAATCCCATAGTTGATCGTTTACTTTCGCTACAACTGTATTATCGGCTAGGCCTTTGCTGTGTTAATTATTAATATATAATCTCTTGACTTTAGCACATAAATTTTATTACAAAATAAAAATTGTTTAACCAGAAATCTTTAATATAAAAGGAGAGATAGGATGATTGCATAATACTAGTATAATAATAATGCTATTTAATAACAGAAAATAATAGCTTTTTCAAGTTATATTTCTATAAGATTACCTATTTTAAGATTAGCTATTATTTTACTATTCGTAAATATAAATTACCTTATAGAAGCTGCAACTTCGTAAGGCGTAGTTTTCCATGATTTACCAGGAATTTGCTTGCCGTCTGGTAAAGTAACAGTTATATCTTTTTGATCTTGTTTTAAGATCCATTCATCGTGCTCTTTTTTCAACCTGTCCCACAATTGCAGCCTTTCGCTAAGATACTCCGGTGGGGGGTTCATCTATGGATTTAAGACTTATGTTAATAAAGTATACATAAAATATTCATAGAGTTTACTTACTTCAGTCGGGAAAGACTGCTTAACCTCTCCACCCTGTACAAAAAAAATTTTTACCTATTCAATTCAATAAAGTGAAAATGGTAAACATGGATTTATATTAAAAGTATAAGTCTGCACTTTAGCTTTTTCCCCTGTTAGAAACGCTAATTTTGTTAAATACCTCTATTTGCGCAAAGCAATGTTCTAAACTCATCTTGTATGTAATTAACAGCTATTAAAGCCAAAACTCTATGCACAAATGAATAAAGTAAATAGGTAAAATTCATCTTATATAACAGTCATTCTGACGCAATATATGATGCAATCAGTAGTCAAGAGTAATTAAAGATTATCAAATATACTAAAAGCTTTCTAAGTGTACAAAGTATTTTCAGGCATTATTCCGACCTTGATAATTAATGATATCTTTAAAAAACAAAGAAATAAAACCAAATCCTATAGTATAGAGTAGAAAACGAACGAAGTAATTGGGGAAAAATGTGAGACGGGCAAAGCATAATAAAACAATGATATTAATCAAATTCCACTAATATTTCGAATTAATGAAAGGATTTAAGTCTAGGAGTAAAATATAGGGTTTGATCGATTTTGATATTTGATGAAAACGTAGGAAATCGAACGAACCGAACTCATTGCCCGAAAACTAAAGGATCCTATCCGATGAAAATAACGCGATAATGAGCGAAAAAGCATAAATATCGAATCTTTAACTCCTTAGAAATTCAACAATTAAAAGACTCGTGCCTTTTTCGCGTCATCCAAACTCATGCTTTTCAGCGGTTTCTCCACGTTGGCAGCCATATTTTATACGCATGTACGAGCGGTTTCAGGATATGTGACCGTTTGAAACCGTTTACTCGTTGCCATAACAAATATGGCGCTGTAACACCTCGACATAAACAGAAAGCCACTCGAACGGTTTTAGGAGTGTTAGAACCGAGGATGAAATAATGGGAAACTGTAAATCCGAATTATCGCACAAGGCTAATCGACAGTTCGTATTTGAGCACATATTTGTTTCCTTCTTAATTTTATTACTCCTTTGAGCGATACTTCAAGATTTTTCGTAACATTCCATCACGTTTTAGAAGTATCTTTTCACCTACTTTGATACGTATTAATTTTTCGAGAAAGAGTAACGTTTTTTGACTCAAAGTGGTCATGTTTAGCCTCTGTTATACTTGCTGTCGCCGAGAAGGGAACAGAGAAGCTGTTACTAAGTAAGATAACATGTACTCTTATGTTTTTTCTTGTCGTTACGTTCTCTTTCAATGCATGCTAGTAAACAAACAACCGTCCAGATAGATAGAGACTACTTATCAATAAAGAATTTATAAGGTTATTTAAAAATATTTATTTTTATTGATCATTTATAGGGCACTTCCTATTGCCGTGTTGGGTCTTGACAATGCAGGGAAAACAGTCATGTCAACTGGCTTATCAGGGGAAAAAGACCATAATCCTGCGCCTACTGTTGGTTTTAGCAACAACGACTTTAAGATTGGTAAACAACAGATAAAGTAAATATATAATTCATAATTTTTTCTTGTCAATAATTATTACACTTAAAAGAAAACTATTAATTATGTTATTCAATTGTTACATAGATTAATGGACTTAGGAGGAGGAAAGAGAGTTAGAAGTATTTGGAAAAATTACCTTTCTGAAATTTATGGTATAATATTTGTGATTGATGCCAGTGACTCAGAAAGAGTAACAGAATGCCGAGAGGTATTAAATGAATTACTGAGAGATCAGAGAGTACGCGAAAAACCGATCTTATTGTATGTGTACTATAATGTATTAGGTTTCCACCCAAATAAAAAACAATCTCCTCTACTTTCATACAGTTTAGCCAATAAACAAGATAAAGCAGGAGCAATGGATGAAATGGACATTTGCACTGCATTACATGTGGAGGATACTGTTTTCAAAGTGAAATGTCCAAGTAGAATTGAACTATGTAGTGCAATATCGTATGGAACTGGAAAAAAAGTCGATCCTGCAATCTACAAAGTGAAGCTTTTAGAATACTGTTTAATAATTTAAAGTAAAGTCTTTTAAAATAAAAACAGGGACTTTGTTGGATGATTGCAATAATTCATCAAAGATGGGAGGATCTTGATTCACGAGTTAAAAGACAAAATGAAGAACATAAGGCCGAGGAAGCTAGGAAATTTGAAGAGAAAAAAGCTCGTGCTCGATTAAATAAAGAGGAAAGGTGTAGTCTTAAATTATATTAGTGAATCCGCGAAAGATTCTAATTACTGATAATTTTGCAGAGAGGCTAGAGAGAGAGAAACTAATGGCTTTAGAGATGATGACGACGAAGATACACGTCTTGATTCACCCGATTATTCACGTAGGAAGGATTCTTTTAAGCGACGCTCTCAACACAAAGAGGTACATTAATTTCAACTCTTATATAATGGAACAAAATCAATACTTGCTCCATAGGGTTTAAATACGTAATTATTTGCTTCCCTCTTTTTAGAACTACTCTCCTAGAAATAGGCCTTTCGGAAGTGATGAAATGTTAAGGAGAAGATCATCCACTCCTCCTCCTTTAAATCACTCTTCCGGTTTACCATTAACTAAATCTCGAAGTATAGTACCACCACGTCAATTAGAGCCACTTCATATAGATGAAAGTGACGGTGCAGATTCGGCTCGCAGTAAGAAAAAGAAGAAAAAAGGACGCTTTAGACTAAAAAATAACAAAATAGGACAAGATGACTATGATACTCCCCGTCAATACGATTATGAGAATTCGTATTCAAGCAAAGGGCGAAGTAACCATCCAACAATAGACGAATTTGACGAAGATGCCGACAAACCACATCGAAATTGGAGTTTAGACTTACCAGATGATATGGATCCCTATAGGAGAAGACCGAATTCTTATGACGATGTTATAACCTAAGGTGTTAAGTCTCATTAACAACATATTTTGATCATCCTAGTCTCAAAACTTTCCAATCTCATACGAAGCATTACTACTTTCTTTGGGGAGGGTTTGAAAAAAATGCGGGTAAGGTGACATAAAAGAAATCTGGACAGCACTGTTGGGAAAGGGAAGTAAATAGAGTAAAAGGAACAAGTAAAGATGAGCAAATTTAAATTTTATATATCAAAACAAAAAAAGAGAGTTTTAAAGATGTAATTCTATCATTTGAAATACAAAATATTCTTGTTAATACCTTTTCGCGTTTGCCTTAAACAATCTTTTATTAAAGAATAAAAACGTTTTCAATGTTCGATGACAGCTAGAAATAAAATTAGTAAAATAATAGAAAGAACACGATTCAAGGGTCTACTTAACCTACAAACTTTGTATGGCTTTCCATTACTTATCATTCTTTAGATGATTCATCAAAAGTTATTTTCCTAATGTTCTTGACAAACATATATATAAATAGACGCGTGTGAAATTCGACTAGGTCGTCCATCTAAACATATCCTTAGAGTTATTTGTTTTTTATTTCATCTATATGAAATATTGTGTATTGAGACTTGCGCGCATTGCAGTCGGCTGATTAGTAATCCTATTCAATGTATTATCCTAAGAACAGAATTATCTTCTTTTGTGATATATGAAAAAAATATTGAAAAGTCTGATTACTTATATTCATAGACGCAAAAGGGGAAAAAGATGAATGTAATAAATTATTATTTTGTCGTCTTTTATAGAGTACAGGACTCTAGATTTATAAAATATTTAACAAATGGAAGATATTTAACTAATGTAAATTAATTAAAAGTACTTGAGTAGATATATCAATTAAGATAATCTTATTACTTTACATGTAATTTGGGAGTTTAAGTTAGTTTAGAAGAAAGAAAAGAAATATAAAAGTAAGCTTTTTTTATCATCGAACAATTGTCGAAACGTTTACATTGAAAGAAAATTGAATCTCGTGTCAATTGAATAAATATATTCTATGACGTCATAATGTATATTGTTCGATTTATAAATTGGATTTAAATCCGGTCATTTGTTCTTCTTGCTTAGCTACCGATAAATCAGGGAAATTTTTTGGCATCATTCTAGCTGGCTCTTGATTAGGGTCGCATCTGTATTTTGTGAAATCTGTAACGCCATTATCGCGTAAGATATCTTCATCCAGAAGAACTTTACCATTGTATTTCTGAGTCGGCTCATCCACAAGAAGTTTAGTAGCGTCAGCAAATACAGTCGATTTTCTCATCATTTCATTAGGAACGCCCATCTTAGCTGTAACAAAACTTTCAACAACAGTAGCTGGCCAGAGTGAAGTTATAGAAATGTTCGAACCCTCCAGCTCAATTCCAAGTCCCATAGTTAAAACTGTCATTGCTGTTTTTGTCATAGCATATGGCGTTTTTCCGCGAAAAAATCGAGAATAAATTGGTTGTGAAACCAAAATAATTTTCCCAGAATTTTGCTGACGAAAGTATGGCATGCATTCTTGGACAGCAATATATGCTCCTCGGCCATTAACAGCGTTCATCAAGTCATACCTTTTTAAAGGTGTATCTTCAACTGTTTTCCATAGAATAGCGCCAGCATTATATACTAAGGCATCCAATTTTCCATAATGGGCAATTGTTGTTTGAATTAAATTTGATATGTCGGACTCTTTTGTGACGTCGCATTTAACGGCTAGGGCACTACCACCTCCAGCTTTTATTTCTGAACATACACTATGTATATTACCCGGTAAATTGTTACTATCTTCAACAGTTTTAGCAGCTACTACTACATGATGTTGACTTCCCAATGTCAACGCAATTTGACGACCAATTCCCCTTGAAGCACCTAAAACAATGGCAACTTTGCTAGACATTTTGTGAACTATTCATTTAGTTTAAAAGTGCCAAAAAGTGGGTCTGAAAAAATTTGTGGTGTATATATATATAAACTGGTAAGCTGATTGGTTATTTGGAGTGTAGTATGGATAGCATTCCGTACTTATATTAGTGAGTCATAAAAGGACCAGAGACAAGCATTTTTTGAGTACTCATCATCACATCACATATAATAGCAATGATACTTTTAAGAGTAAAAATAAGGACACAGCATAAAAATAACCTAACTTTCGAAATTTTTCGTTTTAAAATACTTCGTACGAAAATCTCGGTAATATTCATTTCCGTTTTCGACACAGAAAATCAGCCTTGCTCAGTAAAATTGATATTCGTACGGTTTTCTGTGCATATTAAAGCATGGCCGACGTTGTGACGAAGGATTCACGACAGAGTGAACACACTTTGAATTCAAAGGCCATAAAAGAGTTGAACTCATTGTTATCTGTGTTGTCTTTGGATCCAGTTCGGTGTCAGACATTTGAAACGATCGCCTCATCTTTATATCAACATTTCAATAAGCAAGATTCCTATCGAATTGGAACCTCTTTAGTCTTACTTTTACGAAATAAAGATATTCTGAAATCAATTGGTCAACGATTGGCAGCGATCTACTTGTTATATGATATGTATAAAAATGAAGCAGTCGCAATGAATCCATTTGCCTCTGTGTTTGTTCATATGCATAGTCCACCTACAGAGCGTCACGATGGCACAAACACCGTTTTTCATTGGGCTATTCCCGATGTGTCAGATCATGAAAAATACTTTATTGCCAAACTCATATCGAATGGAACCAAGGAGCTAGGAAAGAAAACGCCCGAACAAATAATTTCACAGTCTTCAAAGAGTGAAGAAATGGGAGATATGAGTGGTCTTCAACTGTCACTTGTGGAACGACAATCGGCAATGCATGCAATCAGCAAGAGCTCAATGCCTTTAATCGTTTCAATACCAGAAACAGATGAGGCAGGAACTACCATAGAAAGTTCTTATACCGAAGTGGCGCCATCACTATTGTACGCGGATAAATGCGTAGGACCTCACTTTATTCGACCTGTTTGTCCTATGAGTAAAGGGATAGACGAATTAAGTATGATAATTCCAAGAGAAGCATCTAGTTTAAAGTTTTGCTGGCATGGTGGAGTATGTGAAGCGACAGAATTCCTGACTGAGGCCAGACGACTACTTTCTATAGCCTATACAAGATCCTTAGTTCTACCTCAACAACACCTTTTGGTTGCGATTATATTAGAAGATGATAATATTGTTTTCCAATTGGGTTTAACGCCAACAAAATTACCAAATTTGGTAGAGAATAACCCATTAGTATCAATAGAAATATTAATTAAGTTAATGTCATCAAGTCAAATAGCAGATTATCTTAATGTTTTGGTTAATATGGATATGTCATTGCATTCTATGGAGGTAGTTAATAGGCTAACGACTGCTGTCGATTTACCAGCTGAATTTATACAGCTGTACATAACGAATTGCATTTCAACGTGCGAAAATATTAAGGATAAATTGATGCAGAACCGTTTAGTTCGACTCGTTTGTGTTTTTCTACAATCTCTTATTCGAAACAAGATCGTCAACGTTAAAGACATTTTCATCGAGGTGCAAGCGTTCTGTATAGAATTTTCACGTATTCGAGAAGCGGCATCACTGTTTCGTCTCTTAAAGACATTAGACAATGATAGTAGTAGTGTAACGAATACGACGTAAGTACAGAATTATGTAGTACAACACAACATTCAGTTACTCTTTTTTTATATATTTTTTTCACGAAATACTAAGCGTATTATTCGTCGCGTAGCATGCACACTTTAACTTCATCGACATCTTTTCGTCCTGGACTTTGAATAAGTTCAACGTTAGGCGTCGTTACCGCTGACGCTGCTTCCGTTATCTGTCGAGGGTGTCAATAAGATAAGATGTATTTAAATATTTATCTTACACTAACGTTAACCTGAGTATGATTAAAGCGACCCTTCATAACTTGACGTTGGTAATATTTTCTCTTTAGACAGGCAATAACTTCGCCGTTCAAAAAACAATAGATTAGTGTTACAAAAAAGCCTTGTGTACTAGTTATAATAGCTCCGGTGAACAAGTAAACGTGCAGTAGGGGTGAATCATTTTTTGGTTTAAATGGTATGATAAAATAATGTAAACCAAGCAAAGGAATTAGTATTAAAGTAGCTCTTGCAGCTTTTTTGTACTGTTCAGCATTGGTGTCGTTGAGAGCGCGAATCTTAGTGACAAGTACCCGAACAATGTTGCACAGGAATATCAAGTTTAAGATGATAGAAAAGAGGGCAGGTCCCGAGATAATCCATTGAATCGCGTGGTCGTGCACCCAGCAACTAAGCGAAACATTTATACTATTGAAACCTGAACAATGAAAGGTTTATTGAAGGGAAGTCTTACTTTTTCTTACTGTCGTGGCTGGTGGATATTTGTCTGGACAGACCGTATATTATTGTCAGGGCCAGTGGAACTAGCCAACCAAGAATACAACAGGCCGCTAAGAGTTTCTTGACAGAGACGAAGGCGAATACAATAAGAGTATGTAAGAACAGTCCTTCGCAAAGCATCCAAAAGTAGTTACTGGCAGTAAAATACTGCGTAAGAATATGTAATAGTCGACACCAAACAGGATTTTGCGAAAGTACTTCAGGGCAGATGGAGACTGCATTGTAATAAGCAATCCAAGCCAATCCAGTCAGGATATAGGAAGTGAATAGGTTCTTATGAACGGTAACTCGGTCGCATTGCAACTGTCTAATTAACAATATTAAGTAGATTAACAAAGGATTAATTATAAATCATGAAAAGAAAGAAATATCATATTTTAACACTAACTTGAAATAGAAAAATATTATCAAAGCGATTACAAGACAAGCAACAGATAGTGCGTATCCAACGGTGAAAATCCTTATTCTTGCTCTATCATGCTGCAGATCGACGAATGAAATACAGCCGGTATAATTGGTCCAACTATTATTATACGGAGAAATGTACCATTTGCCGTCCTCCATGCATTGTTTGAATCCTTTTACTAATTGGAAATTTGACAAAATTCACGTAAGTTTTTTTTTCTTTTTTGTTTTTTTGATGGAAAATACACAGAATTTTTAATGAAATAAAAATATTCTTTTCCATTGTTATTTAATTTTACTGCTCTATTTATATGTCTAAAAAAAAAGAGAGAGAGAAAAGAAAATAAATAAAACTTACGAGTCGAATCAAACCCTTCCACGAAGCTTGGACATTGAACGTAGGCCTTTTCAGAAGCTAGAGTATAATTGAAGCAAGACAATCCGTCGAATACCGCTGGGCAGTAAACTTTACCTGTGCATACATATAAATGTATACATAAATATATATGAATTAATATTCATGAGACATGACATGTATAATTCACTAATAGCACGAAATTTCTTGCCTCTAAGAGAGTGGAGGTAAGTCACGCAGTAATTTTGCAGTACGTGCTTTGTACACTTTCCCGACACGTTACTTAAAGTTAACACGTAATTTGGACTTACGCTCGAAAACATCGATCGTTAATTGATTCTAGATAGAAAATCGTGTCTGAGAATTTCTTAACTTTATAGAAATTAACTAAATTTAAATAAAACCTAATAAACGTAAAATGTAATAAATTTACCATTGGTATTGTTGGGAGGAGGTTGAGCAAGAATCGTTCTATTGCACTCTTTCTCCAGTGACTTTTTGATGTCATTCGGTATCATTCCGACGCTTAGAACAGCAAACTTATTTGTCGTCGCCTGTTTTTATGTTTCCAAAAAACAAAGAAAAAAATCAGTACATGCGGAAAACATCTGTCAAAGCTTGCACAAACATATATATCTTAATCGTTTTAACCGGATGAATTTTCTTCAAGCGTACTATGGAGAGATAGTTCTTTCTCATCAAATAGATACGCGGTTATTTGCTGTCTTACTTCCCTTCCAATGACAGTATATCAAACATGATAAACGTTTCTTCAATCTTCTATTGTACTATTATCCCTCTCTGCCTCTACAACACTCTACTTCAGATCTTCAAACTCTATATGTATACGTTTCTCTCTCCCTGTCTCGTTCTCTCTCTGTCTCTGTTTTTTTTAAAAGTGACTACGACCGAGCCCAGCGCCGACCAACGACTGATCGGGAAACCAAACATTTTCCGCAGCCGTTAAATGCAAAAAAAAATCTCTATCCTCGAATTAAAGGCTCACAAAATAATTACGTTTATTAAGTTAGTTGCAAAAAACTTCTAAATGGCAGGTCAGATATCATGAGAACGGATCAAAAATATCTATTTTTTATGATGCCGTTAAACGTTGGATAGTGTCAAGTACTTTCAAGTTTATAAAAGTATTTTACTACTAGAAAAATAATCGATTTACTGTTGCTGTTTTTTTTTTAAATTAGTTGATAATGTAAAACTTATGTAATGAAACATATTTATTCTCTGACGAGGGGGGCGATAATAAAGAGTTGGAATAAAACGATGCAAGCGGGTTAGTTGGTGCGGAGAGGGATGTGGGGAGAGGTAGATCGAATACTGTAACAAAGTTGGCGACAGCCTGACTGGCCATATAGGCCTTGGGCTATGCATTTACCCCGATTTTCGTATATAGAAAAAGAGCGTCAACAATAAATACGTGATATTTTCGGATGCTGAAACTGGAAAGCAAACAATCAATTCAAAAAAAAACTTCTAGCGCCATTCAAATTTTTATGTAGGGGGTCGGGGGGATTTCCTTTCCACACCATTCACCTGCTCTTTACCCCATATTCATACGTAGGCCTTCAATCGGCCAGTTTTCCAAAACTTTTTGTACCTCTCTCTGTTCAACCCCTATTTACCTACAGGTCTAAACATCTGGTTTAAAAAACAAAATTCTATAAATAGACTATATAGTTTTCAAAATATTTTCACGACACTTGTAGCCCGATTACCACAGATGTTTCCCATTTTCTTAGCGATATCCGAATAAACAGTAGTTTCTTCTGCACGAATTATAACCTACGTAAAGGAGGGCAATAACTTAATACGTACTTCGTAATCGAGTGAAGTCTTCTCTCCATCCCATAAATTGCCAATTCTCTATCTTTTCTCCCTCTCTCTCTGTCTCCCAGTTTGCCTCTTGTTAGATATTTTTCTCTTTAGAAACAGAGATTCTTATTTCTATATTTTATGAATATTCAATAAAATTTATTTGTATATTCTTAGTTGATATTCAACTCTTCTCAATCAGCTGAAAGGCGACTCTTCGTATAATAATTCCTAAACATCTGTACATACTTGTATATTGAAAAAATGAAGCGCGGTCATAGCACAGTATATAGGCTTACAGTGATAGCTATGCATTACACTTCCATACATATATTATATGTTGTATTTATCTTTAATTAGTATTATAAAGACAGCACGAATTGACTAAAATGCTATACTGGTGTATAAATATCCAATTATAAATTATCTGTTGTTCCACTCATTGAAAAAAATATAACATCTTTATTTTATAGGAGTAATTAGCATTTTTAAAGAAGAGTTAGATATAGATTGATGGATGAATCTATAGATAGATAGATAGATGAACAGATAGAGAGAAGGATAGATGAATAAAAATATAAAATTCTTCCTCTTAAGAGTTTTCATGATGTTTAATCCTAATTGAATTGCTTATTGCTGTAAAATGATCCAAAAAAGGTCAAAAAAAAGGTTCTGGAAGAAAGAAAATCGTCCAGCACATTACGTGGAATTAGTTTGTTTTTCGTTTGGGGAATATATATTTGTCAGATGTTGATAAATAGAGGATAAAAAATATAAAAAAATAACAGAAAAGGCCTATACATTAGGTCGATACGACAGCTAATGGATATGAAAGTGGACAGTAAAACAACGAGTCGCTTACCCTTTGAATAGCCAATACAAGAACAGAATATATTAAGCAAGCAGATTCACTTTTCATTGTAACGCCCATATTGTTTGAAAGGAAAGAAGGGGAAGTTAAACGTCGTCGTGCAAATTTGAGAGTGAGAAGGTCTGTCAATATAAATCAGCAAAGACGAAGTCGTACTCGCTGATGAGTAAACCTTAGAGTTTGATAGGAAGCCTCCTAAATTATCGAGTCAACTTGACTAGAGATAGTGAAAAATTTTCCCCTTTTTTTTCTTTCAATTTTATCATCATTATCGATACCTTTTCCTGTTTTCAACATATTGATTTTATTTACTAGATCAGCTGGTTTGTATCAGCATCTATTGTTAGAATGCAACTTGAACTTTCCATATTTAGTAACGCTGGCATAAAGCAGGGAAAAACATTTTATTGCATATTTTCGCGCTAAATAATTTAATAAAATAATATTCCTATTTTTTTTTGTACATTTCCCTAAAAGCCTATATCGAGAAGTTTATAATGTGGAAGGAATTAACCATATTGGTTAAGTGGCGGAAATTCTTGGGAATTAGTTTGTTCACCAGAGGTCGTTTATTTTTGGGCTATAATTGGACAGAGTTAAAAGGTATAAAGATTTTTCATCTGATGGATAACCAACTAAGAATCGAAGCTAATTTCCCTTGTAATTTGCTACTCCAGTCGATTTGTTTAGTTAAACCCGAAAAGTCGATCTAGTTGGAAAATTAGGTGTATTCTTAATTAGATTCCTTCCTTATAATCGAACAGTGTGTCAACACTAAATGTCAACATATATAAACTGTTTCTTCACGTCTTTTCTTTGTCACGACAATTCCAGGCTTGTGCTGTGCGTCTGGGTGGTTAGCTAATTCTGGCGGACAATTCGATACTGGAGACTCCAAAATACACTGTTTCAATTCGTAGAAAACTGTAGAGTCATCTTTTGTTAAAAAGGTCACTGCAGTTCCCTCTTTACCAGCTCTGCCTGTTCTTCCTATTCTATGTGTATAATCTTCGATCGACTTAGCCATATCGTAATTGATGACAAGTGAAACGTCCTTAATGTCAATACCTCTTCCGGCAACGTCTGTAGCCACTAAAATATGTTTGTGTCCACCCTTAAGTGAGGCTAAAGCGTATTCTCTTTGTTCTTGACCTTTTCCTCCGTGCAACGTGCAAGCTAAATATCCCATCTTCTCTAGAGACTTAGCAAGAACGTCAGCACCCTTCTTTTGATTGACAAAAATAATAATAGGTGGTTCGATACCTTCATCAAGAATTGCCAATAACTTTTTACGTTTTTCTTGCTCAGATATTAAGTGCACTATTTGTTTGACTCGTTCAGTAGGTTTACCTGCTGAACCTATATAAACAATGGCTGGTCGCCTTAGGTAAGTGCGAGCAAGACGTTCTACTGCCGGAGGCATAGTAGCTGTGAACATAACGGTTTGTCTATATTTAGATTTGGTGTAAAAATTCTCCATCAACTTTTGGACATCTTCCGCATCGTCTGTATCTGGTTTTTGATTAGTAACGGGTAAATATTCCAAGATCTTTTGAACTTCAGGTTCAAAACCCATATCAATCATTCTGTCAGCTTCGTCCATAACGACGTAGGTACATCGACTTAAAACAAGATATCGGTTTTCGAGAACATCGATCAGACGCCCGGGTGTAGCAATAACGATCTCACAGCCTTGTCGTAATTTAAATCCCTGTTCTTCTCTGGATATACCACCGATAATGGCTACAGTACGAATTCCCAAAGGACCACCAAACTTCAAAGTTTCCTCTTCTATCTGCTGGGCTAATTCACGAGTTGGAGCAAGAATAATTGCATAGGGACCCTGATCAGCGTCTTCCATTCTTTCGATTTTTGGTAAAGATTCGATCCATTGCAGCAAGGGTATGAGAAACGCAGCGGTTTTTCCTGAACCTGTTTCTGCCACACCTATAATATCTCTATTTTGTAAACCAATAGCAATGGCTTGTCTCTGAATAGGTGTTGGCTCCTTATATCCTATTTTATTTATAACAGTAATCAAAGCATCCCTAATGTCAGCCTCTTTCCAATTTCTTATCGGTTTAGGAATACTGCCTCCTTTACAAGATATTGCAAAATCTTCTTTAAATATTCTCCAATCTCTATCAGTCATCTCATCCAAAGGCTTTTCAGACCAATGGCGTTCATCCCATTTCAATTTAGCTTCTTTCTTGGCAATATTATTTAGTCTTATACTTTCCTGATCTTTCTCTTCAATTGTTCGGCGTTTCTCTAAAAGTTCACCATAAAATTTTCCTTGCTCTTTTTTTTGAGACTTTAAATCTATTCCTGCTAAACTTCCTCTACCAAAAAACTGAACTTGATGTTTGGCCTTATATATAGGATTATAATCAGTTGATGTATCTTCTCCCTGATCCCAATCAAATAAAAATTTTCTGTCATTCAAACGACGAACTTTTTTCTTTTTTCTTATTTGACCAAGATATCTTTCCTAGGAAAAACAAACATCTTTAATTAACCATCTCATCATTTAAAAAGGAATAAAATATCACATACTTTTATAGCATCAAAGGCTTTTTCTTGATCTTTGACATTTCCTCCTTCAACGATATCAGCATGAGGGACTTTCGTACGGTTTCTATCTCTGTCGCGATCCCGATCCCTATCCCGATCTCGGTCCCGTTCACGTTCCCGTTCGCGTTCGCGTTCCCTATCCCGTCTTTCCCTTCTTTCACGTCTTTCTCTTTCAAAGTTATCCTCTGTAAATTTTTAACCGATTATATCAAGATCATAGAAATCGTAAAAAAATTTGGTAATTTACCTGCGCCGTATTTGGCTTCTTGTAAAAAAGCATGATGCTTTTTACGTGCCTCTTCTTGCGCTGCTCTTTGAGTCTCTACTTCTAATTGTCTTTTCTGTAAGGCTAGTTTGGTTCTTTCCTCTTTCGAAAGAAACTTTGGCTGTAAAAAAGCAATATTATAGTTAATTACCTAGACTTATTTTATAATACTTGTAATTACTTTACTAAGAGCTGCTTCCTCAGCTTTTTTCTTTTCTAATATTTCTTCTAAAGATAGTGGAACTCTTTTTTCTTTTTCCTCCTTAACTTCCTTTTCTTCTTTATGTTCTTCTTTATTTTTTGAGTCTTTCTCAGCACCGTTTTCTGTAGCCTTACGGTCATCGCTTAATGATCTACTTCTACGTCGTTTACGTCGTTCATTACTTCTTGATCGACTTCGCCGGCGTCGAGTAGGTGACCGGGATCGAGAACGTCTTCGTTTTCTCTCTCGTGACCGGTCCCTGGAGCCTCTGCGGTTTCTTCGTTCTTTTGAATTTGAGCGACTTCTTCTTCGCTCTTTTGAACGACTTCTTCGTCGCCTTTCCTTACTTCTAGATCGCTTACGTCGACGTTCATCTTGAGTATCTCCTCGATCCCTTCCCTCCGAGGGGCTCCTACTTCGTCCAGGCATTTATTATCAAATTAAAACAAAATATTAAAATCTAAGATCGAAATCTTAGCTCTCGATTGAATAATTAAACGCAACTGCGACGATATATTCCAAAAACAACCGGTCAGTATTCGTCGAATATACGCAAATTTTCTTGACGGGTAACGAGTGTTTTGCCTACTCCTTCGTAAAACATAGCCTAAAAATAAACTGGTAAATTCCACAACGCCACCTCAAGTTAAATAGAATTCGTTTTCAGTATTCTAGGTACATACTAATTTAAAATTTCATGAAAATTGACACGATTCGTAACATGATCTATTTCATTTTCTATTCAATGCAAGATGTTTCAAGATAAAACAGAAAAAGAGCTTCAAACAAAAAGAATCGTATAAAAATATAAATTAATACTATATGTTAAAATGGAAAAAACTAATTAACTGTAATAATAACATTCGTAATTTACAGGAATAATTAAATAAACAATGATAAAACACTAATATTATAAGTAAAATGTCAAATCAAAAATATATGATATTTTTCTGTAATAGCACTGAACTCAATTATTAACATTTATAAAAATTGACTATTTCGATTGTATTCATTTTCTTGGAACATAACAACGAAATAATTGAATTATCGCCTTTTCGAGAAGAATTCTAATTCATTATTTATTCATTAGATGACGTAATTTTCATTGATGAGGTGGCTAAACAAATTTACATGTTACATGTTAAAACAGTTTCTTCTTCGTATTCTTAAAAATATTGAATTAAGATATTCTATATTTTGTATATAGTATCTCTACCATTATTTAAATGAGATAATAACTGGCTTTTAACGTATTAAGACCATAAAAAGGTCATTTATAAAGGTTAATTTATAAATAAGAAATTTAAAGTAAGTTCAGGAGAGTGAAACGTTAGCAAAAAATTACGTCATTACATTGTAATCGGTATTTTGATGTTTAATAATCTTTCCCGAAATAAACATCCTAAAACATTCTTTGAAGAGGACTGGAAAACATTCGATAAGGGTTTTGAAATGATATTAAAAATAATGTCTAAATATGCAAAAGGAATCTTATTAATAATATATATTGAAGAGCAGAGGCGAAAATGTGAAATATCAAAATATAATAGAATAAAAAATTATGAACATATCACCAGTAGAAAGTACTTGTAAGTAAATTATGAAATATTCAAGATTACCCCATAATATTTATTATTGCTTTATTGCTTCATTAAAAATTTAGTACTAAAAGTAAAACTCTTCTACAGATTATTTTGTAAAAATAGCTAATGCTTCTGTTGTGTTCAGCAAAATAGAGAGAGAGAGAGAGAGAGAGAGAGAGAGAGAGAAGGAAAGAGTGAATGAAAGAATGATACAGCGTGCAAGAGAGATGGGTAAAATTGCTAATATTGCCTTCAAATGATACTTTTCTCATTTGGTCCATAATTTGGATAACGTATTAGTTCCATATCTCTGAAACAGTTGGTTCATATTCTCGTAATTCTCTCCAAACTTTCCGTATTTTACTGCAAGTAAAGATGCAATCCCCAATCCAACAATAAAGGAAATGCGATAAATCTATTGAACAACAGATAAAGATATGTTATAAAAGTGAACAGAAAGATCACATTTTTACCTTATCTTGCTGCTTTTTCTTTTCCACGCATCTGCTATAAGGTAATCTTGAAAATGCCACCTAGAAAATGATGCGATTTATTAAGATATCGTTGCTCTATAGTAATAATTTAAATATAATAATTAACCATGCTGTATAAAGGCATCCAATAAGATCCAAATATTTTATGCAGAATTTTATCAACTTGCTTCCTCAAAAGGAACAAATATGAATTAACTGAAGCTCTCATCTGTTAAAAATGTATTTAATATTAGACATTATATTCTATAATATATAAATAATTAACCTCTATGTAATTAAGCATAGATAAATCGGCAATTGCATGCGTATCCTTACAACGATTTTGTGAGTATTCTGCAAAAGCCTTTACTGTTTGATAGAAAGTAAACGTTAAAAAAACATTGATCATTAAATTCAATTGTTTATTGTATTTTACCAAAGTTATCGTTATATTTATCCAATAAACTATCCAGAATTGTACAATCCTCAAATCCCTTTAAATTAAAAAAGACTATCCTTATATTTTATCCTTTAGGTTTTATAATAATTTTATTAAACTTACGCAATTCATCCCCTGTCCATAAAATGGTACTATAGCATGCGATGCATCTCCCAAGATAATTGTTTTGTTACTTTTCGAATGATGTGGTGTACATTTTACAGAGATCAGAGGTAAAGCTGGTCCACTAAAGAACGAATTACACAAATCTTTCCTTTTTTTTTGAAAAAAAGTTTCTATAAATATATGGCTTTTATGCTAATTTATGCCTATTTACCATCCAATAAGATCTAGTGCATCAGGAAATTTATCTTGAAAAAAATTCTTTAAATCGTTTTCAGTTTGGATAGTTTCAAAAATGTCAAAGGGCATGAACATTGTCATTGTAAAGCTACCATCTGGATTTGGTAAACCTATAAGCATAAACGTATTTCTAGCCCATATGTGTAGATAGTTCTTCGGCATTGGAAACTGTTAGTATATGAATAAATCTAAATTTGATATTTAATTCCTTTTTTTTTAGAATGATAGAGAAAGACACATACAGACTGACAGTTAGAGACAGGATAATAAACAAAAGTATCATCTTACTATTCCTCACATGGCTCAAAAACAAAACACAAAAAACACAATACTATCCCACGTGAATAGTTTGGTCATTTGTTGGATATTTAAATAAAACTTGAGAGAATATTTAACATATACATACAGTGTTGTGGCCTTTAGCTGGCATAATTAATTCCTTATAGCCATGACTTATATAAACTTGGCTATAGTCCATTTTCGTTGAACGCATCATTTGTCTACGCACCAATGAGTATGCCCCATCACAGCCTATTATTATATCGTATTGTCTATCCTCCTCTATACCGTCTCTGTTAAAAATTGAGCATTAAATTTACAAATTAACATATTTAAATGTCGATTAATTATTACTTCAATGTTGTAATTGTACCAGTTTCGGCATCACATTTAATAATTTTACAGTCGAAGAAGATGTTGACATTCTTCTGTTTTTCGGCTCCTAAAGAGAATTTTTTTCAATAATTGTTTATTTAGAAGTTTCGTAAGAAATATATTATTATTTACAGAGGTTATTATGTCAATGTCGAAAGGTTATTTGGATAGACAAAAGAATATCTTACCAGTTAGTAGTATTTCATTTAACCTTCTCCTGTCAATCGACATTATATATTGAGTTTTTTCCGTTCCGTAAGGAATTGGCCTACATTTTCCATCTAAGTCGTGTATCATTCGAGCGTACATTGGTATTCCCTCCGACATGACTTCCTGTTCAAGGCCAACTTTTTTTAAAGCTGCACGTCCTCTAGTCGACAATGCCATATTGATGCTTCTTCCACGGACGATTTCAGCATCTCTTATATCTATTTAGAAATTTATGTTTAATCATTAACTAAATGATTTCTGTGGTATTATGAACTTGTACCTCCTCTTATTTCAAAAATATCCACCTGATAACCCCTCTGAGCCATGAAGCAAGCCTCCAAGGATCCAACCTGAGTGATATCGTTTTAAAAAGCTCTATAATTTTACAATGGAATATTGAAATTGAACTTACCAAACCTCCTCCAACTATTGCAATTCTTTCAGTTTTCATTTTCAATGCAGATCTAACAATCAGCCAGCCACCAACAAGTAAGTGCCAAATATTTTTGCAACCAATTTTGGATACACTAGATGTCGCTATTCAAACAAAATTATTTGAGTGTAGAATTTGATATGAAGCACCACAATTGAATGGAAGTTTGAGCCCTTTAATTTAATATTCAAGTACTATATATATATATATATATATATATATATATATAATTGCAATTATTTGGAAGATGTTGTAACAAGTTTCTAAGAATTTTTTGAACACAAACCTTTATTAGAAAGAGACCAAAAACTATCAAAAATAATTGTTAAAATATATAAACTTTAAATAATTTCATAATAAAAAAGAATAAAATGATATTTAAGTGCAAAAAGAAAACAAAACATTGTCTTTTGTACGAAAATAGATATCAAAAACTTTTATAAACAAAATAAAACTGTAAATTTTTTTATAGCTAAAAACATGAAAAACTAATTATTTAATAATTTTCTATCATTTGTAGATTTTACAAAATTTCTTGTCTAACATTCCATTCGAAGCCATTTCGTGTATGACCCTCTCGCTTAGAGATGGTAGCGTTTCATTGGTTAATTCATTTTGAGTAGTTTCACTCGATTCGTCTAATTTATCAATTTCGTTTGTAGTATTTTTCAAATGATTAGCATAAAAATCTAAAAGAGTTGATGATATTATCCTATGGGAGATATCTTCTTCTAAAGTAAATTTCAGAAGTTGTTTAATGTCCGCTTTTAGCTGATTAATACACTTTTTCGGAGATGAACAAATATTTACAGAACATCGTAAATCTTCTAATTTAATATCAGTATCAAGATTTAAAGCTATAACAGTTGATTTTCTGTCTTGAGTAATGTCATTTATCTGCTTTGTAAATTCATCGATGACCTCAGTACAATATAGAGTATCTTCGTCAACTCGAATCATGGTAAATATAAAATCTCGAACACTTCGTCGAAGATTCTCTAAAGTTGTCATTGCTCTTCGAAATTTGTTTATATGGATTGGACAAGTACAATTTAGACAGATATCATTATCCTTACGACATATCTTTTCCTCTTGAAAATTTTCTTCGTCGGCACTATCGGAAAATCGACGCCTTTTATAACGACGACCGCTAATTGAGTAATTTCCAGAAACAAATGGCTTTCCTCTTCTAGCTATTTGTGGTTTAACACAGACTGTTGAATCATTTAATTTTTCTTCATTTATTGCATCTATTTCTTCACTTTTAGGACTATTGACGTTGGAATATTTGCTTTTTCCTCTTCCTCTTCCCCTACCTCTACCTCTACCTCTACCACGTCCACGTCCTTTACTTTCTGATGCTATTAAACTCTTTTCTGTCATATTCTGCTTCTGATTTTCTGCACTTGAACTGCTTAATGAGATATATAATGGCTTATATAAACTATTTGCAGATTCTGCATCTACATGTGGAACATTTTTATCGAAATCCATGAGATTCTGATCTTCTGGCTGACAAATTTTTGGGGAATGTCCTTTGCTTTCCTGTTTTTCATAAATGAATAAAATTATAAATAAATACTTATAAATGAATTAATTATAAAATGTTATCCTATTCTGTAACCTGAATATCGTCTATATGAACTTTTGTCGTAACTGCTCCTGGTTGCTCTCTATGCTGACGCTCATTTAAAAGATTGAAACGAACTTGCTTATCTTCCAATTGAATAGATGAGGTGGCATTTGTAAATGAGTTAACGATGTCATTTATTTTATCTGAAGATATTTAAAGTAAAAGTATGAAAACATTAGCCAAATATAGGATGCCATCCTATTATTTAATTTTAAATTTTCGCCCAAAAAAATAGCGAATTTGTAAATAACATGCATATAAATTACATTAATATTTGTAAAAGTAGTTAATTTTAACGTACCGGGAGTATTGTTGCATAACTTAAACTGTTCATTTGGTATTACGTGACTACTATGCGCTACATTTACGGTACCACTTGTCTTCGTTGTACAACTTTTAAAGTTGTTCTCAGGCTCTTTGTCAATTTCCATCTTAGATTTTGAATGTTATGCAATTTCTTATTGACCTGATGCTACGATGCTTTCAAAATTAACAGCATACCAAAGATTCCTATACAAATTCGAGTCTTTCTTTTTTATTGAAAATGTCAAGGTCAGAGGAAGGAAGTTCAAATTGTAAACCTGACTAGAAAAATTGGAATTCCCACACCAGGTGGCGTTTCCTAAAAATTGCTGAAAGACGAAACATTACGGTCTTGGCGTTTCATCATTGAAAATGGCAGATAGCAGTGGAACCGGTGAAAAATTGAGTAAAAAGTAACTATTTGTCAACAAATATGAGTTGTTTCTATTTATCTAGACATTTTTAGTTGTAGTTAGTAAAATTTAGGAAATAATCTTGTGTATTGTAATAGGGATAAACGAGCCAGAATGGCCACGTGTTCCATATTTTATAGGCGTTTTAAACAGTCGTCAATTATTTTTCAGATTATGATATCTTCAGTATTTCGACGAACCCCTAGGTTTTTAAATTCCTATAGGAGTAGTTCCTTAATCATAGACAATCTTTCGGTTTGCCGATTTAGCATCAGGTCTTAAACAAATTGTATTCAATAGAATTATTAATATACTTTATTCAAAACTTCAGTGAACTTAAAAGAAGACAAAAGGAAGCTGAAAAGCAGAAAAAGAAAGAAGCTAAATTAGCTGCCGCTGCTGCCGTTGCTGGATCTTCTGAAAATAAAACTAGTAATAAACACAGTGATGCGGCTTTAGAGGAATTGGATGCAAATGTAAGCTATTGATTGATAAAATAAATGACCTAACTCGAACTTTCGAGTAAACAAATTTTTATCCGCCTACTTTCTTTTTCACTACATTGCATCAGAAAAGCGTTTATGACTCACAATGACTTTTTTAAATGTTTTTACCACAGGAATACTATAGGTTCAGACATACTCAAATCAAGCAAATAAAGGAATCAGGAGGAAATCCTTATCCACACAAATTCAATGTAACTTTATCATTGGACGCTTTTATTGAAAAGTATAATGAAATTGAAAAAGGCACTCAAATGGAAGGAGAGGAAGTTTCCGTTGCAGGAAGAATTCAAGAGAAAAGAAAATCGGGACAGCACTTGCTATTCTACGATTTGAGGGGCGAGGGTGTTAAAATTCAAATTATGGCAAACGCTAAAAAATACGGAATTCCTGATAAATTTGACGATGACAATATGGTAATAAAGAGAGGAGATATTGTTGGAGTAGTTGGGTATCCTGGTAAAACAAAGACTGGAGAACTAAGTATCATTCCAAAAGAAATAAAGTTATTGTCACCCTGCTTTTATCAACTTCCAAAGCTACATTTTGGTTTAAGAGATAAGGAAACTCGTTTTCGACAGAGATACCTTGATTTGATGATGAATAATGATGTTAGACAAACATTCATCAATCGATCAAAAATTGTATCATACATTAGAAAATTTTTGGATGATCAAGGCTTTCTTGAAGTAGAAACACCTCTAATGAATATGATTCCAGGAGGTGCCACCGCCAAGCCATTTGTTACTCATCATAATGATCTAAATATGGACCTATATATGAGAATAGCTCCAGAATTATATCACAAAATGTTGGTTGTCGGTGGTATGGATCGCGTTTATGAAATTGGAAGGCAGTTTAGAAATGAAAGCATAGACATGACTCATAATCCAGAATTCACCACATGTGAATTCTATATGGCTTATGCTGACTATAATGATTTGTTGGATATAACAGAAAAAATGGTCTCGGGTCTAGTTAAATATATAACAGGCGGTTATAAAGTTAAATTCCATCCTGAAGGCCCTGAAGGACCAGAATGGGATATCGACTTTACTCCACCATTTAGGCGAATTGATATGATCAAAGATTTGGAAAAAATTCTTGGTGTCAAGTTGCCTTCACCAGAAGAATTAAACGTTCCAGGAATATCAAGTGAATAGCATTTAATTACTTTTATCTTAATAAAATAAAACTATGAAATTTTTTCAGATGCAACCAAAGTTCTCGATAAGTTATGCGTAGAAAAGGGAGTAGAATGCTCACCTCCGAGGACAACAGCTCGTTTATTAGATAAAGTAATACTTTTTTAAACTTACATAACTATTCTATAACTAATGAGATATTTTTTTTAAAAACTTAGTTGGTAGGAGAATATCTTGAGGAGACGTGCATAAATCCATGTTTTATAATGAATCATCCTCAAGTTATGAGTCCATTAGCCAAATGGCATAGGAACGTAAAGGGTTTAACGGAGAGATTTGAATTATTTGTCTGCAAGAAAGAAATATGCAATGCATATACAGAATTGAACGATCCTGTAATTCAAAGAGAGAGATTTGCTTCACAAGCAAACGATAAGGCAGCTGGTGATGAAGAAGCCATGTTTATTGATGAGAATTTTTGTACAGCATTGGACTATGGTCTGCCTCCAACTGGAGGATGGGGTATGGGAATCGATAGATTGACCATGTTTTTAACAAATCATTACAACATTAAGGTAAAGAAAATATTTTTAAAACTAAATCTGTTGTTTTTAGTAATAATTAATTAAATTAATTAATTGTTTTTTTAATAGGAAGTGTTATTCTTTCCCGCAATGAAACCCGAAGATTCTCAAAAGAGTACAACTGAAACCACAGGTTAATTTTTTTCCCACTGTCTTATTTATTTTTTTTTTTTCGTTCGTTTGATGTGTCGATTTAATAAAAAGTGATCACGAAGATTTATGGTTTCCTTAATATTGTTATTCGAATTACACTTTTAAAAAGTATTTCTTATTTATACTATGTTGACCAAGTAAAAGAGAAAAATAAATAAAGTTTCTGTTACATTTAAAATCCGGGATATTGTTGAGAATTACATCACCTCTATCTTTATAGTTCATCAGGCAATTACTAATAAACAAATACCCTGGAACATACATGCAATATATTCTATCTTGTTTAAAGATTACTAACTAATCAGTTATACTTCATCCAATTTATAAAACTGTTCTCTATTATCTTTAAGCCTATCTGACGCTTTAAGCAAATATGACGTAACGTTAGGTAAAAGATTTGATAATAAAATGTTGATTACAGCCATTTTTTATCTTATTTATATTATAGATATCAGTCAAATGTACAGAATCATTTTAGATATAAATGATAGTGTATGTTTTTTTGAAACAGTGACTAAGGAAGATAAATTAACCTTAAAATTTGAAGTATGTGCGATAACAATAAAAATATCTTTGAAATTCGAATGTTCTTTCTTAAGAACTTTAGAACATTTTTTTTAAAGTATGTAATTTTTTATAGGTTATAGAAGGTGGATTCTTTGACGTCGACATAGCTATATTTCTTGCAGACGGAAGTGAATTATGGAATAAAAAAGGTCAAACAAACGGTCTATATTCATTCAATGCATTATATGGTTAGTAGTTTAAACACATATTTATATTTTATTTGATAATAAAAAATATCAAATAGATGGAAAATTAAAGTATTGCTTTTCAAACAAAGAAGTTTCTAATATACCTAAAATCATTCAATTTCATATAAATCATTATAAATCATTGGACGAGAAGATGACTGAGATTAATTTTGGTGAAAAATTACCTAAATTGATATTAGAATGTGAAAGGTAAATATATAAATCATTGTGATTCTATAAAGAATAATTGTCATTGAAACTTTCGAATAGACAACTCACGGAAGTTTGGAGAGAACAAGAATATATGGAAGTTAGACAAAGAGTTCATCAGTCAAGTAAGAACAATTTATTTCTTTTTCGTATAAAATCTTTACACTAATTACTTTCCAGTTAATGAAAATACAAAATTTCGAGTTCTTGTATGGTCAATTTTCGAATATTTCATTTTACTTATCACAACAATACTTCATATTCTTTATATAAAACGTTATTTTGAAATAAAGAGATATGTATAACATTTTTTTAACAAAACATCTCGACATGGATCAGAGATATTTTGATCTTAAAAGTTAAAAAATGTAATTCAACAATTTAGAAAAAATTAAATAACAAAACATTTCAACAATAAACCGGTTTATTCCAAAATGTTTTGGTCCTTCATTACCTCTTCAAGTTCGGATATTCTTGCTTCTTTTGCTAAGTTAGCTGTCGCTAATTGGGAATTAGTTGCCACTAACTTAGCAATAATGTTATCCTTGAGAGCAATGGTTGTATTCCCAACACCAGTAAGTGCTAATATTTTTGCTTGCTGATGTATACCGGTGGCTATTAACTTTGAGTTGGCTCTCATTAAGCTATCAATACTAGCCATTAGACAAGCATTACTCGCCACTTGCTTATCATATAATCTCTTCCAAAAATATTTGTCTTCAATCTCTTTCGAAACGCAATCCATATACGCTTTGATCAATTTCACATAGGTTTCTAGCTCCTGGAATTTTTAGGAATATAATTACATAACATGGGAAACTGTGCAACCACTTACTTCTTTTTCAGTCTCGACACAATCATTTACTTCCATCAATTTCTTTAACAACAGCTTCAGAGCAACTTCGCCATCGTACATAGCTCTATTCTGAAAAATAAAAATGATTTATTGAAGAAACTCGGGCAATTTTCATATAGTATTCTAAATAGTCACATTAAGCTGGAAACTCTCCATTGTTAATCGAACGCTTTTCAGAAGCTTAATGATGACTGCTCAATTTCGATTACTTTCGAAAAATTGGGCGATAAAAAATAAGTGATGTTGCTTGAATTGGAAAAGTCACTCTATTACTATCACTCATTGAAGTTTTACTCTTGTTAGGCCGTTTTCTTGTACTAACTATCGCTCTTTGCAGGTGAGATATTTTAAAAAGGGTCGCTTAAAGTTCAAATGATTATTTAAAAATTTGTACTTATATCTTTCTATATATTTTCTGTAAATGCGAAATCAAAGATATATCATATCACAATATCTTGTTTGTATTCCAATAGACTTTGTACGAAATGTTTAGTCTATTGGATAATACTATGAAATTGTCGGTCATTATATTACTTTTTTTTATTATGAATAAATATGGAATACGAAATTTTACCATGCAATTAACAGTGAAAAATGTAAAGTGTTTTGTTTTGTCCTTGTTTTTTCTGATCGGTAGCAATCATCTTGAAGACAATTGTTTCAAATTACTCCCGCTCTGATTCATATTGATGCGACATGTGGCAGTGAGAAAACGAATATTCTTTAACATTGTTAATAATATAGCATCCTGATTAAAAATAGGCATTTTACGGTTGAGAAACTGCTGACATTCTTCATCTTCTAATTCACCGATAATAGCCATCTTCCTTCCCTTAACTCGTGCGAAAGGATTTAATAAAGTTTCTCCTCCCATGATTTTTATTAAGTCAAGCAACCAAGGACTTTTTAGAATAACACTCCGACACACGTATATGGAAAATTTTTTCAGCCTAGTCTTTAAATTCTTTTTATCCCACAAGAAATCTTGAACATTAAATCCAATTTCTCTTTCAATTAGGCTGTTGCAGAGCCCAAAGTTATTCTCATCCAAAAATTTATTATTATAATATGAGAGTAAAATCCAAGAACAATCGACCACGAAAGTTGTATAAGGTAAAGCCATTAAAAAATCTGAAGTTACTGTACGACCTTCATAGACAATATGAGAAACTTTAATTATGTCTTTCTCAGTACTTAATTTTCCTCCTAAATTACGTATCATCTTTGATAACAAATCTTTCTCTTTTTCACCATAAGACGATAGTAAAATATTCGGTGTAGAGAAACGACTCCGTCCGTAATTAACATTTTCATTAAGTTTCATTCGCAATTGAACTCGACTGATAATATTTGCATAAAAAATCAATGGAAGACTTTTATAATGTTCTAATGGAACTGGTCTTGGGGAATTTTCATCTCTCCAAATGTCTTCGAGACATCGTTTTTCAACATGATTTTTCATGTAGAAGGACACTTTCTATATATTAAAATGAATTATTATTATATTTTAAGTAACGTTCTACCTGTAAAAGATTTTGTTCAATAGTTATTGGAGTTTCCCAAGGCTCTATTGTTAAAATAAATTTAGTATATAATTTGCTATTCGGCATATAATTATTTATATACGTACTAAGAAAAATCCTGATCAACGAAATATCAAAATCCACGTCTCCATTTATAATTGAATAGGTTGAGAGATTGCTATAAATATCACCATGCCTCAACTTTCCCATATAAATGTCTTTTATCCATTTAAAATTCCGAATCTGTATATTCCATTTTCTGGCCATTTTATATTTTGTAGTATTGACATTACTAGCTACGAGAAAGTTGCAATCTTTATCAAGTTTATCGGACCACTGGCCACCGGCTAGTTCCAACATATCTTTTACCTGCGAGAAATTATCCCTTCTGAGGTAATGGGACTTAAAAAATTTCCTTTTATATTATTTAGTTACTTGTAATTTGATTGCTATATCCTTAAAACCGCTTTGACAAACTTTTAAGCTTTTCAAAGGCAATTGATCGGGATCAATACAGTCTGGTATATGAGTTATGTAAAATGGAGGCTCAACTTTTCCAATTTCCATGATATCGTTCACCCAATTGAGAGTTGTACAACGTATGCCTCTCTCATACGCAAATAAGTACTCCTTTTCGTATAAGCTTCTTATAATCAAGTGATTTACTGAAGCATTTAAAACATTTGAAATTTCACCGCCGTAGTTTTCGATACACTAATATAAAGTAGCTGTCATATATCTTAAGTATAGTATTTCCTTTACATCAACTTACTAAATTCCAAGCTTTTTTCAGTTCTGGATTTTTTGTCAAACCAGGGCTAATATAAAATTTTATACCTAGCAGACAAACTTGAGATGGTACACCTAAAGTTGAATAGAAATTAAACACTGTAATATATATATATATATATATATATATATATATATATATATATTTAACCCTACATACTGAGTAATTGGTCTTCACAGCGTCCATAATATCTTAAATAGAATGTTTATGGTTAAAATCACTAATATCTGTTGTATTAAATAGATTACCTTATGTTAGTAGGTTTATTTGTAGGACTTGGCGAACTGTGATGGATTCCCTCGATTTGAGAGTGTTGAGAAGGATTGATAGGATTTTCTTCCTTACACTCTGCAGTATACAGAAACTCTTTAGTTGACACCTTCGTTCCAGTCTGAAGGCAAATTTTTAACCAATCCTCGTTAACTACTTCCAGTTTATTATTTGTCAAAAGTTGCTTTAATTTTTTAGGTAGTTTTTTAATATCTGGTTCACTCGTTACCAAATGGGTTACTTTGGAGTAATCCGAACTGCTAATTTGAGCTCCAAGAACGTTTCCAATAAAAATAATCCGATCTCTCTTTTTCAAGTTATTAGAAAATATGCCCAAACAAACGCCGTCAAGTATGTATTTTAGCTTCGTTTCGAATCCTGTTTCTGGAACTATTCGTTTTCTTACAGTACAAGCAATCACCCAACCAGATTGAACTATAATACCTTTTTCAGAAATTTGAATTAAATAGATATGGAATAAAATTAATGGATTTGAGAATAACCTGGGTATAAAGCATTAGCCTCATCGAATTCGAGATCATCGATGTCATCACAAATGAAATGGGTGATGGAATCGGATTTTATGTTAGCTCGTTTTGCTCCTCCTCTCAATAGAAGATCTTCTAAATACTGAAAACATTTAAAATATCTCTCAGTAAGCCTTCTCCATCTAAAGTTTTTGAAAATGTTCTGTTTTCTTTACCGTGTAATCTTTTTCGCCTAAGAAAAAATATTCAACTCTTGCAAAAAGATTATCCGGAATAGAAAAGTTGCTAGTATCATATTCACTAAAGTCTAGAACATTTCTCTTCATTTTTATGTTAACAAGTAGACGCTTTTCCAAAAAACTCAACTATTCCCTGAGCCGGTATAAAAAACATTTCTTCTGGAAGAAAGTCAGGTTACCCAATCATACCTCTAATGAAGACACAAAAAATCATGCAGCGCTACGAACCATACATGAAAAAAACGTAACGATGAACCGAACAACGTTACGAGATTTTTCTGTTTAACAGTTATCATTTTCAAATACTTATTTAAATAATTGACGAAATACAACGAAATCAAGGAAATTTTTGTTTAGTTACACGAATCTTTAGATTATTCTTAGTTTAGAAGATATTTTCTAATAAAAACACTTGTAAAACTTTTTCAAAAAAAATTACAAAACTGTAAAATGTTGTAGATAAATCACACATAGTCTTTTACCTTGAGTAAGTAAAAAATTTAGACTTTAATTATCAAGTAATGACCAAACAATAGATTCTTAATAGATAGATAATCTCATAGAAATCTCTTTCCTTGTGATGAAACTTTTATATTATTCATATGTTATCGCTCAATGTTCGAAAGTCATTGCAATTGTCATAATTTGGCTACTGAAAAACGAACAATATACAAAGGAGGATATTAAAAGAGAAGTGAATGTTTGGAATTAAATATATCAGAAACTTGTCCAATTCCCTTTGATATATAATTGTATAATTAATTCTAAGAAAATTGTTAGAAATCCAGAGTATTTTGTTATCTGTCATTAGTTTCTTTAGTAAATGTATGCAAAGCTTATCTTAATATTGTTATTTGAATATATATGATGATTGTAAGAATTTGGTATCTAGTATCATTTAGTTGGTTGCTTTATAATTTGAATTTTTACCAGCGATTTTCTTTAATTTTCTAAATAATTAAAAATAAATGAAACAATTGCATTGATATGAAAGTGATTCAGGAAAATTATATAATAATATCTGATAATAATCATTGTATGATAATAAAAAATAATTATATTAAAAGTAGCATCACTTGAAGCTTGTTACATGGCTAAAGGTACTAGTAAATAAAAACAAATAGAAGGAATTCACATTCTTCAAAATCATGGATATTTTAATTGTTTCACTTGAAATCTATATTTAAAAAAAAAAACAATAAAGAAATTAATAATAAGGGAATTAAAGTTAATTATTTGAATATTTTACCTTTAAAATTCTATATTTTTTATGGGGGTCTAAATGCTGGACGTCCGTCGGAAGCTTTAGAGGAAACTGAGGCTCTACTGCTCATTTTAGTCGATCTACTACTGGCAGTAGACACTTTACTTAGTCGACCTTTATAAAATTATAATATATATATATATATATATATACTGTATATTTGCAGTTTTAACTACAGCAATAATTATTGCATGATATAGAAATACCTTCTTTTCTATATCAATCTAATCAGCTAGTAATTGTTGAAATTAAATAACAAAGAAGAAAGAAAACGCTAATACTTTATCTAACAAAGCTGTGCTGTTTTCTATTTGATTGTTTTTACATTATGTGCGAATAAACTATTTTTTGCTGAATAGATTTTGTATGTAAAAATATAAAGCGTGAATAACAAAGAAATTAAAGAAGGGAGAGAAAAAAGTAACTTACTCGCTGCAAATAAAAAAAGAAAAAAGGGAAGAAAATAAAAATTATAGAGACGCCTGTTTTTTGCTTTTAAGTAAATAAAACATATACTGTATATATAAATAATAGAAGAAAGGTTGATTATTATTCAAGAGATAAATATTTGCTTAAGCTTACTTCCTGTACTGTGATCTTCTAAAGCTCTATCCAAGTATATTTCAACACTATCAATTTCATCATCAGTAAAAGATTTTCTTGAAACGACTGGTCGAATTTCTTTATTAATGTTCTATAACGGAAAAGATTGTTTTACTGCGTTCAAGAAGTGTTTAATCTTCAATTATATCTAATAAACCTTTTTTGGCTTTTCATTTTCCATTAAACCATTTGGAATTGTTCCAGTTATCAAGTATTCCGGGAATTTTGTGGCGGCAACTTTTAATCCTTTACACATTGATATAACATAAACATACTATTAATAGAGTTTGTCATTAGATAAAAGATTTAATTTACCTCCAGATAGCATAAAAACATTTTCGTAGCCCCTATCCATAAGAGTACAAACAACGTCTGGAGCTACTCTTTCGTCATCATCGTAGACGACAATAATTTTACCTGTAGCATTACGCTAAAATAGAACAAAATACTGAATTGCAAATTATGCAAATCTAAACCAATAATCGATAAAATCTGTTACTCACGAAGGATAGTAATTCCTTTGAAGCCCAATTAACTGATCTTGAGAGCATGGCTTTTGGAAAGCTGAAAGCTAAAAACCGAAATTTTTTTCAATAAGATAGAAACCTACTAATTTGAATAATGAATAGCAGAATGAATAATTTAGAATAACAAACAAACCGGGTAAAATATGACATTGTTGATAAGCGTCGTCTCCTCGACAGTCCAAGATTAGAAAGGGCGATAAATCGTACGCATTAAACTTATTCTCCGGGGCAGGAGGAGGGTGATTCAAGTCCAGTTCTCCAATACCTCTTGCAACACTATAAATGACATATCGATTATCTATAGTGTGTACTGTTTAAATTATTTCCTTTTACCTGAGTAAGGTTGATCTGGAAGACTCTGGAGGATTTGAGTGTCCATAATCTCCATCAGTTAAAGCTAAAGAAGGCGAAGGAGAAGTTATTAAAGTTCCATCATCCTTGTTATTATAATGCATTTCTTTGATTTCTTCATCAGCTATAGCTGTATCTCTACCATCACCTCTAGAAGTTGGGGTTGGCGGTATATCTGCGGTTAGTTCATGGGCTTGGATACGATGCACTTGAATGATCTTTAAGAAAAAATTTTCCACATGAATTAATTAATGGTTTTGCAAATAGTCATTTACCAATTGAACTAGTGTTGTTATTTTCATTCTTTTGAAGTTTTCATTTGGGCGATACTTATAATCTGAGTTTGTGAAAGAAATGTTTATTCATGCGGTATTTTTCATAATTTCTCTTATTTGCCACTATTTGCTTAATAGCTCATAAAAGGAATTATACGGCGAATAACGCTGTTGCTCCTAACGACTATAGGCCTACATGAGGAAAAGAAAATTAATTACTTTTTCTAATATCTTCAATCTTTTCCATATATTTCGTAAGACTTGCTCCTATTGGGAGAGAAGAAAATTGATATCTTAAAATTAAAATCAGCATGATCGAACCTGTGTCCACAGTAGCTCTGACATGCTTATATTTAGGATTCGGTTGAATCTTCTTATGCATTGGCTATATACCAAAAGAGACATTAAAGGAAATCATCTATATTGTTGTTTAATTTCAAGGTAAAATAACATCTTACATCGTTTTTTCTGGCTCGAGAAGTAGACATCTCTTTCCCGTTGTCAACCAAAAGCGGTATTCGGTAAAATATTCCTATTAATTTAAACCTGTATAAACTGGTCGGCTGTCCTTATTGACCAATCAGAGTCGAGTAAGTTTAAGCTACAATACTCATTACTATTCAATAATAACTTTAAGAATAAATTTTATTCGAATTAAATTATTAATTAATAATTATAAAAGATACCTTGAAATTTGAATTTTAATATGATAAGATAAGGATTCAATTAGAGCGTAGTAGCTTATATTTTGAAATCTATCTCTTATAAAAAAAATAGTTACACACTAGTGTAATTCGATTGCAATTAAATATTTCGTCTCTTTGGATACGTTATCAGCGCTTTATTTCTGGGACATAACATATATATATCTATAGATTAATTTACATTTATAGAATTATTTAAGTTAACAATTAAAATTGGAAAATGTTGTTCTAGCTTTCCAACTTTAAACCGCTTCTTCCTCATCACTTGGTAAACATTCCAAATATTCCGCTGATAGCTTTCTCTTTTGGTTAGACCTATTATCCGAATCATCACATACAGCTTCGTATTCGTTAGTGTTGCTTATAGGTTCTTTAGTAGGTTCGGGAGCACATGCTTGAAAAGTTTCACTATACAACGGAGGATTAGATGGTAAACTTGGGAATGACGAATAGGTATTTGGATTAACAGGCTGAACGATCTGCCTCATTTGAGTTAATTCCCGAGAAGTTTTCTTAGTCTTTCTACGAATTCCAACAATCACAACTATTAAAATTAAAACAAGCGGTAAAAAAAGAACAAATAGACCAGCAAATACATAGAGCACAACTTGAGATGGTATCATAGAATTATTGCTTTGAGAAGGAGGAGGAGGTTTGGCTCTATTGCTTCCACTATCTGGAGTTGCTGACGTATGAATTTGAGTTGTCGTTGAGAATGGGAATATTGTCTTAGTTGATGTTATTTTAGATTTATCGAACTTTATCGAGCCATTCTTCAATTTGAAACATCCAGGCAGCTCATTAGTACAAATATTATTTTTAACACAATGTAATAAATCACATGTTTTACGGCAACGCTGTCCAAAATATCCACTAATACAACCTTTAGTACATTTACCACTTCTCGCATGGCATAATCCCTTTTTACAAGTTGAACATCGTCTATTGCAGAGCCTTCCGAAATAACCCGCCTGACATCCATGCGGGCAGGTTCCAGTTTCGCGATCGCACTTAATATTGTCGCAATTAGCGCATTTCTTATTACACTTTTCACCCCAATATCCTTGAACGCAGCCAATCGTACATGATCCATTGATATGATTACACAATTTGTTAATACATTCTGTATTGCATTTAAATGTGCAGTTTAATCCGTAGCTGCCGCTTGGGCAATCTGCAAAATAATTATCAAATATCAACTTTCCATCCTATGAATAGACTTTAATCAAAATTATTATTTACATTTATCGCAACACATTCCCGTAAATCCTATGTTACAAAGGCAACTCTTGTTTGAATGAAGCCAACGACCTTCGTTACAAACAGTACCACATACTCTTGTTTCACTTAAGTCTGAATATTTAATTAGACATTGTTTTGCACATTGCTTTATTGACTGTGTAGAAGTACAGCATACACCTCTACTTCTGCCCGAGTTGCCTTCGGCTCCGCATTTCTCTGAACAAGGTTCCCAAGCGTTCCAAGGTGTCAACTCGCAACGAGCCACTCCCGAGCAGGATAGCGATTGAATAATGTCAATGTTATAAAACAAACCTCCAATCAAAATTATATTTAAAAGTACAATCCTCTCCATTTCTAATATTTAAACTAAGAGTTTGATCTAATATTTGTAAACGCTTTCGGTATTCATAACCTTTTTCAGCTTTAATTAGATATTTAAGTAACAGATATATATTATAAATATATAAAAGTGTATTTTTGTATTAACAAATACTACCAAGTTCTGGTTTAAATTTAGGACTAAATAAATGAGTCAAAATCAGTCTATAACCAGAAAAATAGAAATTTGAAATTTTATAATGGAAGGCAATATTTAAGAAGACAATCAGATACTCGCACATTGCAAACTTGCTATATACTGTTATTATGAAAATGTAATAAAAAAAAAGACAATTAATTATAAATGGATTATTCATTAATAAGTTAATTTCTTTTTATTTACCTCCAGGTTCGCAGTATGTACTATGTCTTATAAAGAAATAAAGACAACCTAATGATGCTAAAATACTTGCAGATAATATGATGACAAGCAAAGTGAAGAAACTTTTATCCTTTTTTTTTTTTAAAAAAACAAATATTAAGTGATTATTATAAATACAGTGTACAAAAAGACAAGCTAAAAACTCACCGCTGCTGTCCAATTAAGAGAATTACGAGTATATTTAAATAAAAAAATAGAAGTGGCCATAAATAGGAAAGCCGATACCAGAAATGTAAGAAAACTTTTCTCGTGTATACCTATTATAATAATTGAAATATAAACAAACTATATATAGCTTTATTATTAAATCTTACTATAATTTTCGCTAGATGACACATATGTTAACATTAATAGGCTTAGATTTTCAATTATATGAAGAAACGTTGGAAATACTATTAGTATACTATATAATTTACCGGCTGTAACGATAGGAAGAGATCTGTAAAAAAGTGTATAGGATATGGCGTATGGGTTTAAGTAAATTAGTTGATAATTTTACTTGTAATAGCTATAATGCCATACTGCAAGAGCTAGTCTTGGTGCGCATTGCAAAGATATACAAACTCTCCAGATATATTTTTGTGGAGTATAGTTACCAATTGCAGAACTTATCGACGGTAGATAATTATCAACCTAAAGGTAAAAGTATATAGCGAAAATGTATGAAATTGAGAATGATTGTTCTCCTATGATTTATTAGAATTCTTATTTAATAGTCTTACATGGCAATGTGTTTCTGTCGTTCCTTTGAAATTAAATAATAGAGATAATATAACGCATGCTATTATACCAAAACTTGGCCAGAATAAACAATAAATCATATATAGTCGTATGCTGCACGAAAAATACGTTTTTGATCCAATATCTTTCATCTATAGTTTATCTGTTCATTTAAATGATTGTAAAATTAAAATACTCTTTTTTGTATTATATTAAGCAGTTAATTGTATTTTAATGAATTATTATAATATTATAATTTTTGCTCATTTTTGTTTTGAATGAATGAATATCTAAAGTTTTCTTGATAGGGAGAATTAAATTAAGTCAAGTATTAAAGCTAAATCAAGTTTTTGTAATAATCTCAAAGCAATCTATAAAAGGTATGAAATTATTTTACCTAGTTTCTAGTACAATTATCAATAAATAAGATTTTATAAAGCTGTAGTTAAGAATTATTTCCTAATATCAGCATACAATTTTAAAGTATCGCGAAATATTCCTCAGTTGAATATGGCCGTATTTAGAGGGCCCGGGGAAAACTGGTAAGGATATAATAATAACTTCAACAAATCCAAAATGGAGTCTAAAGCATCTGGAGCTTACGGAGCTGGAATGGCGGGTGGAGCATTTAATGTGTTGGCCTTCGTTAAGAAACCGCAAGTGATCCTTCGAATAGTTAGTTGGGTGAGTTTTCGCGCCTAAACAAGCTATAATTAAGCTAAGAAGACGTGTAATGTATAGCGGGCAATTATCGATTGTTTTTCTTAATTTTTATCTTTCAATCGCTTTTTCTCTCTATTTTCTCTCAGTTTTTCGCCATCATCGTTTTTGGTTGCATTTCCTCACAAGGTTGGGAGGAGGAAGTTTGCAAATACAACAACGATAAAAATGCTTGTGGATTCGGTACAGCTATCGGTGTAATAGCATTCTTAGGCCTAACCGCATTCTTAATTTTCGATGCTTTATTCGAGAACTTTATAAGTTCGGTTCAGCATAGAAAATACATTGTTATGGCAGATATGGGATTTTCTGGTTCGTTATAATTTTTTAACTCTATTCCTATTTAAAGTTATTGGGGAGAATATTCAAAAATTAATTATACACAATATAGGCGTTTGGACTTTCTTTTGGTTCGTATGCTTTTGCTATTTAACGGACGCTTGGAGGAAAACTACGAAAGAAGTAGTCTATGGTGTATCGGGTGTTCAGGCGGCAATTGCGTTTTCCTTCTTTTCCATCGCCAGCTTTGTAAGTAAAACGAAATAGAAAGGAAACTTATGACAAGCTAATCATATTCATAGGCTGGAATTACGTTCTTTGCGTTTCAACGCTATCGTCAAGGAATAAGTGAAACATTTGCTTCGCAATACGATCAGAGTCAACAAGGAGGACCGGCAGGAGATAGTGCGGCATCACCATATTCTGGATATCCAGCTCCGGTAGGTGATACCGGCCCTGATCCTTATCAACAGCCAACGTTTAATCAAGATCAGAAAGTAAGTAACAAGATCTACTTTAATAATTGACCATTAATTCATGTTTTTTTTCCTCTTCTCCTCCTTAACAGCCTGTTACCGGAGATTTCCAAGCGCCAGCATATTAAGCAATAGCCCCTAATTTGTATAAATCTTAAATTTATGCGTCGTTCTACTAAGTCGTAAATGGTAGTGGTTGAATTTTTTGGGTTACTTTGTTCTAATTCGACCCCAAAAGTTTATGTTTATTGTTTTGTTTTACCTTTTGTTCACCTACCGATTTATAGGACGTCGCCTTTGTTCGGTGCACAATCTCTTAAGCAGAGTCAAAAACAAAAAAGTCGTTATTTTTACAATTGAGGAATCTCCCTCTATTTTATCTCTTTCGCTCTCCCTTTCTCCCCTCCCCAATTCTTGATATTATCTTGCTTATTTTAACGTATAAAAGAAACAAAAGTTACTTTTAAAAGAAAAATCATAGAAAATTAATCCATTAAATATTTCATTATGGAGTAAAGAACAAAAATCATTTCTAGTCAAAAAGAAGAAAGCTCTTTAAAGTATTTTTTGTTTGTTTGTTTTGTCTTTCTTATTATTATTAATTTTTTTTCTTTATTGTTTGCGTAAAATGAAAAAGAAAACAGATATTAATCCATTAATAATGCAATATGGAGTAATATATAGCCTATATTATAAAAAAATTAACAAATTTAAAAAAAAAAACTAAACAGAAAGTAAGATTAATTTATTGGTTTGTGTTTGTGCAGAGGAAAGAAATTTAGCATTGTAGATCTCTGATAATACTTAAAAGGAAATAATAATAATAATCTTTGGAGGAGTACTCCAAGCGTTGCAGTATTCCACCTTAGAAAATTCTTGCTGCTATAGTTTCAGTGAATCTTGTTGTATTTAATGAAAACATGAAAACATTCCTGTATGTTGTCTATAGGATCGAAAATGTGTGTAGATCGTTATTAATTAGATCTAAGCACTGGCTAATACAAAAGCTAATCAAACTATTAAAAACTTTCTATGTAGTTTTATTTTCTTAGTATTTTATAAAGTTTGCTTAAAAAAGGTAAAAGACACTAATTGAATAGTTATAATTCGCTTTCTGGTGCTTCCTCATAAGCTCCTGGTGGAGGTGGTGGTGGTGGCAGGGGAGCTGGCCGAGATGGTTGATACGTATGCTTTTGCATATGAGGTGGGGGTTGATATCTCCTTCCTCGTATTGCTTGCCCTTCTATGGCAGGTTCTCTAATAGTTTCCTCTGGGATATGATGTAAAGCGGGACTACTTCTGCCCAGATTTCGAAGATGATCGTAAGGCGGTGCACGCCTTCCAGTATTCACTTTTGGATCATCCAAACCTCTTTCGATCGATCTTGCTGCTCGTAAATTTGGCTGAGATCCCCATCTAGAGTTCTTGGAGTAAGGTGTTCTTGACTTGGGAATTTGAGTTATAGCTCTTTCGCCAAACGTCCCCGTTTGTAGTTCCATGCTAACATTTAAAATGATATATAATAAGTTTTTTTTGTTGATTTCGAAGTAAGAAACATTACTAACGATTCTTCCGCAACATAAGCTGGATTAGAAGCAGCAGCAGTGAACATTCCTTCCGGTTTAAACTAGAGGAAGAAAGAGACTTTACCTTAGGAATAACCATAATAGGGAAACTTACTGTTATAAAGCTTCTCCATCTATTGCTTTCCACTCGAGCTTTATATAGAAAATTAATACCGGCACCAAAGAAAAGAATGCCACCTATAACCATAAGAGCACCAAACACTTCAGTTCTATAGACCATCATTCGGTGTACATTTCTATGACCAAAATACAAAGCAACCCCAATAAAGCAAAGAACGGAGAGAGCAAAACACACGTAGGCGTAGGTCAAAAATTGCTTTCCTGGGCCTCTTTCAGTTCTATTCATTATGGTTCTTAAGAAGCCGAAAAAAGAATTTCATTTAATAGAAATTTATCTACTGTTTTTAAGTTAAAAACTTTAAAAGTACTACTTGAAAGATGGCCCAAAGGGCTTTTCCAGTTTGTTCTTTTTTGGTACAAAACCATGGCCCGGAGCCAGGAATCCTAAGGAGGCCATTGTCTGTACCGTATGCGACGTTTGCACAGATGCCATTGAGGGGAACTTGCGAATAGGGTAGATTTTCCCACCGGGAGTGTTATGTCCCCCAGGAGTGTTCATTTTTACTTTTTCTTGCTGTTCCACTACTATTCAATAAGTTGTTAATAGAGAATTTAATGAATATTTTTAAAAGTCAACCTTTTAATCCTTAAAAAATTCTTTAAAAGATCAATCTACCTTTTTTTCACTTATCATACATCAGGTAGAAATAATGTACAGGTGTAAACAGCATATCAAAGACACTGATAAGAGATTATGTTATTCAAATATTAATGGCCATCTAGCGTGTCATGTATCAAAGGTTGCGCCATCTCTGTTCGACTGTACGATTTCTTCGAAATTACATAAAGTAGGAATATGATTTTAAATGCTGATGACTTAGTGTTCATTAGCATTATTTATAATATTTAACCGATGATTTGCTTGTAAAATTCAGAAAAGGGTATTTTCTAAATAAATAAATAGATTTTATCTATTAAACTAAACAGTAGTTTAAATAACGAATGAGGATTTATTCAAGAATGATTGATTTGCCATTTCCCACCGAAATCACAGGAAATACGGCTGGTACCAGTTCAGTCGAATGAAACGTAGCGCCATTGATGAGTGGAGGCACGTGTCCAGGCTAAGTCCTCTCTCTATTTACCACGACGTATTTCCGGTTTGCTCGCCTAAATTCTGGCCTTATTGTTTGTACGGATCCATTATCCACTGACCAAGATTGTTGACAACTAAATGTTTGCTGAAATGAAGAGAATTTTTGCTTGCTATAGTACGCGATTTTTTTGAAAAATCAATCGCGTATTTTCTATTTTCGGCGGATAAACACTGATCATGTCAACCCCTCCTAGGATGTCAGTAAGTGATGATGTGAAGAAAACAGTAGAGAAGCATATCAGATATTTTATATTCTCGTGCACGCAAATTGTGATTCAGTCGCGATGTGGGTCCAAACTATCTACGCGTGCAAAGCATAATACAACAAATGTGGTCAATTGGGTAAGATCATAACAATGCAAAACCATAGATCTTATATTGAGCTGCATTTTTATTGTTTCAGTTTAATTTAGTGATGCAAGAAATGCCAGACCTAAAAGAAGAAACCGAAAGATCGTTTCTGGGAGTTGATTGCTTGTTTTCCAAATCATTTTGTGTTGAAATGCTTTTGACCACTGTTGAACAGGAAGATTACTTGTCTTTAGAAACCTTTTCTGTTAGTATGTCTAATACCCAATCGGATATTAACAACATAAGTACATTCAATCTATTCGAACACTTGACTACTTTGTTAAAAAATCTCATAAGCTTAACGAGAACTTTGCCTTCCTACAAACTCAGCAGACAGCAAGGACCTGATTCTTTTGTGTGTTGTTATAAACTCTATATGGATGAGCCGGATTTTAGTGGCTTGGGAAGTAGTTTTCGAACAGAACAAATTGGCTCTGTTAGTACACCATTGGGCACCGTTCACCTTAAGGTAGCATACAGGGAGAAAATGCAATTTTCTCCTTCGTCTTCAAGACGTTTGGTAGACGATTTAAAAGTAGATCATTTTAACGTTGAAGCTAGTTGCTTGAAAAGGCAGAACGAGCCTATAAAAATTGTTCAGTCACCTCACGCCAAACGCTCTTAGTGAGTATATTACATAATTAATCTAATCAATTTTTTATTGACAACCGTCATTCTTAAAAAGCCAAAAAGAGGAAACAGTCATTAAGAGTCCTACAAGTGATGATGGTAGCTTGAAACCTAATGGGCTATTTCAGGAAAATGGCCAATCTATAGATGATGACGAAGAGGAAGATTGGCACTCAATGTAATACTTTATATTTTAATAACAAATGAATAAAAAACAATAATTTGGAAAATATCTTTCTAGATTACAAAAAAGAAACGTTGACAAACAGCCTGCAACCTTTTGTGAAAATATTAACAATCAACAAAATATTCCGTCTGTAGAAGATTTACCATACGTAAATTTACTTAAACTCGGTTTAGAAGCCAATATAAAATCTGCCTCAGAACTGAAAAAATCTAACCAGGTTTGATATTAATATTTTTGAATTATTATTAATAATTTATTATCTATTATTATAGCCGGCTGTTGCCGAAAAGCAAAAATTAACACCACCATCTTCGTCAGATAGTTCAGCATCGAGTGATCAAAGCGAGTTTGATACTAAATCAAAATTACATTCTAAACGGAATGGTGGTAGTGAGTTTGTTGTAGTTGAAAAGGTAATAACAGTTCAAATAGTCAATTAATTTTCTTTCTATTTTTACAAACTATTAAATATATATAACATCTGTTTTTTCTTATTTATTATTGTTAATTTAGTTTTTTTTTTTAAGTGCCCTTTCGCTTCTAACGACGAAAATGATCTAATGGCCTTTTATCGTCAATTCATGAATCCTGCTCAACTTCAATGTATGAAAGAACCAATTGACAACGGTCTAACAATAGACGACGAAGAACCGTTCGCTTTCGAAGAAGATGAAACTGTTATGAAACGATCCGTTGGAAGAACTCTTGAAGATTTCGAACAAGAGGTTCCAATCTTTGACGAAATGGTTGCAATGTTGGAGGAAAAGATGAAAAAGTATAATATGACTTAGGTCGTTAACGAATAATACGAAACAATGACTCGTCACCGCTTTTTCCTCGATTACTACTCTCCGCAATGTATATTTATATACACCAAAGTGAGCGAATAAGAACTTGAATTTCATGTATTGTTGCTCTGCAGTTGAAAATAATTTTGTTATGAATTATAACGAATTTTTTTGTCACGATAAACAAATGTATTGTTGAACGAATTTTGATTCATTTTTCTTCCAATATTTTTAAAAGATTTATAAAGAGAAAAACTATTAAATCTAATATAAAAATGAAAAAGAAAAGAAAAACAGATAATTAAGTAGAAAAAGAATAATTAAGAGTTTACATACCGCTGACAATCGCTTAATCTATAAAGAGACTTTAATTCTCTTCTCAAATCACAATTGAATAGAATTTGTTAATTTTTTTTATTTTAGATGTTTGTCTACATCTTTAATATCACAGTTTTATTCCATTTATATTGTAAACAACTTTGACAAGCAATTATTATAGCAAGAAAACAAGAGTATACATGAGTAAAGCTTTGAATAAAATAAAATCTATAATTTGTACTATTAAAGGAATGTTCATTTCCTATTTAACTTAATTCAATAGCTCTTGATTTCTGGCAATCCAACATACCAGTAGTTCCCTGCGAAATCTGTTGCAGCCGTATAATGAAAAGCAATGTTTGTTAGTGCAATACCGTACTCAAAAGCTGAAAAAAAGCTGAAAGCTGAAATGTTTCAAAAGGGAAAAAAAAGTTAAAAATAGTTGTTAAATAGTAAATTATATATAAAACAAACCATTTGTAACACAATAGAATCTATGACGGATAAAAAAGAAGAATAGTCCGGCTGTGAATATCATAATCAAGAGGAAAAACCTTTTCTTCCATTTAAAGGACCATTCAACCTATATGGGAAACAAAAAATACTATAAAATATACGTATTGATCTTTTCGTTTGTTTTCTTTTTGCCAATAGCTTTCACACTAGTAGAAAACGTTTGTAATACAAAAAAAAACTTACATCTTCCGTCATGGTGTTTGTATTACTCCATTTAAATAGGATTAAGGTCGTTAATTCATAGATTAATGACGTAAACATAAAAACTACGAAGAGTTTTTCATGGAGAGCTAATTATAAAATTGATTGTTTGAATTCGTTAATTAATTTTTTATTCTTCTTGCATTTTCTTACTTACGGTAATTTTCGACATTAGCGATATAACTAACAAGCACAAGGCAGGCATTCTCTATCGTATATATAATACAATTAAACCATATTAAACCTTTGTAAAAACCATGTTGTTTAGAAGCTATATTCTATAATAAAGGAAAAGGTTGGGGTCATCTTTCTAAAGAAATGATACATAAATACCTTTATCCTGTTCATATAATAGTTAACGTACATAAATCCTATCAGAAATCTTGGGGTTGAATGCAAAGCTATACATACTCGCCAAAAGTATCTTTGAGGTTGAATACCGGTTATGGCACTAATTGAAGGTATGCCATTTTCTACCTGTTATAAAAAACTCAGCTCATTGAAAGAAAATTAAGTTGTTTCTAAACCCTAACTAAATCAATTACTTACGTTACAAACGGTGTAGTTCACTTGATTAAATTGAAATATCACAGCTGTAACGAAGCAGAAGATGAGACCGAATGAAGGTAATGAAACAGTTATTGGTGCAAATAAGCTAAAAGGAATGCGAAGTATAGGATTTTTTAGAACAACATAATTTTCGCCCATAATTCGCTTGATTATTAACTGAGACACTTTATAGGAGTATTAAGGAAGCGGAATCACCGAGTATATTGTCATTATCTTCAGTGAGGGGCAAAATGCTCTTAAAACTTCCGGTGCAAATACATTTCTAGGACGTCCGAAACACTAACCCACATTAGCCTTTTTAACACTGCTATTCTAATAATTCAATTAAAAATAAACTTTTAATAACTTTAATTACTATGTTAATCATTTTGTATGAACTTTTTATTTCAGAAAATAAAGATTCCAAGCAGCGAAACAATTTTATCTTGCTATTTAAATTAAGTAAGCTATTTTTGAAACAGGAGAGTTTGTTTCATATAATTAATCTTTGTTATGAATTCACACATTTTCTCTTATCTCTAAAACATTTTCCATTCTGCTATTTTGTGCAAAAACTATAACTTTTATTTTTTAATCAAAATGAATAACAATTTCTAATGTTTTAAAACAAGTCAACTATTACATTTTTTAGTCTAAAAGATAATTTGCTTAATTTAATTTGACATTTGTGCAAAAATAGTTTAATTCATTTACTTTGCTCCTAGAAATATGTAAAAACTAATATATTTTAGAGAATATTTGTAAATTGTTTCATAGCAGAACGTCTTCCGTAGTTTAGAGGTTCCCATAGAAAACTGGTAAAAATAAGAGCCATGGGGAAAGATAAGGAAAAGGTAGTTTTGTAAAATTTATAAGATCTAAGACATAGTCATAACTTTAGATGCAAATAACAATAATAGTATAATATTAAATACTTTATCCTATAATAAAAAGCATCTATATTTAACGAGAAATGACGTAATAGCTAAGTAATTGCTTTTATTCCATGGGCACACGTGTTTCAAATTGAGGATAAAGTTGTTTTTCTTAACATTGTTGAACCTTTAAAAGTAATTGAAAATGTCAATTGGTAGCTAATGTTAATTGTATTCAAAATAGGAGAGAAATGCGCCTAAAGATATTAAATTTGATTGTCTGGTGATGGACGTTGACTGCCATCCAGACAACGAAATACTGACAACTGCAGATATTGATGGAAACGTTAAAATGTGAGTTGTAATATAATAAGTAAATATATAAAATTATATATTTTAATATAAATATTTAGATTCAAATACTCTACAACGGGAGAAAATGAAGAATTAAATACCTTAACTCATCACAAGAAATCATGTAGAAGATCTAGATTCTTACCCAATGGAGAGAAATTTGTAACTTGTTCTAAGGATAAATCTATGTGTGTAATTGACACATCCACCTACGAAGTTGTACATACTTACTCAAAGTCTCATAAGTAAGAGAAATAAATGAAAAAAATATTGAATATTTATTTTTATTTCCTTAAATTTGATTACAGAAGTCCAATATACTCCCTTTGTATTATTGATGATAATATTATAGCAAGCGGCGACGACGATGGAACATTAAAAGTATATATACATATACATATATATATATATATATTGTATATATATAGATAGATAGATAGATAGATTGGAATTAATAATAATTTTTAATACGATTATTAATCTTAAAGTTATGGGATCTAAGAAAGCAAAAAAGTGTAATGGAGATGAAGGAATGCGAAGAATTTATAAGTGATATGGTCATAGACGAATCAAAAAAAATTCTACTCGCTACAAGGTATATTCTTTCTTTTTACGTAATATATAAACATTCCATAAATATTGAAATGAAAAGTTGAGAATAAGTTAAGTCATTATTCTTTTAGCGGTGAAGGAACTTTAACGACTTTTGATGTTAAAAAGCATAAAATGAGACTTCAGTCAGAGCTATTTGAATCGGAATTTTTATCTATAACCGCATTAGAGGTAGGTAATACACTATAAAAACAGTCTCTTATTAATTTTTTCTGTATAACTCTATAGGATAAAGATAAAGTAGTAGTTGGAGATGGTGACGGTGTTCTTAATATATTTAATAAAGGAGAATGGTCAAATATTTCTGATAGATTTCCCGGTCATCCTATGTCTATTGATTGCTTAGTAACGATACATAGAAATCTTATAGTAACCGGATGTATGGATGGAAAGATACGGTGAGTAAAAAAGTTTTATATACTGTATATACTTATCTAAATATACAAAAGTCTAGCCAACTTTTATTTAGTCTATAAACAAAATTAAAGAAAATATGCAAATAGACTTTATTATTATTATTTTTATTATTATTTATAAATATAACTAATATACTTGTATTACAGTGCCGTAAATATATTGCCTAATAATATTGTTGAAATTGTTGGCAAACATAATCAATTTCCTATCGAAAGTTTATCTTTAACGCATTGTCAAGATCTACTAGTGTCTTGCTCCCACGATCAAAAAGTAATTTATTATTCATATTTTCTAGAAATTCATCGTTAAACTAATTGCTTTCTAATTATTCAGATTAAATTCTGGAATATTTCTCATCTGTACGATTTAAATACGGAAAGACCGGAAGAGGTTAAAGCCCATAGGAAGACGAAAAAACAAAAGTTTTTTGACGATTTATGAAAGATTTAGGCCTATAAATATAAATTGTTTATTTGTTTGTATATAGAACGATAAAATAAAATAAATAAAAATAAAAAGCACAGCATTTACTAAAAGTTTGTCATAAATTTATTATTTTCAAAATACCCAGTAAAAGACCAAAAAGACTATAATCATACATCCATACGTTTACATGCCGTTAGTTGTTTGTTTTGTTTGTTTCTTTTTGTTTTTAGTAGTTTTGTTTTTTAGGAAATTATTTAACATTCTAACATTTTTGACACTATTAGAAGAACCTGCACTCTGCAGTTTGTCAATCGCCCAACATGAGCTTAGCAAACTCTGTAAAAAAAGAAAGCAAAGGAACATAAGACGAACACTAAAAAAAGTCAAGTATTCTTTTTTTTTTTTGTTTTCGTTACGTAAAATAGACTAATAGGCCTAATGAAAATTTGAAAAATACATTAATTTTAGGGCTAGATACAAGCATATAAGGACGTGGTACATAATTTCATAAAACTCCTAATAGATTGAAAGAAAAAATAAAAGATAAATTTTGATAAGGATGAATATTGAATGGAGTGAGGGAGAATGAAGAGATGAATGTAAAAAAAATAGATGAAAAAAGAGAGAGAGAGAGATAAATAAATAAATAAATATATGTATATATATATATATATATATAGTAAGAGACAAATAAAACACACACGTCAATTAAAATGGTTTATAAGCAAATTAGAGCGTGTGGTCGAGGTCAAGGTCGACGGTGCATGCTCAAGGTTAGCACTTCAGTCGGACATCATCAGTTTACAGAACTCTGCAAAGAATGTATAAGAAGATTGTTGTATATGATTCTGAGATGTATGCATACATTCGTAGAAAAATAATACATAACAGAATAAGCTTTTTTGTTAGTTTATAGAGTCTTTTTTTTTGTTAAAGAAAGAAAATACGAGGTAAACAAATAAAACGGATGTAAACAATAAAAATATCCTTACTTACCAAAAAAATATTTTTTAATTATTAAAATCACTATTTAATCATTTACCTTCGTAATCAACCCAGCCAGAACCATCTGTATCGACGTCGGCGATCATATCATCGATATCTTCTTCCGTCAAATCATCTCCGAGTGATTTCAAAATCCAACGAAGTTCATTTACGTCAACCTTTTTGTTTTTAGTTTGGTTTTTATTAATGTTATTACTATTACTATTATTGTTTTTCTCTTAGTATTCACCTCTCCTTTCTTTTCCTTATCTAGGACCCTAAAGATTTCTTTCAACTCTCTTTCGTCTTCATCCTCTTGCATCTTTCTCTTAACAATATCGCAAAATTCTTCGAATTCAATAAAGCCGGTTCCCTCTGTATCGATTTCATCTTCGAATTTCTCCAACCAATCAGGCTTAATAGTGTGACCAATATCCTTCATAGCTCCGCTAATATCTCCAGTCTTAATTTTTCCTTGATCCCTCTTATCATAAGCATTGAAAGCGTCTTGACAAGCTAAAGAAAAATAAGGCATATCGCTAGATGGCGCCAAATATATAGAATTAAATAAAGAAACTACAAGTTTACTTGTCTAAGAAAACACTTAAGCAGACGGCAAGAAAATTATTTATACAAACTAGTTTTCTTATTGTCTTTAACGAATTAAAAGTATTTAACGGAAAACATTCTTAAACTCTTTTTGTATGGATTGATGGTTTTTAGAAATGTTATATAAATATTAGTAAATTTTCTTCAATATATCTTACATTTACCGATGTATTTTATAACTTATCTTTCCCCTTTTATAAACAAATACATGTATAAGTTTTAAAAATTGGACCATAACACTCGAAACTAGTCGTAATAATCTACCATTTGCCTTATATAAATCAGTAGAGAAGATTAAAAATTTCCACCAGCATATCCCTTCTCTTCTCTCCTTCCTATATAGCGGAAAGAGTTGGAATAAGGTCAATAAATGAAAAAAGTATGCTAGAAAGGAGCATAAACTTTTTGGTTAGCCGATGGAAATTTGATCTCCTCCCCTCTTCTAAGCATAAGAGATTAAGATATTTAGAGGGTTTTCACTTAGATTCTAACTTTAAAATATACTATCTTAAGTTAAAAAAAGGGAAAAATTACATATTTAGAATTAAATAAAGGATGTTAGTATTCGAAGAAGGAAATGATTAACATACCTTTTTGCTGGGATTCTGAGAGTTTCACTTCGGTCTAGTAAAAATAAAAGAAAGTTTATTTTTACATATAAAATGTTATATAAAGGTAATTAATTAATCTAAATAAATAATTAAAATATTAAACTAGCTACTTTGTTTTAATATAATAAAAGTTTTTACCATATTTCTGGGTTTTGTAGTTTATATGAAGGCGAGCTTCCAAAGAGTACTGATGCAGCAATAGATGTGCAACTGCAAAAATCTATTTCTGTCTGACTATGCACAGCAAATAGTGAAAAAGTTAGCATTTCATTTAACAGACGGCGTTCTATGTCGGTTAAACTATTTGGTAGTTTACCTTATAAATTTTAACCTAAAAATAACAAGACAATTGTAACAACTGAAAAGATATTTACTATTCAATTACTCATTACTTACTATCTTTATATTTTTATAGTTAATGTTTTACCTTTAAAATTAGATTCGAATAAGTATAGTTTCCATAGTAACGCTGATATAAAATTCTATTTTAAACTTGTATATAGGCTTTCATTTAAAAACTATATATACATACTGCATATATATTTATATAATCATCTTAACAATCTTTATTTATCTCTTCATCACTTTCACTCTGTTTTCGTTGATTATTCAATATTTTAACGAATGTACTATAATTAACTTCTCTCCCCCCCTCTCACTCGTGATTTCGTGGAATCTCTTACGTAACAAACTAATTGATTTACTCAGCACTTTTTAAAAGATATGGAAGTAATAAACATATAATAGGCCTGAGTATATCTGCTGCTAGGTGGCGTAAAATTTCTATGATTACTTTCTAGTATTCCGAAGGTACCCTTAAAAAAATTCTTTTTTTCTCAAGGTATATTATAAACCGACTTCTTCGTAATTCAATAGAAAGCTACGTTACTAGACAAACTTTACTATACCAATAGAATTATGCAAATGGTTCATAGATAGTTAGTGTTTTTCAAGTAGATTATATCAATTAAAAAGAAAAGGATAGAGAGAGAGAGAGAGAGAGGGAAGGAAATAAAGAGAGGAAAAAGATGAGTATTTAATATTTTATTTACAATTTTAAAGTTAAAGTTATAAAAAGAAATATTTGAAACATTTGACTGAAAACTGTCTGAACCTAAAATAAACTTCTATATTCGTTTGGCGCCAAATTTTTTTGCTAAGAATTAAGAGGTAAACTTTCGAAAGAATATCTCTTGTAATAATCTTAATCTATAGATAACGCCCGTAGTTGAAGCCGTTGGCTTCGCTTGTAATCTAGGATTAGATTCAACGATTTACAAGTTAACTCGAAATCCGGATTTAGAGTGCTACTAATAAAAAAGTATATAGTTTCTATTTAAGTTATTTTTTTATAGAATAGAAAAATGTGAAGAATAAATAAAGACTTGGCTTCATTTTAAACACGTAGCCTAAAGTTTGGGGAACGTTCTAAAACGAATTTTATAGAAGTGAGTGATATTAGGAAGGTTAGCTCTATTATAAAAAATGATATATTTGAACTTTTTAATACGTTTTTTTCCTTGGACTATTCAAATAAATAATACACATAATGCAAATAAATATAAATAAATAGTTATATCAGACAAAATTGAATAAAACCCAAACTAAACCGGATGGAGAAATAGAAGAACTAAAGAAGGAGTTGAATATTTATCAAGATCATAAATAAATTCATAGGAAAGAAACTAAAGTAAGAAATAGAGATAGAGAGATCAACGGGACGGATGAAGGAGGAATTGAAACAAAGAAATAAAAAAAAAAAGAATTTTTTCCCATGTATATCAGCTGTAATAACACGTATTAGGTCTAAAGAAAATACATAGTCAAAAGTGTTCACAGTATGTTCACAGAGCATAACAAAAAAAAAGGATTTTCCAACTAAAATAATCTTAAAATTATTGCAAATAAACGATAAAACAACGAACAAACACATATAGTGTATAATAATCTATTTATAGAATCATTTCTATTCTTTTCATCAGAAGAATTCTTTCCCTAGTATTTAGCTCTACCCAATTTAAATATTATATTGATACCTTTTTATTTGGCAAAAACCATCGAAGGAAATATCATCCTCCATTTTATAAAATATTTGAAATGTGTTTATCTATATTATGATATATATTTTTTAAATATATATATATATATATATATATTTGTCATTGCGTCAATGAGAGATCTATGAATAATAATACACTTATTGTTTTAAAAAATACATTTTTTAAGACGCGAAATAAAGAAAATATACCAGTTTTACATTATTTAACGATTCATTAACGGATCTCTAAATGCCAAACAAACTATCGGCTTCTGATGTCCTGCGTACTTTTGTTTAACAGTACCACTTTCAATCTCCCATAATCTTGCCATATTATCAGAAGAGGCGCTAGATAGTGTACAATAAAGATTTATTATAGTATATATAACTATTTAAAAGTAATAATATATACCTTATAATATATTCGGAATCGCTACTAAATGATACATCCCAAACCCATCTTTGGGTACTATCAGACCTTAACGTTTTCAGTAGAGACATATCACGAGTATTCCATATTTTTATAGAACTATCGGCGGAAGAGGTTGCTAAGTACTGACAATCTGAACTATACAGACATTTTAAGGCGTATTTATCGTGAATGATTTTCTTGTAGTAAGGTTTTAATTGTGACATATGATCTCCTAATAACTCCCATATATATAATGCACCTCTATTCGAAACTGCTGCTACATATTTACCATTCGGGCATACATGTATACTTTGAATAGAACACTCTGGTTCAGGAACTATTTGATCATTCTCGTTCATCCTTAAATCCCAAGTGTGCATTGTACCAGATTGATCCCCAATAAATAATATTGAGGTATTCGGATGAAGGGAGGCACAGTTAATTGGTACGTTAATTTCAAACATTTTTTGCGGTTTTTGTAACTTTGAACGAACATCCCAAATTCTAGCAAATCCATCTTCGCCTACTGTATACATCCATGATCCATCATCATTAAATCCCAAAGCTGTTATATTCTTTTGTATACCATCATAGGTCACTAATGGGTTATTATTACTTGTAGTCAAGTCAAACATACGTATATGCTGATAGCCTGCTGCAGTGATTAGCTTCTTATCCGGTGTTATTTCTAGAGCGTTTATTTGGGAATCGGTATACTGAATAGTACGATAACAATTTCCGGTATGAGCTTGCCATAGTTTAATTGTATGATCGTAGCCGGCAGTAGCCAGTATCACTGAGTTTTGATCTCCTGAACACATATTTATTTTTGGACTAAGTTTTGAAATTTCCTAATAAATTACGTCGTCTGCTAGTCGATCAATAAATCTTGTGGTACTCGTTAAAACCATATCCCCTATCATCTTTTGTTTTTATTACAATTTTTTTTAATTTCAAAAGTGTTATATAAAAAAAAAGAAATTTTTTAGAACTTATTTTGAAAGAAATGGTTTTTTTTTAAACCCTAGCATTCAGGAGCTAGTAGGAAAAAATATTTAAGAGAACTGACCTTGACCCTTTCAGTCACGAATGCAAGACTTTTTGAATAAGTTATTACGTCGTAGATAGCGTGTACTATAAAGTTGTATTACTTACTATAATTGCAATAAACCTAATAATATTTATACAATTTAATAAGCAACCTCTTAAGGAAGTAGTAAATATATGTCAATATAATAATTTATAATATTAACTTGTTTAAAGTGTTTGTGAAAGAAAAATCAAGCTATGGTTTGAAGAGTATTTTGCGGATAATTTACACTTATAAGTGTATAAAAAGAAATAATTTTACATATGTAATATCTATTATACCATATGTTGTTTTCTTTCCAACTTATGGCGGCAATTGGCTTCTAAGATAAGATTAAATTCACCAAAAGAATGTAGGGAAATGAAAATATCAACTAGTTAGACTGTATATGAAAAAGTAATTCACATCTAATTTATGTTTTTTAAAAGATTAATCGTATTTCTGTTTGTTCTTTAAAGATATTATTCAATCCATTAATCAATTTAAACCACTAATTTAAACAGCTTATTAATCTCTTAAATGCAAATATCATTATATTTGAATTTGTTTCCTTTTTTTTGTCATTTGTGTTTTTTACTGCTTGAACAATAACATAAATTGCTTTTATAATTAATTCAATATAAGGAAATTATAAATTTTTATATAATATAGAAAATTTAACGACCCTTTCCTTTTCCCTTTGTTGGTTTCTTCTTACCGAATTTACCACCTTTCTTCTGTTTTTTAAGATTATCTTTCATTTTTCGATTGTCTTTTTTCATTCTAGGATCAACAACTTTAAAATGTCCCTTAACTCCAGCTGGTCTTGAGACCTTCTTCCCAGCACCTTTTTTAGCGACGACGTAGCTAACTTCAGATTTTTGTTTTTTCAATAGGCCTGCTCTTTTATAAATGTCTCGGATTTGTCTCATTTTCTCCTTCTCTGAAACATCGACTGATTCTGATACAGTTTCTGCCTTCTTTCTTGCTTTTTCTAGACGTCTAACAGAGCGCTTCTTCTTTCTTGCTTTAGCTTCTATCACTCGCTTGGCCGGTCTTGCGTCTATAGCTTTCAGCTTCTCTTTATATTCCTGAACTTGTTCCTAGATAAAGGAAATAAATATTTGCATAATCGAATCAGGCTCTTATAGATAAAAAACATGGAAACTTACTTTAGAGACTGATACGGGTTTGCGATAATTTCTAGCTTCGTCTTGAGTAAACCAAACTGGTAAATCTGTATCATCATTCATAAATTTATGATAAGATTCTTCTATCAATTCCCGCCTTCTTTTTTTAGACTTAACCAGTTCTTCCCCTATGGCTAAACCTAAGGGATCTAATTTCTTAACCTTTTTAGATACCCCAGGTAATGTATTTTCACCGATTTCTGACGTAGGAACAACTTCAAAACCATCCTTTTTACTTATTTTTAATTTTTTTTGTGCTGGAGTACCCAAATTACCAACGTCATAGTCGGAATCTGAGTCATCGCTGTCATCATCACTATCCGAATCGTCACTACTTTCATCATCATCACTGTTATCCCCACCATTTGCCGTAGTAATACCTTGTTTTACAATGCCATTCTCGATTCCATCTTCCTCATCTTCACTATCATTTTCTACATCATTCTCGAGGTCTTTGAAGGCATCCTACATTGATCGTTGCAAAATGATAATTGTCTTGTCTAAATAATAGTTTACTATTATAAAACAACTTACCCTATTAAACCACATGGCCATATTTCTGTCTTTTTCAGGTTCATCATGCAAATCAACAATGAGAGGATTGCCATTCTGTTCACCTTCATCATCATCTTTTCCATTCTCTTCCTCGTCATCGTCGTCGTCATCGTCATCATCCCCCTCTGAGTTTTCCTCTTCGTCGCTGGTAGGAAACGTTTCATCGGCATCTTCTTTAAATCTATCATAAGTTGCCATCATTTTTCGTTTTGAGTGTTCTTCTTCATCATCCCAATTATCTTCTACTTCTGGTTCTTCTGCATTGTCTGTAATATTCTTAACTTGATTTTTGGTTGTTATCTTTTTCATATCAAATATGTGCTCATCCTCAGCGTTGTCCATTCTGTCGCCTGGAATAACCATTTTCATATCTATTTTGTCCCTTAACTTTCTCTTTTCCTTCATATCCTTCTTTCTTTTCCTTTAAAACGATGTTTAGGAGACATTAAAAATCTATAATGATGTATTGTTCATTTAACTTACCTTTTCACTGATTGCTCTTCTTCCTTTTTGAGCCTGGCTATCTTTTCGTCAAGGTCCTCTTCACTATCGGCATCACTAACTTCTTCAACTTCCGCTTCTTTTTTATCAACGGTTTTAAATTCTTCTAAAAGCTTTTTTCTCCAAGTTAGGAGATTTTTAACATCTCTTCTACCCAATACTTGAATATCTGAACAGCAAAGTTTAATTTCTTTTGTCGTAAGGGGATGGTCACGAATTTTTTCATTATCCAGCAGCAACTAAATAAGGTTTTTAAGTGAAGAATTGTACTTAATTTGAAATATATGACAAGTAAATAATTCATTTATGGAACCGAAACTTACGACGTGACAACCAGCTAAGAGTTCAAGAAAGTTTTCCTTTTCAAAAAATTCGTTAACGCTTAGGCTATGGTGAAGAGTATAATCTCCATCGGCATATCCTTCTCTTGATCTCTTTCTTTTCTCGCTCGTCATTAGTTGTAAGGCTTTTTTAGAGTCTTTAGCCAAAAGAGCTACTTCTTGAAAGACATATTTTGGATCAGTAAATTTTGGGTCAATTTTATCTGGAGCCTTAAAACCCTGACATACAACAAATATTTCGGCAGATTCATTACGAGAAGCTGCAGGTTTAGTTGCAAATACCTGTCAAATTGAGATTAAAATGAATATATAAATATATATAGGTGTAAAAGAACAATTTGTTTTTACTTTTCTAAACAGTTGCTGGAAAACCCAAAGCAAACAATTATAATCCTTAGATCTGAAAACTTTTGTAACAAAATAGCCTCCTTTCTTTAGAAATTCAAGAGCCAACTTTAAAGCTTGTAAAGTTAAAGTTGCTATAGGAAAAAAGAAATTTATATAGTTTTATGTTAATCAGTTAAAAAGAAATAAATTTATACCTTGAGAAAAAGCATCGTGCAGCCAATTTTTTCCTACATTCGGAGCACCATCGTGAAGTACAATATCAGCTTTCCATGTTTGTATTTCCTTCTTTAAAGCCTTTTAATAAATGAAAATTGTAAATAATAATACATAAAAACATTCATAATTTATACTTGTCTGCATTTTTCAGTTGTTATATCTTCAGTTAAAGTTATTACATTTCTAATTGGTTTAATTGGAACTAAATCGACACCTAAAATAAAACAGTGTTTTGTCAAGTACTATTGCTTAATAATTAACAGTTTGTAAACTTACCAATAATAACCGACGATATCGGCATTTTCTCGGCAGCAACCTGAAGCCAACCCCCAGGAGCTGCACAAAGGTCAATACATACTCTGGATTTCTCCAGAAATTCATATTTCCTATTCAATTGCAACAACTTGAATGCTGATCTAGCTCTATAACCTAAAATATTGGGGGAACAGGTTATACACATGAAATATTTGACTAAGAAAAATTAACTTCAGCTTACCTGTTTCCTTAGCTAAATGATAGAATTTATCTTTACGAGATTTTCCAATTTTTCCCTTTTTACCCATGCTTATTTGAAGACGGCGTGAAACGAGCTTTCAAAATCGATGTTTTATGATAAAATCGAGCTTGGGTGATCTTCTAAGAAAGTTTACTGTATCGAGTGAGTATCGAATATCGAATCAGCTATTCGATCAACCAATTATACACCAGACAGCTATATTTAAGGAAGTAGAATTAATAAAGTTTTTTCGTACTAGAAATAAAGGTAACAGTTAAAATCGAACAAAAATTTCGCAACGACCAATATAGCTTTTCAATAAACATTCTAAATAAAAATCCATATTCGAAAGTGGATATTAAACGTCCTTGACCTTAGAGTCACATTGCTAGCTCTTAACTTTCTTAGACATACAACTGTAATAATAAGCCGGCTTGAAAATGTCGTTTGATATGCCAACGAAATCCAACAATGTGGATCACGAAATGCAACAATTTCTAATGGCTGAACAACAAAAGGCTCAAATCCAGCAACAACTTCATGCTCTTACCGATGTTTGTTGGGAAAAATGTATGGACAAACCACGCGACAAATTGGATTATAGAACGGAGAGTTGCATTTCAAATTGTGTAGAAAGATTTATGGATACTACAAAGGCTATTGGTGTTCGTTTGCAGCAGAAGTATAAAGAAATGTAATACAGTTCGATTTTATAAAAAATACACTTTGTTATAACTTTAGAGAATCGGCTTTATATGAAACAAACAAGTGTACTTTCTTTTAATTCTTCACAATAATGTATAGTTTATTTGAAAAGAAGTTACTTAGATTTTATAAATTGATAATATTGGTTAAGCTTTTATCTCAAAAAAGACAAATTACCAATTATTTGGGCAAACGGAGGATTTTTAAAGTAAAAGGAGGGGAAAGCTCAAATTAGAGAAATTATAGTAGTAAAAGTTTTCACTGAGTATTCTCACAAGTATCGGTCATTTTCAGCGCTTTTATCATTCCTCCATGTTTTATTTCCATCAGATGTAATCACAGCTATGATTGCTTTAGTAAAGTAATGTTTGTGCAAAAGATTGTTTTTATTGAATTTTCTTTCTCTCAGTGGAGTATTTAGAAAAGAGGAATCTTTAATGGAAGATGAACTGCTAACAAAAAAGACATTCTTTACATTTTGTACCTCGTACGTGCTAACATTCTCTCATAAACACTGGAAAGTTTCTGTCAAAATCTATTTTCCAAGCTTAGCATTATCACAATGATCAAATCGCCTATTTTTTTTAAAGCAATAGCGTAACAAGCTACTTTTGTGAAACGGAAACACCAGGCATTGTTTCAAAAAAATGATACATTATCATAGGCTAAATATCTCAACTCATTCTACAAATAACATTTTGACGTTTTCAATGTATAATAAGATGGTTACGATACAACAACAAATGATTATGAGGGCAGTTATCAAAAAGGAGTGTAATTCGGGTTACCCATTGTTCCAACTTGATTAGAAGCTGCAAAGTTTTGCATTGGACCAACCCCGGAATGATGATCACCAGAATAAGGAGGATTGTGTTGGGGTCTTCCTCCAGGAGTAGACTTCAGGAAAAGTTCTATATACCGATGCTGCATTGCAGCACGATCCTTTCTTAAAGATTCCTCTGCTTCATGATGAGAAGCAAAGTCAACATCTGCTTCTCCAGAAGCTCTTCCATCAGCATTGTAGTGGATTGTGATTTTGATAGGTTGTGAAGGTCTAAAGAAATGCATAATATCCTCTTCGGTTGCTGAGAAAGGCAGGCCTCGCATGTGGACACTGTGTCCAGTGGAACTAGTATAATCACCTGATCCACCTCTATTATTATAATCTATGGAGAAGACAAGGGTTTTAAATATCTCTATAATTATCATACTTTTAACTCTTACAATTTTTATTCCGTCCTCCACCGTAACCACCACCGGGTTGTCGTCTGGATCTACCATATTCATAATAATCATCGTATTCCTCATTGAAACCTCTAACATTTCGCCTTCCTCCCCCTCCGCCTCTTCCACCCCCATAACCTAGATAATCAATTTTGTCATTGAATCTCCGCCACTTTTTAAGTTTGATACACCTACCAGAATATCGTTCATTACGATCATAAGGACCAGGGCGGAATCCTGGTTGAGTCCTTCGATTATGACTGTTCAAAACGCTTCGAAGTTCAACTAAAGAGCTTTTGAAGATTTCGATATATCTGCATTTTAACAAGTTGAATATTAATAAGCAAAGAATTTAAAAGACTTTTAGAAAGTCACCTCCTCACCCAATTTACCCATACCCACCCACTCTTGATAAAAACAGAAAATTAGACATAAAAATTTCAAAAGACACATACAGATGTATACAAATATATGGTAAAAAAATCTAGTATACATCACATCGTATTAACAGAATAGAAATAACCGATTGAACAAGACATTTACTGAGGTCTTCCAATATTGACAAATATTTTTTATCTGTTCAAGACTACTAGCAGCCATTTATCTTTAGGTTTATTAATTATAAATAAGAATTATTTTGCTATTTACATTGGCTAGTAATTGTAAACTTAAGATAAAAAAGTTTTTGTCTAATATAATGACGACCGATGGTTTTCACCCCCCACCTGTGCCCGATTGTTTCCGTATGTTTAGAGAGAGCTTGTTCAGCGAGAGATGCTGATGCGAACTGTACATATCCGTCCCCTGTTGATCGACCCTGCCCATCGTGTAGAAGAGTTATCCCATTTGGAACGATTTCCAACCCTTTATTGCCCGAAAAATAAAGCCCACATTAAACATATTTAAAGCTATTTGTTAAGTTCACATGGAAGACTTGGAAAGTTACGAACCGCTAAAAAAGTGAGCAATTTCTTCTTTAGAACAACCGAACGGCAGTCCACGTAATCTAACTACAGCGTCTGCTCCTTGTTGTCCTGAAAGTCCAGATCTTTTAACAACCCATTCCATTTCTTGCCTCTTAGATTTGAATATCTCGACATATCTTTTTCCTAAGTGTTCCTTATCCTTTGCTAAGGCTTTATTCAGGCTATCTTCATTAGTGAATTCAATATAACACTCTCCCGATGGACGGCCGTCTCTGACATATGTGAAATGGATACCATTTTCTGTGATATCGCAGGCGGCATCTGTATCGATCGTCAAGGCATCAAGGTAAAAGTTGATTAAGCATTTTTTTTGAATACCGTACCTTCAAAGAAATTCCGAACATCGTCCTCTGTAGCTGACCATGGCAGACCACGGACGCGAATCACATATCCCTCATCATCATTTGTTTTCATTATTACTGTAAAAGTATCACAATCAAGTCTATCTAGGTGTATTTCCCGCAAAACTCTGAAGCTTGTCGGTTACATCGAAATGGCGGACAGTTTATTTCCGCTTTGGTATTTTCGTATTATTTTCACTTGAATGATTTTATACAAAAGTTAATAATCTATAAATAAATAAATGATGAAAAGTCTTATTATAAAAAGATTTTATTTTAAAAAAAACAAACATAAGTAACTAAATAGCTAATTTGCAGAAGATTTTCTTTATCTTGATCCGTATAGATTTGAACTGGGACAAGGCGTTGTCTCTAGCATGAAAATGAGAGTGTATTGATGTATATACAGTAAATTAATCGAAGTATAGGATATTATATAAATAAATTTGTTCTCTGAATTCCAAAATTATAAACTATATTGTTTGTTTATTCTGTATTACTATATTTACTTTTGCAAAATTTGGAAATTATTTCAAGATAATTTGAAAAAATTACACAATACTTTCTCAACACAATCCATATTATGTTTCGTATCTGATATTAAAAGGGACATATGCATCAATTTAGTAAAGCATATCATTTAATTAAATCAGTTACAAAAATAATATCATCACAGTAACTATAATCGCGTAATTAACGAAGGAGTAAAGAAATTATGTTTATTCAGATTCTTAGTACACAGCTCAAATAAATAGGGATGGTTGTTTAATAATTTTCGTACGATCTCTAAAATATGTACATACATATATATATCTACATATATATTTGAATAATATTGAATTTTCAGTATACATTTTATTATCGCTAAAGTTTTCTTAACTAGAACGAAAGGTAAATTCCAAATTATTATAATTTATAGAATAATGACGTCAATTGATTCTACGTAAGTTTACTTTTCAAAATGTCCTATAGATGTTGTTATACTAGCGCCATATTTATTCTCTGCAACGACTTGATAGATAAATTAAATTCGATTTGTCTATTTTTATCAACCAATCAGCGCCAATCTTCCAGGTTTTGAGCTCGCTCACGTGAAGATGGCGTCATTATAAATTGAGCGGTGGAAATGAGCGGATGTGAAACGATTAAGCTTTTGAGAGGGGGCTTTTTCATTTTACATGCGTTTAATTCAAACCGAAAATCGACCTACTGTGGACTGATACATTAGAGTATACAGCTTTCTACCAGATAAAAATTTAGAAAATTCATTCTTCCATAGAAAATAAAGAAGCAAATTCATATTATTTCTAAAGCGCTATTTCACTGTAAATACGAAAGGTGACAGTTACACAATGATTGTAACTGCATTATAGAAGATCATCATTAGTTAAGATATGTTAAAAAAGATAGAAGATGTCTACAAGGTATATCATTAAATACATTTTTTATGGTTTAGTTTTTTTCAACAAAGTCACTTACCGTGTAACAATGAGTAGGTTGGATCGATTGTTCTGTTTGTTGGACACTGGTTCGACAATGGTTGTTCGAAAAACAGCTGCCGAACAAATAGGAACTGTCATAAAAAATCATCCAGAAGACTTACAAATAATTTTATTTAAGGTTAATCTCCGATTCTTCCCGTTAATTTTGATAAAGCATAATATTTATAATCATTATTAGTTACATGAAATATTGGGTAAACCTAATTGGGAAACAAGGATAGCCGCAGGTTTAGCTGTTGAGGCTGTTGTCTCTCAAGTGCCGAGCTTTAATCCGGAAGGCTCTCCAGAATCTAATGCTGTCTTTGAAAAATTACAAGAGAATTTTTTGCGCTTCAAAGATTTCAATATATCATTAGTTCTGAAACAGAAAACTCTAGTTGGATCAGAAGGATGTGAATACGATGCTGATAATGATACTGGTTAAAAAAACTTTTTTTTTCATATCTATGATAGACACATAAATCTATTCTTACTTGTAGGAGAAAGTAAAGAAGCTGCTATTAAGAGAGAGAGAGAGGCGATGAATAAAAATTTGTCGTTAGGCCTACCATCAGTTTCAAATTTTCTCACGGATTTAGTAGAGGATGATGATTTAGTAAAGCAGCCTTCTACTCCGCAATCTATAAATGTAATAGTATTAACTTAATAGATTACGTAATATTTATTTAATAATATTTTCACCATGATTTACAATAGTCATCAGACAATCTAGCTTCTATCTTCAAGAGTAATCAGTCATTGTCTGTTAGAGAAAAGAACAAGTTGAAGAGAAAAGTCAAAGCTTTCACTAGGCAAACCTCACATGGTGGGAATGTAATCAATGATGACGACTCGAAAGCTGGCAAGAGATCGAGATCTAGTAGCATCAGTGTGGACTCTAGATCAAACAGTCCGGCTTGTTTCGATACTGAGGTTTATAAATCCTTTCATATTTATATAAGAATAACTTATACAACAATGTCTACCTTAGACTGAAGATTGGCCGTTATCGAAATTTTGTGAAACGTTGTTGAATGACCTAATTAATAGTGCTTGGGAGAAACGACACGGTAGTGCAGTCGCCCTTAGGCATATTTTAAAGCATCATGCCTCTAGTGCTGGAAAATCGAATTTAATATATAAAAATTCGGTATTTATTAGAAAATATACCTAACAATTAAAGTTTATTGAGAAACTTATAACATTTCCAGATGGAATTGGCCAATCAAAGCTATCTGGAGAATATTGCAGTTCGTTTAATAGGTTTATTAGTCTTGGATAGATTCGGTGATTTTATATCTGATGAAGTTGTGGCTCCGGTACGTGAGAGCGCTGCACAAACTTTGGGTGTAGTTATGCAAAGTTTACCCGAGGAAACTGTTTCTACTGGTATAAAATTGTTACTAGAAATGTTAATTAGTGATCAATGGGAAGTAAGGCACGGTGGTTTATTAGCTATTAAATATACAATGGCTGTTAGAACTGATATGACATCAGTTACTCTACCTATAGTCTTTCAATCAGTATTTAATTGTTTGAGTGATAAAGAAGATGATGTTAGAAGTGTTGCGGCTATGTGTCTTATTCCAGTTGTCAATACTTTAGCTTCGGAATTAGATACTTATATTCCGTCTTTGGTCGAACGTTTATGGGATTCTTTAGTACTTCTAGACGATTTGACAGCTAGTACAAATTCATTTATGAATCTGTTAGCGTTAATTATGCCTAAAGTTGCTGAATCCAGTGATCAGAATTTGTAAGTTATAATATAATATATTAAAACGGATAAAAATTTAAATCTCGCTCAAACAGAAAAATGAATATGAATGTTTTAAAGGATTTAATACCAAGATTATGGCCATTTTTCTCGCATAATATCGCCTCTGTTCGGAAATCGAGCTTCCAAACTCTATACATTTTACTTACATCAGCTGCTGAAAAGGAACATATCTTGGCTTGGCTGTTACCGATACTTGAACCAACTATGAGATTACTTTATCAGCAATCTCTTTTAGAAAGTGAAATTGACATATTAAATCTAACAGAAAAAATATGGCAAACTATACTAGATATTGCTCCTGCATATCAGATATTTTGTAGTACATCCCAACATTTAGGTATATGGTTGAGTTTAGGTATGCAACCAGTTTACATACCGTTCAGTCTCGAAAACTTACTATTACCCAAACACGTAATATGATCTACTTTAAAATTTATGTTTTTCACTTTCTGTTAACATTGCTTCTATTTAACTTACAGGGTACATTATCGAAAAGACCCGATAACGAAGACAAGTTATATTTAGGTGGAAGGGAAGCCCAAGTTCAGAATAATGATAATCGAGATATATTTGTTAATCGATCAAGAATATATGCTTCAAGGTCACTTCTTTACCATTTAACACTAATGTTGTCTTATTTCTCATTATTACATAACAGATTAATTGGTCAGGTCTTCAGAAACTTAAGTGTAAATTGCGTTGAAGTACCAAATGGTCAAGACATAACCACATGCCTATCCAATATGATAATATTCCATCTGAACAATAAATCTGCTCTGCAGAGAATGTTTGCAGCATTGGTTCTTGGCGAATGGTGTGATAATAACGAAGTAGGAACACTTTCTAAATTATTTCAAGTAATAGTCTTTAATAATGTTATAATTATTTTTGTTACAAAAAAGAGTTTAGTCATTCCAAAGGAGCTAGATGAATTAGTGTTTAAATGCCTCACCGAGCCTGTTTATTACGATGAAATTGCAGTTCAATTTACCAAAATGCAGGCATCATGTAAGGATATAATACTTTCTTTAAGAACTATGAAAATTGACGTCAATGAATTTGAGAAAACGTAAGCTTTTATAAACATTTTACTGTATAGCAAATATTATAATGAGTTTTATTTGTTGTAGCCCCGTTCTGACAATTGAAATGGCTGAGAAATTCTGCTCCAGTTTCTATCCGTCTATCAAATCTAAAATAAAAAGAAATCGGGATGAAATTGAAGCCCGGATAAATTCACTTTCAACAACTGTAGCCTTTACAGCAAACGAACAAAAGACCTACAATATAAGGTTTGTGTTTTTACTGCTTTTCTATTTCGTCATATCATCTTATCTTTTGAATATTTTACAGAGTTGGTTCTCTGTTGGCATGTACTAAAGTTTGTATGAAATCTATACCGGACCAAATTAATCCCGTCATTAGGCCGCTAATGGAGGCGCTAAGGAAAGAAACTAATATTGATTTACAAGTAAGACATCTATTATCTTCTACAAATAAATAAATATTTAATAATAATAAAATAATACTTACAGAAAATAGTTGCCAGCCGTCTGTCGGCATTGTTATCAATATTTACAACTAGAACATCATCGCCTAATGAGAAAATAATTAGAAACTTAAGTAATTTAATATGTATTGACAGTGAGAATATTAAAGAGGAACTTTTGGCTGAAAATAACGGAAGTGATATAAAATTAGATAAATATTATGGAATACTAGCTTTAGCTTTAAATGAAACACATCTTCAAAAATCACCGAAGTCTATGGGAAAAAAGGCGAATGGATGTGATATAGGAAATCATAATAACCTGGATATATCCTCTAGTTCTTGTAGGGGTGCCCAAATAGCTCTCTCCCAAGTATTAATCGATCAAGGAGCACAGCTACCGGTTAATATCGAATCTCTCTGGTCATTGCTTTTTGGTGCTATTGACAAAGTGAAAACAGTAATCGGTAATTTAATTTTTAAAAAGACATCTTTAGTTCAAATAGTTTAAATACTTTATAATTTTTATCAGATCTGGAAAAGTCTAATGAGGACAACGCGGAAGCAAAAAGTCTTATCAATTCTTTTACGCTTCTTGAATCTATTCTTATTTACCTACATACTGATTTACATGAAGAGGTAGTATATTATATTTCAATGTACTTTCGTTCCTTCTAATTTATTTTTTTAATATCAGGTTTTGAATCGTTTAAACTCTATTACCAATTGCTTATTTCATCCTTATACGACCGTCCGCAATTCAGCAGCAAAATGCTTTGCAAAATTTACTCATATCAACATTCTTACTACTATGCAACACTATTTGGAGAAAGTTGCTCCTATTTTATCGTCCGAGAATATCAGATCTAAGCAAGGAGCAATAACATCCCTTCATTGTAAATAACATGTTCATCTATAGCTATTAAATTTTTAATTTGTTCACTATTTTATAGATTTAATCGAAACGGTCGGATTCAATGTTGCACCTTATAGTATACTACTCTTTGTTCCCGTTTTAGGCTGTATGAGTGATCAAGATAAATCTATTAGAATGATGGCCAATCAATGCTTTGGTCAACTGATACGCATGATATCTTTGGAGAAGGGTATTCCAAATCCTCCTGATATGAAAACAGAGCTTATACAGAGGAAAGAGGAGGAGAGGAAATTCATAGAGCAATTGCTTGATGGATCGAAACTCGATTACTTTGACATTCCTGTTCCTATTAAAGCAGAACCTAGGAAGTATCAACAAGATGGGATCAATTGGTTAGCATTTTTAAATAAGTATAAGCTACATGGAGCTCTTTGTGATGATATGGGTTTGGGTAAAACTTTGCAAACATTATGCATAGTCGCTGGAGATCATTTTATGAGAGCAGAGAAGTATAAGGTTGGCTACAAATTTTAAAACCTGCTTTGTGTTAGTTATTTTTTTATATTTTTAACTTCAGACTGATCCTGGTCCAGATTGTGAGCCATTATTATCGTTAATTATCTGTCCCCCAACGTTAACTGGACATTGGGTTTTTGAAATGGAGAAATTTGTAGATTCAAAATATTTAAATCCATTACACTATACCGGAACTCCTACAGAGAGGAATTTGTAAGTGTAATATAAGCTTGTAATCAATTAAAATATTTTGTGATAATGTGTATTCACTAAAAATAGATTGCAAAAGGAGATTGATAAGCATAACGTTGTAGTTTCATCTTATGACGTTGTCAGAAATGATATTGAATTTTTCGAGTAAATATCTTTATCGTAACTTATATATAGATAATATATTTTATTTATAACAAATTGCATGCTATTTTTCAGAAAAATCAAATGGAATTATTGTATATTGGATGAAGGTCACGTGATAAAGAATAGCAAGACAAAATTATGGAAAGCTATGAAGAGGCTGATATCATTGCATAGGCTGATACTTTCCGGTACCCCTATACAAAATAGCGTTTTGGAACTATGGTCTCTTTTTGATTTTCTTATGCCTGGTTATTTGGGAACACAAAAACAATTTCAACTTCGCTATGGTAAACCTATTTCAGCTTCTAAAGATTCAAAGAGTTCATCAAAAGAACAAGAGGCGGGCGCATTAGCAATGGAGGCTTTGCATAAACAGGTTTTACCGTTTATTTTAAGAAGAATGAAGACTGATGTATTAACAGATTTACCCCCGAAAATTGTTCAAGATATGTATTGTTGTTTAAGCTCCTTGCAAATAGAGCTTTACGAAGACTTTTCAAAGTCAAAGGCATTAAAAACTGTTGAAAATGATGTGTCTCATTTTGGTCAGGAGTCGTCAGCCAAGAAAGCCAGCAATCATATATTCCAGGCTCTACAGTATCTAAGAAAAGTATGCAGTCATCCTTCGTTAGTATTGAACAAAAATCATCCAAAATATGAAGAATTGATGCTAAAGATGAAGCGAGAAGGAAGTAATATTAATGATATTCAACACGCTCCCAAACTGGCTGCTTTGAAACAGTTGCTTGTTGATAGCGACATTGGTGTAAATCAAGGAAATCTTAGCGATGTACCAGTTGTTGGTCAGAATAGGGCTCTGATTTTCTGTCAATTAAAGAGTATGTTGGATATTGTCGAGAAGGATTTACTAAAGTAATATATACTTATTAATATATTTTCTTGTATTTATGATTGTGTTAAACAAAACAGAACTCATCTTCCTAATGCCACCTACCTTCGTCTCGATGGAAGTATCCCTCCTGGAAATCGCCACAATATTGTTCACCGCTTCAACACAGATCCATCAATTGATATTCTACTTTTGACAACTCACGTTGGAGGGCTAGGCTTAAATTTAACCGGAGCAAATACGATTATCTTTGTCGAACACGATTGGAACCCATCAAGAGATGCCCAGGCTATGGATAGAGCTCATCGTATAGGTCAGAAAAGGGTAGTAAACGTTTATAGACTGATAACAAAAGGAACTTTGGAAGAAAAGATAATGGGATTGCAAAAATTTAAATTGGCTGTGGCGCAAAGCATTGTTTCAGCCGATAATGCTAACTTGTCATCAATGGCTACAGATCAATTGTTGGATTTGTTTACGGTTGAAAAAGCACAGTCACCAAGGAAGAAACTTTCTCAAATCTCTGGAGCAAAAAGCGTAATGGAGAACCTAGAGGAACTGTGGGATGAGGAACAATACGAAGAATATGAATTGGATAAATTTCTTCAAAGTCTCCACAAGTAACTGCGAAATCTTCTTGAAAGCCAATTATTTATGAATTTTACAAAATAATGTAATTATTTTATTAAAGATAAATTTAAATTAAAAGAAAGAACTAAAGTATTACGCTTTTACGAAGATGTTTTCCATTATTTTTTTCGTGCAAGTTTCTAAAATTAGAAACTAATAATGGCCCTTTATGGCAATTTTTCGTTAGACACCTCTTCAGGCTTTCATCTTTACGTATTGCATTCAGCGGGTACAATTAGCTCGTCGGCAATTAGCCCAAGGTTGATCTCTAAAATAATGATTTGCATTTCTTTCATAGATGCAGATAAATTCCTCTATAAAATTATTTCTCTTAATACCAGGCATACTTTAAATGAACCATGAACCAATTTTCCTAAAGTAATTGAACTATTTTCTATGTCCTCTGATTAGTAAACATTAATTGAAGATATAAAAAAAATGTAACTACGCAATATTGTCTCGTTTTCGATTCAAATATTTCACCGTTACTTAATTTTCAAAGTTTTGAGATGAATATGACGCAATGCCAATAAAAATGACCAATCAGGGCCTATATACCATTCTAGGATACCGTTACCCAAATATCACTGGTTTTTTTGTGTCTAACAAGTCTCCGGTAGAAAGTTTTTATTTATCTATTTTGAATAATATAAGGAATTGTGAAAGAATCTGGTAAAAACTTTCATAATGAATGGCTTAGAGGTAAGTAATTAATCACATCATCTGCAAAATATGCTTTAAACCCTTAATAACTTTAAAAAGAACAAGTAAAGTATATTCTCACCAGATCACGGCAATAAACGAATATGCAGCTTGGATAAATTCAAAGATATGGTTTCCAGAGGAAAATCAGAAATTCGATGGCTATAACATTAGTTATTACGCGTTTAGAACAACAATAAGGAATATTCTATTCAGTCATAACGTAAAAGGAATGGATAAATTTCAACTCTTGTTGAAGTGGACAAAAGGCCAAGCTAGAAAACTAATAGAAATTGTCTATGATATTGAAACGAAAGAGCCATTTGATTTTGCAATAGTGCTTCTGGATAGCAGATACGATAGTTTAGCTGCAAAATCTTCTAACATATTTGCCCTTGAAAAACTTTACACTCAGCCACCAATTCTTGAGGGTAATAGTGATAGGGCGGCCGATATTGCTTCTGCTCTTACACGGATATTTTATCTTAATCCTTCGGTTAAGGATAAACAGTTGACAGATTACTCGTATATAGTATGCGTGGCTCTTTCAAAGTTCAGCAATGAAATGAGAAACGAATGGAATGAAAGGAAAGAAGACCAGAAAGACTTTTTAAATCTCATACATTTTGTTGAAAGGTACGCCTATAATTATAAAGTATCGGAATTGAGAGGAAATAGTCTGCAAAGCAATGACTCTGAAATGATAGGGAATAATGAAAAAATGATAAAGAAAAGTTGGAAAACCTATAGTTGCTGTCTTCACAAATCTTCTAAGCATTCTCTGAGCGACTGTAATAAATTTAAAAGTCTTTCTAGATCGGAAAAGTTGAATTTTATAATTGAATCAAATTTATGTTTCAATTGTTTGCAATCAGGTCACAAGAAGGAGAAATGCCTGTCGAGGAAATGCACTATCTGTGGAAAGTTACACCACGAATTAATACACTAATAAAAAACCCCCTCAACCTGCTCCCTCCTTGTGAGGGATGAGTGTGCAAAAAGCAACTTACACCATAAAGAGGATCTTCATAATAAATTTGTTATTAAATTTATAGAATAGCAGAATCTTCTAAATCAATAGATGAATTTAAATTTTCAGTTGGTAACGATTGCCAATACTCTAACATTGCCGAGTTTTGTTTTCTCCATTTTAATTTACATAATTTCTGATCAACCTTTGCCTGCATTAATTCGTATTTCATCTGTTCATTTTTTAAGCAGCTGTAGAACCATTGCAGAATAATACCGGTAAGAGATAAAACCGCACAAAGGCAGATAGATAATATTATTACTATTATTTTAGCCTGTTGAGATTTTTTGATTTGATAAGAGGATTCTCGTCGTATTCTCTTTGATGGATTAATACATATTCTATGACGGTTTTGTAAGGCTGTCGTTTTTGAATTTATCCAGCTACCCCATTTACCCCAGTTGCCATCTATAGATTTTATGCAGATTGTCAACATACTTCGTTGACAATCCACATATCTCCAAAGAATCGATCCGGGTCTTATTCTAACAGTCAGACAGCCTTCGTAATCAATCCTAACTCTCTTTAAATCGCACATCAATGATTGAAAGATTATTTTATGTAATCTTACTATTGTTCAATCTACTTATCTTACTGTATCATTTGTATATTGATTATCCGTTTGTGGAGACCTCCATTGGGGATTTAGTGTATCCCTAAACGTGTAATCTTGATCCGTTTCTGACCAAATGAAAGTATTGTGATCTAAATCGAACGATTTCGAAAGGTATTCTATTATTTCCAAACTATCACTTTCATCTTGATGATCACCTATGCTTAATCGAAGTAATCGGAGTCCATTAGCCATACATTCTCCAAAAGCTTCTGTAAATGTTCTCCAACCAATAATTTTTAAACAGTACTTTGCACCATTTTCTAAACTAAAGGGCCATAAAAAGTCAGCATTTAACAGTCCCCTGAATTGGATATCTTGGCGAATTTCCTCCCCAACATCTTGTAATCGTTTAACGAAACAAGGATTTTTGCTCTCATCCGGTAGAGCTATATTTAAACTAGATGAATTTAGAATGGATCCTAGACAAACTGACGAAGTAGCTTCGCATTCTTTCGTCTTTCGATTAGAAATTAAAAGTAAGCATTCGTTTTTAAGAGTACTATCAACTTTAGTGTTAAACTGTCTAAAACAACTATTAATTTTCAAACAATCCGTTTCAAGGTAAGGTTCATACGATAAATTACTATAATAACTAGTACAGAACTTCTTTAAATAGTCTTCCTTTACAATTTTATGCTTTAAATAGAAGAAATAACCTAAAATTGGAAAATTACTAATAATTAGAAAATTTCTTAATAATATCATTTTTTTTAAAAAAAAAATATATATCTTTATTTTATTTAGTTAAAAATATATATATTACGTTATTTTTGTTTTTTTAATTTACATCTTTTCGTAAGTAAGTTTATGGGAACATGATTTACAAGATTTCGTATATTCATCGGTTTCTTCGTTATAGACTTCTTCACCAAATTCATGTTGATGAGTTGTATCAATTTTTCTATAGAGACTACTTCTTGCTGCCTTTTTTAACTCTGTTAAATGAAATTAAATGAAAACTAATAGTATGATATAGTATGACTAAATATAGCGGGAATAATACCTGTTAATTTTTTATCAAATTTCTTTTTCTTTGCATCTTCCTTCTTTTGAAGTCTTTTCTCTTTTTCTTCCTCAATAGCCTCTTCACTTCCCCAAACTTCAAATGCTCTTTCGGCAATTTGTATCTCTAAATATAGTTTCATTTCACCCCATCGTTTATTGTGTGGATTTTTCTTTAAAGTAAACTTTAATTTTGGTTCGCGTTTATCTATATCAGCATCGTTTAACAAGTATCTATTCTTGGCGTCTGTCCTTGTAATAAGACGATGTTTCTCCTCCGTATCCCTTTTAAGTGTATTGTAATTGTTTATAATTTTGTATTAATAATAGATTATTTCTAAATTAAAGACATTAAAGATTAAAAATAACCTGCATTGATCACAGACATCTGCATTATAAGTTTTATAAAGGTAGGAGTCAACAAACTCTTTACCACAGTCGTCGCAGTAAAGACCAGGTTGGTCAGCGGCTTTCAATCTACCAGCTACTTCTTCGACTATTTTTAATTTGGCAGAAGGTTTTTGTTCATCTTCGTCTTCAATGAGAAAACCGGCACCACTGTCCAGTGTTCTCTTCACTGTTGCACCTTCTTTCCTATAATAGGGCTGGATAAGTACAGATTCTGAGCAAAATTATTATTTTTAATACTTAATAGCGTCCCATTGTCTCCTTGCCAATCTGGATTCCCTAAGTAAGACGGCCCTTTGTCGATTTCTTTCAATTTTTGCTCTCTGAAAGTCCGTTAGGGTAATCGATCTAGATTCCACATTTTCCGAAGTTTCTATAAAAACATTAATATAATACCATCTTAGAGCATATTATTTTCAATTAAGAGTCTTTATATTTAATGTTAGATGATAATTGGTCATACCGCTCATTTTAACAGCAATTAACAGTTATTTCAGCGTGAAAAAAGGACACTTTAGCCTTTACTCAATGTTTTCACATTGTGATGAAACAATCCAGATGGCGTTGGTTTTCTTGTGGTTCTTTTCGTACATCTGGTCTCCAAACGATAAACAATAATGGCGAATTGTAATGCTGTTCAGAAAGAAATTGATAAAGTGTTATCAAAATTTGCAGTTATGAAAGAAGAATCTGCAAAAGAAATAGATGATGTTATTAATTCTTTTGCAGAACTCAAAAAAAAAATTGAAAATGGTTAGTAAATTTAAAGCTTTATACGGTTTTTTGTGGTTGTTTTTAGCTTTGCTAATAAGGTGGTGGTATGTGTTTTTCTTTTAGGGGGAGATCTTCAAGAGGGAGAGAAGCTCTTTTTAGCATGTAATTCTATTACGAGAAACGTCTTATCAAGAATAAGTAACAATCATAAAGATCTTCATAATCAAGTCTCAAAAGTTGGCAAAGCAATCGATAGGGTACGCTTACACTTAAAAATAATATATAATGAATAAGACGAACTTAGCTGTTATTTATCGTTAACGATATTATATATAAAATATTTAAATACTGAACTATAATATCAAAAATCTTTATAATAATCATTTTACAGAATTTTACATCTGATTTTGAAGCTATAATTACCGATCCGTCTTTTGAATGTCGCAATGACTTATTAAATAAATCAATTGCTGAGCATTTGATAAGAGAAGGACGTATTGATATTACCGATATACTAGCAAGAGAATCTGGAATGCTCTTTACTGACGAAAACCATGAATTGTTCTTAAAGTTGCATTGTATATTAGAAGAGTTAAAAAACCATCATCTAGAATTGGCTATTGAGTGAGTATAATTTTGTTTAATTTTTCAATTATCCTTTAGTATCTTATTATAAAAAACTAGTAATAAAATATCCTTATATCAGATGGGCCGAGAGTTGTAAAAATAGCTTTCAAAATACAAATAGTCATTTAGAATTTACGCTACACAAACTCCAATTTATTAAGTTAGTAAAGAAGAAGCAATTGACTGAATGTTTGTCCTACGCAACAAAGCACTTGTCTAAATTCGCCGTTGAACATACTTCTGGTTTGTATGATATTATTGAGGCTATTATCCTAATCTACTAATTGATTTTTCTTTGTTTTCTTGTTGAATAGAATTTCAGACCCTGATAGGATGTTTAATGTATGTAAATAAGGGATTGGAGAATTCTCCTTACAGCCATCTCCTAGACGCTCAACTCTGGAGAGACGCTGAAATTTTATTATTAAAAGAGGCTTGCTACTTGAACGGTCTAAGCGTTGAGAGTCCTTTATCAGTAGTGTAAGTGAAAAGCTGAAGAATGTACTTGAATTTTTCATAATCTGTTTTTTTCTATAGAATAAACGCGGGCTGTAGAGCCCTACCGCCTCTATTGGATATTAAAAACATCATGCACCAAAGAAAATGTAACGACGTCTGGAGTAATAAGGATGAATTGCCAGTTGAAATAGAATTACCAAATGAAAATCGCTATCATTCGATTTTTGCCTGCCCTATTTTAAAACAACAGACAAGCGAAGCAAATCCTCCACTTAGATTGATTTGTGGTCACGTTATTTCTCGCGACGCTCTGCTTAAATTAGCTACAGTCAATAAGTAATAAATTTATATTTTTATTGTTAATAATATGTTGATTAATGATTATTAATAACAATATTTTTATTATTTTCAAGGGTGAAATGTCCATATTGTCCAGTTGAGCAGCAAACTTCCGAAGCTCGAGAGATATGTTTTTAATACCAAATATGACTGTTTTTCTCTTTCACTCTTAACCATTTTTTGCCTGAAATTATTTAACCATAAAAGATAATTTGTTTTTTTTAAGAAAATATGAAAATAGTCATGTAAAAGTTACTCTAAGTGTGAGCTTTCGTATTTGTTTTACATTAATTTATCTAAATGTATTTATACGTTTTCGAATTCTTTTTATTTTAATAATCATGACGAAATATTTCTAAATATGACTAATCACAACTTGAATGTATTCTTATTACAGTATCTGCTCGCATTTCTTTTGTCTTTTATAGTTTATTGCTTCATCAGATCATAAGACATAAGTTTATTTTTTTTTCGAGACATCACAACGAGAGTTCCATTGTTAGAATTATTATCGATAAAATTGTTCGGAAAGAAATTATTGAATTCTTTATTATTGAGCCCTTATTTATGAAAAATTACTAAATATTAAGTGGAGGGATGTTTTCTATTGCAATTGAGATAATTTTCTTATGATTTTTTTGTGCGGTTTACATAAATTTTTAACATTAATTGAGCGATAAATGGGTATTTTAAATTCAACGCCAAAACATGATACTAGTGGCTTGGAATGGTTTGATGAGAGTGCTCTCTTGAATCAAGAGAATTCTAAAGGATGCTGTCGAGGGTTCTTCGATAAGGTGAACAAACAAAAGATTAATCTTTGAGTTGAGAATATAGCTAATAATCTTTCTCTCGTTTGTCTCTTAAACAGGGAAGAGAGATCGAGAGTGTTAATACAAGTCATTCGTACACCCCTCAAGAGAAGCAGAAATTAGCTTCCTTCGACAGTTTTGATTATTTACCTCCAGACAACTCAGTTTATCGGTCCTGGGCCCAATCTTATTTCAAGTATTTATTCTGAATTAAAAGTTCTCTGCCATTTATCAATAATTATTTTACTATTTCCAGGAAATATGAAATAGACAGATGGTTGATTTCAGCTTTAATTGGAATTTGTGTTGGTATATGCGGGTTCTTTCTTCATCAATTGATTGATGTATTGTCTTACATCAAGTGGCACACCGCTGGAAAATACATTCAAGTAAATGTTTATTATTGCTTTTAAATTTCTCCTATTTATTCTTTTTTAACTTCGTTATTAGGAAGGAAACTTCGGATTAGCCTATCTAACATTATTTGGTATTGGAGCACTGTTAGTATTATTATCTTCGTCTTTAATTTTAGTAAGTGTAATATATATTAACTTAATATCAAGAAAAAGTTCAGCGTTATATCTTTTAGTGGCGACCAAGTGCTGCCGGTTCTGGTATGCCAGAATTAATAGGCTTCTTAAATGGAACCCAATTGCGTCACATTTTCAATCTGAGAACAGGAATTGTTAAATTTCTTTCATGTTGCTTTGCTGTTGCAAGCGGCTTACCAGTTGGACCTGAAGGACCTATGATTCATCTTGGGTAGCTTCTAATAATAGAACTACAACTGGGAACTAATTACTATACCATTATATCTTTTCCAGAGCACTAATCGGAGCAGGTATCAGTCAAATGAAAACAAGAACTTTGCGATTAAATTTGCCGTTTTTCAAAAGATTCCGAAATTCTGAAGATAAGTTAGTTAATGAGAATTGTTTGTTAACATAAATAGCTTGTTTTGTACAATAGGCGGAATTTTATAAGTGCAGGGGCAGCTGCCGGTGTTGCAACAGCATTTAGAGCCCCTATTGGAGGACTACTCTTTTCGTTAGAAGAAGTTTCGTCATTTTGGTCAATGTCTTTAATGTGGCAGATATTCTTTTGCTCTATGTTAGCAACTTTTACAACTGATCTTCTTGACTCCGCTTTTAAAAGGTTTAATTATGTAGGCAGTTTTGGACAATTTAAATCGCGTGATGATATTCTATTTGAAGTAACACTTGCTTAAAACATCATCATGTTTACTATTAACTAAATTAAAATTAATTCAATAGGTCTCCACCAAAGTATCAATGAACGTGATAGCTTTTTTACCAGCAATACTTTTAGGGTGCATTTGCGGTATACTTGGAGCATTTTTTACTTTTGTTAATTTAAAAATACGTAGATTGAGAATTTGTATACGTAATAATCTGAAACCTCGGCTTATTCAAATTCTATTTGATGTAGTGGAACCATTATTTATATTGGTAATGAAAAGGGATTACTATATTTGTACTATTTCAATTACATAAAAGTTTTATATCAATTCAGCTTATTATTACAACGGCAAGTACTTTTATACCATTAAGGATACCTTGCACGAAAATAGACTGCAAAGAAGGTTACGCATCTTTTTGCGGCAACGAAAGTACTCGTGATGAATCTGCTAAGAATGCCATGTCCGTGTGTCACAATCAGACAAATAGCTACAGTGATAGTAAGAATTTCCTTTAATTTATTTATTTATGTTTTTTTTTGTTACGGCCATTTCACCATCCATTTGTTTACAGTTAGTACTATCTTATGGGGTCCTGGTGAAGATAATATAAAACGTCTCTTTACTAGAAGATCTGCTGAAGAGATTTCTGGCACTTCTCTTCTTTTATGGCTACCTTTATATTTCTTTTTTGCAACTTGGACAGCTGGAAGCTCTGTATCTAGCGGTCTCGTTGTTCCAATGCTATTTATTGGAGGACTATTAGGACGTTTAACAGGAATCGTCTTGGGTTTAATTGTAGGAAACAGTCATACAGATTGGGTTGATGCAGGTGCATGGAGTTTGATTGGAGCGGCAGCATTTTTTGCTGGAGTATCTAGATTGACTGTCTCTCTTACTGTTATCATGCTTGAAATAACTAATGATGTCACAATGTTATTACCAATTATGTTCGCTGTAATAACGGCGAGAAGCACTGGAAATTTATTAACTCACTCTCTATATCACGCAATTTTGGAGCTAAAATGTATACCATTTTTGGACGAAGATCCGCCGTCTAGTAGATTAGTTGAGCCACGAATTGAAGAAATTATGTCCAAACCAGCCATTTGTATTTGTAAGGGAGATAATGTTTTATCTTGGATGAAAATATTACGTGAGACAAATCACGGAGTATTTCCAGTTATTGAAACTAGCAATAATGGTAATAACAACTGTTTTATTCTCGCTGGTTCAATTACAAGACATGAATTATGCGTCTTGTTAATTAAACATTCATCTTATTTAGATGATGTTGCTTTGCTAGATGACGACTCCAACATTTCTTACGAAGAGGTCAGATGATCAATTTTTCACTTCATTCATTATTTAATATATAAATATACATGTATATATAAATATATATATATATATATATATATATATGTACATATATTTCAGTTATCTAAAACGATTATTAATCACAAAAATTTGCAAGATGCGTATGACGCCTATGACAGAGATGAAGCGAATAACTACGTCATTGATTTAGTAAGGGATATATGATTTATATCTATTTTATATTTATATACACTTATATATTATAAGATGATTATTATAACGCCTTACAGACTCGTTACGTTAATTTGTCAGCGATGTCGATTCCCAGTACATTTTCGCTCCACAGAGCTTATATCTTATTAAGAACGTTAGGCCTACGACAGTTGGTTGTTACGAACAAACATAATGAAGTGCTCGGTGTTGTTAGTCGTAAGGATCTGATGCCATTCGCCCTGGACGAAAAGATTAGTACCGGAGGCAGGCCAATTTTGGAATTAAATGACTCAATAATATCTTAGATAATTAATTATGCTTTAAATACATTTTTGTATGTAAAATATTAATGTCTTAACAAGCAATTAGCCTGAATATCAAACAGATATTCCGTTTGGGCTAACGCTAGCTGCCAAATCGTATAATCGAGGGTCGGCGTTAACAAGTGCCATTGCCAAAGCCTTATAAGAAGCTTCTCTGCCCCGAGATTGACGCCACTTTCGTATCATGTCATAAGCTTTTTCGGAGGCTATTAGGTTATCTAAGTCAATATAATCCAAATCTGCATCTGTCAGACCTAAAATTCTCCCCACTCTCTTCCATAAAGAACCTAAATTAGAAGATACATATTGTCCCATTCCTACAGAAACCATCTCTTCACTGTCTGCCAATAAATAAGTAATTAATAAGAATTACTACTCTGCAGTGTATACTTATAATATTACCAGTTATTTCTGGAGGTGATAATGATTGCTTTGAAGGAGGTGACTGGGAAACACTGCTGCTGCCACTGCTGCCAATATTCACTGCATTATGGTTTCCAACAATAAGGTTTATACCTCCACCACCGTTATTGATGGATAATTCAGTAACTTTTCCAGCTCCATGCCTATGCGTAAGTTCAATGTTGGCTGGTTCAGTGTTGTTAGCTGGTTCATTCGTTCTTGTTGAAAGCGTTCTTTCTCGGTTTGAAGCGGCTAATTGAGCTAGATTCCTTTCTTGTTCTTGCCTTTGCGTTGTCCCATAGGACGGTGGACCTTCATCTTCATAACCTTGAGGTTCTATTTATTTTATTTAGTGAATGATATAAATAAGACTTAATGACTCATTCATTTATTTGAGATATCAAAGGCTTACCTATGTTAGAATTATAGCTATCCATACCATCTGCCTCTATGCTATTATCTTCATTAATTATCTTTAAAAATCTTTCAGGTTTTGTTATTGTTGTTGTCATATCTTGTATTAAAACTTCATCTCTTTGATATGTTTTTTTGATTAAACACAGGTATTGTGTTCAAGATAGTAATCGTATTGAATATTAATGCCATCTATCGAAAGTTTTAAAATTTCCGTCGATCACATGATACGTATCTCGTCATGTGACATCATGGCGTCTGGTTGTATTATGAAATCAGGGAATCTTGAGATTTTTCTGAGGCAAAGATGGTACAAAGTGCAAGCAGACTTATCAGAGGATACATTAACTTTACCGTTAGAAGATGACGAGAATAGCAAGAATAGCGGCTTTGTTAATGGTCGAACGACAATTGAAAATTCACATGAAAACTCTGACTGACCGGATAATATTACTTGTAAGAGAATAAATGAAACAGAGTCAGTTTAGTCTTACATTGTTAATTTGTTCATAAACGTCAGCAGTGTTCGGTTGACAGTGTTCCGCGTCGACAATCAGAGACAGTTGGCGTCTTGGGCAGCCGCTAAAGAGGTGTCTTGCTCCGTTAATTGGAACGGTAGCGACGCCCGACTAACGGTTCATTACGAAAATGGATTTAATCTCTGCAAAGGCGATAATGTTCTATGGCAATATCAATTCGAATGTCTGCGTTCATCAAAAGGTGATTCGATACGGACTGTAACTTCAAACTTTGATTCAGCACAATAAGAACTCGATCTGCAATCAAACCTGAGAAGATCTGCTGAAGAGAATTCTGGCACTTCTCTTCATTTATAGCTACCTATATATTTCTTTTTTGCAACTTAGACAGCAGGATGCTCTGTATCTAGCGGTCTCGATGTTCCTATGTTTTTTATTGGAGGACTATTAGGACGTTTAACAGGAATCGTCTTGGGTTTAATTGTAGGAAACAGTCATACAGATTGGGTTGATGCAGGTGCATGGAGTTTGATTGGAGCGGCAGCATTTTTTGCTGGAGTATCTAGATTGACTGTCTCTCTTACTGTTATCATGCTTGAAATAACTAATGATGTCACAATGTTATTACCTATTATGTTCGCTGTAATAATGGCGAGAAGCACTGGAAATTTATTAACTCACTCTCTATATCACGCAATTTTGGAGCTAAAATGTATATCATTTTTGGACGAAGATCCGCCGTCTAGTCGATTAGTTGAGCCACGAATTGAAGAAATTATGTCCAAACCAGCCATTTGTATTTGTAAGGGAGATAATGTTTTATCTTGGATGAAAATATTACGTGAGACAAATCACGGAGTATTTCCAGTTATTGAAACTAGCAATAATGGTAATAACAACTGTTTTATTCTCGCTGGTTCAATTACAAGACATGAATTATGCGTCTTGTTAATTAAACATTCATCTTATTTAGATGATGTTGCTTTGCTAGATGACGACTCCAACATTTCTTACGAAGAGGTCAGATGATCAATTTTTCACTTCATTCATTATTTAATATATAAATATACATGTATATATAAATATATATATATATATATATATATATATGTACATATATTTCAGTTATCTAAAACGATTATTAATCACAAAAATTTGCAAGATGCGTATGACGCCTATGACAGAGATGAAGCGAATAACTACGTCATTGATTTAGTAAGGGATATATGATTTATATCTATTTTATATTTATATACACTTATATATTATACGATGACTATTATAACGCCTTACAGACTCGTTACGTTAATTTGTCAGCGATGTCGATTCCCAGTACATTTTCGCTCCACAGAGCTCATATCTTATTAAGAACGTTAGGCCTACGACAGTTGGTTGTTACGAACAAACATAATGAAGTGCTCGGTGTTGTTGGTCGCAAGGTCTGATGCTATTCGCCCTGGACAAAAAGCTAAGTACTGGAGGCAGGCCAATTTTGAAATTAAATGACTCAATAATATCTTAGATAATTAATTATGCTTTAAATACATTTTTGTATGTAAAATATTAATGTCTTAACAAGCAATTAGCCTGAATATCAAACAGATATTCCGTTTGGGCTAACGCTAGCTGCCAAATCGTATAATCGAGGGTCGGCGTTAACAAGTGCCATTGCCAATGGCCTATATGAAGCTTTTCTGACCCGAGATTCACGGAACTTTTTATCGTGTCATAATATTTTCTGAAGTCTGATTCGTTATGTAAGTCAATATAATCCAAATCTGCATCTGTCAGACCTAAAATTCTCCCCACTCTCTTCCATAGAGATCTTAAATTAGAGGATACATATTGTCCCATTCCTGTAGAAACCATCTCTTCACTGTCTGCCAATAAATAAGTAATTAATAAGAATTACTACTCTGCAGTGTATACTTATAGTATTACCAGTTATTTCTAACTGATAATGATTACTTCGTAGAGGGTGACTGGGAAACACTGCTGCTGCCACTGCTGCCAATATTCACTGCATTATGGTCTCCAACAACAACGTTTACATTTCCACCACCGTTATTGATGGTTAAATCAGTAACTTTTCGAGCTCCATGCCTATGCGTAAGTTCAATGTTGGCTGGTTCAGTGTTGTTAGCTGGTTCATTCGTTCTTGTTGAAATCCTGCTTTCTCGGTCTTTAAGCGGCTAATTGAGCTAGATTCCTTTCTTGTTCTTGCCTTTGCGTTGTCCCAGAGGACGGTGGACCTTCATCTTCATAACCTTGAGGTTCTATTTATTTTATTTAGTGAATGATATAAGTAAGACTTATTAAGTCATTCATTTATTTGGGATATCAGGAGGCTTACCTATGTTAGAATTATAGCAACACATAGCATCTGCCTCGATGCTATTATATTCATTACTATTTAATGAATAATAATTTGAAAATCCTTTAGGTTTTGTTGTTGTTGTTGTCATACCTTGTATTAAAACTTCATCTCTTTGATATGTTTTTTTGATTAAACACAGGTATTGTGTTCAAGATAGTAATCGTATTGAATATTAATGCCATCTATCGAAAGTTTTAAAATTTCCGTCGATCACATGATACGTATCTCGTCACGTGACATCATGGCGTCTGGTTGTATCATGAAATCAGGGAATCTTGAGATTTTTCTGAGGCAAAGATGGTACAAAGTGCAAGCAGACTTATCAGAGGATACATTAACTTTATTATTAGAAGATGACGAGAATAGCAAGGATAGCGGCTTTGTTAATGGTCGAACGACATTTGAAAATTCACATGAAAACTCTGGCTTACCGGATAATATTGCTGGTAAGAGAATAAATAAAACAGAGCCTGTTTAGTCTTACATTGTTTATTTGTTCGTAAACGTCAGCAGTGTTCGGTTGATAAACAATAATTAACTTGTTTTGATAATACAGGTCAGAAACGGATCGTCAGAGTTGTTAAAGAGGGAACGAATGGTTTGGGTATAAGTATTAAGGGGGGTAAAGAAAATAAAATGCCGATTTTGATCAGTAAAATCTTTAAAGGAATGGCTGCAGATAAGACGGAGCAGTTATTTGTCGGAGATGCTATTTTGTCTGTGAATAGCGAAGACCTAAGGGAAGCTTCGCATGATGAAGCCGTTAAAGCGTTGAAACGAGCGGGAAAAGTGGTTGAGTTGGAAGGTTTGTAGGCTATTTTTTTCGTAACCTTTATATTAAAAGTTGGCTCTTTGCAGTGAAATACTTACGAGAAGTAACGCCCTACTTTCGCAAAACGAGCGCCTTAAGCGATATGGGTTGGGGCATTAGGGACGAGTCGTACGCGTCGGTTGATAAACGTTATTTACCATTGAAGCTTGTCTACGTGACTCGAAATCTTTCATGGCCTGAGCCGGCCGATAACATGTTCGAAGTACACGCTCCAGACGGACTAAATTGGTGCGCATTTCGTTGTGCAGATTCCGATTCGGCATTCTCATGGTTCACCGCAATTCATAGTGCAGTGTCAGAACTTAATCATGTAGCTTTATTAGAATTGAACGAGACCAAGGAAGGTGCTGTAGCTGATATTAAGCACGTTGGTTGGTTAGCTAAAATGTCGCACGTTGAATGTTGGAAAGCGATGTTTGCCGTTGTAACTGAAAGGGATTTTATAGTATTTGACAAACCACCATTAGATGCAGATTCGTGGTCTTCACCAATATTTACCCATCCTCTCCTCGCAACTAGAATAGTTCATACCGGCTCTAATGACTCTCTCCAGTTTGGAACTAGGACGGGTTGTCGTCACGGCGTCGAGTCGCACATCTTCCGCGTCGACAACCAGAGACATTTGTCGTCTTGGATACGAGCCCTAGTAAATGGCGCCCATGGAGCAGCGGCAGCCGCTAAAGAGGTGTCTTGCTCCGTTAATTGGAACGGCAGCGACGCCCGACTAACGGTTCATTACGAAAATGGATTTAATCTCTGCAAAGGCGATAATGTTCTGTGGCAATATCAATTCGAAAGTCTGCGTTCATCAAAAGATGATTCGATACGGACTGTTACTTTAAACTTTGACTCAGCACAATATGAACTCGATCTACAATCAAACCCGAAACCATTTGTTTTTATTTTACATACGTTCCTGTCAGCAAAGATACACCGATTAGGTTTGCTAGCCTGATTTCTGTAAAAGACTTAGGAATAGGATTATACCATTTATAAAATCAAAACAGTTAAAAAAAGATGTCTTAATCAAAAAATACATTTAATTTAATTAAATTGAAGAAGAGGAATAATTGAAAAGAAGACAAAGAGGATGATGCTTATGCTAGGATGATGATTATACGATGGAAAAGTAATGATAGTGGCTCAACTTTGAAATACGAATTGAAGGTCACTTATAATACGATTTACGAGGAAAAGGATGAAGATGATCTAGTCTGATTTGTTATAGTTTATAATTGTTTGAACAAAGTTAGTATTTCTACGAAAAAAACAAAAAAATAAGAGTTTTGTGTCTTGCCCGATGAGTTGAGCGTAGAGTGCTTTTAACCCGGGGGAAATGTTTATCCTACTGCTGGAAATTAGACCGACTTGCGCGAATGGGAAAGTGAGAACATATGAAGTGTAGGGCCGTTTTTCGAACACAGCTGCTTTAATATGCATTCGATGGTTAGATAGCGAGAGCAATCTGTTTTTTTTACGCATTATCTGATTAGTGCCTCGAAAATTGCTCTCTCTCTCTCTCTCTCTCTCTCTCTCCCTCCCTCTCTCTCTTACTCGCTCTATCACTCACTCACTCACTCACTTATTCCATCTCTCTATCTTTTTCTATTGCCGTAATCTTTTCAACTCTGTTCAGTTTCAGGCCTTTGGCACCTGCCAAAATATTTAGACAAAATGAAAAAGAATTTTTCGCCCCGTCTCTTGTTTTTTTTCATGACACACCTTTCCTCCGGGGAATTTGAAAAAATTCTGGCATTCTTTCAATAATGAATAGACTGAGCCAGATTGTTCCATCAATATCAATCGCATGTGCTAATGTTTATAATCTCTAGTCGACCTTTTACTTTTAAATATCAACGAATCGTTAAGAAGAATCTCCTTAATAGGCCTAGATCTCTGAGGGTTGTAGATGGCGCTACATGCTTACTACATTAAATAGGCAATGAAACGACGCCGAATCCAATAATCTCGTAGAAAGTCTAGTCTCGTTCATCATTTTTATGCCCTTAATATAAAGTATATATTTATAAATACGTGTCTATAGATATCTATATCCGTGAAAAGGGAACAAGAAAATTTCCGCATTACCATAGGTCTATAAGAAGTGCGAAATCAAAGCGCTAGGCTAATCACTTGGTATTTGAAAGTAATTAAGCCTATTAAGTCGATTTCCCGTTGTCAAGGGCAGAGTTGTCTATAAGTATGGGGGAGACGACGTTATTCTACAATCGAACTGGAAGAATTCCGGTATCCTTTTTCTTTATTTATATCTTTTTTTCGCCCAACCCTATACCCCCCATTCCCTCAATAAAAAAAACTTTTTAGGCCTATTTGAAGTTATTTTTTTTTTGATGTTTAATTAGACAAGGATATATGTATTATGCATTTACGCGTGTATGTGATTAGAAAGTTTAGAATTGAAAGAATGAAAGAAAAGCGTCACTTGAAGCGTCGGAAATTGATAAAAAGAAAAAAAGTAACAATAATACGTTTGTTACTTAAGCTAATAGAACTTGCTTTTGTAAAACGCTTTTGAAAGAGCATACCGCCCTTAAATAAACGCTTCACTATGTTAGATTAGGGTATTTTATTTACCTATCTAAAATATTTGAAAAATTCTTTCCATTCTTTTATAACAAACTATTAGATAATAGTTTATTAATAGAGTATATATGATACATAGATAGATAGAGCAAGAGAGAGAGAAAGAGAGAGAGAGAGAGAGAGAGAGAGAGAACAACATCCATCAATTACGAATAGGTAATAGAGTTATAAAAAACAAACACAAAAAGTTGAAAAAAACAGTTTATTTAAATGCTTTATGATCTTTATTCATAAATTATTCGTTTGAATCGTTTGTAGTTAGTAGGATTAATTAGCTTAAAGATTATTGATTAATGGATAATTCAATTTTTTTTAGAATATAATATAAAAGAGCATGTATAATTCGCTCATTTTTAAACAATACTTCGACCAGTATAGAGTCCTCTTTTCAACGTTAGTTTAACGGATTAAATAATAGGCTGTTGTATAGATAGAGATAAGATAAGCTAGAATTGGACAAGTTTATTAATCAAATCACGTTCTGTCGGTTGCGGATTATAACAATAAAAAAAAATACACAAAACCGATGGAGAACATGAAGGCTATCAGTTTAGAATAATGACTACTGAGGCTATCAGACTATACAGGTTGACTACTAGTCGAAAGAAACGTCAATTGGGCTACGAGGTGTGTCCAATTTATAGATCGAATTCTGATCGATTTTCATTTTTTTTCTTTTTATTTTCAATTCGAACTCTCTACATTTATCTCGAATGTTGCAGGTCAACGACGTCAGTTCGATGTTGCCGCCATCGACTATGGACTTTTACGAGAATATTGAAGAAGGTTTGTAAACAATATACCCTCTATACACATCTTATTATCAATGTACCTCAGGTATGCAAAAGTTCTATAAGCATCATCCTATATAATACTTATTGATTAGTAAATTAACATCCTCTTTCATAGATCTTTAATGTTGTTTTCATACTATATAGAGTATTTTTTTCTATATCGCTCTATTTGTATATGTTATTTTCTAAGATTTGAACAAATGGCCACGTTGACATTTCTTTCTTCTTCTTCAAGTTTCTCACCGGCGACGTTAAAAGCCGATTGAAAAGCCGTAAAAAAAGTTCTATTCGGTCGCACATTGACCGTTCTGTAAATATATGCTCAACTAATATTGGCCATAGACACAGTTTGCCAGTTCCTCTTCAGACACAATGCAGTTCTTTTCCACAGGTGAAAAATTTCCAGTTTTTTTTTTAAATAAAAAAGATAAAGTTTGTGAAAAGTCGTTCTAAAAGAAAGAAAGAAAGAAAAGAAAGGTAGAAAGAATATAGAAGAAACGCCTTAATCATTTCCGTTTTTCTTGGATAGAACTATATATATATATATAATATATATATATATATAAGAGCAATCATATACCTGTATAGTTGCCACACTATACCAAATAGGCCTTCTGAAAGCGATCAGTATAGTTATGTTTATAGTTAATAAATATATTTATATCAATCCTCTATCGTTTTCTCTAACTCCGGTATTCTTTTCACCCACATTGTTATTATATCTTTAATATATGATTATCTTTTACATTTTTTCTTTTAGTTTGTTATGTTTTGTTTGTTTTTTTTTTTACAGAGCCAGCAACTTATAGAATGACAAGAGTGAGTATAGGATTGTGGAAAATTTATCGAGCGACGCCGCTTTTTCAATAATACATTCGCACGCCGCATTCGTTGCATGAGTGCTTAAGAGAACAAAATATATTGTATATTTATATATTTATCTAGACATAAATCTAGATATATATATATATGTATCTATATATTAATATATATTACATATCTTTATATCTATATATATGTAAAGAAAGAAAGAAAAGAGAGAGAGAGAGAGAGACAGAGAGAGTAGACAATGGCCAAAGGAAAAAATGAATGGCCTGTTATTGTACCAACAGTAAGAACTCAATTTAAACCTTTTTTCATTGATCTTTCTTTGATAAAAACCGAACGATATAAGATAATAAAGTATAATGAAAAAGAAGGGATAGAAAGAACAGAAGAGACGGTAAAGAAATAGAAAAAACACTATGTTTTTTGAAATAATGCCTAAAGCAAGGGTTGCGGTAGTCAATAAATGAAACGTAAAACGATCTTTTTAAGATTTTTTTTTATTATTCTTCTCTTATTCTTTCGATTTAGGCTGAATTTAAGAAACTGGCCGATCAAGTTCGAAGCGTCCATAACGACTTGAATGTAAACAACGCAAAGTATCGGGGTTCCGGATTCAAGGTAAATATATCAACTTTTATAAGAGTAACACCCGTGTATCATACAATTAGTGTCCGCAAATATTCGAATGGGCACGATTGAGCTCGATTGATTATCGTTACCAGGCGATCGAGTGTTTAATTTACTACAAATTGGCACAGAAATTCTATCAGAATGACGACGGGCAGGACGTACCAGTCATCTATCGTACTCAATTAGCGTCTAGTCTAAAAGCGTTTCAATCAAAAGTTTGGCTCCCGTATGACTCTGATACTACAAGTATGACACCGTCTTCCTGCAAACGGGACCCAGATGCTATTTGCTCCCGGTCAAGAAACTCTTTTAGACCATCTACAAAACCCCGTTTTAGTTATAGACCTTCAACTACTTCAGCGACATCAAGACCCTTGAGGGAAAGATCGACCGCCTTGCCTTCTCCGCTGACGACATCTGGGGCGGTCGATGCCGATGATAGCCTGAGTAGCTGTTCTGAAGAGGATATTGTTGGTGAATTCGATAAATTGACGCCAGAGGCCATGTTCGAATTGGTGGACTGTATTCAACCCCAATCCTACTACAGTCAACGGGCTCAATCCTCTTGTAAACGCTTCACTGATAATCGAGCGGAACAAGACGAAAGTCATTCAGAAGTAGATGTCAAACCTACAGCAATGGAAAAAGTCGTCCGGGTAAAGAGACGAGATTTCTCAAAATACTCTCTTGATAGTCATGCAACTAGGGCGGAAAAAAAGAAAGAATTGTACAAGTTTCCAGATCCTCTAAGTGAAGGGGCTTGCTCTATCGATTTAAGTCGTTTAGCGTCACTTCCGGTGAACGAAATACCATGGTCAAAGTTGAATATTCGCCCGGTGGATGAAGTTGAAGAAAAGTTGATGAATAGGTTATTAGCACTACAGAAACTAACTATAAAAACAACACAAATTGAGAATGCCCGGAGGGAAAGAGCGCGTGCATCTCGTCAAAGAGCCGTCACTTCTCAATTAACCAAACTCAGATTAGGCATTTCCCCCGCTGTTAGGCCTACTTCAAGCGGTAAGAAGTGCTGCGATCAATGTTTGCAGCCTGCTTGCGTCGGCGATTGCAGAACGTGCGCAACGCCGTCTCCCATAGAACAAACAAATAACACGTACAAATCTCGACCGAAATCTTGCACATCGCTAAGAAGTGAAAACTCAGCAAAAAGCTGGAATCAAAGACCTAAGTCATCATTAGGCAGAGTTCAATCTAAACAGACACCAGTTATATCACTATCCATAGACGTTCGTGCGGATAAACGACCCATATCAGCTGCTATGCCTAAACGGAAGCGTGCCAGAGGAAGAGCCGCTTTCGTTGTTGGTGGTCGGCATTTTCATTCTCAGAGACATCATTCCATATCCGATTCAGGTTCGAAGGTTTTGAATAGACCGGCTACTGCCACTTTATGAAAATATAATTGAAAGCTTTAAAAAAGAGACATTTCTCACCAATTGACAATATTGATCTCATTAGAAATATGAAAAATACATAAATTTATTTATATTATACTGTATATATGTATGTTTGTATCTATATATCTGTATATTAAGTTTCCTTTAAATCATCGAAATAACAATTTTGTGGCAGCGTCTTCCATTCGATCGTAATTTTCTTCACTTTCACCGATATTAAAAATGTCACTAACAGCGTCGGCATAATTTTTTACGATATTTTCTTGATTGTCAGAGTTTTTCATTCCCGACAATGCTTTATCAACCGCTAACTTAGATTCAGAAGAGCTCCACCGGAACCCGGCTTGGTCCTCTTCAGTAATATCGCTTTCCCATTGCTCAGTCTTCCATGCTTCACTATAGCAAGCGCTTAACAAGTAAAAAGCATAATCAAAATTTTGCTTCTTTGTAGGGCACTGATCAGTTTCTATCGTAATTACATCTGTTACTTCATTGTATCTGTTTCCAACCAAACGTTTTATCTTATCTTTGGCATGCTCATCTAAATCCAAATCGCTAAGAGCAACTGTCATCGTTACCAGACGGGATCGTTCATCGCGAATGGAATGTCCATCTTTACAGTAATCTCGAGTTGTTATTTTAATAGGAAAATTTACTTGACACTTCTCATCAGTATCCAATTCATTAGGCCAAGGTGTACAAAAGGCTTTCAATGCAGCGCAATGTTTTCGAATATGAGCAGGTGTTAAGTGAAGAAAATTAGGAATCTTCATCAATTCGGCATTACCGTACTTTCCTGGGACTATACCTTCGTTTTCGCACATTTTCCTAATATACCCTTGCCTAATGGGGAAGGGTACAACAGACCATTTAAAAGAGCTTGCAGTAGGCCAGACATCTGTCCAATCCGAGTCCATTGGCAAGCTGTCAGCTCTCGGTGGTGGAGCTATCCTCTTCCTTCTAACATACCTTTTAGTCGATTCTTCAACTTTTGTCCAGCCAGGAATTTCTAATACGCGAAATTCTTCTTCGGCATTCAATGATTTCTGGTGACTTAAATTTGTACTGCATGTACGAATGGACTTTGTAGGAGTTACATTTGTAACTTTTATGATTTTTTGTAATAATCTTGACATGGTTCGATTCGACTTAAAAGAACCTAGCGAACGTGAGCAACGATCACGCTTGTGTACTCTAAACGAAAATGTTTCTAATTAAGGTCGAATATCTTTTTTACAGTGTCCATCATTTGACTTTTATCAATACTTCAACAAGCAATAAATACATGTATAGTTTATATAAGGGTTGTCCGAACAGGCTTGCTAACTCTTAAAATAGATGCTTTTATAGCTAAAAGGTCTTATCTAATGCACTCGACTAACATAGTTTATGTGCACCAAAGTTTGATTGCAATTTGATATTACTATTTGTTATTTTAAGTGTTGAAAGTTTGGAAAAGAATTTTACTTTTCCTGTATTTCCACTAATATAAACAAAAAAAAAAATAGCAGAAAAAAAAAGTTAACAAACTAGTTAGTTTTATAATTTTTTGTTACCGTCAAGCTTAAAAATTAACAAACAGCTGGCGTGTTTGAAGTACAAGAACTCTTTTATTAATTAATAGGATTATTTCCTGCATGCCTACAGCACACATATCGATAGCAAATATTTATATTATTATTATAAATAACTGAGTCTTTGATTGAACGTTCGATGAAGTATGTAACAAAAAAGTCCCATAGAAACGGTTGAAACTAAAAGGTTCGATTTGTAAATATAGATACTCCTTGCTAGTGTTTCCTTTGCTATATTTATAATTCTATTCTGGTGCGCTGTAGAGAGAGAGAAAAAAAAGGATTTTCTTTTTATAAGTAATAAAACCAAAGAATAAATATCCATTACGATAGGCTAATGAATATTTTATTACTTCTCTTTTATGTCTTTCTTTTATTTACCTTTTCATTATCATTTTCATCCTCTATGGTTTCCTTATCTTCGCTTTCTACTTCCTCTCCTTCTTCTTCTTCTTCTTCTTCTTCCTTCATATTCCCTTCCGGGTAATACTCCGCTTTCCCATCTATTGGCAGGTCCATGGATAGTTTGAGTACATTTTCAATTCTTTGAGCAAAGTCAAAAGTGTCACTAAGGGAGAAGCCAGATCTCAGTATAGCCGTTTCGTATAATACTATTGCAAGTTCCTTTGTTGTTTGATCCTCTTTATCTTCTTCGACTCTTCTTTTCAATTCTTTAATTATGGGGTGATGAGGGTTAATTTCAAAGGTTTTTCGTTGATTGCCATAGATTTGCGTGGAAGGATCATTTGATTTCTGATAAGTTTGAGCTTTCATCAATCTCTCCATATTGCCAGACCAACCGTAAGACGAAGCGACTAAAGCGCAAGGTGAACTAGAAAGCCTCTCAGAAACGGTCGCCTTTTCGATTTTGTCCTTAAGAGCATCCTCCTTTAGCCAGTCAGTTAACGACTGGTATTCTTTTGCTGTAGCAGCCAGCATTTCCTTAGATTTGTCGGATTCGTCAAATTTCAAGCCTTCTTTGGCAACGTTTTGAAATTTTTTACCTTCATATTCTGGTAAATTTTGAATACAATATTCATCAACTGGTTCAGTAAGAAACAGGACTTCGTAACCCTTCTTTAATAATCTCTCTACAAACGGAGATTTTTCGACTTCGTCTCTAGAAGAACCGCCTATGTAAAAAATCGATTCCTGATTTTCTTTCATTCTTTCAATATATTCGGTAATAGAAGTTTTGATCGTCTTAGAATTTGAGGACTGAAATCTTAACAATTTCGATAACCTAGTTCTATTTGAGCTGTCTTCAATAACGCCTAATTTTATATTAGTGCTATATTCTTTCCAAAATGCGTCAAAGTCGTCTTCTGTCATCTTTTTTATCATGTCAATTGTTTTTCTAATTAATTTCTTTTTAATTACTTTCAACAATTTATGCTGCTGTAGCGTCTCTCTTGAGACGTTTAATGGTAAATCGTCACTGTCTACAACACCCTTTACAAAGGCCAAATATTTTGGCATCATATTCTCAAAATTATCTGTAATGAAAACTCTCCTAACATACATTTTAATTTGGTCCATTTTCTTCCCATAACCTTCGAACATATTACGTGGAGAGTTCTTTGGAATGAATAAAATTGATTTAAAGGTGACCTCTCCCTCAGCAGTAAAATGACTATGTGCTAACGGATCAGTGTAGTCTTTCGAAAAAGATCTATAAAAGTCGGCGTATTCTGTATCTTCGATCTCTGAGGGTTTGCGAGACCAGATCGGTTTATTGTTATTTAATAACTTCCAATCCCAAACAGCTTTCTCTACAAATCTAGTCTTTTCTCCCTCTTCAACTTCCTCAACAATACCATCTTCATCAACGCTTTGCCCTTCTTCAGCAGTTGTATCTACAGTTTCTTCGACTTTTTCCATTTTAGATTCCCATAGGTATATCTCAAAATTAATAAATTGCGAGTATTTGATAACTAAATCTTTAATTGTGCTATTTTCTAGGAAATCTTGAGCTTCTTCTTTCATATGTAAGGAAATGGTCGTTCCACGTTTCAGAGTATTACCTCTTGGATCTCTGATAATCGAAAAGCTATGGGCATCCGACTCCCAAATGTATTGGTCATCGTCGTTGTGTTTGGAAGTTACGATAACCTTATCAGCTACTAAGAAAGCAGAATAGAATCCAACACCAAATTGTCCGATCATATCGGACATTTGTTGTTGGTTAGCGGCCTCTCCCATTTTTGTTAAAAATTCTGACGTTCCCGACTTTGCAATTGTCCCTAAATTATTAACTAAGTCGCTTTTTGTCATACCAATACCGGTATCTGTAATATGAAGCATATTATTCTCTTTATCAGCCCTAATCCTAATTGACAGTTCATCAAGACTGTCCATTACGGTGTTGTCGGTCAATGAAAGGAAGCGCATTTTATCTAAAGCGTCGGAAGCGTTAGAAATTAGTTCTCTCAAAAAAATTTCCTTGTTTTTGTAAAGGGAGTTAATGATGAGCCTCATCATTCTGTCGACTTCCGCCTGAAATGTATGTTTCTCTGCTTTTTCTCTCATATGTTTCAACTGAGCAACATTTAAACCATCTAATTTTATCGCCTCTTCTTCCCTGTTATCGCATGTATATATAGATATATATAGAACATATTTTAAAATATGTATATAACAGTATATATATAAATGTTATCTAGATCAAACAATCACCTAATCTCAGGTGATAGCATCGGCAGATGGAGCCATATGGAAGGATTTCACGAACCTTTGAATAACTTCGTCGTCAGTTCTCGAACCATCTCTACTTCGTCCAATATCAGCGTCAATTTCAGGATTGTCTTCGGATTCTTCATTTGCCAAAACGGCACCTACGTACAAAATAATTAATATTTTATATTCGTTTTATTCTAAAGTTTCTCCTGAGTATTCATCAAGGGAATAATTATATCAATTAATTAGATCAAAAAAACAACTGTTTAGGATATTACAATCAGTGAATAATTTAAAATATAATCACCAGAGAAAGCAAGTATTATTAATAGACCACAAAAAACTAAGTTTCTATTCATAATTTAAAACATGAGAAAAACTAAATTAGAACAACACAAATGAAAAAATAACTTTATTCAAGCGTTGTTACTGGTTTATACGGAAATTTTTATCCAAAAATTTAATATATCTATCCAATTAACAAGCTACACAGCATCGTTCTTAATCAAACTTTTAACCAATCAGGAACTAACAAATATGCGAAAAAAAGAACCTAAACTTTTTTGTCTTAATGATAAGAGAAGAAAAAAAAATAACACATTAACCTTTTTGTTCAATGCTATATTTTATTGTAATTGATAACGCATAAAAGTTATATAAAGAAAACGGTATCTATTAGACGCCCACATATTTGTGTAACCTAATTTAATAATTAATGCTTAAATAGGAAAACATACAGATATAATTAATTAAATTATGAGAATCCAATTTAAATTATTTAGAAGTTGTATACAAGCTTTTGTCATAAACGTTCAATTCTAAATTAGAAAAGAAATACTATTGCTTTAATAGGCAAAACAAAAATATACTTCTTCTCTTTCCCACTCTCATTCTATACAGTATACTTTACATTATATATACCTGTATATATTCTAATAACCATAACTATAATTAATCTATTTGTATAAGACTTAATAGTTCTTATAAATTAGCGTTTATCTTCAATTTTTTGGCATTTTTCCATTTTGTGCTTTATCCATTAGCGTTAATTGATTATTAACGGTTGTTGATATATTATTATCAAGGCTGAAAGCCTTATTAAAGTCTAATTTAGCTAGAACTGAATTCCAAGCCCCAACATGTGCTTTTGCACGGCGAAAAAATGCTTTAGCATTATCTGAAACGCAAATAATTTCATTTATATCTATTTAGGTAATTGATTAGTTTGATGAGAAATAGAAGAACTTACTGCAATCCCTTTCGATCACTTCGGTTGACCATGATATAGCTTTGTTATAGTTTAATAAATTTAATTCGCACTGGGCTAAACTTAGGAAAAATGGAATTTTCATATTATCTAATCTATTCCACTCTTCACCTCGAGGTTTTTCTCTAAGTGTTAACTCTTCGAGTATATCAATAGCTTTTTCATATTTAAGAATAGCTCCTTCGTTATCTCCAGTTTTAAATAGGTGATTACCCTCTTTCTGTAAGCGTGGAATACAAGTATCAATTTCGCTTTTGTTAATAATCGATCTGCCAGCGCGACAATCATCCCTTTCGTTATAGGATTGCAGACCAAATTTTAAATCTTGAGCATCCTCTAAAAGGTTATCCTGATCTTCATATCCTAAGGACATGCTTTGAATTTTCTCATCGCCGAGGGACGTTTGCGCAAAGGATTTCCTCAATCTGAAAGAGACGTTTCTTAAATGAAGCAGAAATCATCAAAAGATAATTCTATATTTAGCCTTAACCTACTAAGAAACTACCAGGCGAAAAATTTATAAAAATTGAATTTATCATAGAACATAGCAATTCTATAAATCCAATTACGTAATAACCTTTTTCTTGTGTAAGTGTAATATTTATTTTTCTTTTCTTAGATATTACTACCTATTTCCTGAATAGATTAATGTTATTAATATAACTGATTACTGATTCTTTATTGCGTAAAATAGTATGTATTAATTACATTTAATAACCAATTACAAATTCCTTTCATTTGTAAATAAATATAATATTTATACATTAAATCCCTTAATTGCTTCCTAACTATGGGAAAATTCAACAATATATTAATATTTAGAGTAAGAAATATAAGAGAGAAAACAAAAATAACCTCCCCAAAAGTCTGATTTCCTTTAAATATATACAGTATATTCTATATAGTGTACTGTATTTCTATCAATTTATACCGTTCTTTTATAATTACATCTAAAATTTTCCGCTTTACGTAACCCAAATATATTTAATTAAAGTTAATTACAATAATATATACAATATATTAAAGGTAGAATCTATATATATAAATTTTGTATTGATATAGACTCGAGTTATAAAAAAAAACTAGCATATTTCCATGTTGGAACATTCGATAATGAGGTTCCCGACTAAGCTCATTAAAATTGCTGCTGTAGATGATAAATTAATCTATATTTTGAAAACGAAAGCTAATTATTGCGTATTTATTTTTTAATTCTTTGTCAATTATATTTAATTGAAAGGTAGAAAGTATAAAGAAAACCATAATTAAAAAGTATACCTTCGGTCGGTGACCTAAGTGTTGGATGATTATTAAGAAAATATACCTAATTGTCTACCGGTTTAGCCCAATTTGAGGAAAACGTTATTTTTAGGCAACTTTAATTACTGGTAAAGCTTTTTTTTAAGGTATACAATGCTCAAAAAAAGTTAAAATACATGCTTATATTTAAAATGATAGTTTCTTTTTCATCATACTGACAAGCAGTTTTATTTTGTTATTACCCTTTCTTTCTTTCTTTCTTTATACACAATACCATATATAATTTATTGAAATGTACATAAAGCATAGATTTAAATCAGCCTAAAAAAAATGCAACAAGGTAGTTTCTTTTCTTTCATCTTAACATTTACAAAGTGTACTATAGTCCAAAAAAAGAGGTTTAAAAAAAATAATGGAAAACTTTTTGCTGCCTAGAGATTGTATAGGGTTTGTAGAAGTTTGTGCCGAGCGTTACCAGTAGAATCAAGTTTTTTGTTCGGTCTGTAAAGTAAAATAGAAATATATGATAATAAATTAAAGTAAGCTATTTCTAAATATATTGAAATCTTACCTTGTTAAGAAAACTTGTAAAATTTGTAAACAACTCCTCGGAAAGTATTTTTGTTTAATAACATGCTCTAAAACAATCAGAAACCCTGATATTTCTCTCGGTAATTGAATCTTTTCTTCTCCCTTGAAAATATAAACAAAAAAACAGTCCTTACATTGTTTTTTTAAGAATTTAATGAATGCATTCAGGCTTGTACCTTCAATAGACCTAAGTGAATAAGTATACTTGACGTAATTTCAATGTTTTTTTCGTTTGATGATGCATCGCCGAATAAACTCTTAAATATCTCATCTTAATAAAAATTAAAAAAAGTTAATTAATTAAAAACAAAATAGTAATAAAAAAAATTAACAAACCAGCGCAAATGTTCGCATTCTTAGTAACACTCTCATCCGTCGAATCAACAATGCTGCAAACATTTACCAAATGTTTGATAGCATAATTGATATCATTCTTCTTTTCCTGTTAATGTAATCAATAGTATGAAAAAAGCATAAAAAGGGTAAATAAAAACTTACTCCTAGCTCTTTAACGAAAACTTCGGGTGCCTTAGCATTTTTCAGTTTGGTTGGAGATGGAAATAATAAAATATCCTTAACCTAAATTAATATTTCAAAACATTAATATCTGTAGATGATAAATATAGATTTCTAATAATTATAAAGTTACATATATACTGTACATATATAGGATTGTAAATAATTATATTATAATATCCAATTCATTGTTATAATATTTATAGATAATATAGTATATATGTAATTTGTCAAAAGTTGACTTGGAAAACGATTTTCCATCTATTTTAACAAATAGAACAAAAATAGACAAACGAAGAAGAAAAGTTTCTATTGAAGAAATTATTTAAGATTAAAAATAAATAAAAGAGAATAAAAAAAAATTAACATATGTGAGATTTTGGAAAAAAAAACTAAACTCTGTGTGAAAGCAAGTTTTTTAAAAGACATTCAAATCAATTGGTTTTTTTTTGTTTGTTTGTTTGCTTTTTATACAGAAAATATTATACGAAGGTTTTTTTTTAAAATAGTCCATCGATTCCTTATTCAACTCTGTTTAAAAAAAAACAATAGCAAGGAATTATCCTAGAAGAGCTTATTACATATATATTTTTGCTTTGCTTGTTGTTTTTTGCTTTCACAGATTTTCGGATGAAAAGGTGATGATAAAATATAATATAAATAATTGTATAATTGATTTTTTGTAGTCATTATAATAGAAAGTAATATTGAATTCTTAAAAAGAAAAAAATTGACATTGGTGACTACGATATGACGTTTTAATATGTTATGTTAATAGAATTATGGTAATTGATTATAGCGTTTAATTTCTCTCGATAAATCGACACAAATTTCCGAATTGGTATTAATTCTATTGTACTCACTTCATAGCTTGATCTAGGAGTCAATCCCGTTCCAGTTACTTGAAGATTTGGATCGTTTACTTTTTCACTTTCGCAATCGTCCTGCAAGTTTAGAAAATTACTAGAGGTCTATTGATTGCTACTGATATCAATTTGCCAACCTCTCCATCACTTCGATCTTCATCATTATCGAACGGCACAAGTACATCACCCTTATTAGCTTTAGTCATAATTTCTTGTAATTTATCACAACCTTTTTCGCCAAACATGTTGCCTGAAAGAAATAATAAATTTATATAAATAGAATAGATTTTATAAATTCAGATCTACAGCTATTTCGATCAAAAACAATAGAGTGTAAAAAAGAAAATAACTTTTCAGTAATAATTGAATAGAAATCAAAAAAAGTAAGTGCTGCGTGTAAATTCAATTATTCGTTAAAGACCTTTCAAGAAAATATGAGTAGTTTAACTTAAGGTCCATGTAGTCCATCAAGAACTATAACTATATTATAATCTTTTCCTTCTTAATAAATACCAAACTAGGTCTTTACTATTCGTAAAAAATTTTCTTTATCTAACTCACTCTTATATTTGTTAAGGTCATTGTCTCATTATTCGTCTTAATAACATTGTATGCAGAACTACGCCTAGTTATTCTTAAACCTTTTAGTATTCAATGTAGCACTTAATACTTTAATGTATTGTATTGTTACAATTATTAACAAAAGAAAAATTGAGTAAATACCGTCCAAATCCAGATGATCAAGATCTTTATTTAGTATAGCAGAAATAACTGCAATTCCAGCTGCCAAATCCAGTTCATCGTAAGATAGGTGAACGGTCTATTTTAGTAAAATGATAAATCATTATTGTAGATTTTAAGATTTTTTACATAAATATATTTTTGTCTTACTTTTAGTTTTTCAAATTTTCCCTCCCTAAGAGCAGATGCTATAGCTTTACCTCCACCACTTCTGATTAAGCAGTCACCAAAATTTAGTACCTCTAAATTTTTTAATTTTGGTAATGCATACTATAAAAATAAATTTTTGGTGTTAATAATATATTTTTAAACACGTTAAAATAATCTGTTTACTTTAGCCATCGCTTGTGCTCCGACTTCTGTAAAAGTATTGTCATTTAAGTTTAGATATCTTAAATTGGTATTGTGACTAAAAGCTTCGGCTAGAGCCGATATTCCCTCAAAGTTGATTCCATTTTGGGGCATCTCTACATGCTCTAAGCTTTTCATTTCAGTAAATACTTTCGATAATGCCTTCGACCCTGGATAGAAAAATCGAAATGAACCGTCATTCACAGTTACGATCAATAATACCTTCATTTTCAAGTCGTCCTCTACCGGATATAAAAGTAGTTATGCTCAACGGCTTTCCGGTGGCTTTACTAGCTTGATAGCAGTTATTTAATGCAGAAGCCAACATCTAATGACATTTCAAGAAGTAAATTATAGAAAAATTTAAAAGTAATTGTGCCTAATAAATACATACTTTGCCACCAGTGGGTCCAAGTCCATTGTTATGTAATTTTAAGACTTTCAAAGAATAGCATGATTCGCTGGAAAGAAATTTAACTAATCCTTTCATTCCGTTGGGTCCAAATGCGTTGTCACTCAAGTCAAGTTCAGTCAATTTAACACCTGCCTTAGTCATGCCATCTGCTAGGGCAATCTAGTGAAAAAAAATACCTATAAGATAGAGAACGATGCAATCTTTAACATAATCTTACAAGACATTCTGGAATTTCAGATTTTAGTCTTCCGGTGAACATGTCAGCAGCAAGTAGTCTCTGTATATTAAAGTTTTGATAAAGTATGTATATATATATAGATATATAACTTTTTTGGTACATTCATTCATTCATTCATAATAATTAAAGCATGTTTTACAAGGTCAAACTTTTTCTTTCGATTGATTTAACATGCCGATCACCGCTTAAAAGTTGTGACTAACCTCTAGTTTTGGATGTTTTTCAAGTTGCTTTCCTATTACTTTCGCTGCAGGAATCCCCATAGTATTACCTTCCAAGTTTAAGACAGTTACATCCGGATTTTTATTCAATTCATTCAAAATCTCTTCAGCTAGTAAAATTCGAAATTAATGAACTGCCTTAAAATAGTTGTATAATGTATGGATACGAACCGCTGTCTTCGGTATCAAGCTTCATTTGACGTTTATAAAAGGAAACAGTAATCTCTGATCCTTCAACAGTTGTACCCGCTAGTTTTTGGGTCAGCTTATCGATATCTTTAGAAGCCATGATCCTTGTTATACCTCGAAACAACGTTAGTGCAACGTTCAAATTACTGGAAATCGTGTATTGCTAAAAACAGGAAGGATATATACATTGTAAATTTAAGTAAAACTTTTATAAGCTAAACTTAGTAAGACCGAATTTGAAAATTGCACATGTGCCCCAAGAACTCATGGTAGCATTTTTGTATTTCCAGTAAGAAAAAATACACAACCTTTAAATCATTACCAGCCCAACTGAAGTTTGTTTACAAAGACCCTACTGACATCTTGAGTGGGGAAAGAAAAGTGAAAAAGTATGAAAAAACAGTGTTAAAAGATATTCGGTTTAGTAGAAATTTTCAATTTCGCTACATGGTTGGCATTCGATTGCCGAATTACTGGTTGCCATGAGGAATTTAAACAGGACTAATGATCATTGATAAAATAAGAGGTTAAACATTTATTCAAATTAATCTCAATAAAATTTATAGATTGATAATTAGATCTTTGCTAAAGGGGATATTATAGCTAAACCATCATTAGCAATATATATTAACATCTTAACTAAATGACTGAAGCTTTTTTGAGAAAACAAAGTGAGGATTAAAGTTATGGTTACACCTTTCAATACTTGAAGATGACGGTAGATGGAGTTCTGTTATAGAGATCAATGACCAGAGGAGGAGCAATGACTCCAAGGAGCTCAACCTAAGGTTGTGGCTCGATGTATGGCTGTTAGCTAGATGTTGATGGGCAGCTCATAATTTGTCAAAAGCTGCCATCTTTCATGAAACTTAAATTGAAGAAAAAGAGCTTGAATTCATTCCTTGATTTTGAGTCAGTGGAAAGCCTCACATGTCTTGAAGAGGAGTTGTAATCTATGCGATGACTTTTTAAAGTTCGTCATCTTGTTAAAACTTCTAGAGCCAAGAAAAATCAAATTTAAAGACTTTGAAATTAGACTTTTCAACTAGTAACGATATAACAGTTTATAAGAAACCCAAGTTAAAATAATAGCAATTTATGTTCACTTAATTCTGTTTTAAATACCTTCAGTTTCTTGTTGTAAAAGTGTTTTAGTAAATTCATGCTTTAGCCTCTCCATTTCATCTTTGGCTGTCCATATCCATGTACTTTTGGAATGAGCGAGAGATGAAATATTGCGTCTTGCACACTGTACTGTTAATCTATGCTTATAGAAATAGTAACAAAATATGAGTAACATTATAGCTTCGAATATAGGTGGTGCAAACAAAATAAAATTTTTCAACATTCGTTTCGATTTAAGTTTACTACTTAGACTTTCAAAGTAATCTTTATCTCCTATGAATATTTTTCTTCGATAATGTTTCCATTTAAACATCTTCATAGACCAAATAAAGGTCATTGGAATATCTATAGTATATCGACCTTACTTTGGTCTATGATATTTTACATCGTCCAATAGAAATTGCGTTTGATCGAAGTTTATCTCTTTATCAAACATTTTCATTCCAGATAATCCAAGCATTGTTCTGGAGAGGTATCTTGGACTACCTCCTACGCAAATTTTATTTTGACATTGAGCAACTTGTTTGGAAAAGCCTCTACATTGTTTATGACCAACAGCAGTGCAATTACGCACTCTTGAGCACGTAGTTTGATCTTTATTGCAGGAAGTCCAAGGTTGCCAAGCGTGAAATCCTTCATATGATCTTGAACACTTCTCTATAAAATAATTATAAAGTAAAATCTATTTCAGAAGAAACACAAGCCTCACTATAACAATTGATAACATCAAATGCCGAGCCAAAGCAAGCCCCTGAACCGTCGTTACAAGATCGAAGTCTGATAGCCAGATCCTTACCACAGTTACCAGTCCATCCACACTTTGACCAAGGAAGCCATAATCCCCACTCCAGCGCGCTTTTACGAATTTTTAAACCGATGTCAGAGGGTCTAATAGAACGCTTACAATCTATTAAGCTACAGACTTCTATAACGATATGGGAGCCATGACAAAAATTAGTAATATTCTGAATATCACTGAAAATACAATTTCTTCCTTTTGTTCGATAACCGCCCCCACATGTTCTTGTACACTTCCCCCAATTTGACCAAGGCCCCCATTTTGGTACCTCAATACAGGGTTCACCATGACAACTTTCTTCTTGAATCGCCACTCCGCCGCCTTGAAGAGAACAAGCACTAATGGCCGCTTGCTTTCTATCATGAGTTTCACATTTTCTTGATCGTCGTCTAATCTGTAGTAAACGTAAAATGATAATACAGTTGAGATTAACATCTAGGTTATGATTATATTATAATCAATAGCACTTACAAAGCGAATATTTTGATTACAGGAATCAGGGCAATCCGACCACTCTTTCCATGGACCCCATTTGTCAACATATTTATTGCAATCTTTGATACGACCATGACATCTGCAGCTATTTGTCTTTTTCAAATCACATTCTTCCGCCTCTGAACATAATCTGCACTTCAGATCCCTTATATTGCAGTTTGGATAAATTTCAGTATGGTTATCCCTATAACCCTGAGGACATTGGCAAATAAAATTCTTTTCCAGGGGAACACATTTAGGCTGTTGTGCAATAAAGTTTTGATTGATAATACCAAATCTACACAACTCATCTCCAGTCTTTGGAACGTTAGCTTTTAATTTCCTTAGCTCAGTTAGAATCGGATGTGATTCTATACTACAAGCGTTGTATTGAATTTCGCATCTAAAGTAAATAACTTCCATCAATACCAAATTCTATATTGTTAAATCAAAAGATGGTAAATATTTATTACCTATCGCCATAAAATTCAGCTTTGCAGTGACATTTTATTTTCATAAAGTTCTGTGATGTATCTAGTGTACAATTTACAACGTTCTCTAATACACAATACGATCCTTGACAAAAGTCTTGCTCAACACATAACTTCTTTTCCTTATTCCAGATAAAATTTTCTTTGCATATGCATTTATAATCATCCTTAAATAAAGATTCTCTAACAAAAAAAAATAAAGAGCATTAAATTCACATAAATATTCGATTTCATTTCTCTTACCCTGAAGTAATACAACTGAATTGATTGTACCAGTCAACCCTATCTTTATGAATCTTTCTTTTGCAAGGTTTGTTCTTGCATGGCTTAGGGCAGAAAATATCTCTTGTATGTTGTGTACAACTCATATAAATCCAAATTAATGACATCAACTCTAAGTCTAAAGGCCACCAAGGTTGGTTTGTTAGCACTTTCTAATTAAACGTGACTTTAAAGTTAATTGCAAGAACACCTTTTAAAAAAATAAGTTAACCTTATCACTAAACACTGAATATAAGTTGAAAGTTTTGAGCATAGCATCCCAGAGACAGTAGGATGTTCTTCTTGTTCTTCCAAAATGATCAGAACTTTTCAAATGAAAATACTTCTCGGCGCATGCTTCCCACAAACTGGATAAATAATCGTTTATATTTTTGTTCATAAATTTCCATTTTGAGTTATTCCCTGAATGATTTGGAACTAAATCTTCTAATTTTGTTCCAGAAAAGAATCCACTTTCAATATCAATAAATTCTTGACGAGTAAAAGTTAACCAATCAGAATATTCCCTTTTAAAAAGCTTTTTAGCTTTAAAATTTTCGAGGCAATCTAAATCTGTAAGTAATTATTTTAAATTTAGAAATATAAGTAATTATTAAAATAACCGTTTATGAAGAAGAGAAAGAGAATTGGGTTAGTGAAAAACATTGTGATATATACCATTCTCTTTAAATTATCGAAAAAATGGAGCATGACGTCAAATAAATTTATTTTAACAAAAATAATTGAAAAACGTAACTTATAGCATTTAATTTCACATTAAGAGAAACCAATATTTCAAACCAATATCAGAAGACAGGGATGTATGACAAAAACTTTTTTGAAATGCAATAAAAGTTTGTTTAAATGTTTAATCATTTTCCCCAAAGATATTAAACTTGAACTGTGATCTAAAGATGGAAAATGTTCTATTCTTTTTTTATTGTGTAATACAAATCCAAAAAATGTTATGTTCACATAACCGGTGAACCGGTTAACTTTTGTTGAAAACCGGAATAATTGGTTAACGCTGATGTAAAAAAAAACGTTTCTGTGTTGACCGAACGTTTTACTATTAATAAACTAATTTGAGTAATTTAGTTTTCCTAATCTCCGAGCAAGCGTAAAGGTTTTTATAAATATAAAGTTAATTTAGAAATACTTTTTACAAGTTTTAAATGATGGCTTATGTAAATTATCCGAGAAAAGTTTGTCATGAGGTAACTAACAAAAGCATGGCTATCTTTTGGTCATATCTCTAAATTTTTGTGTAAAATAATTTAATTTTTAATCAGTTTACCTGTTAATTACCTTCATAGTCTATTATATAACACCTTATACGATTATTATGTATCATTTTTTTATATACTACTAGAATATTGATAATGACCATGATAATGATTTGGACGACATTACATTCGATGGACCATCCATTGTTCAAATGAATCCCACTCTTTTTGAAGGTATTTAAAGCTTTCTTTAAGTTTTAGATGAAAGTATAAGCTAATATTCTTACTTTTAATTAATTATTGATCCGTTTCATTTCATTTAACAAACTTTATTACTACAGAAAATTCAAATGAACATGTCTTTAATTCTTTTTATTGCCCATATATGGAATCTCCAATAGGTATTTTTCTCAATAATTATAACAGAAATGGCATTAAAATAACAGTAAAATATTAATTATTAGAACAAGAATTTAGCTATCCCGAAACCAAACACGCAGACATCTACGATTCTGTGGAAAGGTATACGAAGATAAAACTTATAGCAAAATATTTACAAGCCTTTCCAATATTTTATCTTATATTCATTTCTTTGTTCCATTTGCAGTGTATCACTAACAAGGTTTGTACTGCAATAGATAATTCTTTGAAATGGGTTTACGTGTGAAATATTTCAAAGCTAAATATCAGTTAGTTAGAAGACAATGTCTCTAAAATGACTGATAAAAACTTAAGAAGAGTTCTTTTACCATTAGAAAGTTTCTTTTTATGTTATCTTAATATAATTCTTACAATAGAGAAGCAATGCGAGAATATCTAACTCACGGATTAGAGAAATCTATTACAATTTACCACGCTAAAGTTATTCAAAGGAGCTATGGACGAGAAAAACGCTTTTTCTGCCCTCCCCCATATGTACGTTATCGCGATCTGGCTAGATGGGATGATAATGAACGCCAAATTTGTGCCTATATTGGAGTAAATCTCTCAATAGACGATATGCATCATATGGAAAAAAAAGAAGATGGTATATTTTTTTTGGAAAAGCCTCTGTTTATTACTAGTTCAGATAAAAGAAAAAATTTCGAATTAAAAATTCGCTTATTTTATTCCGATGGCTCAGCTATTGGCATTTTCTCTTCAAAGTGTATTAGAGTTGTAACAAAACCGTCGAAGAAGAGACTTAAAACACCAAAGAATCATGATTTATGCATTGAAAGTGGAAGTGAAATTGCTCTTTTTAATCGACTAAGGTCGCAAAGTGTTTCCACTAGGTATGTAATGGTTGACAAGATGATTCACTTTACGAGCGATTGTTTATTTCTAGATATTTAAAAGTATATGAAGATCCTGTGGACAAATCATTAAATTTTGTTGCCTCTCCTGTTAAGTGGGGATCTTTTAAGATACATCTAGTGAATGAAGAGGAAGAAGAAAGCGAGGAATTCGATGTAGAAGAAGGTTTTATACACTATGGTCAAACGGTAAAATTAGTATGTTCAGAAACTGGAATGAGTCTGCCAAGACTAATAATTCGCAAAGTAGACAAACAGAAGATTATTTTAGATGCAACAGGTCCAATTTCTCAGCTGCACAAATGTGCATTATACATGAAAGATACCGATCGAATGTACATCTGTACTGCTCAAGATAAGATTGTTCAATTTCAAGCTAATCCGTACCCACAAAATCCTAATTGGGAAATGATAAACGATGGCTCCGCTTGGACGGTAATTTCAACTGTATCAAGCGAATATAAATTTTATGAAGGAATGGGCTCAACCAGACATCCACCAACTCCTATTCCAATAGTGTTTCCATTAGAATGCGGAGGAAAAGGTAACAGCCTACTGGAGATAAACGGAGAAAGGTTTACGCCCAAACTTAAAGTTTGGTTTGATGATTATGAGTGTTCAACTTTCTTTAGATGTGAGGAACTTTTGCTATGCCTAGTACCACATATTTCTTCATTAAAACCTGAATGGAAATTTGTGCGTAAGCCTTACAAAGTACGCCTATCATTAGTAAGATCAGACGGTATAATTTATCCTACTGGATTATCCTTTACTTACCTACCGGAACCTGGTTTAAAGTATTAATTATTTCTATGATAACAGATTCTTTTTGAATCAAATAACACAAGACTCAAAGAAAAATTTTTCTATTATAATTTACTATATATTTCCTGTAAAAAAAATACAGCAAAAATCTCGATTAAGAATAATAACAATAATAATAATAATAATAAAGCACATAAACTAAAATATAACCAAGCTTTTGTTTATTTGTTTGTTTATTTTTATTTTGAAAAAAAAATTGAGTAAAATGTAAACAAATAATGATTAAACAAAAATTAATCTTCTAAATGAAAATTCAAATATAGTCGATAAATTAAACAATATTTAAAAATAACTTTACCAACAAAAAGTTTTGATGAATTAAAATAAAACGTGAAAAAAAACAATAGAACATGGAAAATGAGTTCAAAAAAGGATTATTGGAAAGTAATGGAGGAAGAGGCTCTACGCTGCGGACCTTTTCCTTATAACTATTTATATGAGTATAGAAAAGACAATAAGGCTATTGAAAGAGTTATAATAAAAATGTTAAATGTCGATCTGTTTGATTTAGATGATATTAAGGTAAAAAGAACCTACTTTCTTCTAACATAGTAGAGATATGAATAAATAAAAAGTTGCCAACAATTCATATTTATACTTAGTAAACTAATAAATATATTAATATCTATATAAAGACAATACATATATCTTTTAAGGTTGTACTGGATAAGATGGAGATGTTAAATTACTCTGCAAATGTTGAAAATTCAACAGAAGAAACCCAATCGTATCCGGTGGAAGATATCATTAAGGATTGTAACAAAAATACATCAATTTCGGTTACATCTTGTCAATCTAATCATCAATTATTCAAAACAAACTTGTGGGAAGAGATTCGATGTAACGTTTTTCATGAAATAGCTTCCTATAGCAACCAGGAAAACATCTCGACCCGTCGAATTCATATTAGTCCTTTCTAAACATGAATAATGTAGCTGTGTTGAAATGAATTTGTCTTCTAAATGAAATACATAATACTAATATATATATATATATATATATATATACTAATATATACCTACACACTGAATATAATTATTGATATTATATTGTATTATACTATATTTTATTGGGTTTTTACTAATCCTATCAATTTACCATCATTATATCCTTTTTTTAACCCTTTTAGTTTGTCTTTACATGTTAAAGGTTAAAGGTTTTATGTACTCCATAACCTTTAAAAATTTCTTTATGAGGAGAATAGTCAAAAATGTCACAGGTACTCTGTTTAAGAACTATAGCAGCTATTGCTTTATCTCAAGATAACTTTTTTCAAATGTTATATAATAACTTTCTCCCTTTACCGTATTATGCAATATTTTCTGAATGATATTCTTTTGTTTTTGAAAATAAATATAAAGTAAGTGCATCTATTTGCATGTACTCTAATATTTTTTCTCTTTTTAACAATACATATTTATTATTTGTTCATTTACACAAAGTGCTAGTTCTGGTTTTTTCCATGTTACAGTATTCAAGATTATGAAGACACTGGTTCGCCGGAGATCGAACTCTTACAATATAATGACAAACCAACGCATACTCTTTGAAATCGCATTAAAAATTATTTTAAAATTTAGGCTCTACTTTCTTAATATCCTAATATCTTAGAGTGTTTGGTGCAATAGCATATCATTAACACCGGAAGTACCGTCTTTCGAGCAGTACCTTTATCCACGTTTATTCCATTGAAGAATTCCGAGATATAAAATTTACAATCAGGATATAAAATTATGTAGATTCAGTTGATTATCTAACGTATATCAAAATATTCTGATTTATAATTGATATGGAGGCAAATTCGGTTGAGTCTCAACCGGAAGCGTCTCAGTCTGGTGAGGCGTCACCTGCTAAAGTATTTACAAATACGGGAGAAAATAAAGACGGAATAGAAGATAAATGTGAAAACAACCAAGAAAATACGGAGGAGAATGTAGGCCAAATTTTTAATTGACTGATTTATTACTAAAAAATTTTCTTGAATCCCAGAAATCGATAATTTTGTCGGTTCTAAATGTATATATAATATGGGATATTTCATTATAAATATTGTGTTATATACGCTATGTTAGTAAATAAGCATGATAGAAAACATTTCCAATGTAATTTTTAAGTTTATTACAATTCGCCTCATTTTTTGATTGACCTTTGAAGAGGTCAAAAATATTGTATACAAAATTATCTTATTAAATTCAATATTGGTAGCCCGAGTGCAGATAGATTACATATTAACTGCCTGCAGCAAACTGATCGGCCTCAAACTCCCGTGGGTGATAAAACTAGAAAACCATCAGCTAAAAGACGCCTACTAAGTAATAATACTGGATCTGGAACAGACGACGATGATAAACCAAAGCCGGCTCCTAAAAGACGAAAATCTCAACATGTCGATACCTCACCTCAACAACAATCCGGTGTAATACGTACTCCTGTTTCAGAGAGAAAGCAGATGCAATTACTTATGCAAATGACCGCTCCCGAAAGTTCGAGGTATTAATCTCCCTGCTGGTTTCCTTAAAACTATTATTTACAACTATTCCATGTTTTTTTTAGTAGGTCATCATCTCCTTCTCTCACCCCTAAAACAGAAACAAAAAAAGTAGAGCGAAGAAATGACAAGGGTGAAACTCCGTTACATATAGCTGCCATAAAAGGGGATGTTAACCAAGCAAGGAAGCTGATCAAACTTGGTAAACATATATTATTAAGTTATCTTTACTAGCTCTATAAACGGATTATTTTAAATTATGCATAGGCGCAAACGTAAATGCCCAAGATAACGCCGGTTGGACGCCTCTACACGAAGCTTGTAATAGGGGGAGCGTCGACGTAGCGAAAATCTTAATAGAAAATGGCGCCGAAGTCAATATACCGGGTTACGACAACGATACACCACTTCATGACGCCGCTATGTGCGGTCGGAGACGCCTGGTCAAATTACTTTTAAAATCGGGTGCTGATCCGCAATTAGTGAATAAAAACGCTAAAAAACCCTTTGATGTCGCTAAAAGTGAAAAAGTTAAAAAATTATTAGAAGTATGTATACTTTTTCTTGAACTAATAATAGGCCTATGCCGTTTCCTGATACTTTTCAAATAAAATAATTAAAATATACCTAATAAAAAATAAGGGAGGTGACGTAGAAAGTTCTGACGAAGACGATAAAGACGACGACAATCAACAACCGGAGAGAATAACTCTAAAACTAAAGCAACAAATAGTCACTACATCATCTTCCGATTCTACAACTTATCGCTTAGTCTCATCTGTCGCTCCAAGTGTTGCTCCAGCAACGTTTTCCGATATTAGTGATGAAGAAGACGAAGATGAGAGTAATCTAAGAGCCGCTATCGATGCAACAACCACTAAACGTAGTCCATCTCCAGGAGATGGTGAGAAGAAAGAAGAGGAGCCTTTAGGTAAGATTTATGTATTATATATTTATATATATATATATATATATATTAATATAAATTAGAAATTTGCGAGCTCTATTTAAAAAAAGAAACAAAAAAAAAATCAAATATTATTCCATTCTATCTTTTAAGGTTATTCACTTCAATAGGCATTTCTTTGAAGACATATAGTTTTAAGTATATGACATATATATATACATATATTAGTTTATATATTTTATTATTAATATATTATAACAGAACAGAGTATATCGGTAAAGTTGTCTTGAACAAGAGATAGAATGTATAACATAAATTGTTTTTTTAATTGATTAAATCTGAATAATACTTATATTTATCAAGATGTTTCGATATAGAGTAGGTTTCAATATTTAACCTATTTGTATTGTATAGTAAAACATATACAATGTAAACCATGCATACGTATTCTACATTGTTCATATTGTATACGTATTGTATATATAGCTGTGTGGTACACATGAGTTAAATTTAGATCTAATCTTTCGTACTGAATATCGGTTTATGTCTAAACATGGTATAAATATCTACACATGTATAAGTATACATATATTATATATATATATATACTAATATATGTATATATATTGTTTTTATAACATTATAATATATAAAACTAATATCTATAAATATATTTTATTAACAAATCAGCATTTTATAGCTCACATATAGACACATACAGTATATATATATATACATTTACATTATATGTTTAGGCGTAGTATTTATCGTTTTTTTTGTCATACTACATTTATTGAATGCCTAAAATTCCAGTAATCCTTATTGAACGAATTTATGTGATAGTTTACCAACGCTTTCAATATTATCTACCTGTATTTTGTGAATTGGACGTATTCAGTAGTCACAAGCTTTTTTTATTATAAGCGGGACTACGATGGAAGGGAGTATGTTATCAAAATGTAATTTCTTTAACTAATTTGAAAGTACCAGGGGAGATGTTAAATGTGCTATTGTATCTGCTTAATTATTACTATAAGAATAAGATAATGGTAACCTTTCCTCTTTTAGGCTTATAGTTTAAGGATATTTAGAAGTGAGTGAAATTGGTTTAAGCGATTTAGTTTTTTTATGTTTAATCGGTGTATAAAAAAAAATAAATCGATATTGAATTTTTTTTTGATTACCTATTTACTTGAATTCCTGCAGCTCTTCCTCTAACTCCGGGACAACCGGTTGCTGTAAAGCAAGAAGTTGAAGAAGAAAAAACGGAACCGGTTCAAATTAAGCAAGAATTGCCTGATGAGGTCGAGGAGAGCGCAGATGTTAAAAAAGAGATTGACGACCAGGCGATAAAACGAGAAATTAAGGAAGAACCGGAAGAGCAGGAACCTAAAGTACCACCAATAAAAATATTCCGAGAGAACAGTAAGGGCAGCAAAAAGACGAGTGAGGAGGACGTTAGTTACGTTGTTAGAAGTAGCGAGGCTTCAACCTCAATGGACACTACTGGAACGGCGATAACCAGTAGAAAAGAGGACATTGTCCTCAGTAAAGATCCACAAACGGTTGAGGAACGAAGAATTACTAGATCCGCTTTTCGGTTAGTATTTCCGGTTTTTAACCGGTTTAGTAATTGAGTATTGTAAATGAGTAGTTTGTTTTCCAATATGCCGCGTAGGTCGCAGCAGCAAAAAGAACAGAAAGAGCAGAATAAGGACGATGATGATGACAAGGAAAAGCAAATTAGGGAGCAAGAGGAAGATAGTAATCAATCTGGTATGTTAATTTTTCATTATATATTAAATATAAATATATCTATATATATTTGTATGTTAAAATCCATTAACTATAAACATTCTTGTTTATTTTTACTGTATATTCCACGTGCTGTGTATTTGACCTTGATATGGAATAATTATTATATTTAGTCAATATGAACTCCATCCGTGGCTTAGCTGTTTCACAATTATGTCTCAAATAATAAAGCCTAGGCCTTATTATATTTTCTGGAATTGAGTTAACAAAAGATGAATTTGTCCATTTTAAATGCTCAATTAATAGTTCTTCGTTTACAAAATTTCTAGGTCAAACGCCATAGATTAGGCATGTTTTTCTTCAACATATATAAATAAACCAATACCAATTTAGGTCATTCAACCGAAACCATTCGGCGGAAACCTGCGCGACCGAAGACGCCCCCTTGCTACAAGTCATCCTACGATTTACATAACGAAATACGAAAACAAATGGACGAACGATGGATGTCCATGAATTTATCCCGGGCTCGTCCACGAGCTCCACACGCCTTTAATCGTTATCTAAGCGTTACCTGTGATTACGTTTTGGAAGGAAAACCGAGAAATTTTGAAAGTTCAGTAAAGCACGACCTACCTGATAATTTGAAGAAAATTTGGCAAGAACAAGAAAAAGAAAGGATTCAATTAAGAATGGAGCATCAAGTGGAACGAGATAGATTGCGTTTGTGTATGGAGCAAGCAGTTCTCAGAGTACACGGTAGAGCTTCGAGAACGAACCAGGTAATTTATACAAGATAAAATTGAAGGAGCACAAAATGTTAATCATTTTTTTAAAAACTTTACAGGCTGATACGATAAATGTCTGCACAATTCTCAAGGACCGAGAGACATACACAATGAATCGTTTCGCTACACCAGTGACAACGGGAAAAGGAAGATTTGCTGGTAGACGCCAGTTTGTTCAATGGTTGCAAGATATAGACGATATTTTTGAAAAAAGGAAAGAACAAATGATAGCTAGGCAAAAACACGAAGCTGATGCTCTTTACGCTGTTCAACAGCTCGATTGGCCTCCCAACACAAACATTTCTTTACCTAAAGTCAATGTTGTTAGTTCTTTCGCTTTACTGCCGACTTGATTAGAAGTTTTATGATGATTTTTTTTTGGATGGATTATACGTACTTGTTTTTTTGCATGTTAGTAAATGTTTGTTCCACGACTTTCGTAATTAGAAGAATCGATTGTTTTGTTTTGTTTTCAAATGAAATAATCGAGAAGGAGAGAAGGGAGGAGAGAGTAAAAAAAAAGAACACTTTACATAAATCAAAACTCTGTTACTCTGTAGATGGCACTGCTAGCTATCTTGAAAAGTATGGGTTTTGCATAAGCATTTTTTCATTACTACCAGTCATTTTATCTATAGCATTGATCTATCTTCATAATTTTATATCAAAAAGTTTTACACATTTATACACACCTATAAAGATATCGTTTATTGCCTTGCTTTTTAAAAAACAACGGTTAAAGGAGAAGAGTAGGAAAATTTTTTCAAATCCTGTTTATTCAGACCAATATTAGTGTACTGTAATACTTGTTTTATGTTTACAAACATAATAAAAAAAAGAAAAAAACAGAAAACAATGCATTAAAGTTTAATAAGCCAAGCATTAATTATCTTTCTCATCACATACAGTTATAGTGTCTGTGTAAAGAGAATCTAGTTATTTTGTTCAAATTACAAACTACAAGTGTTTAATATTTCAAAAGGAGAGTTATTTTTTGTCTCATTCTAAACCAATATAAATTATTTATTCCTAGTTTACAAAAGGATACGATATTTAATGATCTTTTATAAGTATTCCAAAAAACATATATACACTATTTATGTATAATAAACTGAAATTACCTAGAGCGTGTTTGTTATCTTATTAAAGTTAAATTAAATAATATTTCCCTATTCAGATCTGCTTTTCTTTGCTGAAATTATTCAATTAACTGTAAATACTGTATATATTGTATACTGTATATATACAATTTATAAATAAAGATCACTTTAGAATAATTGTCTTTTTAACAATATTCCACTATGAAAAGTTAATATAGTAGGGAAAAAATGCATGATGTAATATAGTTTTCAATCAGATAAAGATATATAAACCGTTTTTTTTTTTGGATTTAAAGATTAGAACTGTTCCAGTCAAGGTTAATCGTATTTAAACATTTTTTTCTTTAAATCTAACGGAATGTCTTTATTCATGAACAAATTTCGTAGATTTTAAGCATTATGATCTATTTCTTATTATACATTTGTAATATATTTTATATAATACAATAAAATAAAAGAAACACTAAACAAAGCGATACAGTTCAATAACTTAAACAGTTTGGGTTATGTATTTATGTCATAAAATTTTATTTCTTTCTTTTTTTATATATATATAAATAGCTTTTTTTTATTGAAAACTACATTATATTTTCATTTGCATTAGAATGGTTAAATCGTTATATTTCTAGTTTTAGATTAGTTAATATAAGCTCGAATGTCAAGGCCATTTGACGCAATACAGTTTGTTTACTTCGTCATTTCCTCCTATAATTATTCATTTGTGAAAAATAACGTAATTTTGAAGAAGATGGTGAAATATTAAAATTTTATATGGTCATGCTTGTGAGAAGTTTGAGTGACATCATTATCAAACCTGGGATCAAACAGATATTACGCCAAGAAAGAACGATAATAAGTGAATCGGTTAAAACACGTGCTGATAGTATGATGTCGCTAACTGCAAAAGATAAATTGTTCAAATTGAACGAATCAAGCGAAGACAAGCTTGTTGAACTTGCCTGCGAAGATCTAGAGAATAATAAAGTTGTTTCTCTACCAACTGATACAATATACGGTATAGCTGCATTAGTGAATAGTGATGAAGCTATTAACAAACTCTATGATATCAAACATCGAAATCGAGTAAAACCTATTGCCATCAGTTGTGGAAATATTGATAATGTTTACTATTACTCAAACGTTACTATTTCAGAATCGTTATTATCTAAGCTTTTACCTGGCCCAGTAACAGTTATATTTGAAAGAAAATCGACTCTAAATCGGAATTTAAACCCTGATACGAATTTAGTTGGAATAAGAATTCCAAATCACCCATTTGTTCGGAAAATTTGTATGAAATTGAATTGCGCAATAGCTTTGACAAGCGCCAATTTAAGTGATAAACCTAGTGCTCTGAAAATAGAAGAATTCCGCGAAATTTGGCCCGACTTATCAAAAATATTTGATGGAGGCGTTATAGGAAATACAATAGAATCGAGGCTGGGATCTACAATTGTTGATTTGTCGAAAATAGGATATTTTCAAATAGTAAGAGAAGGTAGTGCATATAAGGAAACTGTACAAATTCTTGAAGAAAATGGTTTACGAAATATGCAAAATTAATTTAAGTAATAATCGTTTTGTTTGTTTATTGATTCTATCTAAACTTTTAATATTCAGAATAAAAATGAGATACTAAGAATGTTTGTAATTAACTTTTTAAAAGAAATCAACAGCGACATCTGATGATAATCTTCGATAAAATATTACCAGTTTTCATAGGTATACGGCAAAAAAAAAAAGATATTCACATGTGGTATTATATCTAAGACAAGTCAATGTTATGTATTTTAGGCTATTAACTGTTAAAAAAAGTCTAATATTAAGGGTAATTTATGACAAATATGGAAAATGATGAAATAAAAAACCTATCGCTGCAGGTGACTAACTTGTCTATATAGTTTATAAGTATGCATGCACTAATTTGTCAATTAACATATAAAACAAAATAGCTAGAAGAGTTATCTGTAGTCTCTTCAATGTATGAAGATGAATGGCGCGTCGAGGATGAGATAAATCGAAGATTCTCTTTGCAGTTGAGTGACATTGGCGGACAGCAAGATCAATCAGTTACACTCTACGTATATAGATTTTTATTACTTAGTATAATTTCAAGTTGAAATATTTTATTTCTATGACAAACTGGATAAGATTAATTTTAATCCCCTTTAATAATCAATAGGTTAATTTACCAGAGGAATATCCTTCTAGCTGTCCTCCTACATACGAAATAAGGTAATTTGACGACGGCGTCAAAATCTGAAAAGTAATCTTTTCTTTGCCCCAAGCGCACCATGGCTGGCCAGAAATGATAGAGTAAAACTTAGAAATGCACTAGAGGAAATCTATTGGTAATGCTTCAATTTCCTATAAATTATCTAGATTTAGCCAATTGATATTTTTGTTCCACAGCAAAAATAAGGGAGATTGTATACTCTATTTGTGGATCGATAAAGTAAAAAGCTTCTTTGAGGAATTACAGCAAAACGATCTAAGTAAGCGTTTATTCAAGTTGTCTATAACTAGCTGTAAATTTATGAGACTGTTTTTCTTATAATCTCTTTCAGTGTCTTTAAAAATAGATGATTCAATAAAGAATGACGATTTACAAACTGTCGCCAAAAATGATTTAGATTGTGAAAAGAATATCCAGCCGTGTCCTGAAATATTTCACGGTGAACCATTTACAGAGAGAAAGAGTACCTTTCAGGCTCATATTGCTGAAATCAGGGATGTGCACCAGGTATCGCTGGTTGTTCAGACCTTAAGACAGAATAAAAAGATAGATAATGCAACTCACAATATGTTCGCCTATCGATTACGGCGGTTTGTTTGGCACATAAAAACCCTCTGCAATTTTTTATTAGGTTTGCTTCACTAAGTTCATTTGCATACAGGGACGATGGTGTTTTAGTTTCCGATTGTGACGATGACGGAGAAACTCACGCTGGCTCTAGACTCCTTCATCTCTTAGAAGTTATGAAAGTTGTGAACTTGATAGTTATCGTCACTCGATGGTACGGTGGAATTCATTTGGGACCCGACCGATTTAAGCATATAAACAACGCTGCGAGATTTCTACTAGAGAGTCTTGGCTTTGACAAGGTTATTTCCCGAACGTCAAGAAATCATATAAATACCATATACAGTATATATAAGATAGATAATTGGTATAATATATTGTATATTTGTATTTATTATGATATTGGAGTTAATATTCTTAATTTCTTCTTTTCCTTTTTCAGTCAAAAGTCGAAAAATTTTGTAAGACAACAACGCAAAAGAAGCGGTGAGCCATGCTCTCCTATTAGCTTTAATAATAGCGTTAAGGAAGTGAATTTGCCTTCTATGCTAGCTTCCTTCGCAGTGAAAACTTTTAAAGCGCTTATTGCGTGCTACGATTTCTCTCATTGTGGAATACAAGAACACTACTAAGAAAAAAAGTGCGAAGTTCCAATTTATCTGCTCTTTTTAGGCACGTACTAAACCAATAGCTAAACTGATAGATTAAATGTCTGATTATATTATATAACTTTATGTATATTTAAACAAGGTTTATAAACCTGATGACATTAATCAATTTTTTCTCGCTGTCAAAATTCATACAGAAAGCAAACTGGATAAAAACAACCATGAATTAATTTATATTTCTGTTAAGTATATGACCCATAAAAATTATATTGATATATTTTAATAGAAAAGTTAGTAAGTGAGCAGAAAAAACGACTGAAAGGCACAAAAAAAGCACCGTTAAGTCAACGGAGCGAAGGAAAAATCACAGTCAATTTGAGGCTTTCTGCGTCTTTCGTTTCCAGTGCCACCTCTGATTAAGCGAACCATCGCAAGGTTGCATAGCTAATAGGTTATCAGCAGTTAAGTGCATGCACTGGTTTGTGGCTTTATGTTTTAAAGTCAAATCGTCACCGTAAATCCATTCTTGATTGCCTTTCATATTATGACACGGATAAATAATTATATCTTTTCCACCGGAAAAATCCATACATCCTTCATCCCGTCTGATCTCCCCATTTTTAGAAAGCATCCAATACTGCAAAGATATTTTTAAATTATTATCAATGCGCAACAATTGTTATTTTGACAAAGGAATAATGAAAAGCCAATAAAAAATATTCCGAGAGAACGCACAAAGGGGTAAAAAGATAAGAATATAAAAGAGAATATCTCATAACTCCCAAATCCGATTTTAGCGTCACTCACTTGATTGCCACCTAGATTATGACATCTATAAACTTTAATGCGTTTACCGGCGGAACGGCGATCAGCCATACCGTCTACGCAATATGCGCTATTACCCTCGTTGCGAATCTGTCATTTGGATAAGAAAATATTTAGAAAGCGTCGCATTTTTACCTGATTGCCTCCTTGCTTATGACAAGGCCACATTTTGAGTGGTTTATGCATGGCGGAAGATTCTACAGAGGCATCGAGGCACTGAGGTGCATTTTCATTTCTCACCTCTCCAGAAGCTACGGCATCTCCTGGAATAAAAAGTTCAGGATACACATTATCTATGTACCACTTGAAAGATTTGCATTTAAGCTTTTCCCTAAGGGCTCTCCTGCCAGAAACATCTCCGTACTCTCCTAGATCATGGTTGAACCTCTCATAGTAGTACGTCTTATACTCATCCATCCACACCTCCGCTAAGCGAACTGAATTCTTCTTGACGACATTTACTCCCGTTTTCCATTTGTAAGGGGATCTTTTGCGAAAAATGTGGCCAACATGAGAGCACGGAAGAATCTCCAATTTACCACCGCACATCCATGTCCTAAATGATAATTCAAGATTTTCTCCTCCCCATATATCCATACCAGGATCGTAAGTGCCTAGATACTCAAAAAATTCACGGCTAATTGCAAATAATCCACCAGCCATCGTGGGAGATCTGAAAAGAAAGAATATGTAAAATTCCTTTGGGAACAGCCTACTTCAAACGCAACATCATTTCCTTTTCTCTAGTTCTTACCTTACTGGATCGATATCCTTCGATCTCCTCTTCCTTTCTCTTTCTGGAATACTATGCCAGTTAAATTGCAAATTCCAATCAAACCCTCCGATGGACGTAGCTGAGGCGGACGAATGTTGGTAATGAAGTGTGTTATCATCGAGTACATCGATTACTGGTGTCACGACATTGTTCTTATCAATTGCTATCCTTGCAAGCATCGGCTCTAACCAACCCTTTGCACACTCACAGTGCGAATCTAAATAAGTTAATACTTTGCCTAAGGCTACAGAAGCGCCCAACAGGCGAGCCCTGATCAAACCTTCCCGTCGTTTCGTTCTAACAACCTTTACTTTAGGAAATTCAATAAGGTACTTTTTCAGAGGTTCCCCTAAATGAGGTTTGTCAGAGTAATCATCCACGAGTATGATTTCTCGTATTAATGAAGGCGGCGAGCGGTCTAATACCGAGTGAACCGTTCGTAAAAGTGCTGACCAGGCTTCATTGTGAAAACAGATGATAACAGAGGTATCAGGTAATCTTTTAGGATATTTTACATTTTTGCATTCTTGGTCCCTTACGTCGGGTAACGTTCGATGAATAGATATTTTATCGGAAGCGTATTGATTAAATGCATTGTCTTCCCAACCTTTATCATACAAGGCTCGTTCCTCAGGCGACAATTTATTTTTGTCTATATCCACGGGTCGACCCTTTTCCCCGGGGCCGTTTGGATCTTGCGTATGAATACCGTCGCTTGGTCCCTCTTCTAAAGGCTCTCCTTCGGCTTGTAAGTGATTTAGTCGTAGCCGTTTTTCGGCATTTTCAACACGTTGGTCGAAACTCAAATTATTATCATTCTCTGTATTTAAATTATCCGACTTTTGCAAGTTTTGTATTCCATTTCCTAAGTCATCTTTTCCCAAGGAGACATAATCCGATGGAGTGTGAAACACAACAGATACACCAATAGCCGAAAACCAAATAATTGGTATGGCTAAAATGATCTTAATAATAAGGCCCCTTCGCCTCTTCATCATTTCCTAATCATGGTGAATTCTGAAAAGATGCAGCCTATTAGTTTTCCGCAGTTGCGTGAGTTTTTAATTGGTAAATGTCAAATACTTTTTCTATTATTTAAGCGGGACTAGTAACATAATGGTAAATCCAAATGGTAGCCACGTCGTCATTTATGATCAATACTACGGGGAAGCCGCGTTTCACGGCAATTGATCCAACCGCAGGTGGTAACATAAAGGGGTGCGGCTAATCAAATATGAATGAAACGTTTGAGTAAATTAATCCATCTGCCATCTCCTACACATCCCAACTAAAAATACATCGATCTGAACGAAATCCTCAGGGATAACTATGCATATAAATCTAGGCACGATTCGTATAAGATTCTCGCGTATCGCTGAGGCATCAAACTTAATAAATACGACACTCGCGTCTATTGATGTGAACATCAAGAGCTGACAGCAGGCAAACATCATCAGCCAATTGACAAACATGTGCCAGTCTCGTTTAGGGTATAGGGTGAATTTGCTCTCCGTGCATAATTAAACGTTTCGCAATTGATGATGGATAAAGGAATTGAGATTTGCTATAGTGCGAAATGAGGCAGTGATGCATTGCTATGGTAACGTAATCGCCCAAATCGTACAATATACAGATTGCCTATAAAAGATCTCGAAGCAGTCAACTGAAATAATTGAGGAAAATTTCCTAGCTCGTATTTGCTACCTTTTGCCACTCTTATATTAATATCTGACACGCCTTCGATTTATCAATAGGAGCACTTAAAAAGTTTGATGCCACCTATCGTATACATTAATGAATAATATACTTTACGTTTACAATAGTGACGTTAAACAACACATATCAACGTACTTACCAAGAAGAAAATATAAAAATATATCAAAGATTATATTACGACAGCCGATAATAACCGGAACGATTTCGACTAGTCAAATGAAACTTTTATCGAACACGCGTCTTCTCACAGGGCTAACTTTTAAACGGAAGTGACGTTGATGTTTGTGTTCTATGCAATTTATTTATCCTAAAAAGTCTATCACTCCATCTACTGGTAGAACTTTTTAAGTGATTGATTTACGCATAAAGATTTTAAATTAGATCATATAAAGAGAATAAAGAATAAACATCAAATTATTATTTTAGCAATCAATCGAATTACTATCAGTTTTTTCTATTTCAATAGTATCTTTCGATTTTTCAGCCGATGATTCTTCACTGAGTTTCGTTTCCACTGATTTCTCTATATTTTCTGTATTTTCATTTAGAATTTTCTCATTTGACTGTGTTTTTTTTTCAATTCCTTGTTCAAATAGTAACGTAGCTCCTGGTACGCCTTCAATCGATACTGAAATATTTTCAGAATCTTCTAAATCTAAACTTTCCATGAGTTCAGTAAGTTTCTTAGCCTTTCTTAGTTCGTTTTGATGAATTATTGTATAAAGATGTTCAGTTAGCTGGTCTTTTTGTTCATGTTTTTCGTGTAAATCTAATTTAGCATCTATAAACTCCTTTTCAGCTCTGTCGTATCTTTTTTGAGCTTCTACGTACTCTCTACTAACTTCTTCTATTCTATCTCTAACTATTGAGACATCAACTGATAAAATATGATCAAGGTGTTCCAATTGTTGTTTAATCTTTTGTAATTTGACGGCTTCTTGCTTTGTTCTTTTTTGTCTAGCAATGAGCGCTTCGGCTAACAATTGTTTCTTTTTCTTGTTCTGTTCTTCCATAACTTTTTGTTGAATACGAAATTGTTCAACAGCAGTTATTTCTCTTGATATTCCTTCGTCTTTTGAGATTTCTTCTGTTTCTTTTGGTGAAGGAGATGTTGGAGCAGGGGGGCAACTCTTTTTCTCTTCATTTAGCGTTTTGTCTTCGCTTTCGTTATTGTTTTTTTCGTCAGCTCTTATATCTTCTTTCGAATTTTTCAAGTTCTGATTAGAAATAACTGCGTCCTCAGTTTGTTTTGTTCTCCCCTGAGGTCCAGGTTTGGACTGTGCTGATCTTTGTTGCCTGGGTCGTCTTTGACTAACATCTTTTGGTTTTGTTGGACCTTTCGATTTGGCTAAATAGCGTTTAAAATCAAACGAATAACAATTTATTATCGCTCAAAAGTAGTTTATAACTAAATTTTATACGATAATTGAATGGCAAATGTAACATTTAAGGTGATTAAAATATGTTAATTCGGAAGTGATATTTTATAAAAGACATACCATCATAGTTTATCTCTCTTTTAAATTTTTGCAGTTCCTCCTCAGAGAAACCAGCCCAACCCGCCATATCCAACGTGGCACTCCGATAGATGGCACTACTTTTACCCCATATCAATAGAAGACACCACTGAGCACTTACGACCCTTCAAGGTTGCAAGCAAAGGACAAGAAACTAGAATTATATATTCGGGGAATTATGTAATATTATTCCTTTGAACATGCTACCAATTCCACAGGCTATTTCGTCCGGTGTTGGACAACAAATTCCAAAGGTTTGTTCACACTTAAAGCTTGAACATGACCTCTAAAATTATGCTTAACTATCACAAAACAGTTCTTCCTAGCCGTTACATCTTGTCGGGGTTTACATCGTCTACCTTTACACGAAGAATGGTCTAAGCTTGCAAGCAAACAACTAAAGGGCAAAGATCCTAATGAAAGCCTAACTTGGCACACAGTTGAAGTAAGTGAAGACTACTTCAGGAACCCATAATACTATTCTTTACCATTATATAGTATATACTTGTAAATCAAATTGAACATACTATATATTTTAAACAGGGAATTGACATTAAACCGTTATATACGAAAAGAGATGGTGAACATGTGGAAGATGAACTTCCTGGGAAGTTTCCTTTCACTAGAGGTCCATATCCTACTATGTATACTCAAAGACCCTGGACTATCAGACAAGTTAATATTAAATTAAATGCAGATTATGTTATTCTATCTTTGTTTTCTTTAAATTCTTAAAATAATAGTACGCCGGATTCAGTACAGTAGAGGAAAGTAACAAATTCTACAGGGCTAATATAAAAGCTGGACAACAAGGTTTGAGCGTCGCTTTTGACTTGCCAACGCACAGAGGATATGATTCCGACAATCCCAGAGTCCATGGTGACGTTGGTATGGCTGGCGTAGCTATTGATTCTGTCGAGGATACTAAGGTGAAACATTTGAATAAGAGAGTTGTTATATTTTAGTAAAAGGAATTATTAAACGCAGCTCCTGTTCGATGGAATACCTTTAAACAAGATTTCGACTTCAATGACAATGAATGGAGCTGTCTTGCCTGTACTTAGCATGTTCGTTGTTGCAGCCGAAGAGCAGGGTGCAAAACAATCAGAACTTGCTGGTACAATACAAAATGATATTCTTAAAGAGTTTATGGTTAGAAATACTTATATTTTCCCTCCTGAGCCTAGTATGAAGATTATTGCCGATATTTTCTCGTATACTTCACAAAATATGCCCAAGTTCAATTCGATCTCCATCTCTGGCTACCATATGCAAGAAGCTGGAGCAAACGCAGTTTTAGAAATGGCCTTCACCATTGCCGATGGACTGCAATATTGTCGAACTGGCCTAGAAGCTGGTTTAGCAATAGACGATTTCGCACCTAGGTTATCGTTTTTCTGGGGCGTTGGTATGAACTTGTATATGGAAGTCGCAAAGATGAGAGCTGCACGTAGACTATGGGCAACCTTAATTAAAGAGAAATTTAATCCTAAGAAAGAAAAGTCCATGATGCTCAGAACACACTCTCAAACAAGTGGCTGGTCATTAACAGAGCAAGATCCTTATAATAATGTTATAAGAACAACTATTGAAGCTATGGCGGCTGTTTTCGGCGGAACTCAATCCCTACATACGAATGCTTTCGACGAAGCTTTAGCTTTACCAACAACTTTCTCAGCTAGAATTGCAAGAAATACGCAGATTATCCTGCAAGAGGAGAGCGGAATTGCCAAAGTAGCTGATCCATGGGCCGGTTCATATATGATGGAGCAATTGACCGACGAGATTTACGACGCTGCTAAAAAAATAATCGACGATATTGAAAACATGGGTGGTATGGCTAAAGCGGTTGCATCAGGAATGCCTAAATTGAGAATTGAGGAATCTGCTGCCAAGCGTCAAGCTCGTATTGATAGTGGTCAAGAAACAATTGTAGGTGTTAATAAATATAAACTACAAGAAGAGGACACTATCGATGTCCTTGAAGTTGATAATACTAAAGTAAGAGAACAACAAAAGGCTCGAATTGAACAAGTGAAGAGATCCAGGGACCCAACTAGAGCCCGTGATGCATTGGATAACATAACGAAATGTTGCGAAAGTGGAGATGGGAACTTGTTAGCTTTGAGTATCGAAGCTAGTAGGGCTAGGTGCACAGTTGGAGAAATAACCGATGCTATGGAAAAGGTTTGGGGAAGACACGTCGCAACTGATAGACTGGTTAGTGGAGCTTACAAAACCGAATATGGAACTGCAGGTGAATTAGAAAAGATTTCCCAAAGAATCGATGAATTTGTTAGCCAAGAGGGCCGTCGACCTAGAATTCTCGTGGCGAAAGTTGGTCAAGATGGGCACGATCGCGGTGGAAAAGTAATTGCCACTGGATTTGCCGATGTGGGATTTGACGTTGATGTTGGCCCTCTATTTTCAACTCCACAAGAGGCTGCTCAACAAGCTGTCGATGCAGATGTTCACATTGTTGGCGTTTCGTCTTTAGCCGCTGGCCACAAGACACTTGTACCTGAAGTTATTGAAGAACTAAAGAAAATGGGAAGAGAAGATATTCTTGTTGTCGCTGGAGGTGTTATACCACCTCAAGACTATGAAGTATTGTTCAAAGCTGGCGTGGTAGATGTATTTGGCCCAGGAACCCCTATCCCAACAGCCGCTAACCGCATAATGGACGTTTTACTCGGTCAGAAAGTGTCTCATAAAGAAACTAGCAACAGTTAAAAAATCTAACTTTCTTGTCATAATCTTTAATATATGTTTAATGCAATCGTCAAAATCAATTTAATAGATAAAATAAAACTTCAAAGCTTAAAGTTCAATAGTTTTCGCAAAGAATCTCTTGTTAGCATGCCATGTGATTTGATATTGAAACGTGAATGCACCTCCAGAACAGTGATTTTTATATCTTAAGATAAAGTGATAATACATCTGATAAAAATTATTATAAATCAAAGTTCGATAAGCTGTATATTTTTTTCCTTCAAGTTTGAAAAGATATAGTTTTGGCGCCAGCAGAAGACACTGTCATTTAATCGAAATATTTTTTATTAGAATTTTCTTCGTTCCTTATTCCAAAATGGCGTCAGCACTCTGCAGGAGCGTTTCTAATATTTCTCGTCGTTGTATTGCTTACAGCTCTTTAAGATTTGCAAGTGCGGGTCCAGTAGTTGATCCACAAAAAGGAAAACTTGGTATGGTAATTTTTTAAAAACATTATTTTGTAGTTTTCTGTTATATTAAGATATTATGCTCGCCCTTTAACAATGTCGCTTGAAAGTCATGAGCTGTTATACCGATTCTTTGTATTTACTACTTTACAAATTAAGTTTTAAAAAGAAATAAATAAATTGATCGTAATTCTTTCATAGTATCGGATGCTGTTACGATGCCTGATGGATTAGGCCACTCTGTTGGTCCTGAACGTTGGGAACTTTTGGCCCGCTTAGCCGGAAATGAAGTAAGTATAACTGGTCACTTATCAAGATATTTTATTCCGCGAAGTTGTTAAACGAATAGCAGTTAATATGAAGAAGTATTTTTATTGTTGACTAATATTAAAGTTTATTAGTTTTTCAAACGGAAACATTTTAAAAATTAATTTCAATTAACTGGGAAATATAATTACCTAATTTTTTTCACATTTAGGATCCATTTGAAATGAAGGTGAATAAGAGAACAGGAGGTACACTGGATAGCCCAGTTGCTGTTCCATCTATGTATGAAAAACGTTTAGTTGGCTGTATTTGTGAAGAAGACGCTATCAGTATAAATTGGATGTATCTTCACAAAGGTGAGCAGAAGCGTTGCCAATGCGGTCACTGGTTCAAACTGGTCGAAATGAAACCAATCGACATCGCCGCTTAGTGGACAATATCATGCGTTAAGTCTGTCTTGCGTCGACGACAGTTTCTCTAACAATAGGATACGTACAAAAATAAAATTTAAATATGGAATAATTGATGAGTTTACTTACACAGTTGTTAAATTTTCTGTAGTAGATCGCTTTAGTCTATCAATGATGGGTAGGAGTATTATTAATAGGCCAGAAAATACGGTTACGGCTCCTCCGACTACAAACGAAACCACATGTTGATGTGTTATATCGTACAATAAACCCGACAGCGGAGGACCTATAAGAGCACCAATACCGTCCGCGAACATGCAATAACCATAAGCAGCAGGTAGCCTTTCTAGGCCAAATTCTTCCACTGTTATTAAAGCTAAAAGGCCTATTTGGGCTCCGAACAGAAGTCCATAACCTGAGCACAAGATAATATTCATTGTGTAACTCAAACGAAAAGGATAAAATAATAAAAGAATCCCGGAAATCACATTAGGTATTAAATATGGCCAGATGTGTCGTTTACAGCATTTTGCGCCACAACCCATAAAAAATCTTCCTAAAGTGCTGCATATACCAACAGTAGATAACACCCAAGCAGATTTCCAGTCAGGTAAATTAATTGCTTTATTGTAATCCGGTAAGGTTACTAAGAAAATAAGATTTCCGATATTCCATAAAACATTATTTAATAAGAGTATGAGAAATTTGGCATCAGTAAGCAATGAAAGTGATGCTATACTTTCTAAGGTATTGTAAATTTTTTCCTTGACAGACGTTTTGAATAGAAAAATAGAATGTTCTTGTTCGTCCTTGACCGATTTTTTTAAAGGTTTGACCAGTGCCCCTAAAACACAACACTGAAGCATTATACTAGCTGAAACAAATAAGGCACTTCTCCAACCGTAATAATCTAATCATTGAAAGACGAAGATTATGATATTTGATAAAGAAAAAAAACACATTGAGAAAAAACTTACTTATAAGTTTAGTTAATAAAGGTGCAAAAACCAAAGATCCAATCCCAACCCCAGCTGATGATATTGGTAAGGTGATTTTCACATATCTTTTGCAATGTTCAGCAACCATTACAACTGACGGTATATAGATGAAACTAAATCCTATACCGGTTAGTAGACCATAGGTAAAGTACAAGTGAATGACATTTGTTGATAAAGTAGCCAAAGCGAGTCCCAAAGACGAAACAATGCCACCAGTAATAATTGTGAAACGAGTGCCTAATTGATTAACCACCAAACTTGCAACTGGTCCAGCACCAAATAAAAGACCCGTATTTAGCGAGCCTATCCACCATACTGTAGAACGGTACTCGGAAAACAGCTGGAAGTGTAGAAGATATATACCGGAGCAAAAACTGTGACCAACAGTTGTTGCTTGTAAGATGAAAGATATAGTAGTAACAAATATGCACTGTCCAATACGCGTTGCTTCCATATTTTATAAGGATAATGTAAAGTCTAAAAAAGAAAAATCATTTTTAAGTTAGCAGTGATAAATAAAGCTCATATTTGAGGTAAGTTTTGGATGCTTCTGCTATTCAAGTCTACCTTTAAAGTTTAACGAAAGATCTTTCCGTCAAGAGTTCATTCAACAGTTGTATTTTGCAATCTCACGAAACAAAACCTTGAAAATTTAATAGAGATTATATGAAAAATATAAGTATCAATCTAAAAAATCGTAGTTTTTTTTTATTAGTCATCAAAATAATTATACTATTTATGAAATAATGCTGTTACGTCAATCTAGATTACGTCTGATATGATGATGTTTTATATTAATAGGAGAAGAAAAAGATTATTTTTTAAGCAAAAATCTTGATTTAACTTTTTAAATAGTAAAAAAAGAATACACGGTTTTTTTTTTATTAACTGATCAATCGATGTCAAGTCGCTACCTTGATACCGCAATAGAAAAAAAAACAATCAATTATTTATCTTGAAGCTAGAAATAAAGTAACAGTTCAATCCAGGCAAAAACACACGTATTTGATATCATTTTTTCATATTTTTCAATACTTTTTTTTGTAATCATTGTTGTTTAGTTTATGTTCTCTTTTTAAAATACATAATATATATTTATCTGATATTAGACATTTAACATGTCTTGTATATACATACATACATCTTACCTTTGTATTTTGAATCAGGCCAAATTTCGAAATTATTACAAAATTAAGATAGGAAAACACAAGTAGTTTGTGATATATATATACTTCCAGGCTTCGAACTTCGAATAGTGGCTCGTCTGGAAGATTATTTTTTTTTTTAGTTTATTCTCTTTATAAATAATAAACAGCGAACATAATAATTTCGTTTATGCAGCATATGGTTTTAATCTCAATCACCGGTACTCTGACTGCCTAATTCAATTGTTATCCATTCTTCTAGATAAATAGTAAAGGCACAAATGGTTTTATGTTCAGATTTAACTGCTATATCAGTACGTGTGTCGCCATCTGCTGATAATTCGAGTTTTATCAGAAAAACGTATAAAGCGCTTTCCGTACTGATATGAATTTAACAATTAATATTTAATTGGAATATAAAAGAAGGTTAAATATATTCATTTTAACATATTTATTAAATCTATATCATAAAGCAAATCTATAGTTTAACCGTTGTTTGTGTTGTTATTGATGGTAATGTTGTTATTATTAGTTTGTCAGCTAATTTAAATAAGTGTACGTATAATTAATACTCTAGAATAGGAATTAATAGAGCAAACTATAATTAAAACTAAAAGGTAAACTCCTGTTTTTATTTTCAAAGCAGACATTTATTCCTTCTAGCTGGTCGTCTTTGTCGGTTATTGTTTGTTTATTTGTTAGCTGGTCATCTTTTTTTTATGCTTTCCTGCAATGAGGAAAATAAAGGAAAATCGAAAAGAACAATATATATATATATATATATATATATATATATATATATAGAGAGAGAGAGAGAGAAAGATAAACAAAGAAGGAGAGACTAGGATGAAAATCTCAATAAAAAGTCATAGTTTTCTGTCATTTATGTATAACAGACACGAAGGTATATAAATAAACAAATATAGATATTTATATGTATATTTATGTGTATATATATATATATATATATTACTGTATATAAACAGCATATTGAATAATTTTTTATTTAATTGATGCTCTCTTCTTGAAGGAAATGCAAATGGGATTATCTGCTTTCCAACTAAAAATTTTGTCACATTAATCGATAATAGGCGTATGGTACATTATCAGTTTGTATCGCCTAATAGAGTTTATTAGTCGTCTTTAGAGCCTTGTGAAAAAGAAATGTCACTTGAAATCATTTTTCCTTTGGAAATACTTCAGTTAAGCAAATTTTAGTGCTGAAGCGTCATAGCGCACTCGTAGATGAACTTTTCCGGTGGACGACAGGCATTGATAGATGGTGCGGCGGTCGTGAGCGTTCCGAGGTTATTCGGCATTTTATTATTTCGAACGGTTTCGTTGTCTACTGGAGAGTAGTTTGTTTCGCTTCGTCTTTGCTGGTTTTTAAGGCAGAATAAGCCTGCAATAACTATTGTACAACTAACTGCAACCGCAATACCAAGTATGACAACTATCCACGCGGCGTAAGGTAACGTCACTTCGCCCCAAGTGACGCTACTTGATCGTTGTATAGTTAGGCTGCAGTTGGCCGCATGATGACTAGTCCATTTTCTATCCCTACAGAAGATTTTCCATGATACACCTGTAAGCTTGCATGTTATCGTGGCTTCGTTTCCTCTTCTCGTGACTTTCATGTTGGCGTTGATTGGGTGGGGATCTAAGCAGCCTGTTACTGTATAGGTGGCACGTTCGACTGATATTTTTGCTATCTTTTGTATTAAATAAGTAATAAGGCCTATTTCAGCCAACGTTTTACGTACCTTGGTAATAAACTACAAACTCGTGGTGCTCCCGGGGATTATTAAATTTAACGTTCATCACTATTTTGATTCTATTGGAGAAATTACCTATCCTTTCATTGTAACGGTAGGAAGTATTGCAGGCAGTAACTGTCTCTTCCTTGCCGGTTTCCATGTCGTGAACGTCAAAAAGTCGATGACAGCCTTCCGTTATGTTAAAGATTATCGCGGTTAAAGCAATAGTTTGACCTGGAGGTCGTCGGATATGCCACGGACAATTTACCGTTCCGACTCCAATCGATTGCGCAATAGAACTAGAGATATAGCCTGATTCTGACTTTAATATGATGTAACTATGCGAGTCACAAGCTTGTTTAGATGCTACTCGAACGCCTACACATTCGTACTGAGCCTCTAGGTAAGTAAAACCGTTTTCACAACCGGACCACTTCTGTAAGTCATGATTAGGTACATCAATGGTACAATTACTCTTTCCTCCGCATAAGCCGTTAATTTTCTTCGCAATATCAGTCCAGCATTCCCCTTCGCTACCGACATAGCTACACGACGTCGTCCTCTGCCTTCCAACACTATCATAATATACATAAATCAAGTGATAGATAGTTTGGTTTATAGGCGCATCCTAGCCAATATAGTATGTCTTACTGTTTATTTACATAAATAGAATATATGTACTTGTTTACGCTCATGGATTGCGAATATATAAAAAGTTTTTGGGCAAAACTATTAGTCATTTACTGGACTAAGTAAAAGTCTTACTCACAATGCTTTGGTGATGAAAATAACTTCGTCGGCAGCGCAGGATGGTTGGAATTTCGAAAAGGGGCAGATTTCCTTGCAATCTGTAGGAACGTTTAACCGGATCGTAATTATTCAGTTAGCCGCCGGCGTTTGCCGACTGCAAACCGTCTAGAATTTCGCGTACAAATGTCGTCGACGTGGCATCTGCGCCGCAATCTGAGAAGTTCGCCTTATCCGCTTTTGCAGACGTTTATCGGCGTTGATGAAAGACAGCACTACGACAGCTAATCATATCTAGACATTCTAAGTATTTTACATTCGTTATTTGATGAACATATGTATGTGTGCAGACGTCTCTTAGACAGCGTCGATCATTCATCACGCGTTGCGGCTTTCGGGACGTGCCATTTTCTCTCCATGTGTATAAGAAGGCGCTAGCGATTGAAGTGGTGAAAATCCAATTGAGTTGTCCATTTGCCGTCTTATTGCAGCCTACACTTCCATTTGCCAATTTACGCGTGTACAAGCGCAACAGCGATTTTTTTTCAACGCAGGTGACGCTGGCTAGATTGAGACGGACGTTTCTTAACGACCTATTCGAAGCTTTTAGACGGTTCCGCGTGGTCGAACATTTTTTTTCTTTTGCGCTTCGACAAATTTCGCACGCCATTTCGTCATCGTAATACGACTGACGGATTATTTACTTACCGTGACAAACTGCATTTATCGCGCGAAAAAGCAATTGTCTCGTATACATTTGTGAAGAAAATCCTAGTTTTATCTTTATGGTCTTCCTATCCAAAAACCTAAATATTCTAGATAGCTTTTTACACTCTATAAATTGCTTGGGTCGATAACCAACCTAATTAACGGATTCGTTTTGCAGCTGATGCCTACTTTGATTTTACTTATTTTACCTAAGTAAATCTAACAACTGAAATAAAAATGACAACTATTAATAAAAAATCTACTTACATATTAAGCACACTAAGAAAGAAAGTAAAAGCAGCTCGACGGCAAACCGTCTCATTTCGACGCTTCTTCTGCTAAAAGTGCGCGCCGCCTCGACTTGACGTCGGCGCCGCACGGCGTCTAATTTCTATCGTTTTGTTTCATATTATTTTTCTTTTTTTTTACAACTCCAAATTAACAAAAGCTGTTAATAAAAAATTGTAAATTGCAGTATAAAGCAACCGCAAATGAATCGCTGCGTGAAATCAATAGGAAAAAATATTACTGATTAAATATAAAGTTTATTTACTGGTGTGAAAAAAAGCGCGCGCTTTTCTCCTTTTGTGTACAATAATATGTATACTGTATAGATATTTATATATTTTTCTTCTATTCACAATATTCCCGACCCGAGAGCATCTTCGCTGATTTTGTCAGCCAATTTCGCTTCAAACGGAAGAAATTTGATTTGAAGGCGACGGCTCTGCTTTGACAGACCGCTATATGCATATATTTTATAACATTAGTTGGCCTAATCAATAACATATATACTATATATATATATATATATAAATATATATATGTTTTTTATAAAAAACAAATTTGTAAGGATAATTTCAGTTTATTTTTTTGTTTTCGTATTTAATTAGCAATTTTTCATTTCGTTTTATTAAATAGTTAAAAAAGATTCAAGTTTTTTTTTATTAGTGTTCTATTTTTAAAACTCTTTCCTCATTTCAAGGCTTCAGAAAGAAAAAGAGTTTAGGAGTGATGGGGATAGGGAGTAAGAGGAAGGTTTCTTTCTAATTTATATTTTTATTTCTTTTTTATACAGTAGGTTTTTTCTATATATATATATATATATATATATATATAAATTTATATATATATATGTATATATAGTATTATATTTTATTGCTGTAGAACGTTGTTAAAAGGGATAAGAAGATATCTGGAATAAAAATGAGAAAAGATTTTTTTTACTACTCACCAAAGAGAAAATAAGGAAACTAGTTTCTTTTTCGTTTATTTTCTTTTAGCCCTTCTTATCCTTTGTTTGATTAGTCGAAGTTGATGGAGGTTTCCTATCCTTAGCTAGAGCTGATTTCGGTTTTTCACCTCTTGAAGTTGAAGCTATTGGGTAACCGTCCACGCCAAATTGCATGTGAGAGCGAAACATCGGATCCAAGGGTGTTCCATATGTGTGGGAAATTCGAACTTGCTTAGCCGCGAGTACATTTCGACTATTTTCCCGTCTATCTTCCGATGGTAGTTTGCCAAGGACATCTTCCTCTTCTTCTTTACGGATTCCGGTTTGTTTGAGGAAACTCTTGATACCGAGATGTATACAATCATTATAAATGCCGAGATGAGTGTACAGTTCTGGTCGATACTTGAGCTTTTCAACAATTGACATAGATCTTAACTGATATTCAACTCTCATCCAATCCTTTTCGTCCATAAAGTTCTTAGTGAAAATATGAATGCTATAGCCTTTACTGGCAGCAGCAAATCTTGTGGTGACTTTTGCCGCAACTCCTAATTTGCCATCTCTCGTTGCCGTGGCAATCAAATTCCAATAATGGTTAACTTTATCGAACCTAATCTTTTCCATGTTCCACTTACCCATTTTAACACCAGTTTTCTCCGCAATGCCTTTTATAAACTCATATGATGGATTGAATTTTGGATCGTTCATTTTATCGGTCCATAAAGCTTTCGCCATTTCCACATCACCTTCCTCTATGGTCGAACGCGGGTTTCCAACATAAATCCAAACGGGTTCTGTTCTTTCGTCTATTCTTTCATCGGGGTTTCCTGGCTTTTCCGACGAACCAGTTTGATTAGGAGGGTAGGTTTTTAAAAAAGCTTCAAAACTTTCCCAACCTGATGGATCGTAGAAGATCCATTTACTGGCCGTTTCTGTTGAGTTCTTTTATTTTATAATTTGTTTTTTTTTTCAAAAATTTTCAAATTTTCAAAAGTTAAGGAATAAATGATAAACATACACTTATTGAAAGCAAATAGTTGAGAAAAAGCTATATTTATTAAAGTATCTTTAACATTTTATCTTATCTTTGATATTCTGGTTAATGTTGAGTCAAAAAAGTTAGTTACTTTATATATTTAACTTACCATTAGTCTGCCCGGCTTCTTCTTCCGCCATTTTTTCACAACAGATGGAGCATTATTCGAAATATGGTACCCTGGTGCATCAGCACGGAAAGGTTACCATACGTAAGCGGATTCAACATGGAAAACAGCGGCTGGGGGTTAGAAAAAGAAAAAAGCTGAGGAACGATAGGGGATAATGCTCTCTTCATGATGACTGCACGCCGGCTTGTTACGGATTACGTTATATATCGTTTAGAAAGGGAACATCTTGACTTTCCTGGACCGAATACGAAACAATATAACAACGAGTACGACAAGCTGAGAGAGCCCATCAGAGCGTTGTGCAAAGAATTCGAAGAGCGTTACATCGCCGCCTTCGAGAATATGGTTGATCAAATTCATATAGCTGACGACAACGCCAAGGACTCATTTACATCGGTCATTAATGAATTGTTTTCCGATGGTGTGAGATGGGGGCGAATCGTCGGCCTCTTTGCCTTCACCGGTGCTATTTGCGTGCAATGTGTGCAGAAAGAGATGCCCTATAAGGTAGAACAGGTCATTGATTGGACAACAACATACCTCGAAACAGAATTAAAACCTTGGATGGACGAGAACGAAGGCTGGGTGAGTTAATCTTCTAAAGACAAAGAAACGCTATTGCGTGTTCGAAGTGGGCAGGAGGGGGGTGTGTGTGTACACATGAATCACGTCGGCGTAATTAATCTATATCATGTCGTATGGGTCCCTTATTAGCTGTTCAATGATTAGCTACAACTTACATTTTAAAACAATCCCCTTTCACTATACAAAGCAATTTGACAAATAATCACAAATTTTTTGCATAAATCTCCACATTTCGTATAGAATAACAACTGATAAGATTTTTACAAAGTCAGCTACAAATTCTTTTTTTATTGTGTAACAAGAATACGTTTATTATAGTAATATTAAGTAAAAAAAAAGCATTGGTAATGGATATTTTCTCTTTGAATAACGAAAGAGTGAGTGAGTGAGAGAGAGAGAGAGAGAAAAGACAGAGAATGATAATAACTGATTAATCATGAATTGTTTATATAGGAACAATTTATAATATTGTACTAAAGAAAATAAACAATATTCAATATATATAGTTTGTAGACTATTTAAACGAATAAGTAACAAATTTATTATTCATAACGGAACTGGAATTGTATACAATTTTAATTCTAATACAAACTGTTACAATACAATTTAGAAAGCGCTAGGTTACGTTTTTTGTATTATAGTTTCCCACGATTTATTCGAAAGAACACATGTGGCATTTGTATATAGTTTTGATTTATAAAAGATTTACTATTTTATTTCACATTCTTTTCCAGTCAATTATTTACGTTAGATCATCATCATTTGTGTTTAGAACACGCCTGTTACTCTTCACAATTTATTTATTTGTTTTATTCCTTCTCTTTTACCGCTATTTATGATGCCTTTCTTATCTTATGTTTTTTTTTTGTTCTTTTTTCTCTTTGACAATTAGGATGGATTCTTGGAATTTTGCAAAACTACGCTAAATGAAAAGGATCGAACAGTCTTTTGGTCCAGAACACTGCCAATCATTGGAGCAGCTACGGGAGCGGCCATTTTAATTGGATCAATGCTACTGAAACGTTGATTTATTATATTTTTACCGAAAATAATGTTACTTCTAAATTTATGACGAAAATTGATGAGCAAAAAAAGGCAAAATTCTCACTACCTCTGTTCAAAAAACACAAAAAAAACAAACACAAATTCTGTTTACGCTGTTGTCTCGCTGTTCTACTCACTTGTAAGGAAGAATAAGGAAAATGAACATAACCGGAGAGGAGAAAAGAGATAAAGATTAAGAGTATATGATCGATATGGTTGAATTTCGCCTACGAAAACAAAGAAAGTATAACTGGTACTCTCACGAACAGTCTCCACTTCATCCTCCCTCTCTCGTTACGTTCTTCTTACAATCCCTATTCTCTCTCTTTTTATTTTCTCTTTTAATTTTTTTTGTTTCCATTTTTAGCTTTCTTTTTAAAAGTATGAGAACATTTTTCGAGAAATGAAGAGTTTCTAAACTTGGTAGTTTTATTAGTTTTGATTGTGTTTTTCTCCTGCAGAGTGTTTTATTTGGAAAAGAAAAAAACAAACTTGTAAATAACAGTCGTTTTAGCTTTTATTTTTAATTTCTTTTTTATTAAATCTACACTTTAAATATAGAATAAAATGCAGTTTTAACAAACTCTTTAACGGCTTCTTTATTATCCATATTTTGTTTTTTGGAGAAATAATTCGATATGTCAAAAAAAAAAAATTAATAAACATTATCTATATTAGGCGTAAGATTGAAGCAGTTCATTGAGGAAATTGGAGATTTTCAGATAATATTAAATCCATTATATAATTAGCGTTTGTCATGGCATTGGTTAAATTATACTTTTCCTTTTGCCACATTAGGTTAGGTCCAAAAACAATAGCAATGCTTTGCGCTTGCATTCTGTTTTGTCCTTTTAACTCTAGAACTCGACGAAGGTGAATAATTAATTTAGAAAAAGTATTCAATCTACATTCTGGTAACTTGTTAATGCAGGATTGGATCTTTGCTAATTTTTCATTATGTGTTAATTGCATTGCCTCAATCATTTCGTCGAACACTTCATAAGGTATTAGAGGCTCACTTAGTTCTCGGAAGAAGAGTTTTAGTGCACCAGTTAGAACGTTAATGTCTTGAACGTCATCCAAACAGAAATCCTGCTGCTGATCTATTTGCCAGCGAACGCTTTGAATTTCCGCCTGATTTCCGGATAGTCTATATATTCCGTCATGTTGTAGTCCCTTCTTCTCGATGGCTGCTATACACTGTTCAATAAATTTAGGACACAAAGAGTTTTCTCGTTCACAGATGCTTTCTATGGTCGAGCCAAAAATAAGTGGATCTGAATGAATAAATATGAATGTTAGTGATATATAATTTACATACAATGTTACAAGAAAGAAGAGAATTAGGCAGATAAATCGATAGATATATAGATAGATAGATAGTTTGTTAGATGGAGCAGAATGAGAAAATAGAAAAACAAAACACCTTTAAGAATGCCTTTAGCTTTCACTTGTTCAACATTTGGGCGGCGAGTGATAAAGCGTGATAAAAAGTCTCGAAATTTAGAGTTGCTTCCTCCTCCTCCTCCTCCTCCTGCGCCTCCTCCCTTCTCTTCGACACTTTGCTTTCTTTCTAGAGTATCTGCGAGATTGTTCAGTATAAAAAACAAATAGCCTGCTATAAATCGTTTCGTCTTGTTACTGTTTAATATGCTTTATAAAACAATAAACATTGTGTTTTAATAAAGGCGTAAAAAAGCAAAAAGAAGATGTGGATTGTTAATAAAAAAATATGAAATAGTCAATTAGTTAATTACTTTGTTGTTTTTTTCTATTGTTAATTATCGTGTACTATTTGTCAAGATTATTTAAAATTAATCAATTAACTAATTAATTGATTAATTTAATTAACTAATAAAAAGGAATAAAAAAAACAACTATAGCTTACTTTCACGTGACGAATTTCCTCTTTTTTTGTCCTTCTTCGATTTTTTATCCAAGATTGGAGATTGGGAAGCTCCTGGTAAATTTTCCATTGAAGATGATAAATTTGTTGCCTTAAGAAGTGAATCTTCTATTCCGTCTAATTTAAATGGTAGATGAGAATTATTATTCAAAGTTTCGAACCAATCTTGAGCTTCTGCAGTATTTTCAGCTGATAATAGGAACGTTCCACTTTCAGGGCTTGTAACTTTGACAATATATTTTCTACTTGATTCCGAACTTTTATCACCCACTAAAACCACTTCCGCTTTACATAACTCAATTTGAGAGTCCATTTTTTCTTTAGAACAACTTGTAGGTGAACTAAGACTACTCTTTTTATTTTCTTTATAAAAGCATAATTTAGAACCTTGAGTAACGGCGAACACAGACGTCCAATTTTTTCTAGAGATAGTAATTAACATATTTTTTTCTTAGTATCAAATAATAATAAAAAATTAATAATAATAAAAATTATACTTAATCTTCTTTTTATTATTATCAGATATTTTCGTTTTGGCAAGCGTTCCTTGTTTCGTTTTGGGCTGGAAATGGTTGTTTTTAAAAAAAAAAAAACAAAAATTAATAATAAGTAAACATGTAGATAAGAGTCTGGTTTTTTTTACTAACAATAAAATAAAATAGGAATTCTTTATCATGCACAAGAATGATATTGATATATCTATAAATAGTTATTTGTTATATAATATAAACAATACTTAATAATGTTAAATTATTTAATAAAATACAATAAATAGCTACTTCTCAATAGTCTGTAATACAAAGAGAGAATATAAAAAGTAACTGAAGCATGCCCATTCAAACAAATCTTACTAATATAAAGTATATAAAAAAAAACGAAAAGAAAAGAAGCATAAGGAGAAAGTAAAATGAGAAGAGAGTAGCTTCTTATTTTATGATTTTTTTCCTATCCTTTTCTATTATTAAAATATACTATATACGAATCCATATCTATTCTATTTATAAAGTTCTATTTCCTTTTTCGGACGCATGCTCATAACATTATTCTCAAAACTAGAAAAATATTGTAAAAACTATAAAATGACAAAGCAAAAAAAGAAAAATAGAGTATATAATAAAAAAATATAAGAATCTGTATATACTGTATACTGTATGTGAAGGGAAAAGAAAAAATAGCTCAATATATTCTTTTCTTGAGAATAACAAAAGGAAAAAAATATATAAACATGCTCCAAAACATCTATTGTACCGTTATATATCACCTGGCAAAAACGAAATGGATAAAAAGCCGATCGAGTACGAGAAGATCTACTATCCCTCGATTCCTAAAATTCAATTATATACATATTTTCCTTTAGTATGTTGAAAATTATGAAAATCTTTGTTTTAACTTAATTAGAATAATATACATTGTCTTTTTATTTATTTATTTATTTAGTCAACTACCTGAATTACAGGCTTAGTACGAGACGAAGTTGATTTGACTCTATGTACAGGATGACCACGTCGAGGAACAGGCGTTGAAAGAAAACCCATCTAAGTAAAAGGCAGTATTGTTTGTTTTTTTTTTGTTTGTTTAATGAATTAATTTATGAACACATTCATACAAGAATATGGATAAATGATTAAATAATTATCCTTAGTTTTTGTGTTTTGCACTCCACCTTTTGTATATAGACGAATAATTATTAAAAAGGTGAAAGAAACAGAGAAATGGCTACTTACTTTATCAAAACCTTTAGCATCCTGAAAGAAGAAAAGAAAGGAAATTATATAAAAAGAAAAACATTTATTTAATTAATACTTTTAATAAATAAATAAATAAAATCTTATTAACTAATATAATATATATATAGCTGATAGTTTTTCGTTATGTGCTATTTGTTTCGGTTGTTAAAATATGGATGGAAAACTACAAACAAGAACTAACATATCAAGCTATCTAACTAAAATGGAAAATATAGAAATTGATTTTTAAAAAAAAAATAACAAACATTTAAAAGAATACATTTTAATAGTTAGTTTAAGAGAATAAAAGAGGAAAAATATAAAATACCAAATTATTATCTTCTCTTTCGTAATTGGTTCTTGCATTATTTAAAAATGAAGATTTTTCATTTAGTAATAAATTCGGTTGGAGGATTGATGATCTCACACTCATCTTTTCATTACGATTCATCGGTCTTAGACAACTGGCATTCGCTGATTGCTGTTTTTGTTTTAGATTAGCATGCGACAAGTGAGAAAAAAAAAAAAAACAACATTTAAAGCAAAAAAAAAAACAAAAAAGATCTAAAAACTAAAATAGATTGTGCTGTTTTGCTAATTTTTTAAAATGTTTACTAATTTTTATCTTGTTTATTTGTTTGTTAAAATTTAAATAATAAACTAATAGATACCGGTATTGGAAGTTTCCATTCAGAGTGTTGAGTGTCCAAGTTATAGTAGTACATTTTACCTGACGGATCAACTGAACTATTCCATTTACCCTCGATAGATGGATGGATTAAAAATGAATGGCCATTTTCGTTAACCCTGGACCAACCTTCCGGCAAATCTTCAGTAACTGATGAAACAGAAGATCCCCTCTCCTGTTCTGGCTATATAAATATATACGTATTAAAATACAATATAATTGAAATATCTATATAAAGAATAGAAATAAAAAATAAAAAAAGAGAGAGAGAGAGAGAGAGAGACAGTAAAGGATGCTATTAGCCATAAAAAAAAGAATAGAGAACAGAAAGAATTGAAGCAAATTAACAGTAATCAATTAATGCATATACTATTTACTTAGCTATATGAAAATAGCAATAATCATAAATAATGAATTTATGAACTTGCTATAATATATTATTGTTACTTTGTTTTTCTTTGAATTTTTTTTTGGCTTTTGGAAAGGGGATTTTTTTTGTTTTTTTTTTAATCCTTTTACCTCAAAATTACGGTTATATTGAAGAGTTGCATCAACAGGATATGGTACACCGAAAGAATTAAGTGGAGGAGGAGGTGGCTGAAAATTAAAAGCGTTTCAAAGCGTTAAGTTATATAGGACATGCCGCCATCTTATAATATAATATAGATATATTATTTAGAATAGATAGTTTGTTTTTTCTTCTCTTTTTTAATAGAAAGAGAAATGAGCATTGCTTAGATGATAGAAAAAAAATTAAAAGGTTAATAGAGAACTTACGGACTGAGAGTTGGGGGAAATTTGTTGAACTTTTGACTTTTCTGGTTCTAAATGCTCTCTCTCTACGTAAGGTTTAGGAGGTGGCGGAGCCATAGACTTTTTCTTATGGAATGTACTATTATCACTCCGTAATTGTGTATTAGCGTATAATGGATCATCGTCTAATAGTTTAGCAGGCGAACTACTAGAAGAACGGTTATCACTTCCATAATCTGACGTAACACTCCTCTCAAGGGTGTTGCCCGGTGACGAATCGGGCGTTTGTTTCGTCTGAGCTTGATAGCTAGTCTGAGGGTGTGGTGAAGTAGCGGTATTGTTATTTTTAGCAAATTGTTGGGGTCTTTGGCGAGGTGCTGGTTTTGGTTTGGGTTTTGGTGGTATTTCGCCAATCGTAATTATCGAGGTACCTCCTAATTTTTTCATTTGTTTTATTTCTTCAGTATTTACGTAGGTTGGCTCTGAGAGGTTTTTTGATGTGCTACCGCCTTCTATTGTGTCCTCGGCCACCTCAATGGTGGATACGTGTTCCGCGTTGTGAATCTCTTGGCTAGGCGATGATAAGTGATCTCGCTCAATCCCTGCATCGACTTCAACTACAGTCTTGTAAATTAGCTGTGTGTTTTACGTTGACGAATGACCTTTAGAAATTCTTTGAAATTCATTAGCACTTACTTCTAATAAATCTGAAGGCGCCCTTAAACTTCTAGTCTCGCCAATTTTGCAAACAAATGACCAATTGTCTCTGAGCGATTCAATTAACTTTGCTTCCGTACCAGCAGATATATGTATCTGTTGTTTTTTTATTTTTACGCAAGATAATTAATCTTTGACATTAATTATTTTCGTTGTGTTTTTTTTACAAACCTCCTCTGATCGATCACTATAACACGTACAATCCTTTAAAAATTTCACATAAGTATCCATTTCACTCCAATCTATTTTTGCAGGTATTCAATGGTATGCTATAAACTGTCAACGAGAAATTATTTAATTATCGCATCTAAATCTTATCAGTTTGTTGATAACTACATTCAGGCCTACATTCGTTGACGATCGTCCAATGTTTATCTTACGTAAACACGAAATTGAAAATTCTTGAACATCAATCTCAAAATAACTACAGCATAATGTATTTCGATATAAATAAGGAAAAAGATATTCTTTCGTACCGGAAGTTTAATCGCCACCCATGACCAGATCCGCATAGAAAGTTTTAAGGCTTCCTTATTGGCCACTAATCGTTTTCCTAACCAATCAGAACGATCCTTTTAGATTGTAATAATATTTTTCACAATTGGCGCGTTTTTTATGAATTTAAAACACTAATTCCTACAAAAATCATACATATTTTATTATTTTTAATTTTTAATCAGATATGAAAAAATATAAATCAATTAAAAACAAGAAAAAACAAAAAATACACGTAATATTCTTTTACGAAACATTATCACTAGAACATTTTTTTTTAAATAAAAAACGAAAAAAATAACAGATTAAATTTAGGCCTAAAAACTACATCAGTTTAATTTTTGCCAGCACCAGCTTGCACTTGTTGTAAATTCCAGTAGATTCCTTTCTTTTCCAATAATTCGCTGTGTTTGCCTAATTCGCATACACGACCTTTGTGGAAAACGGCAATGGCATCTGCATCTTGAATAGTTGAAAGCCTATGAGCGATAACGATGCAGGTTCTACCTGCTCGAGCTTGATCAAGAGCCTCTTGAACGATCTAGTAACGTTAGAAGAATATTATATTAAAGATTTTCAATGTAATTTAATTTAGAATGTAACCTTTTCGGATTCTGTATCTAAGGCGGATGTTGCTTCATCCAATAACCTTTAGAAAGAAACGTAAATGTAAAAGCTATTACTTAGAGAAATAGGGTTCTTCGGGTGGGAGGATAAACTACTTACAAAATTTTTGGTTTTCTTACTAAAGCTCTGGCTATGGCAACCCGTTGCTTTTGACCTCCACTCAGTTGCGTTCCTCTATCACCTACGTTCGTATCGTAACCGTTTGGTAAGGAACTGATAAAGCTGTGGATGTTTGAATTCTTGGCTGCTGTGATTACTTCGTCAATTGTTACTTTACGACTATTATCTCCGTAGGCTATGTTTTCTGCAATGGAGGCGTCAAATAATATTGGCTCTTGGGACACAATTCCGCATTGCCGTCTAAACCAATCCAGATTCAAATCTTTTATATTTACACCGTCAACTAGGCAAGTTCCCGTGAGAGAATCGTAAAATCTTTCAATTAAGGATACAGTTGTACTTTTACCGCAACCAGACGATCCGACCAACGCTAACGTTTGACCAGGAATGACCTTCAAATTCAAGCCTTGCAAAATTGGAATCTCTGGTCTTGTTGGATATCTAAAGCGAACTTCTTCAAATCTGACTCTACCATCGAAATTTGGCAATATCTTTCCCTTTGGAGAATAGATATCTATTGGTGGTACCCGATCAAAGAGATGGAATAGTCTAGCAGCAGCAACACGCGCTTTCGTATAATCAGGAGCAAATGCAATAGCTTGCCCAATACCCATAGCACCGAAAATAACAACAGATACAACAGCAAAAACCCTATTAAAATCAGCGTGACCTCTCTGAATAAGGAAAGCACCAAAAAGGAAGGCAACACCAAAGATAATATATACAATTGATTGAGAAATGGCAAAGGATAATCCGAATACCCAGGCCTTCTTCAATGAATTTTTGTAAGGGATTTGTAACATGTCATTGTACATAGAATAGAATTTGTTTTCTTTGGTTAACGAAGCCACTGTTCTTATATTTTCTACAGCTTCCAAAGCGACTTTACCAGCCTTTTCCAATTCTTTTTTATCGTTTGCAGCTACACCTGTTAAAACTCTTGTCTCTAATACTCCAGTAATGACAATAAGCGGTAAAAAGGCGCACATAACCAATGTCAATCTCCAGTTTAGGACAAAAGCCAAAATAATACCAATTCCAATGTTTGAGAAGTTCTGTAAAATAAGCCCGACTCTAGATCCAGTTGCTCCCTGGACGCTTGAGGCATCTCTGGCTAATCTTGTGCACAGAGCACCAACGTTATTCTTGTGATCGTCAAACCAAGCGATATTCTGGCGTAACATAGACTTAAAAGTTAATTTTCTTAAACGCATTGTTAGTCTTTCTCCAGAGTTGGCAAACATATAATTCTGTAATTATAATATTTATAAAAATAGTAAATTACTCATAAAATCTTATCATAGACCTACCATGAGAAATTGTGAGATAATTAAGGCACCGCCCATTCCAACGAAAGCTAGTGAATATCTCTCTGATTGACTTTTTTGTAGGTCTGGTTCTATTTCGATGAAAGCCTGTAACAAATTGTTAATATTTGGTATTTAGTAGACGTCTATTAGGTAGGCTTAGTTTTTAAATAACTTACAGCCAAAAGGGTTGTAAAGACGACAGCAAAAACAGGATTTTCTGATCCATTTATAATACAAGCCAGACAACCAAATAATATATAAACCCATTCTTTTTTATTCATGGCAACGATCTTACTAACTGGGGCGGGTTTTGTAACTTCTTCTTCAAACGCTAGTTTCTTGGCCATGTTGATTTCATCTTGTTCCTCGTTATGATGAAGTCTACCAATTGAGGGTCCACTAAATCCAAATCCGGCTCCAACACGTTTTAAAGCTCTTAGAGATCCTCTTAAAGAGCCAGAGAGTTTTTCTGCAAAATTCTCCTCTTCCGGATCATCAGCCTTTACTAATTTTTCAACTTCTGGTATTGCATCTGGATCGGGTGGAACAATGTCGGCTTCGATAGCATTGTCAGTGCTCTTAGCCGCTTCGGCATCCAAAGCAGCTTGTCTAGATTGCATAGTGACCAATTGATAGTATACTCCACCTTCGTTAAGCATTAAATCTTCGTGACAACCCATTTCGACAAGAACGCCTTGCCTAAAACCGCAAATAATATCTGCATTTCTAACAGTAGACAATCTGTGGGCGATAACCAAAGTAGTTCTTCCTTGGCGAGCTTTATCTAAGGCATTTTGAACAGTAGCTTCTGATTCCGTATCTAAAGCCGAAGTAGCCTCGTCCAACAAACTATATATGAAAAAAGATGTGATTGTGTTTGTTTAGACATCTTTAAATTATTATAAACTCAATGAATACTAACAGAATTTTAGGATTTCTAACGAGAGCTCTGGCGATGGCAATACGTTGCTTCTGACCACCACTAAGTTGGGTTCCTCGTTCACCTACTAACGTATCAAATTTCTCTGGCAGTTTATCAATAAAGTTGAATGCATTGGCGTTTTTGGCAGCTTTTTCAATATCACTATCACTTACGCCCTCTCTACCATATCGGATGTTTTCTTTAATAGTTGTACCGAACAAAATCGGTTCCTGGGAAACAATACCAATTTGTTCTCTCAACCACTTAAGATTCAGTTCTTTTATATCGTTGCCATCAATTTCAATAGACCCAAAGAGAGGATCGTAGAAACGCTGTATTAACTGAACGCTTGTACTCTTTCCGCAGCCTGATGATCCTACAAGGGCTACTGTTTGACCAACTTTAACATCGAGGGTCATTCCTTGAAGAACAGGAACGTCTGGTCTAGTTGGATATCTGAACCAGACATTTTTGAAGGAAATATTACCAGTTAAGCTGGATGGCTTCTTTCCTTCTGTTGAGGCGCTATCAATTTTTGGTGTCTAAAAAAAGAAAGTCATTATTAAGTTGTCGGAAATGTGAAAAATTATTTATTCCACTCACCCTATCGATAATGCTAAAGATAAGATGACAAGCTCCTCTAGCGGTAGATATAGCTTGAATGTTTGGTCCAGCTTGACCAATAGCAATAGCACCGGTAACGATACTGAAGAAAACGATTAGCAATCTTCCAGCAGTGTAATTTCCTTTGATTGGCTCGTATAATGAAGGATGAGTAGAATTAATATTAACGGTACCATTTTGCGGACACTTTGGACCTTCATTTACAACTAGCCTGGAACCAAACCAAAATCCTAGGGCATATGACGAGTACAAAATCAACCAAGCTATACCCATACCAATTCCAAGGATAAAGCCCTTTCGAATACCTTTCTTTCTTGCGTCATATAGATTATTTGTGTACCTGATGCTCTCTTTTTTTTCACCACCGAAAGCAGCAACCGTTCTGATCGAACCAAGAACCTCTTCCGCAACCTTTCCAGCTTTAGCGTAAGCTTTTAACTCTTTCGCCGTAAGTGAAGCGTTCAATTTTGAAGCAACTAAAGCAGCGCCAATCAGAGCAGGTACAATCGCCAACATAACCAAGGATAATTTCCAGCCAGTAACAAAACCAGTGACAAATGAAACGATAAAGCAGCTAAACATTTGTATAAAAGTTGCAAATTTATCACCAATACCATCAATAATCTTGTACATATCATCAGACATTCTCGTATTCAATTCACCAACACCAAGTTGATCGTACCAACCAACTTCTTGTCGAAGAACAGCTTTTAGAAATAGTGTCCTTATTCTTCTAACTTGACGTTCGGCGGAAACAACCCAAAGTGTAATTTGAAGAAACGCGCAAATGAGGACAAGTCCTGCAAATCCTAAGTACCACCACGTATAGCCTCTCATTTCTTTTAAAACTCCATTATTATCAATATCATTTACTAAACAAGAGTTTAAATATGGTAAAGAACTATTTTGACCAAGAAGGTTTATAAGTGATCTATTTTGATAAATCATCGCCTTTGTTAAATTTACGCCAAGCTTTCTACTTTCACTAGTTATAGAGTCATTATATGCATTCAAATACCATTCGCTTCTATCATAGTTAATAAACGTATCCATCTGTAGACCCAAAAGTACCGTAACCAAAACGTAAAGAGCACCGTGAATGGCTGTATTTGATGAAGATATTAAACTAGTTTACAACTATTTAAAATATTAATAACAAACCAGCTGCAACTCCTCCAAGAATCATGAAAAATATATCTCTAGAGTCAGCGTATCGAAACTGTAAAATAGTTTAGAAATTGTGAATAATGTAAAACTGCTTTCTCGTTAAAGTAATTTTTAACTTACCACTTCACTCATCGGTACAGCTCCACCCTTCCCTGTATATTTCTCTACATTAGACTTTGCACATTCAGCCTTCAGTTGTTCCTCTGTTGGCGCAGGGTGAGGAGATTTCGGTGGGAATATATGAGGAGGTGCTTTTAGACCATTTTTTTCAGTCCAATCCTTTTTTTCTTCAATTTTATCTTCTTTTTCATTAATCACAATATCTTGAGGATCGAGTTCGTACGCATCTAGTTAATTGTTAGGTTAATATTTTCATTTTATTAAGTTTTATGGAAAGAATGTAATATACTTACTATTAATGAACGAGTACGGAGCAAAATCATCCGCCATATCTCCGTCTAAAATGCTCAAATTTAGTAAAAGTATGAAATATCTTTTCTTTTATCTAGATCAGGAGGCATACACAAAATTAATAAGCTTATTTCTTTAATTGATAAAAATTTCAGATTAGACTTATCAATTGTCAAACTAGTTTTAACTCGTTAGCCAATAATCGATATTAATGTTTAATAATTGTTTATATCTTTGATAGAAGAAAAAATATATACGAAATTAAAATTTTCATTTCGTTCTAATAGTAATTGGTTTATTTTCGTATATGACACGCTTTTTCATTCTTTCAATCGTTTCTTCCCTTAAATGTCTCTCGATTAAAAAAAATGAAAAATTTGTTTTTTTTAAAAAAAAAAAACCAAATATAATTAACTTAATCCTTAATATCTATCCTCATCCGTAGAATAGAAAGAGAGATAGATATAAAGAAAAAGAGAGACAGGTAAGATACGTTGGATAGAAGGGAAGCAAAATAAGAATAAAGAAAAATAATTTAGTTTATTTTGCGATTAAAAACTATCTTATATTATTTTTGAAAAGGTATTATTCGAATAGATAAACAAATAGAATAGAAAGAGAGGGAATCAAAGGAAATGTATAAAGAAAATGCTCACTGATAATTTAAGTCGCCACTGATGTTGAAAAATTATCCGCTGCGGCCAGCTTGTATCGACGATAGCAACTGATGTCTTATTAGCCGAGCCAGCATCTTATACCATAAATGTAAGGCAATTGATAATTTATCTGATTAAACGGCAAACTTAAAATAAAAAATTTGAGCGAGTAGCACATAACTAAGACTCATATTTTAAATGGTACAATAATAGGCCTAGTTCTTTCAATTGTTATGCCACACTTATTACAGTGTCACCAAAAACTAATAATTAAAGATATATAGATGCATACACACACATTTATATATAAACTACTTTATCACGAATAATAAACAGTTAGAAGAGCAGTTATTCTTATATGTCTAATTTAAATATTCATAAGTTTTTGTTATATAATAATTTTTAACAGTTATCAAACAGTCAATTGATTCTATTGTTAAATAATCTACTAGAAAATGAGAAAATAGAATGTGCTACTTTTAAAAATAGCAATATCAAAAATAGTTAATAACTTTTTGTATGATAGTTATAGAGAAAGAGGACGAGTGAGAGAGAGAGAGAGAGAGAGAGAAAAAAAGAAAGAATAAAGAAAGATATACAGTATATATATATATAATATCTTAAACTTTCACCGTGTAATAAAAAGATGAAAGTAGAATAGAATTAAATTGGTTGGCGCCTTTTTAATTATTTCTTTTTGATAGGGTCTTATCGCATATTCGCAAAAAATTACTCTCTAGTTAGATAAATAACAGTACAAAGCAAACTTTGTAAACATATATCTTATTAATTATTACGATAAGGTTGCTAAATTATCATCAAAGGAATTGACCAAAAGAATCTGTGTAATTGAATTAAAATAAATATTCTATGATAAAGACAAAAAGCTCCTGTAGAGGACACTGAAGACAATCTATTTATAAATAACTTAAGAAAACATATTTATTTATCAAAAGTAGATTAATAAATCATAATCTACTTTCTTACTGAAAATACCAGAGCATTCAATTGTAATCTGATTAGAAGGAACTCGATCAAGGTTACTATATTAACATTTATTAAGCAACGCCTTCGAATAGTATATAGTAAAAATTTCATTTACCTAGAAATTAGACATGCTTGTAAGATATTTCATGGGAAAGTAATTCTTTCTCTACTTTTTAACCTTTCAACTAAAAAAGATGGCTGTAGACCTAATAGAATAATATTTAATCTTATTTTATTCGACTTTTACATTTTATTTCATTAGTTTTCTAACGAATGAACAGTGATGACCTTTTATATCAACTTTAGAAATTTGAAGGTGAATAAAAATGTTCAGGAAGTTTTAACTTTGAACAAACTGAGTTGTTTCAGCGGAGAATTATATCGTAATAGATAATTAAATTTTCGTTGGGAAAGCTACGTGTTCAGCTTATAAAATATCACAAATGGATAGTTTATTTAGTGCTCAATTAGTAGAAAGCTCTAATGAACGAAAAAAGAACCGGAAGAGAGGTAATCTTTTTTATCTATTTTTAGAATTAGCTTGGGATGTCAATAGATTATTTTCCCTTTTCGAACATTTGAAAATCTAGATCAATGCTTGGCTATTTTTTTTTTTACATTAGAATTATTGATATGTGAACTTATTTAGAATTTTATAGCACATGAAAAAATAGCGTATATCTAATGAGACGAAATTTCTAGAGAGGTTACAAAATAGAGTTATCTTAAACAAGTTCACTTATCGTTAAGATAGTTATAAGGTTGACTATTTATGAGTAAAATTATTGAATTTATGGGCCACACTATATTACTATCTATAGTTAAAAATTTAGAATAAATAAGGAAATTTTTATCAACTGTTTACCTAAATTTAAGACTGAGAGAGCAATCGTAAGGAAGCCAATCATTTACATTAAGGGTTATACAATCAAATTGTAAAACTTAACGATCTGCCCTAAGGGCTTGATAAGCTAAATGATTCATTCATATTGTTGCAGTTGTACAAGCCTGGAATAGTGTGGTAAGCTATGATGGAAACTTGATAAGGATATCTTGATTTTTGGTAGCCTATCCAAAGAATATAAAATCAAATAGTCTGTTTGTAAATTGAATATTAATCATAAGATAAGCGGTCTTTTATTTTTATATAGCAGTGTCCTGCGCCTAGGTTACTCGATAACTATAGATGTTAGCATCTGTTCAAGTTGAATAAATAAATAATATAAGGATAAATGACGATCATATAAATATTTCTTTTCACATTCTTCCTTGAATCATTACAGGTGATGATGACATTCCAGGTGGTTGTTGATTAACAGTCATAGATTTTCGAACACTATTAAATAATTCCAGATATTGTTGAGCACAGTCAGTATAATCAACGGAACTCTCTTTTTTCTCCAATCTTGATTTGAAGAAATTAGTTATATTTGGATTTATTCCAAGTATATGTAAAAGTTCTGTTATTATACCCCAAGAATCATTGTATAATATACATGGAGTATAATCAATTTGAAGTAAAATGCCTTTTACAGATGTGTTTTGTCCAATAATCACTGAACCTACTTTTATTAGAAAGTCATTTAATTCATATCGTACACCTTTAGCTTCAATCTATATTGTAAAAATAATTGTATTACTATTCAGAATAGCATTTTTTTTCTTTCAATTTTTCGTTTCTTACCTTAAAGTTCTTTTTTGGAGCGTAGAATGAATCCATTTTTGCAAATAACATATCTAAAGTATTATCTGCAACGAGATGAGGCCCATTTTCTACAAATGAGAAAGTACTTGCTGGATATTCGGTGTCGTGAACATTATTTATGACTTTTACTTGTCCTTCTATTGGTATTTGGCTTTGATATGTTTCACAATCAACGCTAAAATGTCCAGCTTTTTTTGCTCCTAGGTTTTCAATTTTCTTCTGAAGTTTTGTGATTACGTATTGACCACTTTTATTCTCTTCCATGGGTACACTAATTACGCTGTAAAAATAGACAGATGTATTTGTTAGAATATAACAGATATAGCGATAATGTAAGAAATAACGAATTTATAGGAAATATCACTAGATCACCGACGTAAATAATTACCAGTTAACTCCCATTGTCTTCCAATTTGAAATCTTATTCAAAATATCTTATCCAAAGCTAAATCCAAGCAATATTTTTCAAATTATGAATGTTTTATTGCGTTGTTGACGCTAAAAAAGACAGTAACCGGCCTTTGAGAGTCCACCATTTCAATTGTCACGTGACACTAGTCACTAGTTTTAAACATTTACAAATACAAATTATATAATGTCGTGATATAGTTAAGGCATGCATTGTTAAAATTTAAGTTGTATCAGATATAAGTCTTTTATAAAATGATTAGCGTTTTTTAACAAAGTTTTGTTTTAAAACTCGACAGTATGGTACTTGTTTTTTTGGTCGTCTGCTATTAAACTGGTCTTTGCTCAGTGTTATACTTTTTTTTATATCTCACGGATTTTTAATGATATATAGTGAGTTAATACAATTCATTGACAACTGAAGATATTGTTAACATTAAAATTATTTTAAATTTGTTTTCCAGTATTACTTGAGAATACAAGGTAGATATTAAACAACATAATTAAACGCTTTATAATATATCTTCTGCATGTTGTCTTTCTCTCTCTTAATTTATTTGAATAATTATACTTTCTAATCAATGTAGTCTCTCTAAACGATTCTAGAGTTTGAAGCTGAGAAGAATGGAGCATTACGAAAAGGGAGAGGTTGAAGTGATGGAAATAAATGAAGATCCAAAAATGGATGATAATACCATTAAAATGCGTGTCAACTATGGAAGTAAAGTTGGAAATTTAATATCTTTTGCTCAAAAAAAGTTCAACGTAAGTTATAAGTATTATTTTATTTAAAAATACATTAAACCTTTATTAATTTTTCAATATAGAATAACGATATAAATTCAATAGCATGGTATGGTAATGATAAATCGGTATCTAAAGCTATAACTTGTGCAGAAATAATAAAACGAACATACAAGGTTAGATATCTATTTTACAAAAACATAATTATATCAATTTTTTAAATACTACAGAATCTGCAACAGGATACAAGAATTGGTTATAAAAGGTAATACAGTATACTGTATAACATAAATATAAATCTTATTATTCTATATATATGCTATATTTCAGAGTTATAGAATATTGGGAACCAAAGGAAAAAGAACTCGAAAGGTTAAAGGTTACAAAGAAAATTCCTAGAATATGTATACTCTTAACAAAGGGACAAAATACTAAGATGTCTAAAAGTAAATTTAAAAATGAAAAGAATAAAAAAGGAAAAAAGCTGACTTAACGATATTTGTTATGTTGTTTCTATTATCTCTGAATATAATTTATTGTATTTTTATCTATATTTCATTGTATTAAACATATTCTATAAAGAATCATAATAGAATCTATTAATCACTAAATGATCAAATGTGGAGTTGAAGATGAAACACAAGGAATATTAACCAAGAGAAAGATATCTTCAACTACAATGGTTGCAGTAAGGAAATCGCTTAATTTGATTAAATGAGCTTACTCATATATGCTGAGAAGAAAACTAAGAAAGGGAAGAAGAAGATGTTTATGCTTTTCTGAATTTTAATTGAATGTAATTTGCCTTACATTGAAAAAGAAACAGAATAGCATCATATCGCTTTCATTATATTATTTGAAGAATTTTTATTATTAACTTCCAGATAGATTGAATGGAAATGAGGGCGGTATAACAATCATTATGAACATATTAATTTGATAGATAATCTTAAACAATTAATATAATTATAACCCAACAAATAAATGGATTTAATGCATTATTCATCCATTATTAACTAATTGCAGAATATGTATATATAGGATAGTACATTTCTAAGAAAAAGTATTTTAAAAGAATTTTATATTACGTGAGTTGTTTAATTGAATAATATTATTTTATTGTCTTATGTCTACTTTGCTTTTTACCTTCGATTCTGAGCTCCTTTATAAATAATCTCAACTCTTTAAATAGTAAGTATTCCCTTATCAATTCAACTAATGATAGCCTATTGGTTTTTTTCTTAATTACAAGTTATGAATACTTGAGCAAATGCTATTGTTAAATCATTAATATTGAACATTTGAAAACTTGAATATATGAATGAATATGTTTATCATATTAGGCATATACTGCAGATTTTGTTTTTTTTAATAGAAATACATCAAATATTCATTCCGTATTTAATTTCAAAATCTTGTAAAAGAGAGTGTTTTTCTTCCTATAAATATAGTTAGTTTACAATATAGTAATTCGTATTTCCCGCCTCGATTCATTCAAATATTAGAGTGGTAATCGAATTCACCATAGTAGAAACCAGCTCTCAACTCGTCACGTGACTTCAGTAAATATAGAAAAACTAACACAGTATGTATAGCAAAATCGATTTTGATTGTTATCATTAGATCATTTTGTAATACCAGGTGATGGTTGATATAAATATCTTTTATAATTACTGTAGATCTGTTAAACAGTTTAGAGGAATTTTATAAATAGCTGTAGTAATTTTAATAATCTATACGTTCGATAGGTACAAACGCGACACCTTTACAACTACCTTTTCAGCCATTTGAGATTGTTGACGAATGGAGCAGGTTAATATAGGTAAAACAATTGACTATCTTTCTATGTTGTTTATTAATGATTTCATCAATCTACGTGATTGCATACTTCTGATAAGCGCATTTTTCCAATTCTAGCAAACCAAATCTGATCAATAGCTCTATATTTTCAATATGACTATTGACATGTATATTTTTAATAAGAGTAATCTATTAATTTTACAGCTCAGCCTCTTCCTCAAGGAAATATCCTTAGAGTTCCAGGAGATGAAAATTCATCAGTCCAAGTACGTAATATGATAGAAAGTGATAGCGAGTTTGCAGCGAAAATGACAGTTGAAAGTTTCGAAAGTAAATTTGAGTGGGCAGTTGGTAAGAGAAAAGTTGAGAGTTTGAAAAAAGCCGAGGAGGATCATCATAGGAAAATGAGCGATATCTATCACGAAATATATGTGGCTACTGTAGATGGGAGACTGGCTGGAATGCTAAAGTTAAAATTCTCAAATAGCGTGTAATTATTTAACATATTTGTTTATAGAATCTAAAGAAATTATACTTGTTCTCTTTATTTACAAAAAAAGGGATGTGGAAATGCCCATATGCGACTATTCTAGATATATTGGATGCTGTGGCGCAATTGGTCTATGTTGCATGGGATGCGTTCTATCCGAATCTTCAATCCCAAAGGGAACGGCCTATATTGATCATATATGCGTTGACGGCTCATTTAGAGGAAAGGGAGTTGGAACTGTTCTCCTTGAAAGAGCAGACTATGAGGCTCGTTTACGAGGATGCTATGTAGGGGATAAAATACTTTTATTTTATAGCTTCTTAAAGCTGTTTTCTTTAATCAATAGAGAATTCAATTGTATGTGGCTCAGTCAAATCGTGCAAAGAATTTATATCAAAGGCATGGCTATAGAATTATTGAAGATGAAGACGGATGTCTTATTACCTGGTGTGCAGTGGGCATTCGGGTAAAACTTTTGATTCCTTTTTTATAGTAAAATTTCCATAAAATTATAATTTTTTGAAACATTTCTTCTCTTTTCATCCCTTACAGCATTGGTATAAAATGGAGAAAACGTTGTAAAACAGTAATTTTTATACAAAACAACTTTACACTTAACGCAAAAAAATGCCTTTATTGCTTGTAATACCATTTTTGAAAACAAAATTAGTATTTTAATCACAATTTTTATTAAGTTGAATTCGCATAAATATAATTTCTAATGTCAACTAAAGATTCAATAATTTATCACTCTATATGTGAACTCTTACTTTTACGTTCATCCTGCCACGCTAATCTATGTTCATAATTAGTTTTTGCAATCGCGAAGAGTACTTCCTTCGGTGCATCCGGAATACAGAAAGAAACTACCGCTTTAATTCCCAAGATGACGTGTTCTAGTAGTACGAACGCAAATATTATATAAGCCTCCCCATATTTAGGGACTAATTTGTCATGAACAGGTGGTGATAACCCAATTAGAGCAGTGTTTGTTAAAACAGCAAGTAAACTCAAAATTTCAAAAGCTATTTGCCAAGCTCCCAAATTTGCCGCTGGTATGGAGAAAGGTCTCTGCATAATGCGGCAAAGCTTGAAGGCATCGGATCGAATCTCTGTCAAATTGTTTATAAACGCCCAAACGGCAGCCGTTGGAAACACAGCCGAGAAGAGGAAAACGTACCCAAATTGTAAATACATTTCCAAGTAATCATTCATGGTACCCTGTTGAGAAATATGAAAATAGAAATACTTCATTCATCTTTCACTTACAATTAGAAAAAAAAGATTGCTTTTGTGCTAATAAGGGCACCTACGAGTTCTAGGCACTTAGCTACTATATATATATATATATTGTATATATGAATACGAATATATATATACAAATATTCATAAAATAACTGCACTATATATCCATGCATGCATGCGATAAAGATAAATCAGTTCAATCATAATAATGATAATTTTGAAAACAAGCTGAATCAACTTGTTTTCTAATTTCTTTGGCTTATAAATCTATCTTACATCGTCCTCATCCATTGCATCTTGAATTTGTGCTTCTTTCATTTGCTGTGCACATATATTAGGGAATTTATGATTGAAAGTGTTAAGAAATAGGAAATAGACGTTTTTCCAAGAAAATTCAATTAACATTACCTCTGTATCTATATAAAGATCTTTATCTTTCTCAATATCAGCCTGATTAACAGCCTCTTTGAATTGATACTCATCTCCTGTAGCAGCTTTATCTTGAACTTTTTTAATAGCTATTTTCCTCCTTTTATAGAGAATATACGGTAGCAGCGTTTCTTGAGCTTGTCCTATAATTTGTGATACTATCAGCAATGTTGCCAAGTGCTGTTTTAAGGTCATACGAAGAAAATTAGTGACTTCGATGAATCTATTTGATGTAAGGAAGTCTATTACTAAAATGTACTCACGCTTCTTAGTAATGGCATATTTTGAAGATAAAAAGCCACATAGAATAAAGACATAAAGCAGTTAACCGAATCGAACTATAATAGTTAAAAGAATGGACTTTCATTATTCCCTCAAAAAATATATCAATATTTCTAATTAAGAGGCAAAAATCTTACGAGTATAAGTTTAACAATTAAGTGATTATTATATGCTGATTGCAGTCTATGATTTTCTGTTGGAAAGAGATATTTAAACATGTAAAGAGAATTGGAATAAATTATTATATCTTCATTTAGTTTTTCCTTGAAAACGTTTACTGTCTTACCCCAATCGTTTAATTTCTTGGCTAAAATTCTATATAAGGCATTCATAATTGCAATAAGAATGGCGTATATGGCACTAGGTACGTTCACTACTAGTAAGCCAATTATTCCCTGAGAATTATCATTAAATAAGTACGAGATACTGTTTATACGGTGTTTTACTCACTTTGTCATTCATGTAATAACCATCCGCCCAATCTTGCATCCAAAAATAGAAGAGCATAGCGTAAAAGGCTATTACTAAACATAGGAATACTATTGGAACTGACACGCCATAAAATCTAAATAGTCTCTTATATTTTGGATATTTTGGTTCTATCCTATTAGTTATTTTATTAATACCCAATTTTCCATAGTATTCCGGTCGAGCTTCTTCTAAACGCTCTGTACCGTAAGTACCCCACTCATAGGTTAATTTAGAACAATATCTTTTCCACAATTCCAGAAAGAAGGTACACCAGATCAAATTAAAGGCACTAAAAAAGACAGTTGTATACAACCAATTAGCTGGGAAGAAATAAGAGATAACGCCAAGTGCAGCAGGAGGTATAAGTGCGTAAGTGTAAAAGCCCAAAAATGAGAAATACAAGGCTATAGTTTCTCCGAAGTAATTCCTTATTGCCTCTAATTAACAAAAGATAAATGATAAAGTGACAATAAAATATGACAAGCAATAAATAAATAAAAGAAAAAACGATTTAAGATTAACCCATAAACTTATTGCTCGGGTTTGTTTAATGAGAATAAAAGCTACAAACCTATCGGCTGTTTTTTGATGAATGTTTTGTACCAATCCGTTCCTAGCCTCTTTAATTCCTCTCTATCGTGCAATGGGAATATCTTTCTGACATAACCTTTATTCACTAGCAGAGGGACTATGGTTAAAAAAGATAGAGTTATATTTATCAATGGACAGCTGCTCAGTGAATATCTATTAAATTAATTAATATATTACCTACTGCTTGTCCTTCGTAGAGGAGTTTTTTTAAGCCTAAACTCTCTATCTTTATTTTATCTTTCGCACGAACGCTCTGGATCTCATGAAGTATTATTTGTTGTTTTTCAGACATGGTTAACAAGCTATCTCTATCCTCTATATATTTTCCATTAGTAGTATTTTTTACAATAGAAAACGTAAGATAATATTACATACCTCCACCCTCAAACTCGCTAAGATGAGAATAATTTAGTACCCTAACAGAACCATCTTTCAGCCTTTTTTTAATTTGCATTAACTCTGCCGACCTCAAAAGGGTATTAGAATGAGCCCCAACGTGTATGGAGAAAGTCTTATCCCCGTCTTTTCTGGATACTTGCTTAATATGTAAACCTTTTAATTCAAATTCTTCCAGAAGCCAATTAAGAATTTTATCTGTCATCCTTTTCGAATCAAATTCGATAATAACCAGTGAATTAAAATTCTGCATGCTATATATAGAATGACAAAGAGAAAAAAACAATTAATAGATGTATTTTATTGCTATTGGGTAAAGAGATAGGGCGAGAAAAACAGAGAGAGAGGGAGAAAACGAAAAAAAAAATCAATATGCTAGGATGACGACAGAAAAACTGTGGATAACGATATTGTTACTACATAGAACTGTGAATAGTTTGGATCTTAGCTCTCAGAATTTAACAGAAATAAATATTTCAAGGATAAATCAGGCGTTCAACGTTCAATCTTTAAATGTTTCAAGGAATTTTATTATATCGCTGCCAAGCTTTTCTCCCTTCAGTACCCTACGTGTTCTGGATCTATCTAGGAATAGAATAGAGCGCTTACAAGGAAATGTATTTGCACTGAATGAATTTGACATTTTGAATATTAGCCACAACCGGATTGAATTTATTCACAAACACGCTTTCTATAAGAGTATTGTTTCTAATGTTGATTTATCATATAATCTTATCTCATCCATTCCTATGTTTGGATGGCGTGGTCAACATTTAACAAGCTTAAATCTAGATCATACAACAATTAAAAGAATCAATTATGAAGATTTTAAAGATATGGGAAAGTTAACAACTTTAAGTATCTCTCATTCAAAACTGATTTCAATCGATCCGTTCATTCTTTATTTAAATGAACTAGTGCTTCTTAATTTGGAATCGAATAATATATCTACTATTGACCTGCATTACTCAACGCATAAAATAAACTTACAACACTTAAATTTAATTAATAATGCATGGATATGTGATTGTAAATTAGTATTTTTACAAAATCTCTACAAGACTATATTATGGTCATCGCCGATTCCAAAATGTTCAAAACCGGATATATTCAAGGATAAACATTTAATAGAGATTGATTTTCATTCAATATGTCAACAATCGGCAAAAATCACTTTTACCGAAAAGATAGTGGCAATAGTTATAGGTTGTACGTTTTTAGCTATTGTATTTGGTTACTTTATTTACCTTTTATACAAGCTACGAGTGCAAAAAACCGAGGAAATCTTACAAGCAAATCGCAGACGTAGGAAATTATATAACAATCAATTAGCGTCTAGCTCCAAAACTATTGAAACTTTGGTTTAGCAATAGAAATCTAGATGAACAACAACTTACGCTAGGGGAGACTTTTCCGTTCCTAAGAGAAAGAAATAAAGATTCTCTTAACTAAGAACACGATCTAGCACTAACTTCCGTCGGAAATACTTGTTATAGCGCGGCGCAATATTCAAACAAACTATTTATGTTTACATAGTTATTAGTAACCTTATCAATTTGATATTGTTTATTCGTTATACTGTATGGAATACTCAAAAATCCTCTCTATTTTCCAACTTGTCAATTCTTTGAATTTCCTGAAACTTACAGATGTTAAAAAAGCAAATACAACATGTTTTCCTACAAATAATACTCAATATATCTTTTACATTTATACCTATACTATAATAATAAATCAACTATAAACTTTTGTTAATAGACTTTCTATCTTTGCTTTTTAAAAAAAAAAAGAACGAAAATTTTTGTTCTTTTGTTCTATTGTTCTTTTTTTTTATATTTCAAAAAGTCCATCTAGATGGCGTTACAAGGATATTTTTCATGTAGAAGATTAAATAATATGTTATTTAAAAAGAAATATTTTATTATATCAAGTTAATCTTATAAAATCAGTACAGATAAGAAGGTATTTAATAAAGATATGATAAAAAAAAAAATATATATATATATATATATATTTATTATTTATTTACATGTTAAAGAATGTTTATTAATAGTTAATACAATTAAACAATATCCTTAAAACAACGCAGATGGTATAAAAGAGAAAATAATCTTAATCGTAACCAATAATTCCCTATGGGTAAATTGAACTTGAAATACACCTGATATTTTTACGAGAACAAAGAAAGTCGATCATAAAATTTGCTGCAAGCAAATCTTTTGCTTTTCTACATAATTAACGATACGAAGTCTAAAATATTGTGTTATCATAAAATTAATTAATATAATTTATATATATTAGTATATATATATATATATATATAAATCTAAAAATAGATATATGTATATTATATACAGTTTATATTGTATATAAATAACCATTCTACTGTTTGAATATAGAGAAAAGCACCATTGTTTTGCCTAAAATAAACTTGTTTATACATATGTACTGTATGTAAAGATATACTATTCAAGCAGACAAAAAGACAAAGCCCACAGGTAATATTGAAAAAAGATATAGCACTCTACTTGTTAACATTTAATAGAGTTTAACTAATATTTACTCTTATATACAGTATACATTGTATATATTCAATTGGAATAATTTTTTTGTTTCTTTTTATATATTTCGTTCTTTCTCTCTTTCTGGTTAAATGATTAAAAAAAAAATATCTATATTTAGAAAAGAAGATTGTAGTCTAAAAAAGAATGCAATGCTTCATTTTTTTTTTAATAAAATAAAAAAAAAGGAGGAAATAGATGAAAATAATCCAAAAAAATTTTTTTCTTAGTAGTCTTTTCTGTTTCTTTTCAAGTCTTTTCGACTTTTATGTATTAAATCTTATTCCATTCTCTTGTTTATTTCTTCGTCCCTTGCCTTCTTTCCGTCGTATTTCTCTCTATTCCCTCTTCACTCACTCACTCTCTCTCTCTCTCTCTCTCTTCTTTCCAGGTATCAAAATAAAAGAAAATTTCCTAAGCTTATTAAAAGGCTTTTTGGTTTATAGGGAAAAAAATATTTGGCTGATTTCTTCTTTAGTTTTTTTAAAACAACAGAGAAAGCATTAATCATGTAACGGAGATTTATACTGTATATATAGAAATAATTGGCTTATCTATGAATATTACAGCTCTATAAAGTCGTATTTGAAGGAAATATTTGATAAAACCCTCATGGAGTGTATGTATTAGAAAGTAAGCTGTTTTCCTCTTCTTTTCTTTTTCTTCTAGATGTTGTTTACAAGCCTCCGTACAGTTCATTTTCGACCATTACGATGACATCTGGAGGAGGGCTACATGGCGGTTTTGGTCGAGATTTTTTTTGTACAGGAGAGCCATTGTCGATTTTCTTTCTTTCTGAGTAAGGTAGCTTTGATTCGTATCTCTGCGGCGTTGGTGGCGGTACAACCTTCTTCCTTCTTGCTGGAGGCGTTGGCGCCTGGGAGTCACTGCTATCCGCGCCATTTCGCGAAGGTTTTCTAGCTACAGGAGGTTTCCGATCATGCGGCGTAATTCCGTTTGGCGTATTGGAACCATTTGATGATAAAAGACTATTTGCTTCGTTGGCGCTGGATTCTTCAGAATTCTCGCTCATTTTAGCCGCAGCGATCGAGGCCGCTTGCTGAGCTACCTCAGCCTGGCGTTCCTTGGCTAACCTCGATCTAGGGGAACTGTCTTGGCTGTCAATTCCTGACGAACTGAGTGATAAACTTCTCCTATACAAAAAGAAAGAAAGAAGGCGTGTTTATCTACAAGAATAATTAACAAAGGGAGCAGAACATAGAAATCTGTCAGTTATATAACAGGACAAAGAGATTACCCCTTCAGACGATTTTTCGATGAATTATTTATATATAGAAAATTGGGAAACCTCTTGACATATGAAATACATTTTAAAGTGAATAATAGTCTGGAAAGGTAATCTGGGATCCTCCCGACGCCAGATGTCGCTGGATCAGGGCGTCAATACGGAAATGTTAGCCTACCTTCTATTTTTGCACGCCAAAATGAATATGTACAAAAGAAAGAGTGCTCCTACAGCACCAAGGACGCCGCCAATAATACCTGAGGAATACATAGAAAGGAAACACGTATAGAACAAATTTTTCCTGATTAGTGAAACAGTAATAAAGATAACAAAAGGAACTTTTATTGTCTCTTTTATCTAACCTCTTCCCATGTTGAGACTAGCAGATATTAAGAACAAAGGAAAAATAGTTACCAGTAACGTTTTTTCCGTCGTACAATGCCAAAGTTTCGTTTGCCTTTACACACTCCGAAATATTTTCTCCTAATTTGCATAAGTCAATAAGACGTACTCCGACAATAAATCTCCTTGATCCCATAAATGTTAGAGCTAACTTATTTGTCTTTGTGTGGAATATTTGAACTTCTTCAACTTTACAGTGATTACTCACTATTTCTGTTACATTATCTCCATCCTCTATTTTTAACAGAGGTTTTCTACATTCAGCCTTATTAACTGTTTCGTTCATCATCATAATTGTTAAATTCATCCCTAAATATCTTGTCGCAGTTTTGATTCGATACGTACAATTACTCTTTGAACCTGGCCATGAGAAATGCTGATCGGCTTGAACAGTTATAATTTGGTAGCTTTCAAATCCGCATGAGTCCACTATACTCGTTGCCGGTAAACAAGTATAATTAACTGTTATACTATTTTTTCCGTATTCATAGCACAAATGCCTTTTAATTTCGGCTACTCCGTGTATAATATCAGATTCGGACTCTAGCTGGCAAGTCTGACGGCCATTACATAATCTCTGAGCGTTTCGTAGAACTGAGACACCGCATACTCCTTCTTTCCTAACCTCACATATATTTGGAATAGTGTGGCCATACCAAGCCTCCTCTACAATGATAACGTCTCCTGGTAGGCATCTAATAGTTGGATCGTCTTTATAAAAAACAGGATAACAAGCTTGTTTCACATACGAATTTACACAAATAATAAATAAGAAAACTAGAAAGAATGGAGCCATGCTCTGCCCGTCGAAATCTCACACAATGAGATGCCGGGGGTTGAATCATCCAGAGCAGAGACGTCTGGCGTTTGTCACCATAGTAACGGGTGTAGATTTATACACCCTTGTCCAAAAGAAAAATACACATTCGAATATTCTTTTTATCAGTAAAGTTAATTTTCTCTCCGGATATGAAATGTGTATTTTCGTCAATTTGTTTAAGATAATTAATATCTTCTGTAATATTTTATAATAAAAAGTTTTCTCTTCTTCTTTTAGATATATATATATATATATATATACAGTATATACAATGTAAAATATAAACAGTATGTAAATATGTATGTACATGTATATATACATATACTCTATAATCTAAGAGAGGACATTAACATCAAAGCCTTTAGACTTATTTTTTTTTAGCTTTTCAATGATTGTTTACCGATATAAATGTATATAAAATATAAGATTAAGGCTAATTTTCCAAGTGATTAAGTGACTCATCAATTACATTGATCTTTCTATTACTTTGTTGTTTTGTACAGTGTTTCTGTTTTATGCTTCTTGTGTATATTTTATATTAATTACTTTATATGAGTATATGTACATCTTCTATTTCTATAATATTTATACTAAGTATGTTACTATCCGACGTTTAATCATCATCTAATGATTCATGCTCTATATCTAATTAACTAGATTTCTGTCGCATTCTATCAATCTGCCATTTCTTTCCATCTTTCCTTTCTGCTAGAAAAAAAAGAGAAAGAAGATGGAGAAGTTGTTTTATAATAAACAAGAGTATCTCTTTAAGGATTATAGATGGTTTGCAAAAAAGAGAGAGAGAGAGAGAGAGGGGGGGATATTTTAAACGGATGAAAAGATTTATTGTTTAGTAATCTTTTATTTCGCTTTAAAAATCTATAACTATACCCGAAATGTATACTTCTATCGATAATTTTCCCCACATAACGTCAATAAGTTGCTATACACTGTCTAATTTTTATTCCTTCATTCACCCTCCTTTTGAGAGAGGAACGATATTGTAAATTTTCTCAATAATAAACATATGTAATGATTAATGTCTATTAATCATCTTTTCTATAAATATAGTATTTTATTCTTAAACAACTTTACGTCAATTATGTAAATTAATAGTTTCCTTTATATTTCTTCATTTCTTCTGGGTTTTGTGATCGGGTACGGGAGGGCTGGTGTGGAATTCTAACAAGACATACTTTGCTGATTCGTGACCTTTTGACCCTTGCAATAACGTTTTTAACAGGGTAGTTGTATAAAACTTGCTAGCCTTGTCATTCGACTTCCGTAATTAATGCAGTAGCTGAGAAAAAAAGCAATATAATTCTCTCAATTCGGAAATACTACTACTATTATCTATATCATTAGTTTCATTTTCAATTAATTTAATGCTATAATTGTAATTAAATGACCTAAATTTGACCATTTCCCTAGTTTTAGGTAAATATCTATTATCAATAATTGAAATTTTATCTAAAAGTTCTTTGCTTTCTCCTACTGATTTTATCGATTCTACCCAATATTACTATGCGATTATCTGATTCGTAAATCTAAGATTACTATAAATCAAGCATTCAATTACGATCTACAAGTTTTCCCGATTATCGAAGCTAATAGAAAAGCGTATAAATCGATAATTTTGCACGTGTTCGAAAAAAGACATGCACGCACTTTTGAAAAGATGTAGAAAGAAACGCACTTGCCAGGGTGCAACGTATAGCCCTAATTTACATATCATGAATAATTATGAATGTTAATTTATCATTGGAAATATATAACCATAGTTCTCTCCTTTGTATCATATTTGTTAAATAAACAGCTGTTAGACGCTTTTTCATATAAATATTTAGATGCCAGCATATATCTAACAGGAAATTGATTGATTTCGTGTGCAACACGTGCTCTTTTTCTTTCTTTTATCCCTAACTATTGTTCTTTGGTTCGAATAACAACAAATAAAGGAAATATCATTTGACCTATTTAAACAGTTTATAAAAAATTCATAAAAATATCAATAGAATAGCTTGTTAAGCTGTATATATTACTTAAGAGAGAGAGTTGATTTGTTAGCTGACACTTGCTTAGCTTCCCCTTTATTTACTCTCCGCCCTCTTTCCTGTTACAACTTCCCATCAATACTGGTACATAATTCTAACAGCCAATACAGCTTTTCCTTTTGACCTCTTCCCTAACTCCTTACGCCTCTCACCTCTCTCTTTCTCTTTTCTGCCTCACTGTGCGCATCCTTTGTTGGCTGGCATTCAATTTTCTGACCTTTTAGTATCTATAATAGACTAATCTTTTGGTCGATTCGAATAGCAGGTACTTTATCTTTCGAAGAAATCTTTTATAAACTATACAAGTTCATTCTTAAACCCATTTTAAACATTAATCAACAAAGACGCTATCAATCTTTTTTATATAGATTGTTTGAATTTCTGCCTTTGTTTGATAAGAATATAAACAAACAATCAAACAACAAACTGATAAACTGAAAAAGGGAGCAGCACTTTGTATTATAGCTTTATTATTCTATTGTCCAATAGATGGCGATATATTTTCGCAATGAAACCCTATGCCATCTTTCAATAAATAAAGTATTACATAAGCGTAATGGCACCTTTAATGTCAAGTAATCCCATTCAGACAATTAATTCTATAATTCTTACGTATTTGAATAATTTTCAAGGGCGGTGTTACATAATCTTTTAATAACAAAAAGTAAGAATAGAAATCTCTCTTCTCTCATACGAAATGTTACTCTCTTAATGATGTAATAGAGCAGAGTAACAATAACCTTTTTCGTTTAATTGACGATAGTTAAGATTTTTATCGGTAAAGCAATGAATTGATGGATTGAATAGGCCTAAGTTTTTTAAAGTTCAATTTATGTTTTTAACTATTCTTTTTAATATTGTGTTTTATTATTCTTATTATTAGTTATCTTTTTTATATTATATACCACTTTATGCAGGTGTTAAAAAAATGAACAGATGGAATAATTGATTGGTTGATTTAGTTATGAAAATAAATAGTTTTTTTTTTAAAAAAAAAAAAACAACAAGAACACAAAATATTATCTTTCAAAGTTGTCTTTCATTTTAATCTTCTTTTTTTGTCTTGTTTGCAGTTTCAATAAAATTTTTATTAAAATATATTTTCAAGTATAGTTCGTTATTGTTTTTCATTTAACCTCTTTTCTCAACACTCTTTTAGTATCACAGATGTTTTGAGACCTTTCTTTCTTTATTTAATAGTATAGGCTTTATTAGTTTAGTTTAGTTAAATTAGTACTTTATTTATTTTATATATTTCCCTTCATTCCCTCCTTATTTATCCTATTTATAAAATGAGAAATAATATTAAATAAACAACTTTATTCATCTTTATACCAGTTTTCAAAGTAGACAGTCATTTATAGAAAAGAGAAGAGGAAAGTTGAAAAAGATTTGTTAATTGTATAATATCCATATATGGATGTAATTTGCTATTTATAATAACAGATCGTAAAATAAAACGACGGAGAATAAACTATATCCTCTATAGGCCTATAAAAGTAAATAGAGGGAGCTTAGAGAAAGGGAAGGAAAAAGGAAAGGAAAAGTGGGCATTTACGTATGTCAAAAGAGTTATATAATATTTACTAAATAAACATATATTCCTTTTCATTTAGTATGACTGCTAAAGTGCAGATTTGCTATCAGTTTCCCCATAGAAACAATATATTTTATTTAAGATTGAAATTGTAGAGAAAGTAAAAGGGACGAGAAAGAGAAGAGAGAGAAGGAGAAGGAGAGGAGAGATGATATCCGGTTAGTATTAATAACGACATATGAGTTATTTATTATTAAAATATTCTTGAATAAGATTCTAATTATATTGTTTTATTTCGTGTTTCTCTTTCTCTATCTCTCTCTCTCTCTCTCTCTCTCTCTTTCTCTCTCTTTCTCTCTTTCTCTCATTGTTTTTAATAAGAAAAATATCATTCAATGACAACCATGCAGCATTTAAAAAAGAAGGAAAACAGAAAAGAAAATGCATAATTAGGAAATATCTGCCTTCTCCTGTTAGCTAAAAGAAAAAAAATTGGTTAATATCAAGGTAGATTTCTTCTGTTTTCACTTCAATTTGTAATTTAATCGATATCAAGCTTACCTTAGTCTTGTCCGATAACTCTATAAATAAATTTTTAATAGGCCTAAATTGAATTTCTTAAGGATCATCAAGTATTTGGAATCAATTAAAAAAAAAGCTTCTTTTATTGATTGTTGTTGCGGTACGACCTTAAAATAGGACGAATAGTTTTGAAATTTATACCATTTACACTGACAGATAGGCATTTAAAAATTTAATAATACAATTAAATGATGCTTAGCATGAGGATTAGGTATTTACCCGAAACTTTTACATATTTATCCTTCTCTTTCGCTATACTTTACTAATTAAGGTTGGGGATTTTATAGAATCCTTAAGGAAAAAGATAACCCAAGAGTATCCTATTTCTGCTTCGATACGTATTCCCTTTTTGGGGGTTTTTTGTTAGCTATGTTTATTAAATATATAATCAGTTTGAAGAGAATTACAGCCATAAATATCTATATTTTACAAATAACGTTTCTTATTTGTTTATAATGTAATAATAGAGTCTTTAAAACAAAAGGCTCAAAGTGGCAATATTACATGAAAAATAAACTTTATAAGTACTCTTTTTATTATATTGAGGTCATAGAAAACATAAGCTAAGCATCTCTTTTGTACTTGTTTTAAAACGTTACCACACCTGCCGCTAATGCATTAGAAATATTTTCTAATGATATATTTTCAAACGTTAAATAGGCCTTCAATATTTGGAATATTTTTCTTTTCCATCTTTAAAGCAATTCTGTAGATACTTTTATTTTTATATAAATGATCTACTGTATAACGTTACAGTATAGAACATTCTACTGTAAAACTTGTTATCAAGTTTTTAACAAACTCGTATAACTAATAGTTAACCAGTTTATATTGA